CTTCTGTTTCCAGCATCTTTGCTCTGGGCCTGAGCCCTCACCATCCCTTGTACCTCCATTGACCTCACTCTCATGTAACTAAATCTTTGCATTACCAGAGGAGCTACTGCTCCTCCCGTCTTCCATAGTCTTAGACTCAGATAGGACGTTAAACCAATCAATCAATCAATCAATCAATCAAACCAGACTCAACCATCGTACTGGGGCAAGCTCGAGCCTTGCTCTGATCTTGTAGTCCAGTGCAATGTAGAAGTCATTGATGTGCCCCTTGTCATTGTCATCCAATGCCATGTCAGGGTTGATCTCTTCCCATTGCGTCTTCAGATAGTCTAGCAATTCAGAGGGAGTGTGGCCGCGTTGTTTTGCGTTTCGCACGCATTCTCTTGTCTTTGTGACTCTCTCCCAGTATGTACCCAAGGATTCCAACATAGTGGCCTTCAGATCTGCCCATGTGCGGTTCTGGTCCCACCTAGTTGGGTCGGTAGACGATGCTCGGATGGCTCTCTCCCATCGGTCTATCTGGTGTACTCCCAAATAGCCGCTGGCAAACGTAGTTTGCGCTAGGCCAGTAGTGAGGCCATTCTCAGGGGTGAAGAACCGTTCACACCCCCAGATCCAATCATTCAACTGTGCCCTGTTCCAGCCCTCAAACCTTGGGGGTGGGTCTGGACGAGGTAGCCTAGGCGGGCCCATGGTTGCAGTGACACTGGCTGTACTGGGTAGCAGGGTCGTATCAGGGCTTGGGACGGGTTGGTATGGATCGGGCAGGCCGGCCTCTAACGCTCATTGTTGGGCTTGGAGTTTCTCCAATTGTTTGATCTTACAAGTGATCTCCAACTGATGTTCAGCCTCTTGGATCTGTTTGTCCAAGGATAAGGGGTTGTTTGGAGTCGTAGCTTCCTGTACTGCCTTGTGTGCCTCAGTTGGTACTACAGGCGTGTCTGCTCCAGTCGTCTGGTTTCCTGCCATGGGTAGGGGGTCCCTATCTGGGAGGGGTTCTCCTGACGTTTGTGTAGTCACCATCTGGTCTATACGCTGATAGTTGTGGGTAGAGGATTGTATTGTAAAAATAGGGTGGCAACCTCAGGATAGAACCAATGCAATCCTCTAAGGAGGCAAGGCTTCGGACACGACAGCAATATTATGAGGGGAGTGCGCTTGCTAAGCGAGCACGAGGCCTGATGGCCCAAGCTGAAAACTGCCGAGGCCATCCGAGGCCTGACAGGGCCTCTCAAGGCCCGGCTCATGAATGGCAGTCGTGACAACAAGTGCAATACCTGTGGAGCCAAGGGCAAGTCATGTGTGCATACAGTGCCAGTCTGTGTGAACTGCAAAGGAGCCCACACTGCAGACAACAAGGAGTGTGACACCTACAAGGCCACACAGAGGCCTCACCACCATCAACCTCAGGATGCCACTAGATGAACCCAGCATGAGACAAAAGACCTGACATAGTAATGCCACAACACCAATGGAGTGTGGTAAGCTCTCTTTATTTGCTTGATTTTGCTTTGCTTTATTGCATTTAGCTTGTTGCTCTGGGCCTGAGCCCTCACCATCCCTTGTACTCTGACTGAACCCAACCTCCTGTATCTACAACTTTGCATTACCAGTGGAGCTACTGCTCCACTCATCCTCCATAGTCTCAGACTCACATAGGACGTTAAATAAATCAATCAATCAATCAATCAATCAATCAATCAATCAATCAATCAACAGCCGTCTGCCTTCACCTTGAACCCTATCACCACCTTTGTTTTGGGGTGCACGATATGTGATCGCACCGCCTGTTTCCACTACACTGCTACCCTTTCAAGCGAGAGAGCGCGGCGTGTTCGAAACTGCGTACAGCAAGACTCAGTGGAACCTGCAGGACACAACTAACTACCTACAAGTGGTGTCAATGCTAGGAATGATACGAGAAAGGCAGGACAGACAGCTCATATATTTTTGCCAGTAACCTCAACTCATGTTCTCCAGCGTAACGACGAATGGTTGTACTCCAGATCCTGCATCTCGCTTGCACGTAACTCACTCAGCCCTTCGTCCGCCTGGATCGACCTTGAATCCCTCCAACTATTGTCTCGCTGCATCTACAGTCCTAACAGTAAGAGAGGCAAAAGTATGGAACTCAGCGAAGCCAAGTTCAGACCACTCGCAATCCTGTACTGGAGCGCATCACCAGGCAGATGGCTCCATGTAGCTATAAGACCGCCGAGGTTTCCCATGATCGTGTTAAGCCCGATGACGGGGTAGGGGTCGACCTTGAGGCGGAGGTGACGCTCTGCTTCGGAGGTGGTGAGCGAGCCGGGGGAGTTGGGTACGGTTCCCAGCACGTTGGGATCAAATTTCTCATTGCTTTTTTTCATCTTGGATGGTGGAGGTATTCGGGAGGGAATTGACGGGGTTAGACAGACACAGCAAAGACAGCGCGCGAGGCAGGATAGATGAAGGTGAAGCAGGTTTAATATCTATCCAGTGGCTCAATGTGTTCTTAGGATGGTCGTTCGGAAGTGTGGGAGCTGGGTTTGATCGCCGTCCCAAAAATCTGGAGCGTTCATGTGAATCCTTCTCGGTAATCTGAGGGACGTCACTATCGCTCAAGTCCTTTGAAGAGTTCGCAGTGCCAGTGACTGTCCGTCACAGAGTATCCTGTTCCCACACCAAATAGCAGCGAAGGTGTGTTCCGCTCGCTTCGTAGAACGGCCAGTGAAGAGAAAGGGTGACCCTTTGTCCTGGCCATGGCCTCCGAGTCAATGTACTTGCAAGAGCAGAGCTGCGATATCGTATCCGCCGGCATCTTCCGTTCAACGAGAGCAAAACTCAGCTTGTTCGTAGGGTGGGCGGAATGAGGTTGATACCGTGCCCTTACTCGCAAACACTGTCAACGTCATCCCCAGATCATTCACTCCATCGAGTCAGGTCCGGCCACAAGGGCTCCAGATGCGACTGCTCCTCAGGGCAAGTACTCTACACAATACCCTCTTGGAACCGTTCGACGCCCTTCTTGATCTCCTTGACAATGTCTGCTGCCTCCTCCACACTCGCTGCCTCGAAGTCGTACCTCTTCGTCTCCTTCTCTCTATACACCAGCAGCCTAACGGTCTTCGGGTGCTTTTTACTCACCTTTGTGCCGACTACACTGCTGAAGTGCACTGTTGTGGTCTTGCCTTGCCCTTCAACGACCCCGCCGACGGCACCAGCGCGTCGCCCTGACTCGCCGGGCATGATGTGGATGTACTCGTTGTCGAGGGCAATGATGCGGGATGTAGATGATGCGAATGACATGGGCTGCTTACGAAGCACGGCGTAGCGGCGGTAGTATCCCGTCGATGTCAGCGCGAGCGCTGAGGCGTCGACATTCCTTGCAAGAGGGTGGATGAGCTGTGGTCCGGAAACGGCAGCGTGTACTCTGTCGCCCTTTTTGGTTTTCTTTGGCGCGCCGCCTGTGCTGATGATGAGCGGTGCGTTGGGAGAAGAAGAGCCAGGGCTACCAGAGAGGCCCATGATACCATCAGATACGAATCGTCGGCGCAGCAAATCGACGTCTGCATGCTTCCCGAGAGCCTCGACTGTGCGGTCGAGGGGCGCGACCGTGGTCGATTGGCTGACTTTGAGCAAGTACAGTGCCTTGTCTAGATGCAAGTCGTAGCACACTTTGTCGAAGATCTCGTCAATATAGGTGTCCGTTGTACACGGCACAGGGATGTGCCTTGTGTTGAAGTTTTCGTCGGTGAAGTGGACATTGACTGTTTTGGATGCACCGATACGGCTTGCAGCGTGTGATGAGGAGGTGGTAGGAGCATCTGCAAGGGTACTCGTGTCTTTTCGGGTCGCCTTTGGTGCAAAAGAAGGTCCGGTGATGGGGTTTCGGAAGCTCTTGGCGCGGCTAGGCATCGGCTTGACGGGCTGCTTGACTTCCGGCTCTTCCTTGCTCTCGGAGGTATCATTTTGTGAAGTGACTGCGGCAGCCGCTTCGGCGCTGTAGATGGGCGTGATCTTCTCGTTCTCAGCAACTTCTCGCTGCGAAGCTTCGACCAGAGCAAACTCGTCCCAGGGCTTGTCTCGTGCTCGGGGACGCATGCCACGAGCGTTGTTGGAGGCAAAGTCCTTCAACGGCTTGTTTCTGGTCAATGGGGGAAACTCGTCATCAACCTCATCGTCGTCCCACATGCGCATCACCCAGCAATTGACGTTGCACTTCTCGGGCGCCAGCGGCGGCTCGATCTTCTCTTCTTGGTAGCGATGCAGTGCATAACCGATCGCCTCCGCTACCGTGATGGCTTCGCCTTTGTCGTTGAGCTTTCTGAGGAGAAGCTCAATGGGCGTCAGTGGCTTTGCAGACCACGGACAGTAGAGCTTCAAGTACAGGGGGTTTGACTGAGCCTCGCTGGCAGCATTCCACACAGCGAAGCGTTGCAGGGGGTTCGACGGTTTCGACGACTTGGCTTGGAGTGCTTGCGTCAAGGCGCTCACAGGGAGGATGAAGCTGATGGGTCTGGGTGGGGGCAGCGCTTGGAGGGTCGGTTGGAGCGCTTCCCTCCTCCTCTTCGGGGACTGATTGTTGAAGGGCGGCAATGCCGGCATACCGCGGAGATGTGCCGAGGGTGACGAGTCTAGCGGATGACCACCGTTGCCCATGAGAGAGCCGCTGTCTGCGGACCCTGAGAACTCGGAGTTAAGGGAGCTGTCAGACTCGTTGCCCTCGTGCAGGGCCTCCAGACGCCCATCAGCCTCTCCGTCGTCTTCTTGTATGCGCTTGGACAGCAGCTGATGTGAGCTTGCCGCCTTGCGCACATGCTTCACCCGCCTCTTCTGGAAGCCCGAGTGGTCGAACTCGTTCTCGGAGGACATCTCGCTGCTGGTGATGGTATCCCTGCGCGCGCGACCTTTGACCATTTCGACCGTTCCAAGCGAGCCCCTTGGCAGCAGCTGGTCTGGTGGCCGTGACGGCGAGGTGACGGTGACCGAGGGCTGGTCTGCGCCATCAGCCAGCTCGTTGCGCAACGCCGAGCCGCGTACGGGCGAGGAGCCAGAGCGGGTGCGCAGCGGCATCTTTGTGAACTTGATCTGGTTTGCCGGCCGGTCGCTGGCCTCGTCTTCGTCGCTCTCGTCGCTCAGGTCGCTGCTGTCGTCCTCCTCGAGCAGCTCCTTCCTGCGCCGCCGCTTCGCAGTCAGCGTCGGGCCCACGGTGTCGTTGCTACCGCCGCCGCCCGTGACCATGCCGCCGTCTTCCTCATCGTCGCCGAAGCCCTCGGGCGCCTTCAGGCCAGCCGAGCGCGGTGCCTGGAAGTACTCGGAGGTGATGGCCGTGGGGATGGGCGGGGAGTAGGTGCGCTTGATGTCTGCGGGGTTCGGGGCCCAGCCAGCCGCACGGAAGCCGACCTGGTTGAGGACGCTGGAGTTGACGTTGATCAGCCGCTCGCCGACGCCGTCCTTGATCGACGAGAGGTAGGCGGTGCGCAGCTGGTACAAGACGAAGCTGCGGCCGTTAGCGGCGGTGTGCGCGGGGGGAGGGGGGGAGAGGGGGCGACGGTGCGGCTTACTCTTCATTCTGGAGGAGGGACATGGCTGCTACAGTCTTGTCGGGTGTTGTCGGGTCATGTCATGGCGCTCGAAGGCAGTTTGGTTTCTCCAGGCCAGCTGAAGGGGGTATCTTGCGGTTGCAGGGTTGAAGCGTGGGGTTCATGGACCCTGGCCTGTTTCACGCACTTGGACTGGCAACGGCGATCATCCGCGGTGCATGTCATCGCGCACTCGGTCCTTCGCGCCCGCACGCTTCGTCTTTCGCGATCGCACGCGACACTTCCACAACCGGCCCCCGCCATGAACCTAATCGCCTACTCAGACTCCGAGTCCGACGGCGAGGCGCCCGCGCCTGCGCCAAAGCCGGCGCCCAAAACATTCCACAAGGTCGTCGACCGTTCGAACCCAGGGCGCATCAGGCTCAATCTGCCCGGCGCATCGCCAACTACTACCGCCGAGGATGATATCGAGTCCGAGGCCCCACCAGCAAAGAAAGCGCGTACGGGTGGAGGCGGTGGAGGCGGTGGAGGCGGTGGAGGCGGTGGAGGCGGTGGCTTCGGTGGCTTCAACTCGATGCTGCCCGCGCCTAAGAAGGCAAACGTCAAAGCACCTGCAACAAGCGCGACGCCGGGAAGCAGAGGCCTTGGGAAAGGACTGGGCGCTGGTGTCAACCTGAGGACGGGCGCGGAGCCTGCCTTCAAGAGAGAACCCAAGCTGGAACTCGAGGAGTACGACGAGAACGGCAATGTCATCAAGAGGGAGCCGATGCAGAAGGAAGATTTCAGAGCCATGCTGAACCTGCCAACGCCCAAGGCAGAGCAGAAGACGTGGCCAAAGCCAGAATTGCCTGCTCCCGTACCAGAGACAGCAGAGAGTGCACCGGCTCTCAAGCCAGCCGCCCCCAGATTCGTGCCAATGTCAGTTGGCAAGGGCAAGAAGAAGAAGCCCGTGGCTCCTCGTCCAGCCGCACCACCGGCTGCGGACAGCAAGCCTGCGTCTGCGCCACTCATGGACGCTGTGCCACCGCGGAAACCGAAGGTCTCGCTGTTCGGCGTCTCACAAGAAGCAGAAGCGCCTTCAAAGGAAACTCCAAGCGGCGCATACCAGCCGATAATGTATGGTTTCGATGAAGAGGAAGAGGAGGACGATGCCCCGGGTCCGGACGAAGCTTTCGGCGCACCCTCTGCACATCGCCCTGCACAATACGCACCAACACCAGCAGCGCACAACGAACTCACCAACATCGCGTCAGAGCTCAATCTGTCGGAGGCCGAGCGGCGGCAGCTGTTTGGAAAGCAGGGACGAAATGGACCTGACTTCTCTTCCGCACGGATCGTTGAGTTCAACACAGACACGGAGTATGCGCACAACGAGCAACTGCGGCAGCAGGGTGAACAAGTGCAGCATAACCCGCTCAAGTCGATATCGGGTACGGGAAAGAACAGTCTGCGGAGCTTGGTCAATGTGGCGAGCACGCAAAAGGACGCGCTCGAGGAACACTTTGCGACGAGTCACAGGAACAAGAAAGAGGCTGGCAATCGGTATGGTTGGTAACACTTGAATAGTTCAAAGACTGCTCTGGCTGAAGGCTCGCCGAGCTTCTGCTATCATGAGGTAATCGGTGGCAGGTACCCACGGCTCCATTTGCTACCTTCCTTTGTTTCTCAACCACGTGACGTCAGTCGTTTGAACAGCGCCGTTCCATCTTACGCTCCTGTACACTCCAGCGCTCTGTTTTTTTGGTCTTCACGGCTTTCTCCCCTCCTCACATACGATTTAGGCATGCTCACGTCTTTGACTGTTCCCGTATATGTTCGCAATGCGTGTGGATAAAAATAAGGAAGCGACTATACATCGCCATGACACAAGCAACGAATTTGCCGGCAGGTCTAATTGCGTGCTGGTTTCTACCTTTCGAGATCCATAGCTTGTGCTGCATGCATTTGCTTGGTCACCCTCCTTGCACGAAGCGTTCGGACGGTCTTCCTTCACCTCGCTCAAGCCAAACTGTCGTCTGTCCCATTGTGTCAAGTAAGTTTTGGACTCTGCCCCTTCCCCACCTCCACTCTTGTCCCCACACGGATGGTAATATTGTAGTACGATGGTACCCTCAGGTTTACTAGCTCCATGTACTGATATCAGTCTCAGTCTCAGTCTGCTCTCGACGACCATCCCTCCAGCCCCCGCCATGCCGCCAAAGCCCTCATCTGTCCCAGCTGCGTCGGAGCAAGCAGCGGCTGAGGCCAACCTCGACGGACTAACTCTAAACGGAGGCGACCACCGCGATACAGGCGAAAAGAGCGCGCCAGGTGAACAAGGCGCGAAGGCGAGGAGGAATAGGAATAGAGACAAGAGACGCCGATCGAAGAAGAGCAAAGACGCGACAGCTGATAATGCAACATCAACCACTACCGATGGTGTCACCGAGGTCGACAGCACCAGCGAGGCTGAGGCGGATAAGTCCATCGATCTTCGCGCACCATCCCCGCTATCAGACACAGACACAATCGCTACCGAGTCACTTCCCCAGTTCAAATTCGGTCGCGCACTATCACAGCCCTTCGTCGAAGTCCCAGTCTTGGCGCATTACGAGCTTCGCGAGCTGCCCAGCGCTGGCGAAAACGAGGACGACGACGACAACGACCAAGGTCTCTTTGCCTTCAAGAAGATCGAGCAAGGCACACGCATAATCTCCGAGCGCCCGCTGTTCACACTCCCAGCTCCAGGCGATCAGTTGCACGACCTGATGCCAGCTTACCACAATCTCCCCAAGTCCGAGCAGGAGCGCATCTGGAACCTCAGGCCAGCTGCCCCAGAGACGTCCGAGCAGCTTCAGAACCTGCGATTCCTCACAGACAGACTCGCTATGGATCTGCAGAACATCATGTTCAAGTCAGAAGCGATTCGGACGAAGGAGGAGCAGGCAACTCTCGATGAAATGAAACCGAAGCTCGAGAACGCCATGAACGTCTGGCGTGTAGCCGCGCGCTGGCACGCAAATCGTTGTTCCATGACCGACCTTCCCGTTGCACAGCGAGCAGACCTGCCCAAAGGCACGCCGGTCACCGGTCTCTTCATCGAGCGAGCACACATCCGTCACTCGTGTGTACCCAACTGCTTCGCCAGCTACGACCCGAACCTTGATCGCATAAACGTGCACGTCACCCGCGACATAGCCGTGGGTGAAGAGCTGACACTTTCCGCCTTCGCAGACAACAACTACTACAAGAACGCCGAAGACCGGAAGGAAGAGCTGTCTGCTTGGGGTCTGACATGCAATTGCGAGGCCTGCGACGAGAAGCACCCCAAGTTCGAGATTCACGAAGCAGCACGACAGCGCGCTCACACCCGCGTCGTTCTGCTCAACGACATCCTGACGCGCTTGGAGACTGAAGACTTCCCCGAAGTACCCTCCCCACCCCCATGCATCCATCACACAGCTAACGACAGCAGGACAATCTCACAACGGCCCAAGAAATCCTCCTCGCGCTCATCCGTGACCTCAAAGCCTCTGGGTGCGAGACGGTCGAAACCGTGCGCTGGCGCAACATCCTCGTCGACCGCATTCTTCCCGCGCGCGCACTCGTCGTTCCCGATAGCGAGAAGCTGATTGCCTGGCAGATTGTTCTGGGGCATGCGAGGGAGTGCGAGAGGATGGGGAAGATTTGTTATGGTGGGGATCGTGAGGAGTGCAGGGTGCTTGAGCAGACGAGGGAGGGGACGGAGGCTGCAATTCGCATGTTGGAGGAGGCGATCGCAAACGAGGAGGCTGTTGGTGGCTTTTTTGATGAAGACTAAGGGTTTGGGGATGGTGGAGAAGGTGGAGACATACGATCGACAAGTTGGGCAGCTTCATGTAGAGGCGAGGTGATGAGTGCATTCGAGCTATCATACCATCTCGAATGGAACCAGGCTGCGAGATCGTGGCTGCGAGATCGCGGCTCTTGTCAGGGCTTCATCGTCGTGCGTTCCACATCTGGTCAATGACCTGAAACACCGCCGTAACATCCCTAATCGTTTCCTCGTCAATCCGCTTTCCAAACCTTCGCTGCATCTTATCCGGATGCCACCGCACTCTCTCCGCCTTGAGCAGCGCATCCACATCATCTTTCCAAGCCGGCGAGGCGCGCAAGAAGCGCTCAATCTCCTGTTTCTCGACATGCTTGGCCTTACCAGATAAGACCGGCCACGGAATCAACTCCCTGACGTCCGCTCCCTCGGCCTCTGCTGCGCTGTCCGACTCATTCAGGGTCTCCCATTTCGTGCTGTACACCTCCCAACTCTTCACCGCCTCCTTAGCTCTCTTTCTCTCCTCGCCCCGTCTCAGACTGTCTTCCACCTGCCGCCTGATCCCCGCACTCTCCCTCTCCTCCCTCTCCGCGTCCTCGTCATAGCTCGCGCGTTCTTGTTTCCTCTTCTGTCTTGCCCGCTCTCGCGCCTCCCGCTCCTCGACGATGTGCTGATGGCTTCTCTCCCACATTTTGGTTCGCACAAAGTCTGCATACTCATCCTCAGTCATGCGCTCAAGCTTGCCATCTGGCCCGCGCTTCTCAGTGGGATATATGTTCACTGGTTGACCGTAGACGCCTTCCCAGTAGGCGGCGCCCTCGTCGTCGGCGAGCGCGTCGAAGAGCGATTCACGGAAAACATCTTGGTCGTTCGATTCTACCTCATCGAACAAAGATTCACGATACCGGTGGTCTGGGTCGTAGTACTCTCCATCGAGGGTGGATGTGGGATGCCGGTCTGAGCGATGTCTTTGCTTGTGTTTGCGCTGGGAGGACTGGTGGCTGCGTCTGGTAGAGGGTCCGTCGTCTGGTCGGTGGCGCTTTGAAGAGCGGTGTTGTCTGTCCTTGTCGTCGTCGTCTTCGCGGTCATGACGTCGTCTGCGGCGCGAGGACGAGGATTTAAAGTGGAATTTGGACGACTTGGCTGTGGTGTAGGCGTCCGTCTTGGAGGCGGAGTCAGCCTGGTCCTCCATGGTGAGGGCTACGATGCAGTAGTATCCAGTCGTGCATGAGGGGTCGACCGTATTCGTGGTGGTAGACAGTTGGAGGAGTTATCCGCAATCATGGAGGTGATGGCAGGCGCGGGGGTGTGCGGAGCAAGCAATGATTTCACTGGTCCGCGGGACAGCCTTGGCTCGACATGCGACTCGCGCCCATCTCCACTACCATCACTCTTCCACCCCGCGCAACATGTCCTTCAAATTCGGCTTCAATGTGAAGAACAAACTACCAAACGGCCCCGCAAAGCCCGGGCTTGGCAACAAGAAGAAAGCGCTGTTCGGCGAAGATGCAGAAGATGATGCAAAAGGCAAAGCAGCCGCCTCCTCCAACGTGCAAGAAATTAGCGACTTCAACTTCGACTCCACCCTCGCCTCGTCCTCCTCACCCTCTCAACCCGCCCCAACAAAACCGAAGAAAGGCCAGCCCCCCGTCCCGCCAACGAAGAAAGCAAAAGCCAAAGAAGACGACCCCACCACAATCGGCTACTCCGCCAGCGCAAAAGAAGCCGAACAACGCGCCCTGGAAGCAGCTCAGCAAGATGCGTCAATCTACGACTATGACAGCGCATACGACGCTTTACACGCGCGCGACGCCGCCATCGCAGCCGCCGCCAGAGAAGACGGCGCAGCTCGGAAACCCAAATATATAGACGCGCTCTTCGAAGCATCGGAGCAGCGCAAAAAAGACCAGTTGCGCGCGCGCGACAAGCTGCTTGCTCGCGAGCGGGAAGCTGAGGGGGAGGACTTCGCGGACAAGGATAAGTTCGTGACGGGCGCGTATAAAGCGCAGCAGGAAGAAGCGCGGAAAGCGGAGGAAGAGGAGAAGCTGAGGCTGGAGCAGGAAGAAGAACAGAAGAAGAAGTTTGGCATGCAAGGGTTCCACAAGCAGATGCTCTTGGAGCAAGAAAAACGACATGATGAGGCCATGAAATATGCTGCGGACGCAGCTTCCAAGGGGGGAATGGTGGAAGTGGCGCGGGAGAAGAGTGACAGAGAGATAGCAGAGGAAGCGCGTCTCCAAGGCAAGAATGTCACGCTGAACGACGCGGGCGAAATCGCGGATAAACGACAACTCCTCAGTGCCGGGCTGAACATCGTCGCAAAACCAAAGTCTTCCACCTCCGCCTCCACAACATCAGATAAACCCGCCGCAAGTCCATTCACATACCAACCAAAGGGTGCCAAACATGTGCAGAGGGAGCGCCAGACGGCCATGATTGCGGAGCAGATCGAGTCCGCGAATAAGCGGAAAGCGGATGAAGAAGCAGAGGAACAAGCGAAGCTGCAGCATGCAGCTAAGAGTCAGAAGACAGCGAGTGAGATTAGCAGTGCGAAGGAGAGGTATTTGCAGAGGAAGAGGGAGGCTGCGGAAGCGAAGGCGAAGGCTGGGAAGTGAGCGGAAGCGCAGGAGTAGAACCTGGGGGAGGAGTAAGTTGGCAGAATATGATACCCTATCACTGAGTCCACACAAGTCTCCTGATGGAGAATTGGTGCAAGGCTACACCTCGACTGCCTCCATGACTTCTCTTGATCGAAGCCTTGGCAACGAGCCCACTTCGATATCTCCGACCGTGCACAGGTAATCGTGAATCTCAAAAGGGATCTCGAGCTGTTGTTCAGAGTGCCTCTGTTAGTGACTCAAAATCGAGCGAAACCACAGCTTCACGTGACGACGCAATCTATTCGTCACCCATGACGTCGATCTGGACCGGCAAAACGGCTGTCTGGGCAAAAGGCTTCGTCTACCTCAGTGTTCTTGTTCCCTCTTTCACATGCCCCTCTTCACTCCTGTGGTACGAAGATAGATCGGTCTAGAGTGCATACCAAGTCCTCGGCATAATTCTTGGTGAGCTTGATGTGCTTCCCAAAGCAATGCGACCTGTACGAGATCATGTACGAGATCATCAACTTTCCGTGGACTTTCTGCGTGGTGATGGTTTCGAAGATTGGCCTGCAGTCCCGGTCGTTGGCTCACGTGAAGAGACGATGAGGGCTAGCAGTACTCGATGTCTTGGATTTGAGGTCGTTCCTTTTTAATCGCTCACTTGGAATCTGAAGGCTTGATTGTTGGACCACAATCTTGCAACGAGAAAACGAATGAAACTGGTGAACATGCCTGTCAACAATTTGAACTTCCCGTGATAGTTCTGACATCTAACTCATCCGTTCTTGCCTCCTACCATGTCAGAAACGCCTCTCTGATGCATATGAGTAATGGATATCATGTAAATGCCTGCTGAAATAAAAAGAAGACCGCTGGAGGATGTGCAACCAACCCATGTGACAGTGTAAAACGTAAACAAAAGAGCCGCCAACCTGATCACTGTCTCAGATCTCATGATTCCTCTTCTCCTCCAACTCGAGCTCTTTCATGTATTTGACGAAAGTCTTCTTGTGTATCTGCGAACACTATCAGTAACAGCAGAGCAAACACAGCGGGAGAATACTTACCAAACCAGCATACTTGCCGTCCCTGAGAACGCAAATATACCTCAATCCTAGCTTGACAAAACACTCGTATACCAGATCCATCGGCGAGTGAACATCGAGTGAGATGGGCGCAGGATCAATGTACGGTGTAAAGTCACTAGGGTCGTGTTGAAGGTTCTCACCATCGTCGCTCGATGCTTGAGGTTCTCGCCCAGCTGCCCAGTCGACTTGCGGGGACATCAAACAGAGCGTGTTCTCTTCGTTGTCAAGTTTGTCAAGAGCAAACTCCAGATCAGGTGCGGGGATCAAGCCAACCAACACACCGTGTTTGACGATGGGTACACCGCCATCGAGTTCGCCGGCCATCTGGAGTAGTTGCTGCATGACACGTAGTTCGGTTGCTGGGATGAGGGACTCTTCAGAGATGTCGATGATGCGGTCTAGTCGTACACGTGGTGTGATGTCACCGAGCTCGGATGTGAAGATCGGGCGGACTTTATTATCAAGGAAGGGATAGGAGTTCATATCGGTAAGGAGATCGTAGATGCTGAGTGGTTCGATGGCATCAGCAGTCCATTTGGCGACCAAGATGCCGAGCGAAAAGGGCAGGACGTGATCGAGACTGCCAGTCAATTCGAAGAGGATAACGGCGAGCGTAATCGTCAATCGAGTGACACCCGTCATTGTTGCACCGGCGGCAACGAGAGCATACACACCTGGGACCACGCATGATCCAGGTGGACCCTCGGGTACGCATTCGCCAAACACACCGAGGTTCGAGAAGCGGAGAGCGAAGAGCTGGACAGAGTGACCGATGAAGCGTCCCGCCAAGCCACCGACGACCATAGAAGGCACGTAGATACCGGCAGGTACTTTGATACCAAAGGTGATTACAGTAAGGCCAGCCTTGATGACGAAAGCAAGGAACAGGACCCAGAGCACCGAGGGAATGTGTTCTTTTGTCGGACATAAGCCATCTCCAGATTCGGTGTAGGTATCACAAGGGCTGGCCAGCTCGAACAGCAGCTCAGTCACCGGAAGCTTAGTGTAGCGGTTCCAGAAACTAATCAGACCAGTGACAAGCGCTACAAGGAACACCTCGAGGAGAGGGTGCTTCTTGATTATTGGAATGCGTCGGAATGTCCGGGCCCAGATGCGCGAAGCCTTGATGAATAGAGCGCCTAGAACACCACCAACAGCGCCGGTGAAGACGAACGTGGCAAGCTCGAAGAACTTCCAGTCAAGGTGGTAGCGAACTTCGAACAGCACAATCTTCTTGGTGCCGTAAGGATCCAAGAACTTGAGCGATAATGCAGCAGCCTATTCATGTTAGTCGATGTTGTGATACGTGAACTCGGTACTTACAATGCAGCAGAAGAACGTCCTGAACAGTGTTTTCGAGGGGAAGTAGTAGCTCACTTCCTCCAGACTGAACAGCACGCCACCAATCGGAGCTCCAAAGGCGACAGCTACACCACTTGCAGCACTAGCGCTCAAGATCTCCCTGCGTTTGCCATCGTTGTTGCTGTATTTGGAAAAGATACGGCATGCAATGTTCCCGATACATGTGGCTACGTGCACGTATCTATCCATGTCAGCTAAGATCGTAACATGTAGCCTCAAACACTTACGGCCCTTCTTTACCAAGGCTCAAGCCAGATGCCACACTAAGAATCAGGGCAACGGTCTTGATGATGAGCGTGCGTAACCCGAGGTATCCGTGAAGCACGAAACCGCTCAAAATGACCTTGACTTCTGCGACTCCGCTGCCAGCAGCAGAGTAGTAGACCATGGGTGGTCGAAGTTGGGCTTCGTTGATCTTTGTCTGAGGGCTCGTGATATGCTTGTGATCTTCGTCTTCGTTGTCGTCTGAGTATCGCAGCACTTCTGCTCCTAGGTTCTCGTCAAGCGTAGAAAGAGAAATGGCTGAAGGGATCACGGTCTTGGTCGTGAGCGTCAGCAGACAAGATGCCATGGACAGCAAAACGACAGAGACGACGTAGAAGCCGAATTGCGTGTGCACGACATCAAGTCTGTCGCTGCGGACCACTTTCGACCAGTGTACCCAGTCCTTGCATATCGACGCTCCGTCGCAACAGATTTTACGGCTCATGTTCCATCTCTTGGTACAGTAACCCTGCTTCAAGTCGAAGATGGTGCTTTCAGTAGTGTTGACGAAATAGGCACATATGGCAGTGAGCACACCAATAAGGGCCACCAGGACCCAGCCCTGCGCACCGTCGAACCACGCTGCCAAACGTCCTCTGATGTCTTTCCGGCTCCTAAGTGCCTTCACTCGATATGCGTCGGCAATGTTGTCATGCACCCAGTCCGTCGATGTGAACTGATCGTACCAGACTCGGTTATCCTGCCAGAGGGATGTTTTGGCGGAAGGTGTGCTCTCGTCCAGCCCCGCTCTGCGCTCGCCCAAAGCATTCACCAACCGCTGACTGAAAGAGTGACTGGAGGACCCCGTCCTGCTCTTCATGCGTGTGCCTGCAGGGAGCTGGCTGTTGTGCCGCTTTGTGCCCGGCCGAGGAGTGCCCGGCATACTCGCAGACACGCTCATGTATGATCTTGAGTTATGTGCATGGCCCAGCAACGCAGATCGCTCGGACACGCCGCTTCTGGTGAGGTCAGTGTCAGAGCCTCGCATCTGGCGCAGAGGGCGGTGGGCTATCGGCGACGTGGGTGTGGTGCTGCTGATTGTGTCGTCGCGCTCGCGCTGCTCGGCGGCATCGTCATCGTCATCGGCATGTACGGCATAATAGTCCTCGACACTATAGTAGGACCTCATGGACTTGGGCATGATGGGCGAAGGCGTACGTGCAAAGGAACAGGGGAGAGGAGGCTTTTTGTTATGACGGGGGCGCTCAAAGACATATCGCTGTCTCGGGGCAGCTACGAGGTCATCTGAAGGGGAGGGCGGTGTCATGGAGGGTCCTTAAGCTGGGCACTTGATCCACAAGTTATGGCCGCGGAGCTTTCTCGGCTGCCGTTCTGTTTCCAAAACGGCGATCAAGACGCGTTATCTCTGAGCTATCATGTTGCACATAGTAGACCTTAACTTTCTGACCCGTCAGACAACACATAGTTCATGAAATGCAGGAAGAAATCTTTGTCGGTGACCTGCGCCGAGGCTTGCATTGCCATATTGTCTCAGCGGTAAGCGCGTGTGACTTCGAGCAGAAGCACGCGGTGAAGAAGAGCAGTTTCAGGGTCCAGGACAGGGATTAACTCCAAAGACAGCAAGGCGCGTTTGAAATGAACGACCAATGACAGCTCAGCTTCATCGAGTACACCCCACTACCAGACCTCGTTTGCCGTCTACAGCTCCGGAGTAAATGAGCCGGAGGTAACAAACCGTCGTCGTGTTCGTCTGAAGTTTGTCCATCTGCGTTTTCCAGGAATTCTATACTCAGGGTCAATTCCTTACGTTCTACTCCGGGCATATCGAAAAAGATCAAGAGCAGACTCGATCGGACAGGCGGAGTGTATCTGACAGTTCCCAAGCCGGCACACCCTTGTGATACCTTTGACGACGCCCAGAGATTCTGTGTCGTATCGGATACTCAGTCGACATGGTGAGTGGCTGATCTTATGTCGGACTGCAGCAAGACATATCTAACGCTTCCTATAGCCCGCTGTATATGAACAGTTCTTCTTGTTTGGTGATTCTATCACCCAGGACTCGTTCGATCAACAGAGAGGATTTGGCTTCTCTGCAGCGCTCCAGGCTGGTATGTGATGCCATTTCTGCATTATCCACACGGTTCCCAAATTTCTCCGGCAACCTTGAGGCTCATCCGCAGGACCCTGCATGCTGACTGCTCCAGACTACATAAGACGACTTGACGTAGTCAACCGCGGCTTCAGGTCTGTCTTTTAGAATTCGAGAGTCGACGTATTACTGACCATTTGAAGCGGGTACAACACTCGCCAGGCACTCAGCGTACTACCCAGTATCATTCCGTCTCCAGAACAGGCCAAGATCCGCTTCTTGGTACGATAAGTTATCTGCAGTCGGTCCAATTTTGACTGACGACTCCAGACCGTCTTTTTTGGTGCCAACGATGCCTCACTTCCGAATGCTCCCAACAAGCAGCACATCCCTCTGGACGAGTACAAGGCCAATCTGGAGAAAATCGTCACTCATCCGCAGATTGTAGCCCACAACCCGCGCATAATTCTGATCGCTCCCCCGCCTATCAATGAGCATCTCTGGTGGCCTCGAGATCAAGAGAGCGGATACACTTCAGTCTCAAGAACGGCAGCCACCACCAAAGAGTATGCTGATGCAGTCGTCGGGCTAGGTGCTAAGCTTAACCTACCCGTTGTCAATCTATGGAAGGCATTTATGGCAAAGACGAATTTCCAGATTGGCGGATGGAAAGTTGGCGACCTTCTTCCAGGTTCGCTGGAGACAGCACAAAACGATGCCCTGGTCGAGTTGATGTACGATGGTAAGCATGTGTGATCCGATAGCCTTGAATGCTGCCGATACTGAATGAATACCCAGGCCTTCACTTCCATCCTGCAGGCTACGAGATCCTGTATCAAGAGGTGACAAAACTCATTGCTGAACTGTGGCCGGATCAGGTAGCAGAGAAGCTGCCAACAATTTTGCCCGGATGGAATGATGCCGCGGCATGGCAAGCTTGGGAGGCATCGAAGCCATCGCAATGATCAACTCATTTCATCTAGAAGTTGGATCGGCATTGATTAGACAAAATAGAGTGTGTTTGGCTTCAAAGATGCATCAAGTTCATGATTTCGGCGATAACCTTAGCCCCGCCCCACCACGAGCTAAGCTCTATGGCGTACCTGCCAACGAACCTCAGAAACAGACAACACCAAACAGCACTCGACAGACTCGCTACAATACCACACTGCCTCGATCCTCTTGGCTGCTCATTTTGCACCACCCACAGCACGTGTTGGTCGAAACGATCTAGACCCTCTGGCGCAAATCAATTGCGCCTAACTAGACTTGACACCTCTCGAGTCCCTAGTGGTCTTGTTTGATTCCAGAATCACGACACGTGGTTTGCAGCACACGAACTCTGCACTGCTTGCAGTACCTGCCAGCGAATACCTGTAGTCTACGCAATCACAACATTTGCTAAGCCATCTTCACATACGGCTTTCCCATTCGAACTACTGCAACGGAACACCTCGAACCGCAACCAACGGTACACCTAGGGATATATAACATCGGATGAGCTTTAGGGGAGGTGGAGAAGGTGGAGCTGTCGACCATAGGGAGGGGAACGAGCTGGTAGGGGAGCAACAACGGAAAGAGGGCTCTCTGCAGTGAACACCCCCACCAAGGGATGAGAGCCTGGAGGGAATGGATCCGGAAAGTGTAGCGTTCCAGCCTCGCGACGACTTCTGGCGGTTTCAAAGCGAGATGTTGCGAGTGCAACAAACTCAAGCTGAGTTGTCAGATCGCGTCACCCGCTTGGAACGAAAACAAGATGATGATTCCCGCCTAAAGAACGTCTGGGGAACATCTTCGCCATTTCCCTCCGTACTGGGTGGTACTCCGCAGCAAGGTGAGCTACGTGCTCTCAATCTCCTTACGTCCTATTGATCAAATGTCAGTTCCTCTACAACAGCCCACGGCTGAACACTTTTCCAATTTCGATGACGACCAGTCCAGTAACCTCATCGGTAACCTTCAACTTGACGCCGACGATGAGCCTCGACGAGTAGGAACGACGTCACGCGCCAACAGCGTTCGCTTTGACGAAACGGCGAATCACGGACACTGGGCGCACACCTCACGAACATCACTGGAGCTCTTACCCCGCTCTAGTAGTAGTCTCGGCGGACACGCTTTAAGTGAACGCAGCTACTCTCACAAGTCAGACGGAAGACAGAGTTCAGCTGGTCAGTCTGTTCACTCGGTCACATCAGGACGGGCCAACAGCCTCACAAGCTATGGTCCCACAACACTAGTAGAAGTTCCAGGGCTGGCACCTGGTCTGTTCATACTCGGCTCCGTTCCTTCCATTATACGTTGCTGGCTCAACACTAATTTCAAGCATGATACCCTACTGTATGCGGCTATTTGTACCGGCTCGCATACATCCTTCCTAGATTTGCATCTCATCGATCACCTGGGATTTCAGGACCAAATCACTCAGAACGATGATGGCACCAGGAAGATCAAGTTGACCGTCTATCTACCGGAAGCTGTGCCCGTCTCGGCGTCCGCTCAGTCTGACAGTCCCGCTCCTCAGCTTCCCTCAGTCACCGTTGACTTCACTATAGTGGATGAGTACGACAAGTCCAGGCCCAAGGCTATTCAGGTTGTCATTGGTAGCGACCTGCTTCGAGCTCACAATGCCGACGTGCTCTTCTCTACCAATCAATTGATGATATACGACGACGATCGCTGCAAGCTCCAGATTCCGCTCGTGCGACCGGAAGATGAGAACGCTTTCAAGTCTCTGTCTACTTCGCATGGAAGTCGCTACACCATCAAGCCAGGTTCGACATCAAAGAGCGCAGTGGTCGGTCCGCCAACACCAGTCGAACCGAGAGTGAAATTCATTGACTCAGCTCAGCCTGAAAGCACAGCTGTACACAAGCTTCATGACACCGGAACAGTCCTCAGTTCCGATGATGGCGATTCGAGCGGCCGTAGGAGCCTCGAGCAGCGCCCGCACCCCATATCGACCACGTTCAATCGGTCTGGGTCCAAAGACATGCAGCCGTCGAGTCCCACCGCTGTGACCCGGCCACTACCTGCCACGCTTAGCAGTTGGCGACGTGATACGAACGAGAAAGCCAGCAGCGGCTCGCTGGATTGGGCAAACGTGGGTAAAACTACTGCATCTCCATCCAGTCAGCAGCGGCGCGAGATCAAGGTGCTGAGACCCTCAAGGTCGTCTTCACGTACGTTCTCCTCCTCAACTACCGCAGCCGGGACCGGACAGTCGCGCTTCTTTGATGACGGAAAGAGGAAGGATGACGCCGAAGCAACGCGCGCACCTGCACCCTCCTTTAGCCGCACAGTGTTTGGCGAGAAAGAGGAGAATCGACCAGCCGTGACAAAACAGCGGTCTGCCAATCCAGTGGGCGGTGCATCTGCTTTCGCATGGCTCAAGAGCGGATCGAAATGAAAGTCGAGCTGTGTCGCCGGCATTCTCTCGTGTTGGTCCACGCAGGCACTACACAAATATTCTATAGCAGCGCTTCGACGCTAACAACAATAATGACATGACGTTGACTACTTTCTGCTCTCGTTCCACCCAGCAAGACACACGCAGCCTCACTGACCTATATGTAGGATGCCTCATGCATGCAGAGCACATCTAACGCACTTATAAACCTCTCTGGTGTATGTGGAAAATGCGTTGCCGTGACACGCCGACTGGTGCAAGGCTCTTCGTAACGGCAACGCGATGCAACTCAGCTGCAGCTTTCAGCATACACCCAAAGTGTCATAGATGTCAAGTGTCACACCAAGTGATGAGGCTCGTCATGACCTTGGCTAGACTACCACAGGCCTTCCATGGGTGCTCAGCCTTGCGGTGCTAAGCGAGGCTGCTAGTGTATCTGTCCCCTGCGGGCGGGCAAACTGGAGTGCTGTAATGGAGTGCGATTTCTTTTTCAAACTACACAGCCCTGCACGCCCTTTCCGCGCCGATTGCGCTTACCCCACGCAGACACCGCCTCCTGCCTCACTTTCCCTGTGAGCAGCTCGCCTTCCACTGGCGCCGTTACGCGTTGCACACCATACCGACTATCCTTTGCCCGCCTTGTCTGTCTTGGAGCTGTAGAGGCTCCGGGCAGGCCTCAGAGCTTCACAACGGCCTCCACCAAGAAACGGAAGACCGTGACCGCCGCGCAAACAAACACCTCGCAGACTGGGCAGCGCAAAACATCGCCGTCCTCGAATGAGGGCACGCCTGTGGCATCCTCTCGGACATCCCCGCACCCATCGACATCACCGCCGCCGCGCTTTCTGCCGCCCCACATGAAGGAGGCGGTCAAAGAAGCCTCGCAGGAGAACAGCACGCCCACTGTGCGGGGGGAGCACATAGCCACTGGCGCCAGCTCGCCCAGTGAGGCCTACGCAAACCTCACGCTCGAAAGCACCGACGGGCCCATGACGGACTCCTCGGAGCGCACGCGCGTGGGTTCTTCAGACCAAGGCCAGTGCCCTACCCACCGAGCCTCCTCGCCTGCCAAGCGCCTGCACTCAGATATGGACGAGGCAGGCAATATGGATGTCGACGCCCCAGCCACAAGCAGCTCTCGCCGGGGCAGCGGACAGTCGAGCCCACGGCCCACGAAGCCGCTCCCTGCTGTCACCTTGCAGCGCAGTGCCCGAGCAACGTCGGTGGAAATGGCAGACGCGCCCAACAACAGCGGCAGCCCCGAGACTGACCCAGCCAACGTGCCCAGCCTCGACGAACAGGTTGCTACGGTCATGGCTATGACGGGTTCTGACCTCCAGGAGGGCCAGGAGGGTTACGTCGTGTCTGAAGCTTGGCTGGAGCGAGTTTTTGCTCGAACTACAGAGGGAAAGAATAGGCCGCAGGAGTACAGCAAGGAGGCAACACAAGGCCCAATCGGACCAGTGGATAACTCAGGACTCGTGGACACGGAGGCTCTAAAGACTCCTTTGGTAGATCAGAGCGGTGCAGACTTTATACCCCTGTGCAAGGGACTAATGCTGCATCAAAATCTCGAGGTGCTGCCTGCAAAGGCCTGGGAGCTGGTCCTTCGTTGGTACGGGCTCAAGGAGGGCAGCCCTGTTATTCGACGTTATGTGCAGAACACCGTGCCCGACAAGAGCAGCACAAACCTGCTGTGGGAGCTCAATCCGCCTATTCTTACTGTTCGCAAGGTCCGCAAGGCTGCAGCGACGCCAACAGAAGAAGCCAAGCCTGCACAGCGCATCGTAGCTAGCAGGAGCGACGACTTCCAGAGATTTCTCGACGTTGCAAAGAAGGCGGCTGGTATTGACTTGAACAACAAGGTTCGTGTGTGGAGAATACTCACGACCGCATCCTCAGGCGAACCTCGGCCGAAGACGCAGCCGCAACCATCTGGCATGTTGACACCGGATGCTTCACCGCGTGGTGGATCTCCCGTTGCTGGCGAAGTGACGCAGCACATGTCGTTGATTATGGATACTGCGAGCTTCACAGGCTTAGCCAACGGCACCGAGCGCGAGCAGGTGACTGGAAAGGACGAGAAGGCTAACGAGGAGTCCAATCCATCGCTGACTCTCGACGCTGCTGGCCTTACACAAGACCAGGTCATTGTGCTTGAAGAGGCCGACGAGAAAGGCGAGTACTTTTCGGACACTGTTCCCGTCACGACCAAGTACAAGACTGCAGCACAGCTCAGAGAAGGCCTGAAAAGCGGCAACACTAGTGGCAGAAGCACACCTACAGGTGGCCCACTTACGCGAGGCAGGACGCGCAGCGGTAAGGTCCGCGGCCAAGTCGGACTGACGAATCTGGGCAACACTTGCTACATGAACTCGGCTCTTCAATGTTTGCGCAGCGTCGAAGAGCTCAGTCTGTACTTCCTCAACAATCAGTGGGAGAAAGAAGTCAACAAAGTCAACCCTATTGGCTACAAGGGACAGATCGCGAGCGTGTACGCGAACCTGGTCAACAGTATCTACAGCGTCAGTGCTTCATCGTCGTTCTCGCCCAAGCAATTCAAGCAGACTCTCGGTAGAGCCAACAGCCTGTTCAGTGGCTATGGGCAGCAAGACTCGCAGGAGTTTCTGAGTTGGCTCATCGATGCGCTCCACGAAGATCTCAACCGCATCATTACCAAGCCCTACAAAGAAAACCCAGATTCGGATGACAACACGTTCCGTGATCCAGAGGCGATGAAGCAGTTGGGCGAGATCTATCGATCTAACTATCGCGCGCGTAACGACTCCGTTTCAACAGATCTATTCAACGGTTTTTACAAGAACACTATGGTGTGCCCAGAGTGCGACAAGGTTAGCATCACGTTCGATCCGTACAGCCAGTTGACCTTGCAACTACCCATTGAGCATTCTTGGACACATACGATCACTTACGTGCCCCTGTACGGCAAACTGCAGCAGCTCGACGTTGATATCGATAAGAACGCTACCATCAAGACGCTGAAGGAGTACGTTGGCAAGCGATTCGGTGGCGTGAAGGCTAACCGCTTGATGGCTTCAGAAGTCTACAGCCACAAGTTCTATCGCCATTTGGACGATAACGCTACAATTTCGGAATGCAACATCACATCTCGCGACGACATATACTTCTACGAACTTGAGCATGCTCCCAGCAACTGGCCTGCTCCTAAGAAGAAGGCCAAATACAAGAGCTTCATGTCTCAATCTTCTGAAGAAGACATACCCAATTCGGCATCACCACTTCATGACAGAGTTATGATCCCCGTATTCCACAGGGGGCCTAACCCGTCCTCGTACAGGAGTCAGTCATATGCGATGGCACTGTGGCCGTTCCACATTATTGTGACTCGCGAGGAGGCGAAGGACTACGACGCGATACTGCGCAAAGTGCTTGCAAAGGTCGCACAGTCTACCACCCGCTCTATTCTTACGGAGCTTCGCGGCAACTCTTCTGATCAGTCTCGTCCTGGCTCAGACGTTGTTTTGACAACCGAAGAGGATGTACTGCCTAACGGAGATCCACGTGTCAAAGACGGCTCCATCGAGGGAGAGGATATGGTCGAGGTCACAATGACGGATGCGGAGACACCTATTGCTGAAACAGCAGGCCGTGTTGATGTTCCAGAAGTTCTCAAAGCTGACAGTTTCATCAATCCAGAGTTCAGGCAGCTCTTTGAGATGAAGTACACACGCAAGGGTAACGAATTCGTGCCGACTGGCTGGAACTCGATCGACCATCAGAAGGCATTGGATCCCATCTCGAAGCGGATACCGGTGCCTTCTGAGCGAGCAGACTCTGAGCCATCTTCCCGTGCGGGCAGCGAGTCGTCGAGCGAGGAGGATGGAGATTCACCTCAGTCGACTGCTGATACTGATGTCGACACCGAGGCTGCTATCGATCAAGCCAACGTCAGCAGTGACGAAGAGATGCCGTCTATCGAGCCTATGGAGCCCTCTGAGCCGCGGGGCGGTCGAGGCAAGAAGAAGAGCAAGAAGGCCAGGAAACATGAGCGGAAGCTGGAACGCATGCACAAGACTAACAAGAACTGGAAGAAGAAGGCTAGGGTACCAGAGCAGCCCATCTTCCCAGACGACCCTGAGGATGAGAACGATGGTCTGATCCGACTGGGAGAAGCTATTGTACTGGAGTGGAACCCCGAAACCTACGATGCGCTCTTCGGTGGTCTCAATGCAGAAGACTCTCGTGGCATGGATGCTTTGAAGACCATCGAGACATTCGATGACCCTGAGATTCAGGAAAAGAAAGCCAAGCGGATTGCTCGTAAGAAGAGCGGGATCACATTGGACGAATGTCTTACAGAGACGGCGAAGAGCGAGACGTTGTCCGAGGACAACCCATGGTACTGCAGCAACTGCAAAGAGATGCGTCGAGCCACCAAGACCCTCGATATCTGGACAGTACCCGATATCCTCATCATCCACCTGAAGCGCTTCAGTGGCTTCCGATCGTTTAGGGACAAGATTGACGATAAGGTTGACTTCCCGGTCGAAGGTCTAGATCTCAGCGGCAAGGTTGGATTCCCAGAGGACAAGAGCCTTGTATACGATCTGTTCGCGGTCGACAATCACTTTGGTGGTCTAGGAGGCGGTCACTACACGGCCACTGCTCAAAACTTCTTCGACAAGCAGTGGTACAACTACAATGGTATGCATCAGTCCTTGCGCATTATCATGGTTCATTATCAGTGCTAACAATGAACAGACTCCTCCGTAACGAAATCCTCAGGCCAGGAAGCTGTCACCAAGGCTGCTTACCTATTGTTCTATCGTCGCCGTTCTAGTACCCCTTTAGGCCCAGAGTCACTCCAGAAGATAGTTCAGAAGGATATCGAAGCCGGCTCTGATGAAGACTCTGAGGGTGAGAACCGATCTCGCTCACCGGCGGGAAACGGCTCGCGCCTCGGCGGCTCGTCCCGCAATGGATCGTCGAGAGCTGGCGCAGCAGGAGCGGGAGCCGGAGTCCTGCGCGGGGATGGCTCAGCCCTTTCGGCAGCCGCAACCCCTCAAGGGAGCCTAACAAGGAACGGAGCAGGAGTCGAGACTCTCGACGGACCTAGTCCACCATACTACTACGACGACGAGACATTCCACGAGGACGAAGGCTTCAGCGGTATCGATACTGAGGGAGGTGGTATGATGTACGGACCGCTTGCCCCTGCCTACATGCGTGACGAGCCGCAGTGGAGCTTTGATGCTCTTGGTGGCTCGACTCGCGGGAACGACTCAGACGACGCTTCTTCAAATGCACCAGCCTTGGGCTCAGATAACGGCGAGTCTCTCGCGGAGCGTATGATGGAAGACTTCGGTGACGACGAATTAAATACGCTACCTAGCGCCTCGACACCTCTGCGCTTCCAACCCATGTCCGGAGTTGAGGATGAGGAGGTCAAGGAGATTCATGTCGAGGCTGATTAGAGGTCGCCCAGCCAGTTTGTGAACGATATTCTACGAAGGCGGGGTACTCTTGAAGTTATCGTTGGCTACGCGTTGATGCATTCTAAGAAAGGGAAGGAAAGGTGTGAGAGACTGGTGGGTTATTTCTTCACGCATTGTCATGCTATGCATTAGACTAGACGATTGAACGATAGGACTGGAAGGACACCGGGCTGTAAATGATGAAGATGGGAAATGGGAAGCGGCGTTCGAGATGCATTGGTAGGCGTATACGCGCATGTAATCAAAAGTTTAGCTCGTCAGTCGGAGCCCGAACGATTGCTAGCTATGTTTACTAAGTCTAGGATCATGAGGTTTGCACACAAGACTTAGCGCTTGCCGTTTTGTCGTGCGCTGTTTCGTCATGCGAGGATGATTGCGATCTCAAGGCAAGAGAACCTCCCCGATATGACTTCATGCCAACTTCATCTCTACAACCCTCCTCTGTCCCCGTAATCCTTCTTCTACCTTGCTCGACGCTGCAATATCAGCTGCCTTCGATTTTGTCTTTGCGAATATCACTTCACTTCCCACTGGCGGCCTCGATCTCGACCGATGAGCAGGTCTCGCGGCACCACATTACTTCGAATTTATTCCTAGCCTCATGCTATGGATCTCTACATGCCTTGCTAGATTGACGATACTGTACCGCTCGGTCTCTGATCAACATCATTGGAAGTAAAGTAGGGAGGAGCCTGCTGCAAATTTGGCCTTGCGCAACGCCCTAGAGTCCTACCTTCACTTGAACTTCGACCCACATGCTATATAAGCTCCGCCCACTGGAAACCTTACACCTTCCCTCTGCTCCTTGACTTCTTCGCCTTCTAGACCAGCAACGCTATCTTTGATATGCGCCGAGCACTACTCTTCTGCCTCGGGCTGTTCGCCCTCTTGCTCCTCATCATCGCCCGCTTCGACTGTAGGGTGCCGTCGAATGTTATCATGGTCAACGATGCCTCCGCCGAGCAAATGCAAAAAGGAAGTGCTAGCACTCTCCAGGCCAGCATCGCGGACCCATGGCCTCTAGTCGTCAGGAACAACCAACGGCTTCGAGTAGTCAAGTACTGTTACCACAACCAGCAAATACGAGACACACTCCACTGCAAGGTCCAACACACTTTTCAACGTTGGGCTGCAAAGCTTGGGTACCCTGCCAGTGCACAGACGGGTCACAATCTCGGATGGGAAGAAGCCCATGACGGCAATGCGGACCCCTCTCAGCGTCGCGTCGAGTACTGTTACGACCATACGAACCTTGCTTGGAACCCTAGGGCGGACTGTGGCTCTCTTTTCATAAGCATCAATTATAAGGAAACCGATGGTGCCTATGCCACCACCCCATACGATGCACAAAGCAACGAGGCTAGTCGCTATTGGATAATGATGGCCCCTAACGCAGGAATCGACGCTATCACACACGAGGTGAGTCAAGGTACATATTCAGTCAAAATGCGACTAATTCGTTCACAGCTTGGACATGGTTCGTAGGAATTAGCAAATATCGGAGTAGTGTTTGGTATGGCCCACGAGGCGCAACGATACGATCGTAAGCTAGTTCGCCACATCACCTTGGCTTTTCTGATACGATTACAGGTGACAATCACGTTTTCTACCAGTGCCATAACCTCAAGGGCTACAACGACGCTCGAGCGAAGACCATGGCAGACGACTCTCACCTGACAGAAGCCGAAGCCCACAGGAAGCTTTGTGAAGAGGAAGCTTTCGCCCGCAGATACAACCTTGATAGTACGAAGTATTTGAAGAATCCTCGGGGTGGAACACCACACGACGAAGGTGCTTTCAACTTCGACTCCATCATGATCTAGCTCATTATCGTATTAAGGTCTAGATTCTGGAGATATGTGCCCTTTGATGGCAATATCGATGAGTTGAAGAAGTGGTACCCTTGGGTCGGTTGAGCTTCAAGCCAGATATGGTAGGCTGGCTGCTGATGTTGGGAAAGGAAACACACGTTGGAGAGATGAGCGGACTGGCAATCTGTTGTCAGCTCCACGGTGATCTTTAGAAACACGGATGGAAACAACGGTCAAGAAGTTCTCAGCCATAAGTCACGGGTTGGATTTGCGTTACCACTCGTCATCTTTGGTCACTTGAACAGTCACAAAATAGGTACAAGCATGAGCTGTTTGCCGGTCAGAGTGCTTACTCAGGTAAGATCACTACTGCCCTCCACACATTTCGCCTTTGCTCTTTACAAAGTGTGTAATCAAAGGTACAGCTCGTCAGCCGGAGCCATGACGATCTTAGCGACACAGATCCTGAATATATGGGTCGTGGTGATTGCGAGTAGCAATTTCCGTCCGCCGGTTATGCAGGATGCTACTTCCATTTTCGAGGATTGCTTGCGGGATCGAGAATCTCTTGGTTGAGCGTCAAGCTGTGTTTTCTCTGCTGCAAGGCAATGGCAACGGCTTTCGACCCACTACCTTCGAGGGCTACTTATATAACTGCGTTCAGGTAACGTTACCTATACCTGTATCAATCATGTACGAGTGATCGTCCAATGACAACTCGGGGAATGCGATCCTGCTAGCCTTGTAAGACGGTGGTTGCAGTAAGCCTTGCTCTTGTCGCATGAACCCTCATTCTGACCTGATATCCTCAAACTGCATCGTGGAGGTCTTCGATGATACAACCATGTCGAGTCAGTGCCTTGGAATAGATAGTAATTGGACGATTTACCGACACCGATGAAGGTGAGACTGGTGAGCACTCGCGCCTCGCATTTCCAGGGCCGTGAGTGATGAAAGCACTTATCAGCACGCCTTAGGGCTGATACTTCAGCGTTGAAGGCATCAAGAGTATCTATAAAGCGTGACTGCGTCCTGCATGTTCCTGGACTGTTACGTGCATTGTGCAGTCCAGGCACAACCGGCAAGATGTCGCGTGTGTTGATGTAGAAGCATGGAGGTTAGCAGTCATTTGAAGTTCGTGGGGGCAAACCCCATCCAATTCGTCTAAGTCCACTCGCGCAATATCGGCGAACCGCATATCTCATCCTCCGTAATCTGTCCTCTAAAATTGAAGCGTGTCAAAATCTTCACCTATAATCTGCTGATCATCGTTTGCGGGAGGTTTTCATTCTTTGATATGATTGTTTTTATTTTCATTCTCTTTCACAAGCCAATCCAACAGTGTTGGAATTTCTTGATTCAAAATCAAGCCCTCTTGGCTTAGTGGTAAAGCGTATCACTAGTATTACCTTATGATGCTATGATAAGATCGCTAGTTCGATTCTGGCAGAGGGCATATTTTTTATTGTCATGCAGTCCCTCAGCTGCTCTATTCTGGATATGCTGTATGCACCTAATAAGCAACCAACCTGTATTTTTGACCATTCACGGATGACTGGCACTTCAGCAACGATGACAAGTCTCTACGACAGGTGAATAAATTAGTGTGTGTTTTGTGAAATGGTGTATTCTACATGTGTATATCGTCCGGGGATGTCCCGAACGCTACTGGTGTGGTATGCTGTCCGAACGCCTACAATGCCATGCTTAACACTACCTAAACGCCTCACGAATGCTACCTAATCTCATAGATCTAGTCCTTGTCCCAGCCATTCTCCTGATGACACTTGACCTGCACAATCTCCGTCTTTCCCTTGTGATCTACCACAAGCCCCGTCAACTTGCCCCCACTAACACACCCACTGTCCAGTCCAAACGTGAACTCCTGCAAGTTCAAACCCTTCTTCCTGTTATGCCCATATACAACACTCAAGCGCTCGTGCTCTTCTTTCCTCTTCTGTTGATGATTCCAGAACTTCTCCCATGGTGTGCCATCGTGCTTCGAGCTGGGGATGCGTGTCTTGAGATCGATGGTGCGCATGTTCATGACGTGGAAGGGATCTTGTTGCTCAAGAGGTATGTTTGGAACGAGGCCGGCGTGGACGACTGCGAATTCGCCGAGGTTGGGAACGTTGCCTATACGTAGAATGACAGGGCATTCCTGAAGGTATGCAATCTGGTGCTTGGAAAAGGACTTGGCGAGTTTGCGAAGCGCGTAGTCGCCGTGACTGTGTGATGCTTCGTCGAGGAAGTCTGTCTTGCGGTCGGGGGACTCGTCGGGACCTGGGAGTGTGTCGAGGTGGCGTGCCTCAGACTCGGCGATGCTGAGGAGGAGTTTGTCTTCCCAGTTGCCGCGCACACAGGACGCGCCGAGCTTCTCAGCCAGCGAGATGACGCCCGGCGAGTCGGGGCCCTTTGCGATCATGTCGCCGGTCAAGACGAGATGGTCATGCTTCTTGTTAAAGTCAACCTTCTTCAGCAAGTGCTCCAACTCCTCCCTGCATCCATGGACATCGCCGACAAAGACTAGCCTGTGCCCCTTCTTAGGTATGTGTTGGCTGTCCATGTCCCTGACCTGAATCATGCTCTTGAACTCTGGGCGCACATTGCTCCCGTAGCTCATTGTTGGTGTCTCATCCATATCCTTCAATTCCTGTAGCTGCGCGGCGTATCGTGGTCCAAAGTATGCTTTCCAGCTTACAAGGAACAGGAATGCGAATGCGAGAACTATGACGACACAGCGCTGTAATTTGCGAGGAACGCGGTTCGATGTTTGCGTGATCAGTGCCTGCCACTTTGGGTGTATGAGTTGGTCGTCTTCTTTGCTGTAGAAGTCGTCTTCTTCGTCAGAAGCATCGACGTCATCGTGGTGCGCAGGTATGAGGTCGATCAGTGGGCGATGCTGCGCGTGCGGGTAATCGCGGTACGACATCGCAGCTGCAGAAGACCCTGAAGGAAAATACGATGTTCCGTTGTAAGAAGACACTAATGATTTCTGAGACGTGTATGAGGGTGCTGTACGATGCTGAGAAGCGTTATGGAATCTGGAAGTTGTTCGTGTCGAAGGTCGCTGCCGTGTGGTCCTGGCTACGCCGATGGAGTGCTCATCTGCGCCTGCCTGTATTTGCGACCGTTGCGATTGTTGTTGTGTTCGACGAGTGTGATTGCTGCGACTTGAGTTGAAGACTTGGAAAGGTGCATCATCCTCATCTCCGGCCTGACGCGCAAGCCCAAAACTTTGAGCGCGTGCCCCCTGCGATCTGGGGGTTTCGTACACCATCCTAGCCTGGCGCGGTTGGTGGCGTAGATCCTCTCGGAATGATCGGAACTATCAAGCTTGGCAGGCCGCCTTATGGGGCTGTTGGAGGCTGTTGCTGAATCGGGACTGTCGAAATGACGATGAGGGTGGTTTTGGTGGATGAACAAAAGTCATTGTGCATCGTGGGCTGAGTATTCCTGCCATCTTGTGGAGGGTGCCTGCCCGAGGTGAATGTGAACCGGAGAGGTAGGCGCAAGCACCGAAGCTACACGGCCACACCGCGCCTTGATGATCAGTCAACCCTGCTCGTCGCAGTCTTCGACTTGAGACTCGAAAACAGCATTGCAAGAACTCAAGATCCTCAATACGGTCGCATTGAGATCCAGTCTCTACAGCACTATGTCTTCCTCCACTTGCTACAACATCGTAGTCTTCGGCGAACCCAGCGTAGGAAAGACATGTTTCATCGACCAATTCTGCTACGGCAGATCGTTCGTCATCTACGACCCCGACAATAGCGTACTCTCACACAAGATAGTTGTGGATGGTGAAGCCTCGGATCTAACTCTCATGGATCTAAGCACCTCGTTTCTCAAGCCGGAGCACGCAATGCAATACACCGAGTGGGCGGAGAAGATGCTTGCTGAAGCGGATGGCATTGTCCTTCTATATGATGTTACGAGCTTGGCGAGTTTCGAGTATGTCATTGATCAGGCGTACAAGTTTCTTTGGGGGTGTCGTAGGTTGAAGAGTGAGAGTGATGAAGAGGATGGTGGGGGCGAGCGTGGGAGTTTTGGGTGTGTGCTCGTTGGGAATAAGCTTGACCTTGTAGATGCTGGGAAAGAGAGTAAAGCAGTCGGCCGGACTCTAGCGGAAGAGTGGGCGCAATCTCAGGGTATCAGGAGCATCGAGATGGTCTCACTTGAAAGAGAAGGACCGGAGAGTGCGCTCAAGCTGTTGGTGGAGAATATCAAGAAGGTTGAAAGGCTGGAGGGGAGAGGTAAAGGAAAGCTTGAAGAAGAGACGAAAGCAAAGAAGAGCTCGATTCGAAATACGCTGAAGGAGGCCTTCAAGTTGTCCAACGCCTGATCGGATATGTCAGACCTTGGAGGTACTCAGTCATGATCCGTCTTCGTCGTGATCGGATCCCACTCCTCCAACAACTTGAGGGTGTCATCAATCTTCTCCCGGATACCTCTCGAACAGTCTGAACCAAGCGCCACACGAATCGGAACCTCTTTTCCCTCAGCAGCGCCGCTCTTCGTCAGGATATCAACTATCACCCTGGAGCCCTTCACGATGTCACCCGGCTGGTTGTTGTCGATCTCGTCTAACCTTGCCCTGATCTTACCAACGGCTGTCGCGTCGTACTCCTTAATCCTCTTCTCGCTCTTGATTTGGCTGCCCGCATTGAGGAAGCCAGTGCGGAAGTACCCCGGCTCCACCACGGTCACAGCAATACCCAGCGGGGCAAGCTCAGCGCTCATAGCCTCGGAGATGCCACTACACGCCCACTTGGTGCCAGAATACAGACCAAAGCCTGCACCGCCACGCCAGGAGCCAACACTGCCGAAGTTGGAGATGGTGCGGTGGCCAGAGGTGGCGCGGAGGTAGGGCAGGAAGGCCTTGGAAACGTTGAGCATGCCGAAGACGTTGGTATTGAATTGATTGAAGTCTTCTTGGGGCCTGAAAAGATTAATATTGCGCTCCACAGTACCTCTAGGGTTATTTATCACTTACGAGGTCTCTTCGACTGCACCGACTAGGATGTAGCCAGCTGCATTGACTAAGTGATTGATATACCCATACTGCTCGTTTGCTGCCTTCGCAACCTTCTCGATTTCTGCTTGTGGCGCCGTCACGTCAAGTGTCACGGTCACGGCCCCCTTCTCTTTCAGGTCGGCGATGCGCGACGTGCTGCGCGCGCTGGCGATGACCTTGTGGCCTCTCTCGAGAGCCTCCAGAGCCATGAACTTGCCGAAGCCACTCGAGGCCGCAGTGATGAACCAGACTGGAGTCTGCGAAGTCATGATCGGCGTGTTGGTGATACAGTACTGGTCTGTTGGATAGTATAGGATGATTTGGATCAAGGAAAAGGCTAGTCTGCTCTAGGATGGAAGGTGCACTGGTGTTCAGAAGAAAGTGCGCTTTGCGTTTACCAGTGTGCCTTTATAGCATCTTCTCGCTTTCACACACTTTTGTCGCCGGTTCTATGCCCGATGATTTGACATACCTCAAGTCCAGAGTACCTGACCCCCGGATTGTCCAGAACTGCAACATGTATGAACTAACCGGTCTTGCACCAGACATTTGACCGCAGATACCACTCTCTCGATCGGTCGTAAGCACCTTGATTTCAACATGTATATCGAACTTGCTGACTGGATCCGCATTTTTTCGGAGTAATCTGACAATGCAGCTTGTGCCTTCTTGTCATGTCCATGTTGTGGTTGATGTTTGGTCGAGCTCAGGCGAAAAGTGGGGGCTAGCGCAGATCAAAGTGCAGGAGCACCGATGGCTTTCGGTGAACAGCCACACTGTCGCAAGTACACAATACTCGTAATTACGAACACGCATCCGTGCGAAATGTAGATCTGCTGCCTCCAGCACACTCATGCTGACACTGCGACGCTCTCCACTCATCTGATCATGTCCGCCGTCGCACCAAGACGTGTGGCGTAGTAGCTCCCAGACACGTCAGAACGACACGCACATAACCTGCATCTACCCATTTCGATTGGATGCTCATCCTGGATCTTTTGATACGCACTGTAAGCCTACACGATGGCCGAGCTATCGCAAGCGATCATTCCCAGTCTGCAAGCCATTGCGCTTGTAGCACCAAGTCTCTACACAGGTACGCTCTGGGTCTCCGACCTTGCGATTGTTACTGACATGCTCCCAGGTCTGACATTTACCTACAGCCATGTCGTGATCCCGCCATTGACCACTCACGCGCCGCCAAAGCTGCTCGCAAAGCAATGGCTGCAAGCCTACCAGTTCGCGCCCATATTTGTTGCACCTCTCATCCTTCTCGGCGCCTTCAGCAACGCGCTGCTAGCTTACTTAGCCGCGGGATCCCCGTCGCACGCGTCCTCGCTCTACGCCGTAGCCGCTGTTGCGATTGCCAGCATCATCCCTTACACTGCGCTGTACATGGAGCCAGGGGTCAATGGGGCTGGCAAGTGGAAGGCACAGGAGCTGTTGCGCGGCGAGTTCGAGTTGAAGAGCGAAGGTCAGGGCACGAATAAGGATACAGCGAGAGCGAGCTGGAAGAGGTGGGCGGAGAGTGCGGATATGAAGATCATTGCGGAGTTGTGGGCGAAGACAAACGCGTGGCGGTACATTATTACTGGAGTTTCCACTATCATCAGTGCGACTGCTACAGTCATCAGATATTGACGCCTCGTAGACTTCCAACGCCGCAGACTACACACTGCCAAGGATGAAGCGAATTGCTCAATCGGCTAAAGTGCGGCTGGGCGCTGTCTGCCTGTCAGGCATCTAGGCAGCCCCTGATATGGCAACCGCATAGAGAGCGCGATATAAAGTGCAGCTCTTCACAATATTTCCTCAGATAACGACGATTTCAGTATCCCGCTCAAGACCTCAACTCATTATGACAAACCCACCGTGGCAGCGACTTACTCGCGACCAGCTTGCCACCGTCATTGGTGACTACTACAAGTTCCTAACAAGGTTCTACATTCCGGAGTCAGCACTCAAGTTCCCGCCTCCAGGCGGGTGGCCCAATATCTCTCCAGAGACCACGAAAGGCTTCCCGAGATCACCAATTGTGATTGATCTCCTCAGGCGTTTGCCTTACATCGATGAGGGGGATGCCGGAACCATGACAACCAACATTCACTACAAGAGTGATGTTGTAGATTACTCGACGTGGGAACCACATCAATGGGCAGAGGACGACCAGTCGGGAGCGTTATCCGTGCAACAGTGGGTTGAAGAACTGGAGGAGAGAAAGAGAGATAAACCCAAAGACGAAGAAGAAGAGGAAGGGTATCTGTGGTATCAGGATGAGGGCAGAGACAAGGATGCCGACGATGAAGAGAATTGGTTCGATGGTGACGACCCAGAAGACATCAAGCTGGAGCACATGATCGTTATAGCCGATGGGTACGAAAGTGGTGGCCGCGCTATTGTGCTTGACGTGGTCAAGGGCAATATTTACGAAGACATACTGGCATGCAGCGGCCTGAAGAGCGAGATGGCGGTCGAGGACTACTTTGACGATCTCAAGACCAAATTTGAGAAGCTAGAGATGGTTCCAGTGCCTGGACTTGGGCATCACGAGGGCACGCTTTACGGCGACATTGAGGGCGTACCCGAAGTACATGAATTCGACAAGTCATTCACTGCAGACGACAAAGACGCCGCGCAGCAATACAAGAAGATCTACCAGAGCTTTGGTTGGCCTGGCGAGACGTATAGAAAAGAGGAGGCTCTGGCAGCGATCAGGGCACATGCACAGCGCAGGTCCGAGGCGGAGGAAACAGCGTCGTCGTGAAAGAAAGAATAATCCCTCGCGACTGTAATCCGGGCGATCAGTCTGTTCACCATGTCCTACTCTACCTGGAAGTCATCACCTTCCGCCAGTGCGAAACATGGGAAGGCAGGATCTCAGGCAGTTAGTGACGAAGTTCAGAAGACGGCTGATTGTTGCACGACCCCGCAGTCTCACAGCCTATTGCAGAAAGAACCAACCTCACCAGTCGCCTGCAGGGCGCCTGAAGTACTCGCCATTATACTGCTGCCGCAACAAGCTATTGTTACCAGCTTGTAGAGCTGTCTTCTCCATTCCATACAAATTCATTATGCTTTTCTCCGCGTTTCGTCTTTCAGCCTACCTCTTCTCAACATGTGCACTACTCACCAAGACCACCTTTGCGGCACACCACACTTACGAAGTCCCCCTTTACAACGACCTCGCGTACCAACGCTACAACATCACCATCGCACTCGGCACACCCCCTCAACCCTTCTCCCTTCTCTTCGACACCGGCTCAACAGACATATGGGTCCCCCAGCCCAACTCCTCAGGCTGCGCCCCCACCTGTCCTCCAAGCTTCTCATTCGACGTCACAGCCTCCTCAACTCTTACCAGAACTCACGTCCCCTTCGACGCGCGCTACGGCCTCACACCCGACCTCGCAGTCATCGGCGAGTACTACAACGACAGCCTCTCCATCGCTGGCCTCCCGCCCATCGCCAATATGCAGTTCGCTGTCGGTAACCTCCCAAGGCTCCTGTGGGTGCAAGGAAATCGCGGGATCTTTGGCTTAGGGACAAGGTTTAGTGAGTCCGTATACGCGAGCCCCACATCTCCGTATCGTGGGGATTTGAGCAAGACGTATACGCCGTTATGGGAGAGAATTGCGTTTGCTTCGCGTAAGGGGGAAAGGCAGTTTAGTGTTTGGCTCAATGCACAGGGTAAGGGCAAAGGGTCTGTGCAGTTTGGTGGCGAGGATCGGGGGAAGTATCAGGGTGAGTTGGCTGGGGTGCCGATTAATTTGGCTATAGAGGGGGCGGTGAGGGGATGGAACGTTAATTTGACGGGTGTCGTTAGGGTTGGTGGTGGAGAATATGGGAAAGAGATGAGGAAGAGGTTGACGGAGGAGAGTCATAGTGTGGGGTTTACGCTCGATACGGGGAGTCCGAATATGTACGTTCCGACCTCGCTGTACGAAGGTATCGTGGAAGGTCTCAATGCTACGGAAATCATCAACGGTGCGCCGTACGTTCCTTGCTCGCTTCGATCTTCAGCAACTGGCTCCTTGGACTTCGAGTTCGCCACGCGTATGAGGGGACAGGAAGCGAGGGTTCGGGTTCTATATAGCGAAATCATCTATCCACCAGGCTTTCCTGTTACTGTTCCGCCAGTCAAGGATTGGAATGGTGAGAAGATGTGTTACTTTGGCGTTGTGCCGAACGATGGGCCTGTGAGGTTGCTGGGCGCGACATTTTTGAGGAGTGCGTATGTGGTCTTTGATGCGGATGAGAAAGAGTTAAGGATAGCGCAGGCAAAATGGAGTGACCTGGGGGAAGGTTCTGAGCTGTAGGAGGTATTCGCCGTTGTGTCTCAGTGCGCTTCCAGAGCAATAACCCCTGTGGGTGAACACGCCGCACCGTATGAATATCTCCTTTGTTCGTACGTCGTACAGTGGAACATCACTGATTTCATATATCCCTCTTCTGGTAATTTCAAGTCAACTTATCACCTCCAACAATACTTGCCTCGACCCTGAACATGGCGTTGCCGCTCTACTTCTTCCTAGACCACGAGCCATACTTCGGCGAAGCACCAACATTGTTTCCCATACCCATCTTTGCATACAGCATTGACGTCATCGCGAGAATGCTCAGCAAGCTTATTAAGGCATTTTCTTCGCCAAGGTCCCGGCGCGTCGATCACCACGCAGTTCCAGCTTTCTACGCCATGAACGCTGAAGTGGCTGAGCATCCTTTTTTCTGGTGCTGGTACATTGAGACACATGTCTACGAGCTACAGTACGCTGGTACAATACACGATTGACTATTACTACTTCTGAAAGTCACTGAATACCGGTCGTGGTCCGATGATAACGATATTCCGATTTTGTTAACGCGGCTTCGTATGCACAACAAGAGCATCGACTTTCGTCAAACAGCGCCCAAGAAGGACCTACAGGTTGTGGTCTCTAATTTTTACCGCCACGAAAGACTTGAGGTCATTTCCCAACGCGCTAAGCGGCTCGATGGAGAGTCCAAAGTAATTGCCAGGGGCTTGGTGGTACTGGACGTTAGCGACTTTCAGCAAAATAATCCGGACTGCGCAATCTGCACAGAGCAATACGGTGTTGGGGGTGACAATTGTGACCACGAGCCTGTCATGACAGCATGCAAGCATACGTTCGGACACGAGTGCATACTCAAATGGCTCTCCGAGCACGAGACGTATCCTATGTGTTGGCAGAAATTGATTTGACAGTACAAGACAACAGATATGGAGATCAATGGGATGGCTGTGGATTGGGATGGAGCACATTGAGTGCTCGTTGAATTGGTATCGTTGTGACTATCTAATTTCTGTACCATGCCGTCGTCCGCACTGGCGCGATGCGCATAGTATGCTTCAATGAATAACTTTTGTTTAAAAAAAAACTATGTCTTGCCAAGCTACGCCTGCATAGCAGTCCCTCAGGGCAATGCATTAAAAATTGTATGTGTAAAGTTGGTGTCGTGAAGAGAAGTAATGCTCTACTGTCGAGGCGTCGATCCAAGTAACCGGCCGAGACTCCCGTTGGCAGGCGACAATGATGGGACCGGCGATTTCGCATACATGATTTCGCCTTCGATGGTACTCATGGACGTCCTAGAGACGGGCGGCGCCTTGTGCCAATACTGCTTGGGACTTGAAGGGCCGGTCATGGGCATGACGAGGTCGATGGATTTTGATGCGTACGATGAGCCGTGGGTCCTGCGTGGTAGTGGTCGGTTGTTGGAGGGTTGGGTGTATGGTGTGTACGGGAGTGAGAAGCTATACGACGACGCAGGGGTATGCGACAGGGAAGGTGCTGCACTAAAGTTGGCCGAGGAGGTTGATGCGCGCTCATAACGGGGACGGATTGGTCGGACAGTGTCATTGCCATTGGATATGTTCTGAAATTGGCGAAGGTAGTTGGAGGCATCAGAGTCCGAGCGGTGGTAGTCATCATCTACTGAGCCTTCTGAAGAGGCATACGAGTTGCGCTTGGAGTGGGACTGGGTAGGCGAGCGTTGCGGGATGATGTCAGGGAAGTGGAGGTCGTCAAATGTGAAGTTGGCGAAGGGTGTGGTTGGTGGTGAGTAGTCGTAATATGCCAAGCACTTCTCAGCGTCCTTCTTCTTGCAGCTAGACAAATGTCAGTACACAAGATCATGGAAGTATCACAACATGAGTCCTGCTTACCTCTCCGAGCAGTACAACACCGAGTTACTTGGAACGATGATTTGCTTTTCGCAGACAGTACTACAACTAATGTCAGTTTATGTTGGCAGCATCACGATTCATGTCGACAAACCAGTAGTTCAGGAAGCTCACAGCCATCGGATCCTCGTCTTCGTCTTCAACCACTTCCCGGTGCTGAACGGCGTGCGAATTGGCTTTCCTTCCGTGGGAACCTGAACGTTTCGATGAAGGGGCAGGCCTTGAAGTCCTTGCGTAGGTTGAATGCGCCTTTTTAGAGTGATGCGATGGGTGGCGGGCGTGATGCGTAGCCATGTTGAGGTAGGATGTATATTGATTAAAAGCCTCACTTGACTCAAAATCGCGCACGGTTCGTCGTGATGCGCAATTGCTACGAGCTGAGAATCACGAAGAAGCGGTAAGTGCACAGCCCTTGGAAGTGCAGATGACGGAAGGACGTGCGTCTTTGTTTAGAATCGTTATCTTCGATCTTCCTGCAGCCTATGAATTAGCACAGGGCCAGATTTCGGTAATGGAATCTCATAGATAACACGAGGCATGAACGGTTCCTTCCCGCATCAACGGAACCGTTGTGACACGAAGAATGTGTAAAGAAAGCAGCACTTACAGTGACGTTTGATAAGGGGTGCAACAGCGACCTCGGGGGCTTCGAAGGGAGGCTATCGACAGCAAGAACCGTGCAGTAGCGCTGCCGTTCCGATCGTCTGAGCGATAAGAACTTCGAGGATCAAGGAATAATGCCGAGGGTTGCCAGTAGGTGTACGGTTGTTTGCGGCTACAGCTATATGAGGAGATAACAACTATCGTGAATCGTGAGCGGCAGGCGGGTGTATTAAGTAGCTGAAGGATTGTGTGGGTACTGAATTCTAGAACGCTGTTGACGACAACGGCCTACTAATTTTATGGAGTTATCGTGCGCGTGGAGGTGATGATACGCGATTCGCACGCCATCTCCAAGCGTTCGGCTGACTCTTCGCTGCCTGCACCCCACATCGCATCCACCACGGTGCCTCCCTTATTGCAGCAGACCAACTCAGAATTTTTCCTGCAAGACAGCAAGGGAACAGGCTCACAAAGGGCGAATCCAACAGGGTGATCTGCATGGAGTAAAGCCGCTGCAGAGACAGGCGAATCGCAACCATGAGTGCTTGCACGGAACGGCCCCGATCTGACAAGGCCCACGTTCCGCAACTCTGATGCAAATCTGGTCGCAAGGTACAACAGACTGCGGGTACCAAGGTATTCTGTGCGACTGTCCATTCAGGTGTCTGTTACTCCTTGAAAGCGATCACGTCTTGTATCACGATCTTTGCTGCGACAATGAGCATTGATGGCGAATGTGTCCGTGTCACAGATTACCTCTTTGGGGATACCGTCGTAGCTTCCGCTCAGGTAAGAGAAACTCCGGCTGGACATCCGACCTTGAGAACGTGCACACCGCGCAGGAGAGTTCACCAGTCGGAAACATATGCCTCATCCGAAAGCTTGATAGTGTGTGCCTTCGTCGTTGCAGATGCATCTGTGTGGACAAATCGCTGGACAACCCGAGGTTCCTGAACGTAAAAACGCCCTGCGTTTCGACCAATGAAAGATCGCAGCCAGACCACTCAACATCTCACGATCCCGCATAAGAAACTTGAGCACCCTGGACTTGAGACATTGCTGCGTGCAGTATTACAGGTATGCTACAGGTCGCAAACTTTAGTCTAGACCAACACGTTGGTTAGAAGGAAAAGTCTGTGCCTGGGCGATCAGACAGCGAATGGGTCATTACGAGCTGCCTCGGATTTGGTGATTCGCCATATTTGGATCGGTGTTGACGTTGGATAAAAGGGTCCTGCCTGTTCAGGCTCTGGTATTGGCGGGAAGCCGAGTTGTTCAAACCTGAAACCATTCCGCCCTAGTTACCCCACAAGGTCAGCGACAACTCACAACAATGACGAAGGGGATACCCACTACACGCGTTCAGAAAGGTCTCGAATGTAGCCTCGTTGCGAATCGTTGCCGAGATCAGAATCTCAAGAGCTGAATTCAAGTCAAGAAACTCGTTCATCGTGGACACTAGGCGTGGAATGACGGTCTTATCATAGGTCTGCTCATGTGTTAAGGTCAGGCTTCCCTGGCGAGCGATCATGACGATACACTTACGACGTCTGCACCGAGCAGGACATTCGGCACTTCCATTCCATAGTCCTCAGAGAATGCCATTGCATCGACTGGCCAACCCCATTTGAGGGCTGCTGTTCGAACTTGACACCCCTCCAGACTATCAACATCCAGTCCGTTGAGGAACAGGTTGGTTTTGATGGCGTCGACAACAGCCTCATCACCATCGGTAGCAACAACGCCAGACGCCCCAAGGTGCTTTGCGCAAAGAATAGAGATGACGCCGGTGCCCGCACCCAACTCGAACACCCTCTTTCCCTTGATCATTCTTCGGCCATCATCGGTGGTCAGATACGACCCTAGTAACAACGCTGCTTCCCAGGTTCTGAGTCCGGTCGTGCCGGACCCTGAGATGACAGATCGAGCTTCGAGAAGTGTGACTGCCTGCTCTTCCGAGGTGCTGTCGTCAGCTGAGTGGAGTGGATACGAGTATGTCACGAAGGCCTTTTGTTGAGCGGAGTCGGCCTCGGAGGGTACGTTGGACGTGAGTAACGTTGCCATTGCAGACATGAGGTCATCTGAAATCTCCTGCATGTTGTGAAAGCCAGCGGTCAGCAGCTGAAGATGAAGTAAAATCTGTATATTTTCGAGCAATTGAGGCATAGTATTTGGACGGACAGTATTGAGAGCTGCGTAGAGCGAAGCAGGCCGCAAACATATCGAAATGACAAGTTGAAGAAATAGGAAACCGTACATCCTCCTCTGGGTCGACGATCGACCGCTCTAGCTTAGCAATGAGAAGCTTCAGGACTCTGAGCTGGTAACGTTCTGGTGGAGGTGATTTGACGCTGCCCTCATCAAACATGTGCAGGAACATCCAGGACTGCACTTCAGGGCTCTTCAAGACCTGTGCATCTGGCCATCTCAACTGTAATGGATCTACCAGCTGGAGGTACTGGCGCTGCAAAATTTGTAGCTGCGCCAACCTATCTGATACGATACTCATATTTGCAGCTTTAATGCACGTCGTTAAGTCGAGTAAGAGATCACGATAAACGCAAAGTGGGTGATGAGGGGTACCTGCCAAATTCGATGTTCGCAGTTGAGGCGGCGGAAGGTGCGTTTAGCGCCGCCAAGCTCTGCCCTAAGCGAGAACGCACCTGCCCTCAGCCAGAATTTCGCGATCCCAGAACGACGACAGCCTCCTGCGTTACTAACACAGCCCATCGACAACAGAAGGTTCGATTCCGTCAAGTACGTCCAAGCGAACCTCTGCATCGCCGTCGCACCTTCCCTTCGGACACTGACAATTCCGCCTCAGGTCGAAAGTCCAACCTCCAACATGGCCGATTCTCAGGTTACTCTGCGCACGCGCAAGTTCATCCGCAACCCCCTCCTCGGACGTCGCCAGATGGTCGTGTAAGTGCAGAGCGCACCGGATATACAATTGCGAAGGACAGGCTCTGACATTGCTGTGTAGCGATGTCCTCCACCCCAACCGCGCCAACGTCTCCAAGGACGAGCTCCGTGGCAAGCTCGGTGAGCTCTACAAGGCCAAGAAGGACGATGTCTCCGTCTTCGGCTTCAAGACACACTTCGGTGGTGGCAAGAGCACCGGCTTCGCCCTCATCTACGACTCCGCCGAGGCCATGAAGAAGTTCGAGCCCCGCTACAGGCTCGTCAGATACGGCATGGCCACCAAGGTCGAGAAGGCCTCCAGGCAGCAGCGTACGTTACAATCGATCATGCACACACTGTTATGCATCTGGCATAGGGTCTGGATAGTGTGGTGAAGGACACATGCTGACAGTGGTACAGGCAAGCAGCGCAAGAACAGGATGAAGGAGTTCCGGGGCACAGCCAAGACCAAGGGTGGCGCGAAGAAGGACAAGAAATAAGCGGTTTCGCTACGACAATGATCACGACGAAGGTCATGGTTGGGGTGGAGTGGCGATTCTTCTGGAACTGGTTCGCCTGGTTCTTTATCACGGTGGACATGGAGTTGCAGCGTGCATCGGCATCGTGTACATCAACTACGAACGCCTGAAAATTACTTGCGGACGGGAACGGCACTACGGATGGCGTTTGAGATTCATTGTCTGCTAACCATCAATGCATATCATGGATCTTTCGATTTTTCAAAACAACGCCACCGATACACACTTCCAGCTCTATATCGAACATCCAATATCTCGATTTTCTTTTCATTATATGTCTCGCATTGCTGTTGTCAGAACAGTCTGTCAAACTCAGGCGTACATTGACTTTCAGTAACCCCACAATGCTACGGTCGCGGCAGCAGTGTGAATGCATCTGGTACTATCAACTCTTGACAATACACGTTTTCGTGCCTGAGCGACTGGCAACTCTAATGCGCACAGCAGTCAAGTTTGGACTTACATCTACCCACCAACTCGCGGTGGTGTCAGCGATTCATACTTGCTGTCGACTTAAATGCACGTGTCACCTCCAACATACAGCGCAGCTAACAATCTAGAACAATCTGCCCAGATCAAGGGCAGATGCAACCCCGATGACTGTAATAGTAGCAACTTGCCGGACTCGCAATGGTAATTTCAGAGCAAGGGTGAGATGAGTAGGCTGCTACAACACGATTCTGATAAATCATGTTTCAGTATACATTGACAGTGTGTTCCCTAATCATAATAAAGCCACTGGCAGTTGGCAGTGGACTTTGGAGGTATTGTTTGGTAGTGCAGTCCATGGGCGACCCCACACATAGCTCTGCTTAGTCATATTACTTAGCGCGAGCTTCGAAGCTCGCTCACAAAGAAGGTACGTTTCAGCGCAGCACTCTTTGAGGTGCTCTCACCATCTCGACACCCAGGTTCTCACCTCCTACCGTTCACATATCACTATACGACTCATCATGTCGTCTTCCGTGCCGGTCCACGCGCCGCCGCCGCAGATGCCAGGCTTTCTGGTGCCTAATGACGATGCGAGAGGGCTCAAGGAAGATGTCGCAGGGCTTCTCGAGCGCGACAGCACACGCTTTCCCGGCGCTCAACCAGTATCCTTTGGCCGCGAACACCTGGCCGAGCTTCAACAACGCGAATACTTCATGTGTGAGAAAACCGACGGACTTAGAGTCCTATTGTTCTTGCACTGGTACGACAACGGATCAGGTGTACAGCCACTTACTTTTCTCATCGATCGCAAGAACAACTACTACAACGTCGAGCCCGCCATAAGAATACCATACTGGCAAAATCCAAACGATCGGGACAAGTTTCTTTTCGGCACAATACTCGACGGGGAGTTGGTACATGATCAGTATCCGGGAGAGCCGTCGCCTCGCCTCATATACTACGTCTTTGATGCATTAGCAGTGGACAACCAGAACGTCACAACCAAGGGCATGGACAAACGTCTAGGCCGTATGAAGGAGCATGTCCTGAAACCCTATAGCAAATGGCTCGACCAGAACCCCTCCCTCAACGTCCCACATCTGCAACCGTTCCGCATGAAAGAGAAACAAATGCACCAATCGTATCATCTTCAACATATCTTCAATACTATCCTTCCCAACCTCAAGCACGGCAATGATGGTCTGATCTTCACATGCAAAGACACACGCTATCAGTTCGGTACAGATCAGCACATCCTGAAATGGAAGCCTCCACATGAGAACACCATAGATTTCAAGCTACGATTGGGTGAATTCCCTCTCATCGACCCCGAAGATGGCGAGGACGGTCCTATCCCAGATTACGACGCCCTCCCCGTCCCCATTCAGCTCCTCGTTCAACACAACAACAACGACTACCGGCCCTTCGCCGTACTCGCCCTCACACCCGCCGAATGGAATACCCTGAAGTCCCTCAACCAGCGCCTCGACGGTCGAATCATCGAATGCTACCGCTCGCCCGCCGGCCAATGGAAGTACAAAGCTGAAGCAGATGGTACACCGCGGTGGCGCGACGACAAGAAGGATGCGAATCATATCAGTACTGTCAACAGCGTGCTAGCCAGCATCGAGAATCCTGTAACAGAGCTGGACTTGCTGGGCCATGAGCAGAAGATTAAGGAGGCTGTTTACCGCATTCAAGGCAGACCATTACCGACACAAACTGGCGAGGACGAAAGGGAAGCAAAGAAGAGGAAGTTCAGTGAGGCGAATGGGCAGCACTAGGATGCTAATCCCACGAGTGTTACGGATCAGGGAGAGGTATCGGGGGAGCTGGCTCGGAAACATTTTGAGAAAGATCCTTGTGTACCTCCTGAGAGCGTTGAACTCGAAGATGAGGATGAAACAGCAAAAGCAAGTGAGCGTGCGTTGGGAAGCGAGGCAGAGGCCAAGGCAGCAGCTGAGGCAGCCGCTAAAGTTAAGCAGCGCGGAGCAGAGCAACACGATTTATCGCGACACCAAACTGGGCGGCGTAAGGACGAGCAACTTGAACACATCCAGCCTGAGCCCAAGCAAGCCAGGTTCCCGCAAATTGGACCTGACAGATGTTTTCCTTCATTTGCCGAGGGCTTTGAAAGCTGGGACTCGAAAGAGTCCGACACACGAACTTTCAAGCAGGATGGCTCCAAGCAGGTTGGAATCGATCAATGTTTTACCAAAGGTGCTTCACAATCAGACAACAATAGCGTCTCCAACGCTACATCTGATCCACAGGTCGGTGAAACAGCGGACGAAGTATCTGACGGCAGCCAGTACTCTGAGGACAGCCATTACACTGATTGCAGCCAATATTCTGACGAAGCCAAAGAAGGAGACTGGTACGAAAAGCGCTATATGGAGGAAGTCGAGCGTGTGCCGCCGAACGTCAGCAAAAACCCGCCGACCTCTGCGCAAAGATGCTTTTGTAAGAATTGAGTCGAGACGCTACAAAGACAAAATCTCGAAACTGAAAGGGTGACTCGGTACTAGCGCCATGTATCGAGGCTTCACCAGCGAGAAGGGCATGAGCTTAGGAAAGATCATTCTAAAAACAGGCGGCGTAATTCGGGCACGTTTGCTTGGTTGTGGGCGCATTGGGTTCGATATTGGTACAAAGGCGTTTATACATTTCAGGTGCACGATATGATACCCAAGGTAGTAGATAGACCATTCAGGAAGTAAAGGAACGGATTGTAGTTCTGAAATTACCCACATTACACAGACTCTCAAATAGCTACCGCCAACCATATGTCGCTTCAGCGAAGCAGGATTGTGTGACATGCCGTACGTGAGCAAGAGGAAGGGAAGGGTGTTGTTACTGACAGAAGGAGCATGGTGAGTTGTGGGTAGCAAGCAGCATCATTCGAGCAACAGAATCATGGAAGATGGTGCAGAAGCAGCAACGTCAGCGAGAACAATAGTGGGGAGACCAGGATGGGGGGAACCAGAACGTGGAGCATCGTGAGGTGTTCCCGGCGAAGCGTACTGTTCGCGCCATGTCTCAGGACATGTCCCTTGCAGGCAAGTTTCGTTGTCATTGCAAAGGCACCCTCAAATGGCCTGGTGTCTTTCAACTGCCGGTATCTCCACCATCGCTACACGTACCTCCATCTGAATTTCAGCTATGAACATCGCCGAATACAACTGATTCATGATTCTACACAGGGAACGTTTTAGTGTTATGCTACTTCACCTCCATGTGAAATGCAAAGATTCTATTGGCAGTGTATATACACCACTACCTTGCATGAGCGTACGACGAAAGCACCTAGATGGGCGAGGATCAAGTTTGTTGTACAGTCGCGGTGAAAGCGAAGAATGTGATGAGGTACATTAGTCTGATCCAGCCATGTAGATGGCTTCTGCAGATTGGATCATTATTCAGTCGACTCATCCTGGTGTATAAAGAGCAATCCAATCCGCCAGTTACTTGGGTATCACCAATTATTGATACTGCTGCAGAATTGAACAATCTCAACCAGACTACCGACCAAGTTTTTCGTCAACTTCAGTATGAAGCTCTTTTCTATTATCACTGTTCTTGCGCTCAGTCTCGCAGTTCCCGCAAAGGAGCTTGTCGTATACGACACCAAATTCAACGCTACCAGTGTCGAACACGCCAATGACACCATAACCTGTATTTCGGGTGGAGTGAGCGATCTGCAGGTTGTAAGCACTCCCCTCTTGGTTCGTGTGATCAATCTACCGATACTGACTTGATTATCAATTCGACCCAAACCTCCCCATCGACGTTAGCCCCAAGCTTGCTCGAGATGTGTGGAAGGGTTGAGAGTATTGATTGGTCTGTATTGCTATGGCGAGGATCGATCGGGACTATATGGTAGAAGGGGATAGCAGTGAAGCAAACCGAACTAACCGAATGAGCTGGACTATCAGTGCAGCGGGCCGTTGGCAAACACTGCAACGGGCCGCTGGTAGACACTGCAACGGACTGCTAGCGAACAAGATGTGATGGCCGAGCCTGTGGATAACGGAGGATTTAGGTGTACGCTCATGGGCACATACGTTATACTTTCACGCAGACATCCTCTTTGTCCGTGAACCTCATGACCAGAAGCTCCGACCTTAAGTCACCCTTCCTCTCATCAAACCAGTACAATATTCCAAGCTGACTGACCGAGCTGTCGTTGCTTCACTTATTGCTGGGCGCGCGGATACTGCAATGCTTCTTGTTGCAACGGGTGCTGCCAGTGCTCTCGCCGAAGATGCTGAATACCAAGCTACCTGGATTTAGAGTAGACTCGGAAGAAACACTGAAAGGGAAGTTGGAAGAACAGCACTGATAGCAACGTGTGTCGAACCCAACTGTTTGTCATTACGGACTGTTGTTAGCCACCTCGATATTACAATACACGTTTAACAAACAAGCGTCTGTGGTAGTTTTACCATGACTGAAAGATTCCACTGGCAATTTTTGGTGTAATGGAACATGGCAAACCACTTATATTTTGCACTGTATCCTGAACACGGTTCTTGCATTGTAGAAAAGCTAGCTGCTACCACGCCCAAGGCGAGCCTCCGGAGGTCTATAGGCTATCAAATACTGTTATGCACTGATTGCAAGATCCGTTGTAGACTTGTAAGATCTTATGAGGCTTCAGGTAGTGTGCAGATATTCACTCACTCATCCCTTCGCTTCTGCACAGACCCGACTCTGAAGCAACATTGTATGCAAATGTGCTATCTCTCCAATATATGAACGTTCAGTACACATAGGCTTTAGAAACAGGTGACTTTGTTCTCATATCTTTTTGTCCATAAAATGAAGGCCCACAGGCAAATGAAGAAAACATGCGTCATGCTGAGAAGAAAGGATGAGATAATCTGACAGCTCTGGTCTTGACGTACACGTACCATCCTGAGCATGGTGTAGCATTCGACTCGTGATCGGAACTCGGCAAGCAGCCTCTATCCGAACACTAGCAACTGCATGAAATGGAACCTTCCGCCCTACCTCCGACATCGAGCGGCTCATTCGGTGGATAGAACTCCCCAGGGCGCAATGAGATGTTGATCATGTATACATTTGCGTACAAAATGTACAGAATCAATATGGTCTATCTTCAGCGGGCGCATAGCGACCTTGCATATAACCGGTGGCACGATCAGGTCGTCTGCAGTCGACATTTCCGCTGTATTGGAGTCAAACCCTAAGAATCTTTGATCCGAGACAGTGGAGTTAAGCCGTAGTGGCGAAGGGAGCCCATAGACGGATGTGCGGTCTTGGGGTCGGACATGCAGAAACGAGTCGATGGTGCTTCATGTATGCGCCTGCATTGTGCCACGTGAGAGGCTTACAGGAGGGGCAGATCGTTCTTCATTGGGACCGGAACACCAAGACCGTAGTTTACCACGTTTTCCAGACCATTTCAGGAAACTTTTGTTTTGGCGCGGAGACGGTCGCAGATGGTCGCAGGGAAGGCGTTCACGGCATGTCACTTTCGCCAGGTGCCGATGGGAGATCGATGCTGATCTGAACCACCAGACCGCGGGTAAGATATCTCCTTTTAGTAGCCTTGCAATCCGGGGCATGGAGAAACGCATCGTTCGCAGATCGTCGTTGGGCTACACTACTTCTTGCAAAATGCGCTGTAGGCTAACGTTCTGATATGGCAATTACAACTCACGGCGGCGGACACCGTTCTCTAGGGAAGTGGTTGTGGCGTGCTAAATGCTGCATGCAGGTCCAGTAGTGCACGCGCATATGAGTGCCGGCTTGTGCAGGAATGGTGCCTGTGAAAACGAGGTCACACCGCAAGTTGGTGCACATCGTCGCAAGAAAGGTGTGCTTGAGAGATCGGACCGGTGGTCAAAGTCATGACTGTGTGGCTTTGACGGGCTTTTCGGCAGATGTAGAATGATGAACCGAGGGTGTTCCTGTCAGTCGATCAACATAGTCAAGTCGATACGCCCGTATTCTGTGGTGTTTGGTCCGGTCCAAGGCTTCTGGCACAAGCAGTTGCCGAGCTATTTTGACACACCTCTTGACACCATCTCCAAGTGTTTCATGTGTCAGGTCGTGGTGACAGGAGCGGCGCAGCCTCCGACGTGACCTGTGGAGGAAGTCACACTCCTCTGAGTTCAGACTTCTTGGCCTGCCGGAACAAGACCGCAGATGTAGAAGCGATCGCCATACGCTGTTTGGTACTCGGTAGAAGAGCTGCGGGTAAATGCAGGTAGCGAAGGAAGCTTGGTGTCGTAGTTCTTGGCTAGTGTTGCACATTGCTCAATACAACAAGCTACCCCTTTTTGCAGCACTCTCACCTGCGGTTTTGCTCGTTACGTCACTTGGGCATGAGAGTGGACGATGTAATGAGCGTGCCCTAGGAGATTTTTCGATAGGGTCTTTCGAGAAGGAGTGGAGAACCCGCTGGGCTACTAAACGGAAATATCCTCAAAGGTCACGTCACTGTGCGGTGTTGGCATGGAAACTTCTCGTGCTTTGACGGTGTCAAATGGCGGTTTCGCGTGGCTGCACTAGATGAGAGCGAACCAAGGCAGAACGACAACCGCCAGTAATGCTATCAAGACACAGCCGTAACACTGTATTTGCGCCACGGGTATATCAAGACGTTGAAACGCTAGTTGCGAAGTCCGATCGAGAGTTGCCGTTTGTTTCGTAAGACAAGGCTTTTGGATATCTTGCGGTGTTGCAATGAGCCACTAAGAATGCCAATTCTCTTCACTAGGAACGAGATTTGGCCAAGAAGACGAAGCGGAATGTTTTCGGAGCAAGTCTCGCAGAGCGTCTGTGTCCGTTACGCTGTCGGTTGACATCCGTAAGTCATACAAAAAGGAGAGGTCCAAACATAGTAGCATTTTGAGAGTAGTCGAGGGCCCCACCAGCGAACGCGGTAGCGCAATTCAGGCAGAGCACCGGAGCCTATCCACTAACGTCTGCGACGTCGAAGAATTGGAGAATAGTTGCACATGTAACTCGAGACGCGTAACAGCAAGTCGACAAGATTGACACACGAGGGCATTTCGGTATGTGGAGAAGAAGGGACGTGATGCTCGCATCCACCCGCAAATCAGGGTTCGTGAAGCCCGATGGAGCATCCAGAATTCAACGTTGCTCCAAGGTTGATCCCGAGATCCGAAACACAGAATGGGGGATCTTGTTCGAATATTAGTGAGGGATTCTTCCCCGTCTACGTCCAGACCCACCGCGACATCTGTAACACACGTGGCTGCACGTTTGTGCAAGGCGCGACCTTGAACAAGCCAACGAGTACCAGACGTTGTTGACCAAGGTCCAAGTCTTATGTGACGACGGATATGGACTGCCGGAAGCATAATCCATTCTCCTAGACTTGTAGCTGCGATGAGCCAGGTCGAATGGGAAGGATTCATCGTGTGCAGTGCAAGCTGAAGGAAAGCCTGTGGCCAATGACCGTTGGGTGTCCTCAGGAGCAATGCCTCTTTGCATGAAGGACGAAGTTGTGTAAGTCGGGATACCTGGCGTAAGAGTACGAGAACCCTATACAGTGACCGGAATCTTCCAGCGGTTGCAGATCTCGAGATCATCGACAGGAATCGGGATGATCGTTGAGTGCCGAAGATCCAAGTTGTCCCAGCCCCATCAAGTCGTCAGCATTTTTGCCATGCTTCATGCAACCGCGTGGCTGCCATGTGCGTCGATTGCGCAAATTCCCGCATGGGCCGAGGAGCCTGGCGAGTGGCAATGCAACAACGTATTTTTCAAGTGTCTGAGTGCAAAACATATGCGCGAATTAGCAGCTTGAACAGCTGTACCGAGTTCAACAAACCCAGGCAGGAAACTGCTTTTCTTCAGGGTTACTTGTGTGTCGGTAGAAGGGCATGCCTGCGTGTGAACTCGGTCCATTACCCTTTGAAGAAATAAGGTTTGGATAGGCTAGTCTTTTGTCGAGGATCGTCCTGCTGCAGAGCACGCGCTCGCGTGAACGTCGCTTCACATTACTCCAGAGGCACAGAACAACCTGCTCCAGTTGATTCGTGAGAGCTGCATGCAGTTCCGGCAGAGGTATTTGAGAGTTGGTCCTGTGCAATCTCTGCAGTGCACCAGTCGGTCCCGAACTTTATGTCCGGAAGACTGACTCGACACATTGCAAAGGGCAGACATTGGGCCGCGGCGTGAGAAGGGCACAAATGAGGGCTGCAACAAGTCCGTCGTTGAATCGTCTGGTGGATGGAAGGGCGGTAGCAGCTTCTAGCGGCCGTGGGTGCATGCTGCTCGCGTCCATTAGAGTGCCAATGTCTAGTCATGGAAGTTGTGCCGGGCATCAGGTCGAAAGACAACAGTCGTGCTCGTTTGGCTCCTTTTCGTGACCGTTGAGTCTCTCCTAACTCTCCCCAGCCCCAGAGTTTTCGTCAAACAGCGAGCGAGCTGGGTCCCGATGCCAGCCTGCGATTTGCAAGGGAACGGCCGTCCCGCCACTCTGGGTGTCCAACGCCCGAACCGAGTCGAGCGTATCATTGCAGCCAATGAGAGCGCGTGTGGCGCAGCTGCACCTTGTCGCCATTACTCCCTATTTACTGCTGTCCTGTGCTCCGACTAACTACCTTGCTGCATGGGCGTCGGCGCCGTCGTGCCATAACAGGGCGCCGAAACAGTGCAGCATGATGCCTGCAGCCATGCCGTTCTCTGCTAGGCTTCCTGGCAAACGCAGTAGCTGCAGCCCACCTTGGTCGCAGTTGCAGGCGGAAGATATAACCAGAGCAAGCCAATCCCACCCGTCCCCACACGCATCTCTTCCTCTGCATTTTGACGTCGGTGAAGCACATCGCTGCAATCGCGCAGTTGAGTTCCATCGCAAACCCTGGTTCCCTCACTCGAATCGTGTCGGTCCGCACCACCCCGGCAAGTTGCAGAACGAGCCGGTACCTGCTTTTAACCTAAAGGTCCCACCTGGCCTGCGGGCTCTGCGCAGCGATCCTCCGTGTGCTCTATTGATGCTGAAACGACTTTGAAGCGACCAAAAGACAAGCCATTTGCCCCGGACCGGGATTCTTCCATGTCGAACGGTTTTCATGCTTCTTTATCTGGCTCTAGACGTCAAAGTGTCCCGCACCACCACCAGAAACACGACATCATTGAAGCAAACCTGCTGGAACTTGGTCTGGTGGGCCACAAGCACCAAAAGAAGAACAAGAAGAAGGTTGTCAATTTCAGATCCCCTGCAGATCACAGCGACGGTACCTGCTCCCTGAACCATTGAGACCTTGTCTGGGAGCTCAGGCCGCTCATGACTTTCCTAGGAGGATTGCGTCCTGGCTCGCGCAGCTCCAACAATACCTCGTCCACCGCCACTGCGAAGCCCTTCTTGTCACACGCGCAACGAAAGAACGTCAGCATCGACAACCAGGTACCGTTACACAGTGCCAGAGGCATGGCGGCTGTGCTCGACATCGAAAGGTCGCGTACCAGACGAGAGCGGACCTTCATAGGCAACGACTGTGCTGTGTGTGAAGAGGCGCTGGAGCACACGCTGCGAGGCGAACGCATACTGCAGCTGTCGTGTGGGCATGTGTCCCACGAAGCTTGCTTCTACGAATACATCCGCGAATTCGAAGCCAAGGAGTGTCCAACATGCAACGCTACGCTTGGGCTTGACACCAGTCGAGGAGGCAACATTGACCTCGGTATGTGTCGTCGTTGGTGATGTTGCTGAGGTATGCTGACAACAATAACAGAGAAGATAGTTCGATCAGTCCAAACCGAAGCGCCGCCGCAGAATGGCAGCCAGAGGAGCAACCAGCCCACACCGACGCCATGGGATAACCAATCGACGATACACTCCGTCAGTGGTCAGACACAAGGTCGTTCTCGCAATGGCAGCGATGCTTCAGCTCGTTTCGCACCCTCATACCACACGCGTCAACAGGACAGTAGCCATAGTCGTGAGCGCAGCTCTGACCGCGGCGGCTCCATGTCGCGCCAACATCTACGGAGCGATAGCGGTGCAACGGGTGTCGCCTCTTCACATGATTACGTGGCGGCGCAGGATGGTCGGCGACACGACTACGATGTGCAGTCGATGGAAACAAGCCTTAGCAGCCCACGTGGACTTTTGAAGAACCCAATCCCGGCGCCGACAGTAACAGTTCGAAGCGAATTTCCAACACTCAGCAGGTCGCGGCAGCAACAAAGTTTGACGTGTTTGGTGACGGTCGAGGTGGTGGAGGGGAAATGGCGGCCTGATCCTGAAGACGTGCGAGGTGCACCGCCCCTGCCTTCGATAGCAAGCGCAACCGGGAGCTCGTTTGGCCGCTCCAAATCACCAGCACGCAGCAGGCATGCCGCTTACGACTTTGACACACCATACGAGCCCGAAGAAGTCCTAGATGAAATTACCGAGGATTTGCACTCTCGTGTCGACAATTGGCATGGTCTCGACTTCTCACGCTTCGGCAAGCTGCGCCTGCACGGTCAGATTCGTGTTGGCAAGGACAGACAGTCATGGCAGGAGCTCGAATGCTACCTCTTTTCTGAGATGCTGATTTGTGTAAAAGAGAAGAAGGTTACTGCTCAGCCCCAGTGGGATGACTCAAAGGCATCCAGGTCGAAGAAGACAAAGTGCACACTAAAGGGCTCCATCTTGATCAAAAGGCACCTCAGCCAAGTCGAACACTCGCCTGATGACTTTATCCTCACCCTGAGCTTGTCAGTGGCGGAGCTGCCCTCTTTCCACCTACAGTTCCCGGACAGAAGCCAGCTGGAGCTATGGCGACGAGCCCTGATGGATATTCGTTTGGACTTCCCTATGAGCAGAGGCATGCCAGACTACGACCAGGACCTCTCTGGAACGGAAGAAGACGACTACCGAAGACCGAAGCGTGTCTCATCTGTGAACTCCTCATATGGCGCCGCTCGATCGACAATGACTGCTCCCACCGAATACACTAGCTCTCGTGCTAGTCCCCCGGAACCACGCTTGTCTGGCTCGATTCATGTACCCATCGACGTTGTCGTCGTGATTCCTGTCTCATCATCGATGCAGGGCTTGAAGATCAATCTGTTGCGAGACACCCTCAGGTTCCTCGTTCACAACCTTGGTGAGCGTGATCGCATGGGACTCGTAACATTTGGCTCAAGTGGAGGCGGCGTCCCCATTGTTAGCATGACCGGCAAAGCATGGAGAGACTGGCCTAAAGTCCTCGACTCGATTCGACCTGTAGGCCAGAAGAGTCTCCGTGCTGATGTAGTGGACGGTGCCAATGTAGCCATGGATCTCCTGATGCAACGAAAGTCGAGCAACCCTCTTTCAAGCATTCTGCTTATTAGCGATTCATCCACCTCAGATGCTGAGAGCGTTGACTTCGTGATATCTCGCGCCGAGGCTGCAAAGTAAGTACCATATTTCACACTTTTATTGGCGTTTGGCTAACTCCGTGCTCAGGGTCTCCATTCACTCATTTGGTCTCGGTCTTACTCACAAGCCTGACACTATGATCGAGTTGTCTACACGAACTAAGGCATCCTACACTTACGTAAAGGACTGGATGATGCTACGCGAGTGTGTGGCGGGATGTCTCGGGTCACTCCAGAGTACATCGCATCAGAACGTCCGGCTGAAGTTGCGTCTACCTGAGGGCTCACCTGCCAAGTTCGTCAAGATCAGTGGAGCATTGCAAATCACGAAACGAGCTACTGGAAGAGATGCCGAAGCCGCACTGGGCGACTTGCGCTTCGGCGACAAGCGAGGTATGCAATGCATCAGATCTGAAAGGTTACTTCATGTTGCTAATTATCACTAGATATCTTAGTGCAGCTTGCTATCGCTCCGGACTCAGGCTCACCGGAACAGCTTCCGCAGGACCCTTGGGAGACCATCGTTTCTGGACTGGAAGCCTTGGGCGGCCCGCTGGACCAAGATGATTCGCGCACACTTAGCGTTGAAGAAGTGCCGTTGATCCAAGCTGACCTCACATATGGCGACATCCTCAGAGAAGGGACCCTTTCACACCTGGCAAGGCCATCATTGCTTGCCATCACTCTGCTGCCTTCTGGCCCAAAGAAAGCCTCAACAGCCTTCCCACCAACACCACCTATTCCTCCTCACCCGCATGTGGTTCAGCGCCGCATGGAACTGTTAACATCCGACATGTTGACGCGAGCACTTACACTAGTTTCGCGCGGTCAACATGAACGAGCACACCATCTTTTGAAAGAGACCCGAAGTATCTTGAAGGGGCTCGGCAAAGGAGGATTACCCCCGCTACCCCCTCCAGGTCAGCGACGTCACGATGCGCCCAGCACCACTGGTAGCACCGGAACCTCGTCGCCTACGCAAAGCAGTGCTGGTGATCCTCGACCACGAACACCTTCACCACACGCTAATAGTCCATTTACCCCTGCAGCAGGCATCGATGCCAGGACTATGCACGCCCTTGACGCCGAGCTGGAGTCCAGCTTGGAGTGGATAAACCATCCTGCAGTTTTCGGCCGTGACTCGAGGAAGGCCGTATTGCAGGCGATCGGTGTCATCTCCTCACAGCGCGCATACACATTCAGGTCACCCTCAGAGTCACTTTGGGCTGAGCGTGTCCAGGGCGTCAAGCGCCTCTCTGACCGCTCGCGCGAATGGCGCGAGTCTGGCGATCAAGAAGCTCTTATGGAAGAGAACTAATTCCTCTTCTCTCCTTCGAGCGCTACGACTTTCTTGTACATGTTATATCATACTACATCATAACTCGATCCCCCATATTGCTTTGTCTTTTTATTGGATACTATACCCCTGGCGATTGGCTATCTGGGCTTTGGTCATGGTTATGACCGGTTTGGCGAATCATTGCTTCACTCAGTCTTCGACTTGACTTGATTTCATTGTCATTACGAAGGATACCACTATCAGTCGTCTGCGTTTCCTTTGCCGGACTTGGCCTGCAAAAGTTGCATTTTTGCATAGTTTCTACTCCCATCGTTATACTTAGACATCACGAGCGTTGCCACTTTTGAGCGCGTAAATACATGAACATTCTATATCATCCACTTTTACTCTAACCATGCTTAGAAGACCTGCTATCATCCACTAGATCGAATGCATCAACCCACATCAATGCGCAACAGAGATAAACACGAGGGCGCAGATCAAACCTGAGATCACCAACTTTTCAAGCGACTGCCTGTTACAGTCAACGACCACCCGCAAAAGAACCGCTGTCATGATCCATTGGGAACCCCTACCACCCAGCTGCATATGCGTCTGTGACACCAGTGCAGATGCAACAAGGTTCAGATCGCCGACAAATCGCAATCGCGCCATCTCAGTTGTGCCTTCTCCATACGGGGCCACACTGAGTAGGTTGGTTACACAGCAGCTTTTTGCGCTTCTGCTGGCGACAACACTTCGAACACGCAGAGCTTCAGACCGCTCTTCGGTATGCACGAGCGCGCTCATCCCCGAGCTCGCAATTCACTAGCTTAGGCGCGTCACCCACCTTCCAGCTGCAATGCAAAATTCAATCAATACTGCGATGATAGCGAAAAGCGCAAACGGGATCAGGTAACACAAGAGCGGACATAGCCGTCATCAGGGCATGTGCCTTGCAAGCAAGGGTCTAACAGGTGGTGGGCTGAAACGCTCCTGCCGTAGCTGACAGGCACCGTCAACAATGACGTTGTGCAACACAACTGCAGCCTTCTTCCAACGTCAATTGATGACAAAAGCAATCCTTCCACCCACGTCCCACTTCCATCACAAATCCGTTCGCATGCATCACGGTCTCTCAATTCGGCAAAATGCAGACAGCAGTGACCAGGCGTTGAAACATCAACCCCTCACGATACCCATGCCGCATCTGGTTTCGGCGGGCAGGCAGAAGATACGACATTTCCAGATTGATGGGCCTACTCAATATATCGAGCCCGAGGTTCCCGAAACTCTTAATACGCGCCTCACCTGCCTGAGACGCTGTATGTACCTGCCGTCTGCCGGAACGGCAACTACAGCTGTCACCAGCCGTCAGCTCTCCAACTAACGGCACGGAGCGCATCCGCGGTGTCACCACAGCTGTACTTGCATCTGCATCATTCTCGACTCGTCAGTGTATTCACAAGTCGCGATTGGTGTCTCGCAATTGCTTTTCCTGCACATTTGGACCTTCTCGGGGTGGGGCGATAGAAAAGCAACCGCAATGACAACCCCTGACCCAGTCGTGTTCGATCGAACAGTACAAGTCGAGACCTCACAGCATAGCGAGATGCCGGCTGCTGCCTGAGGAACCGCCGTGAAACACCAAATTCGCCGTTTGACATACCGTTACACCATGGCTTGAGGCAGAGATCTGGCCGTTCTGTCCCAACCTGCTCAATTCAGTCACACAAGCGGCGCTTGGCTCGTGGAACAGGGATATCGAAGGATTTCCGAGGCGAGACGGGCCATCGGTTCACAAGCCACAGCTAAGTACAGGACGAGACTGAGAGACAGCCAGTCGTAATGATGCGCGAACACGGTGTACGAAAATACTATACCGCTGTATACGCCAACCACCTTGATTTCCGCCCACCCTGATCCTCTGCTGAGGTTCGAGAAGAGATGGAGTCCAGCGGCTTTGGGTCTCATGCAGGGTAAAAAGAATGCCTACGCACACCTACGTCGCGGTGATGCAATAAGGTATTCCAATCATTTTCGAAGTTGGCTGTTCGCGATACCTCAGCACGAGCAACTCGCAACATAACAACCATTGCAAACCCACAACAACACCAAAGCATCAAAATTGCCGAATCACCTCCGTCTTCGGGTTCGCATCGGGCCTTATTTCCCCCAGCAAACCGATCACCTCATCCGACACCTCCACCCCCGAACCCACGAGTCTTCACCCTTGTGGGCCGTACAGGACCGTCGAACCCGTTCCCCTGGCCGCGGCACGGCGCTTTATCCTAGAATGACTCTAGCTTGGCACTGCTGTGGATTTGCATCCCTGACATGGCTCTGTGGGCCGTTGCAACGCTTCACACAAATCCTTCGCGTGCGGCGTCGCGATTAGTCAAGGTGTTGTTTGCACCTCGCCGCAAGGGGTTCACGAGTCACGATACTGGCCATCTATATCAAAGGTGATAACGTCGCTTAAGGGCGACCCCTTATAAAGAACTATCGATATTGGAGGTATACAAGTCTGGCCGCGTGCATATCGACGAACGGGTGACTGCTTGCGATGCGGTCAATTGCGCGGGGCACAGTCAAGATCAATCACTACCTCAAACACGCAAACGCCTGTCGCCTGTTCTTGCTGCCAGGTGTTCGCTCCCTCGGCAACATCCGCTTCGACGAACGACCTCCCGCGTCGCCTTCACCGTTTAGCTGTGGCTGCATCCCGCTGATCGACACCAGATTCTTCCCACGTGCTCGCCTCATTCGGGAAGTTCGACTAAGCCGGTCCGAGTCGAAGTCTTAGACAGGCAACTTGCAGACAGGGCACTATGGGCCGCCTATCAGCATTTCCGTTACATATGGGACGGGGTCGTCTTAAAACATGCGACGTACAGTGGTGATCAGTTGGAGCTTTGAGGGTTGCACATCTGCATAAGGTATATGAAACTGCATACTCGGCCTTTCGCCGAGGTGGCCTTCGATGCGAGTGCACTCTGCATGCATATATGCAATTCGGCATTCGACAGCATGGGTGATGATCAGGAGCCAGCTTGGGTGCTGAATCCGCAAGTGGGGCAAGTGGATCGCCTGGCGCGACTGCAACGGCGTCTGGGTCAATGTTCAACAGATGAGTGCGTGGAGCTGTGGACGAGTATGGGTGACAGCAGCTTCTCAAGAACATGGCGATTCCAGTGGCGTGAGGGCAAAAAACAACTGCAACAGCCCAAGGCGTGAGAGGCGCTGCAAGAGTACGAGCAACGCATCCAGCATGAGGATATCGCTAGAAGGGATGAATCATTACTAAAGGGTTTGGTAGCTGACGAGTCGTCCTCTCACATTGCAGGGAAAGCCGGCTGCACGTCTGGCAACAGCTCCCATGACAGCCCTCTGGAGGCCTTCGGGGCAAGGAAGCACGTACAGCCAACACAGAAACCGTTGTGGTCCTGTAAGTCTTCGTAGGATTAAAAGCAGCCCGCAGATGCTTTTCGCCTGCCTCTTACAGATTTGACAAATCTGGGCTTGCAGCCGGCTTTCTCTGCTACTCGAGAGCTGCTAGGCAGGGGACACCCAGACAGAATGCGGCTCAGGCTCTGAAGGGAAACTGAGGGTAAGACTAGAAGATCGTAGGAGTAATCGCAATCGTATGATTTTCCCGGACGAGAACGCAGTCAGACTGTCTGACTCCAGCTACCTTGCACCCTCCCCCTTATCAGGCTCACGCGCATACACATCCACTCACCCACTCCATCTCGTCCACAAAACATCCGGATATGGCACTCGCCTCCTCCTCCTCATCCCACCCCTCCCCCCTACCCACCCATCGTAACAGCCCTAGTAGCCACCGCATCAATCCGCTGCTTGTAAACACGCATCTGATGCTTCAACGGATCGCCATACATGACCTTCCTCAGCATATCCTCCTCGACAGTAACAGCCTCGACATCATCCTCACGTCGACTCCCCGGGCGCTGCCTTAGCACGATCAGTCTGCCTGCGGGACTCAGCTCGCAGGGCGGAATGTGCCATTCAACGCCCACCGAAGATGGTGAAGTGTTCGGTCTAGAGGGCGTTGGGAGTGTTGATTTACTGGGTCTCCTGAGGCGGAGGCGGGATTTTGGTGGAGAGGAGGGGGGCGCTTGGGAGAGGTTAAGTTTGCTCATGTTCGCTATTGTTTGGCCCAGTGCGGAGACGGAAGGTGCGGGTGTTGTGTATAGTTTGATTAGGCTTTTGAAGAAGCTCTTATCCGCCCTCGGGATGGGGTCTCCTTCGTTGATGAACGAGTAGAACAGACTCTTCTTGTGGCGCGGGTTGTCTGATTTTCTCAACGGCCAGCGCGATATGGGTGGCGCGCCGAATGTCACGCAGTGCACGCGTTTGAAGAAGTCGGTCAGGTAGCTGAGCTCGCTGTCGACGGAATTGCTCATCATGTGCGCGTACAAGAGGGTGGCGACGGCGCCGCCAGCCGAATGGCCCGTGATGAGAAGACTGCAATTTTTGCGGGCGGGGTTCTCTTGGATGAGGACTCTAAGCCGGTCGGCGACAGGTTTGACCATTTTTCGCGCTACGTAGAGAAAGCCTGCGTGGCAGAAGTTCGAAGGATCGTCGAGGAAGCCCTCCGGGCTGGTGGGGGCCGAATTGTAATTCACGGCCCAGTCCATGAACGTCTGGCTGCCGCGGATCGCGAAGACAACTGTGTTCATATCCTCAACTGGGATAGATTTAAGGACCATGGCTTTTGTACCGCTGCGCCAGTTTGCTGGGATGTGGTTCTCGACTTCCTTCGATTTCGGCACTGGAGGGACATAGACACGCTCTGAGTACGTTGCAGCCAGGCACAGAAGTGGATAAGTCGGCATGTAGACTTTGAAAGGTGGAAGATGTGGTGGGAGACGGGAGTTCGAGTAGAGCCAGACCTTGGCAAAGTGATTTGAACCTTTGTCGCCTCCCAGTGCCTCGTAAACCTGGTCTTCTGTTGTACTTTTTCCGCGTCCGGGTGGTGGGTTCGAGCTACTCGGTCGTTGTTGCGTATCCTCGTATACTTTCAGATCCTCCTCTTTTCCGCTGAACTTGTCATCATCAATGCTAGTAATGACTGCGTCGAATTTGGAGCTGATGACATCGCACAACGCCGCACCTTGACATAACGTTTGCATGCTCTTCATTGCTATAGCATGTGTTGGTCGCTCGATGTAACTTGTGATCAATTTTGAGGTCCCCTGTCGCAAGTCCGCATTTGACTTCGCTGCCATGCGATCTAGTCTGTTCCATTGCTGTTGGAATGGACCTTCTTCGCGCGAAGATATCCTTGGTTGCGGATGCTGAGGAGGCGAAGGAGACGCAAATCGCGCTACCGAAGGGTTGTGTGGAGCTGGGACAGGTTGCAATGGCGGAGATCCATATGGTTGCACATACTGTTGTGAATATTGTAAAGCTGCACCGTACACAAGATGCTGAGGTGGGCCACCTGGATATAGTGGAGGCGGGCCAGGTGGATGTGCAGCGTACATCGGATAGTTCAGGTGCTGCGTCGAAACTGCTTGGACGGCGTGCGGATGCACATGCGTGTTGACTTGAACGACTGGTTGCGAAACGAGCGGTTGTTTGGGCGTCGATCTAGAGTTGGATGTTCGAGATGACGAATGGTTGCGTTTCCTCCTCCTGCGCTCGGGATCGCTGTGTCCGTGTGCCATGTCGCACCCCTGATGTTCAGCCTTGTAAACGGTGGTGGTATTCCCTTGGCTTTTTGCTTGATTTCTGTAAGATACTCGGCCAAACCGGGCGCTATCGAGAATACAACAATCGCTGTCTTCTGTTGCCCGTCGCGTATATCGTACTGTTCATCGCCGCAGTTGCGAAATGTGACCGAGCGCAAGCATAAACCTGATGTTTCTGCTCTTGCAGTCTATGTGAAACACGCTGAAAGGCTCACAAAGGAAATGCGCAACGATAATGTCAGAGAAGAAGGATTGAAGAGGTGAAATACTGAAGATCACGAAGGAGCGACAAGGCCGAGCTAAACGTGTGCCCACCCCTCCACATGCAGGAAGTCCTTCGTGGCTATGCGCGTTCCTGACTGGTGCGGCTTGCATAACGCTGTTTTTATGGAAGCGGCGAATCCGCGCCTTTGAATCGCGATTGGGTGGCGGGGAGCTTGGCGATATAGAGCTGCTGCGGATGACTGTGATGCATGAATCTCTTCGAAGGCTGTGATGTAGCACAGAATGAGCGAAAGAGCACGAAGGACGATGTGTGTGATCAAGTGGCATGAGAGCCTGACCTGGCAGCAGCTCTTCGGCCACAACACGGCAAGGAGCACAAGTGCAACACCACAATTCAAACCAAACCTCACGGAACATCACTTGAAAGCCAGAGGTAACGCCGGTGTTTTTGACAACTTGTTGATATTCAAAAGTCATAACCATGTGCCTCGGTATCGTGTGGCTTCGCTGTCTTCCTATCTGATCCTACACTACCAACTACCTAGGTATCTTTTGGGGTGGCTATGGCTCTACAGCTCTACTTACGGTATCATTACTATCATTGCTCGTCAGTGAACCGCGCTTTTTTCGCTCAAACTAAAATACAGTAGCGAACAAATGGTACAAAAAGCGTAAATGCCACAGAAGAATCACTCGCTCAAAGACGAGGCCTGCTCGAAACACTTGATGTGCCACTCACCGCTTTCGCCTTGACATCGTAACGGTCCAAGTTCATGACCTTGTTCCATGCTGCGACGAAGTCCTTGACGAACTTGTCGGAGTTGTCGGGCTGTGCGTAAATCTCGGCGATGGCACGCAGCTCGGGGTGCGAACCGAATATCAGGTCGTGACGGGTTCCTGTCCACTTCTTCTGGCCAGACTTGCGATCAGTACCCTCGTACAGCTCGTGAGGGCTGGAGGAGTCGGCGCCCTTCCAGGCGACGTTGGTGTCAAGCAGGTTGACGAAGAAGTCGTTGGTGAGCTGGCCAGGGCGCTTGGTGAAGATACCGTGAGAAGAGCCATCCCAGTTGGCGTTGAGGGCACGCATACCACCAACTAGGACAGTCATCTCAGGTGCGGTCAACTTGAGGAGGTTGGCCTTGTCGACGTCCAACTGCTCGGTGCGGACACGGTCGGAGCCCTTGCCAAAGTTGCGGAAACCGTCGGTGACAGGCTCGAGGTGCTCGAACGACTGGACGTCGGTCTGCTCCTGTGTGGCGTCCGTACGGCCAGGTGTGAAGGGAACGGAGACACCAGCAGCCTTCTCGAGAGCGGCAACACCGGCAAGGACGATCAAGTCAGCAAGAGAGACCTTCTTGCTGGACTTGGACTGAATGCCCTCGAGAGCCTTAAGGACCTCCTGAAGCTCGGACGGGTTGTTGACCTTCCAGTTCTTTTGGGGCTCAAGACGGATGCGGGCACCGTTGGCACCACCACGCTTGTCAGAGCCACGGAAGGAGGCAGCAGAGGCCCAGGCAACGCGGATGAGCTTGGAGGGCTCGACACCAGCGTTGAGGATCTCCTTCTTCAACGACGAGATGTCACTCTCGCCGATCACCTCCGCCTCCTGCTCAGGAACGGGGTCCTCCCAGAGGGAAACCTCCTTGGGGATCTCAGGACCAATCCACCTAGAGCGAGGACCCATGTCACGGTGGAGGAGTTTGAACCACGCGCGTGTGAAGACGTCGTGAAGCTCTTCGGGGTGCTCCAACCAGCGGCGGGTGATCCTTTCGTACTCGGGGTCGAAGCGCATCGCCAAGTCGGTGGTCAACATGCGAGGCTTGTGCTTCTTGTTGGAGTCGTACGCATCGGGGATGATGGCATCAGCGTCCTTGGCGACGTACTGGCTGGCGCCAGCAGGGGACTTCTCGAGCTCCCACTCGAAACCGTAGAGGTACTCGAGGAACTTGTTGCTCCACTTGGTGGGTGTGCCAGTCCAGGTGACCTCGAGGCCGGATGTGATGGTGTGGGGACCCTTGCCGGTGCCGTGGCTGTTCTTCCAGCCGAAGCCCTGCTCAGCAAGGTCGGCGCCGTTGGGGTCTGGGCCGGTGTTCTCGGAGGGAGCAGCACCGTGTGTCTTTCCGAAGGAGTGGCCGCCAACGATCAGGGCAGCCGTCTCCTCGTCGTCCATGGCCATGCGGGTGAAGGTAGTGCGGATGTCGTGCGCAGCGGCGACGGGGTCGGGAACACCGTCAGGGCCTTCGGGGTTTGTGTAGATGAGACCCATGTGTGCCGCAGCGAGGGGCTTTTCGAGGTCGCGGGGGGTGTGCATCTCGTCCTTGGACTCGACATCGTTCTTGTGCTGGTCGCCGTCCATGATGCCCTCGCCCTTGACACCCTTGTTGCCGTCGGAGTAGCGGACATCGTTGCCCAGCCACTCAGTCTCTCCTCCCCAGTAGACGTCCTCGGCGGACTGGTATGTGTCGGTGCGGCCACAAGCGAACCCGAAAGTGGGGCAGTCCATGGACTCGAGGGCGACGTTGCCGGATAGGAGTATCAGATCGGCCCAGGAGATCTTGTTGCCGTACTTCTGCTTGATAGGCCATAGCAGGCGACGAGCCTTGTCGAGCGAGACGTTGTCGGGCCAGGCGTTGAGGGGAGCAAAGCGCTGCTGGCCCTCACCACCGCCACCGCGGCCGTCAGTGACACGGTAGGTACCGGAAGAGTGCCATGCCAATCGGACGCTGTCCCGGTGTTAGCAGACCATCCCAAGTCCATTGAGACCAGGGTACTCACAAGAGACCACCGTAGTGACCGAAGTCGGCGGGCCACCACTCCTGCGAGTCGGTCATCAGCGCGGTGATGTCCTTCTTCAGGGCCTGGTAGTCGAGCTTCTTGAACTCCTCGGCATAGTTGAAGTCGGCGCCGAGGGGGTTCTGTCGGGGGTCGTGGTGGCGCAGGATGTTGAGCTTGAGCTCGTTGGGCCACCAGTCCTTCGTGGTGGTACCGCCACCAGCGACGTTGGCTACCTTCATGGGACACTCGCCTTTAGACATGATTGCTGTGGGTCGAGCTCTGTGTAGTAGGGAAGAATTGAGTAGGAATGATGTCTCGGAGGGTGGCTTAGGTATATATGTGAACTTCTGCGAGCGGCCAATTCGTAATCTTCAACGTCTGGCCATCTACTCGCTGTTGCCCCTCACCTATGTTTGCACGGGGCCGCATCTGTTAGCTCGATTTGGCCTAGGGTCACAGCGGCCTGAGCCCCACTTCTCCGCTGTTTCCCTCCCAGCGCGCCCTGGCAACGAGACATTGCTAACACCTGTAGTGCATGTCTATACAACTCTTCAGGCTCTATAACATCTTGCTCTGCCATCTTCTTATCGTGGACGCGATCGAGCTCTGTCGTCCTCCAAGCACCAGGTGGGCCTTCAAAACACCCCCGCGTCAAGTCTATTGCGTCTTACATGGCCTCGGACCGCACCAAGCTGATCGACAACGGTCTCAACGAATCAGATTCTCCTGGAATTTAGCATGGTGCGACTGACACGTGACGTTCACAAATACCGAGGCCGAGATCGAGGCGGATGACAGAAGCAAACAGCACCCTGTGGCGGGAATTCACGGTTCGGAAAGAATTACTATCTTGGATGCTTCAAGAAGCTCCGGTGTCGAATCCGAAGGCCTTGCTGTTGAAACGTCACATGTCCTGGTCCTGCTCTGCCTTGATGTTAAGGCTGCCATCTCTTCTTACCCACGGTCCGACGCCGCCCGCCAAGCTTCCCCACGTTCCTCACCCCGCACTGCAGGCACTCCACACTGCGAAGGATCACCACATCTCGTGCTACAGCGAAGCCCCCCGGACAGCGCTCTCGGCGGGCCTCTTAACCTGCTGTGCGACACATCGCCGCCAGAACACATATTCAATTTCGACTCGCACGCACCGAGTCAAGTGTCTGCTACATTGTCGCTTCGCACAACTGAGGATCTCGAACACATGGATCTCTACGTGACTTGGGCGAAGCCCAGTCATAGTATACCCTCTGACACGAAGAGGGGTAACAGTAGGACCGAGGCCTGCTTCACTACTTCATCATTGCTATTTCAAGTCTTTTGTCTCGTTGATCTCCTTGTTCTGTCGTCCTTACTTCCCGCTTCACCACATCTCTCAGCTCAATTGTGAATCACACATCACCATGACGGACGACAAGGTTCAGAGTTACGACATCCCAAAGACGTGCAAAGGTGGTGTAGTTGTCAACGAAGGTCCGGACTTTCATGTCGAAGTTCAAGACATCCCTACGCCAGAGCCCGGTATGTGCAACATGACTATGGTATTGTCTCACATCGGCAATGGCTGACGACCTTCAGGACCAACCGATGTCTTGATCAAGCTCAACGCGACTGGCATCTGCCACAGCGACATTCATTTCATGCTGAACGACTGGGCGATGCCAAAGATGTCTGCGCTGGGCACAAAGTGCGCTGGACATGAGGGTGCTGGTGTAATTGTAAAGGTTGGCGATCAAGTCAAGAAATTGAAACCAGGCATGAGGGCTGGATTCAAGGTGAGTTTCTCTACTATAGTTTTGAAAGAAGGCCAGTCAAGCTAACAGATGACAGCCCATCCAAGATACCTGCGGTGCATGCGAGCTCTGCCGCAGCGGCCAAGAATGCTACTGTGCAAGCGCAGTCTTGACCGGGCTGATGTGCGACGGATCCTACAAGCAATACGTTGTCTCGCCCGAACGCTACACCACCATCATCCCCGACGGCGTCAACGACTACATCGCCGGGCCCATTATGTGCTCCGCCTCGACAATCTACACGTCAATTAAAGAGTCCAACCTCAAGCCCGGAGACTGGGCCGTCTTCCCAGGTGCAGGCGGTGGAGTCGGTATGCAAGGCGTTCAGCTCGCTAAAGCCATGGGTCTACGCGCCGTAGCCATCGACACCGGCGACGACAAGGAGAAACTGTGCAAGGAGGTCGGCGCAGAAGAGTTCATCGATTTCAAGAAAGTCGACAACGTCGCTGAGAGGATCATTCGCATCTGCGACGGCATCGGCGCGCACGGTGTCTTCGTCACCGCAGTGCAGACATACCCCTCTTCAGTCAGCTACCTTGGCGGTCGTGTAGGCGGAAAGGTTATGTGCATTGGTCTGCCACCCACGGGAACACAGCATATCGATGTCGATCCAACCCAGATGTGCTCTAAGAAGCAGAGTATTCAGGGTACGCTTGTCAGCAGCATGGCTGACGTCGATAAGACACTGGACTTTGCGAAGAGGGGTTTGCTGAAACCTATCTACACAGTGTATCCCTTGAGTAAGTTCAACGAGGCTGTGCAGAAGCTGCGGAGGGGCGAGATTGCTGGTAGAGCTGTGGTCGATTTCAACCAGGAGTAGAGTCAGGACCGGGTGTGGATGGTCTAAATGGATGGATTGATTGATTGATTGATTGATTGATTGATTGATTGATTGATTGATTGATTGATTGGTTGATTGATTGATTGATTGATTGACTGCTTGGCTGGTCTTGGATAGTGGTAGATTGTACAGGAGATGATGTATGGAAGACGAAGTATGGGTGATGAAGGGCGTTCGGTGTCGAGTCAGCGACCAACAGCACGAGCGCATAGCAGTGTATAGTGTTTTATAGCCGGGCCAATTTGACTATTGATTCCTTTCATGATCCTCGTGTGGACGATGTTTTTCCCATGTTCGAGACCCTGAAGGTTGTAGATCAAGCTCGGGCCACACAATCAGCCCTACGTAACGATACGACCGGGAGCTCCACGCCAACGACACGATGCGCCGGTGAAGAATGACAACCCAGCTTTCACTGAACACTCGCCGATGGGATGTCAAGCTCGTCAGCAAGTCAGTCCCCGCACGGACGTGCCGAAGCATCCTCCAGCCGAGCGCCGTCCGGACGCTCATCGAACGGAAAGCAGCCAGCCGTTGAAGACGACCACAGCGATGAAGAAGCACTGCTGGCAGACGACTCGTTGAACAGCAATCTCTCTGAACAGTACACATTACCCACAAGGATCATATACCGTACGCTAACATACCACAGAATCTCTTTCAAGCGCAAGCCCAAACCAACGCCCTCCTCCCTCCTCCCACGCTTCCTCGCCGGCTCCTTCACCTCCCCACGCAACACCCCCAGCCCACGCGCCCAACAGTCCCGCCTCCAACACCTCCGCAGTCCGCACTCCACTACCAACAATGGTAACAGCAACGGCAACTACTCCACAGAGCCCACCCTCAACTGCTTCGACACCCCCGGCGACGCCGGCTCGCACCTGTCCGACACCAAAGACGCCTCGGGCGTAGACTGGTACGTCGAAGGTCCTGGTCGGCGCGTGGGATACGACGACCTGACCGCCATCGACTGGATCTTCGAATACGCGAAAGAGCGGCAACGGTTACGATATCTGTACTCCGGCGCAACGGGGCTGCTGGGCACGATCAAGCAGCTTGCCGACGCGAGCCAAGTGTGGATCATACTTGTCGCTGCCGGTGTCTTGTCCGGAGGTATAGCGGCGTTTATCGATGTCGCAAGTGATTGGCTGGCGGATTTGAAGACGGGGTATTGTAGTAGTGTGGAGGGCGATGGGAGGTTCTATCTAAATAAGGGGTTTTGTTGTTGGGGGATTGAGACAGGGGATCAGTGTGCGGATTGGCAGGAGTGGGGGAGTGCGATGGGGATTGGGAGTGTGAGTGGGAAGTGGATTGTGGAGTATATCTTCTTTATACTGTTCTCGGTGAGTGAGCTGGCTGCAGGAAACGAGAGAAGTGGAGCTGACAATGAACAGGTTCTCTTTGCAGCATGTGCGAGTCTGTTGGTGAGAGAGTTCTCGCCATATGCTAAGCATAGTGGTATCCCGGAGATCAAGACTGTGTTGGGTGGCTTTGTTATACGACACTTTTTGGGTGGCTGGACGTTGGTGACGAAGACATTAGGCCTGGTAAGTCCGTAGACTGCAGTGACCCTGCATATGTTGATAACAGCAGTGCCTCGCAGTGGCTTCAGGGCTGTGGCTGGGCAAAGAAGGTCCCTTGGTCCACGTTGCATGCTGCTCTGCAAACTTGTTCATGAAGCTCTTTGGCAGCGTAAATGGAAACGAAGGTCAGTGTATCAGAACAACGTTTTATGGAGCTGTACTGACTGAAAGCAGCGCGAAAGCGGGAAGTCCTCTCTGCCGCAGCAGCAGCAGGCATCTCGGTCGCTTTCGGTGCACCCGTAGGTGGCGTGCTATTCAGTCTTGAGCAGCTATCGTACTACTTCCCCGACAAGGCCATGTGGAGCAGTTTCGTCTGCGCCATGGTCGCAGCCGTCACACTCCAAGCCTTCAATCCGTTCCGGACTGGCAAGCTCGTCCTGTATCAAGTCACCTACCACAGTGGCTGGCACGACTTCGAAATCGTTCCCTTTGCACTACTCGGCATTCTCGGCGGTCTCTACGGCGGCCTCTTCATAAAGCTCAACATGAGCATAGCCTCCTGGCGCAAAGACCGCACCTACCTCAAAGGCCCAGTCACCGAAGTCATCATCGCATCCTCCATCACAGCACTCATCAACTACCCCATCAAATTCATGCGTGCCCAAGCCTCCGAGCTTGTCTACATCCTGTTCGCCGAATGCGCCGATCTAACAGAAGACACGCTGGGCCTCTGCAAATCCGGAAAAGCAAACACCGGCGTCATCGCACTCCTCCTAATCTCAGCCGTCCTCGGCATCCTCCTCGCAGGCTTCACATTTGGTCTGCAAATCCCCGCCGGCATCATACTGCCCTCCATGGCCATCGGCGGCCTCTACGGTCGCGCCGTAGGCCTCAGCGTCGAAGTCTTCCAATCCGCATTCCCGCACCTCTTCATCTTCAGCTCTTGCGAACCCGACGTGCCGTGCGTCACACCCGGGACCTACGCCATCGTTGGCGCCGCGTCCGCGCTGGCAGGTACAACGCGCATGACCGTCTCCATCGTGGTTATTATGTTCGAACTCACCGGCGCGCTGACGTACGTCCTGCCTATCATGATCGCGGTCATGATATCGAAATGGATCGGCGACGCGATTAGTCCGCGGGGGATATACGAGTCCTGGATTCATTTCAAGGGCTATCCGTTCTTGGATAACCGCGACGATGACGGGTCGAGTATCCCTGATGTACCCGCTGCGCACGTAATGACGCGCATCGAGGATCTGACTGCTATATCTGCGACGGGTCATACGATTCAGAGTCTGAGGGAGATGCTGCAAGCACATCGTTTCCGCGGGTTCCCTGTCATCTCCTCGAGTCAGGAGCAGGAAGGCGATGCGCTCCTGCTCGGCTACATATCCCGCACCGAACTGCTCTACGCGCTCTCCCTCACAACTTCCAAATCCCTCCCCGCCGACACAGAATGCCACTTCTCCCACCAACCCCTCTCGGACCCAAACACCTCCCTCGACTTACGCCCGTGGATGGACCAAACCCCTATAACCCTGAATGCGCGCGCCTCCTTCCAACTTACTGTTTCGATGTTCCAAAAGCTCGGTCTGCGCTACGTTCTCTTCACCGAGAGGGGCATGCTTCGCGGTCTGCTGACGAAGAAGGATGTCTGGTACGTGCTTAACGGTATGGAAGACGAGACTTGGGATGAGAGTGAGGAGCATGTGGATGCGGGGGTTGGAGGAGGTGTGAGGAGAGGCGGGTTGCGCGAGCAGCGTGATGGGATCGCGGAATGGAGCGAGGAGAGGGGCTTGTTGGGCACGCCGATGGAAGAGGAAGAGGATAGTTTCATTGGCGCTGGCCTCGAGGATGAGAGGGAGAGGAGAGCTGGGTAAATAGACAGCTGGTGCATAGACTGGCGTTGACGTGCGTTGTTCATCATGACATTTTCCTACTATACTCTATCCTCTTACCACTCGGCCTTGCCACGCCACCATTTCTCGCATTTCGGGCTTCTTCTTCATCGCTGGCGTCGTCGTAGTAGCTCGAGACTTTCACGGCGCCCGATTTCCTCGCATCATCCGGGAGCGCAGGCAATTTCTTCTCCCTCACCACCTCCTTCACCTCTCCTTTGTCCCCTGCCAGGGAGCCCCCCATCCCATCCTTCTCCTTCTCCACACTCCCATCGCTGTCCATGCTCCCCCAACTCCCACTGTATTTCGGCAATTCGACCATACTCGGCGTCATAATCTTCGGCACGCTAACCTCGCTCCACACGAGTCTTAACAGAGGAGACAAGCAAGGGAGACAGGCGGTGAGGATACCGATGTCGACTTCGATTTGCGACCATACGGGTACCCATGCCCATGTCCTGGCGGGTGTTAGATGCGTTGTGAATGGGAAGGGGAGGGTGTCGGTGTCGGAGGATGAGTCGAGGTGAAGGTGGTGGAGATACCCCGGCGGTGAAGATACCCCCTGATGGGAAACTCCTGACGGGAAGGAGAGCGTATCAAGACGAGAACTTACCAGCTCGAATCTGCTTGCTGCCATGCCATGCCTTTTTGGATCGCGTTGCCGCTCATGACAATCTCGCAGAGGCGCATGGTGCTCGCAACCACGGGGATGAGGCCGATCGAAAAGATAACTATCAGAGCAGCTACGAAGACCGTTAGTACCATGGGTGACTATACTGGAGGGTAGCCGTACTCCTCTGCCGCTTGTTGAACTTCAACAGCGGAAGCAATGGTAATGGGTAGAGGAGGAGGACTACGTCAGTGAAGACGTTGATGGCGCCTTGGGCGTGCATGAAAGTCGCGCTGTCGATGCACATGATGGGGATCTGCTCGACGTCCCAAGCTGCGGTGATGGGGAGACAGGAGAAAATTTGGACCTATGGGAGGTTGAGAATATGGTTTCTTTAGAGTGAGTGGAGCCACTCACGAGTATGACAGCGAGCGTGAATGCGGAGATGAAGGCTGCTGTTGCCCAGATGGCACGAGACTGTACGATTAAGGGCAGACCCCGCTTTCCAGAGCCGATACGGTGGTAGAGTGCGAGGATGGACATCTTCACTGCCCTATGGTAATGATGTTAGAGATTGGTATCATTGCGGGAAATGACAAACGTACCAGTTCGCTACGAGGTAGATCAGCATGTTAATCCACTTGTACTGCTCGAGATTAGCGCAACGTGGTGACATGCAAGTAATAGGTTCATACCATCAGCATGAGGTCAAAGTCTTCTTCATGGAGCTCGGACGAATGGCGCCCTCTTCCGTGTTCGACTTGTAATATGATGGTGATTGTCTGACCCAAGCCCAAGGTCTTTGGTGGTGTTAGTTGATTCTATTCATAGTGGAGTTGGTGCAGCGTACAATAGCACTCAAGATGAAGAGGTCATCAAGTCCGAATTTCTTAACAATGAAGCCTCGCGTGAAGAAACTGAAGCTCTGTAAGTACTGTGCTTATGGTCAAAACGAATGACTGAGCTGACCGAAGTAGAACGAAGACAACGGCTATGGTATATTGTGCCATGCTAACACGGTTCAACAACGAGCCTTGATCGGCGGCCGCAGACATGATGATGTGCCCCATGTCAATCCGTATGCCGGTATTTCCTATGATTCGTGGTTCCAGCAAAAAACATGGGGTACCACCAACTAACACCAGACTCCGCGGAAAGGAAGGCAGAAGGCTGCAGGAAACGACGGACTGTGGTGTCAAAACGACCGACAGAGAAGCGACGGAAATGCAAACAGATTGAAGGTGGATGAGCGGGGACTCGTGGATATATTGTGCGCGGAGATATTTGACCCGGGTTGTTGCGGAGTGGGTTTTGTATTGTGCTCCCAAACACGTTCGGCGTGGTTCAGCAACGTAATGCAACCGCGCTGAACCCCTTGCTTCTGGAAGGAGTTCAAACGACGAGGCAAAGACACGCGGCTGTGCGTGCTTCCATTTGGTGGTTGTGACAAGGGTATGGTGCGACATGTTCTGTAACAGAACATGTATCGAAACTTTATCTAGGCCCAACAACCTGGTTTTAGGCGATCAATCGAACGCGTGCCCAAGGCTTGGTGAATTGAATGGTTCGCAATGGTTGTGTGTTCGTCGTTAGCAAGGCTGTAGCTGGTCTGTCCACGGAAAGTGACGCATGTAGGGAGCGATCATCCCAGAAATCCGGTTCGCAGGTGCATGAAAGCCTATCTCCACTACCTTATGGGACAAGGCGTGGCAGTTTGAAATAAAGGTCGGATCCCGCATTGCGCAGGATCTGAGGTTTGGTGCTCTGTGCTAAAGCATTGTGTTGCAGACGCTGGGTTCGGACCTGAACGAGACTGGTAGGCACATCTTGTGTCGATCACGAAATCGCTGCAGCATCGCAGAGTGTTCTGTAGCCGAAATGTGTTGTCTAATAGGTATTGAGGTTTTGATTGGGTGCTGTGGTGATGGGTAGCCTCTTGCTGGAGGTATTCGGTCAGCAAAGCCGAGGGCACAGAACAGCATGTTCTGGCCTTGAATCATGACTGTGGTGCTTGGAGACCAGAAATAATACATCCGCACGTTCGTGTAGACACTTCGCCGTATGGTCGACAGGACCGGAAGTAACTCTTTGCCAAAGACGCCATAGTATCGCAATGATGGTCGACATGTTGACATGCTTTCGGCAGCTGTCATAAACTTTCTTCGAAGCGTCAAAGAGCTTGGCCCTCAATCTTTCGAGGCGCTCTGTGTTGAAGTTTATCAGCACGTAGTTCTGAGCTGTTAGTAAGCTGCAGATTTTCTGACGTCTCGCTCTCGTCTTGGTGACGTTCTCGAGGTCAGGACGGTGTCAACTTCGACGCTGCACGCACGACACAATGACCCTCGTGCCGTTGTGCAAGGCACTACACTTATCAGTGGCCGAGGCGTGCTCCTGCAGCGGTGTACAATTGCTGATGAACATGTGTTCGCAGGATGATAAGTGAGGAGGAATTGATTGGGACCGAGACGAGAAGGAAGACGTCACCGCAGCATGCCGTTGTCACCGCGTCAGAACCATGGTACACAACCGAGATGCACGTTCCAGTCGACAAATGTTGGTGTTGAGCTGATCTGGAATGTTCACTGAAGTCCAGACACCGTTTGAGGCTGTTGAGATCAGCGTTGAAGCATGTGAACATCCCCGCGGAAGAGCTCCAATGAGGCCTAGTGAGGTGCGCTAGCTACAAGATATCGGCTAGCAGGCGCTCCTTGCAACAAGGTTCCACGACGGCATGCGTTCCTCTCACGTCATTTGCGAACAGCTTCGCCAGCATGGCTGTAATATTGCGGGGAGCGCATCCATGTGCAGCCTTGGAAGGAGCACAGCCGCCGTAGCCCGGAAGGAAACATTTACTCCAAGACATCAAGATTCCCTTCACCCTGAGTGAGCTGAGTGAGCTGTGTGTACATCCAACAGAACGGGAAGCTGCAGACGAGCTACCTGCCAACTGCCTTGCACGCCTTCAACAAACGCCCACGCGCTTCCCTCGAGTGTTGAGGACGACAGTCGCGTGAGAGGCAGCTCTCGGTGGAGACTGCTACTCCTGCATCGAACGATCGCGCTGTGAAGTGCGTGCTGGTACGTCTGCTCCATGCACATGCACTCGCCCTGTGTGACCACCTAGTTCCCCTCCCCCCATTCTATGAGCATCCTTTCACGCCCCAACCACCATCGTCTACGCTTTATGTGGACGAGTAGCAGACGCCCATCTTCAACCACTGACGATATTCCTCCCAAAGCAGACCCTATCACCAAGAGCCTCAAAACCCTCCCCCAATTGACCCGGCACGCGAGCGACCCACCCCTGCAGGGCACTCGCATCTCTCCGCGTCTGCCCCTCTCGTCCTTGCCGATCGTACCAGCCAACGCCAGCATGCAGAGCGAGGCAACCATCACCTTCACGCAGCCGGGCGTTCAGCCGCCTGTGTATGTGGTCACCTCTCTCAGCACGCCGCCATGGGCACCGCTCGAGCTGAAGCCGAGCAAGGAGAAGACACCGTCTGGGGACTTTGTATTTGAGCAGAAGTTTGGTAATGTCGCCGAGGGCAGCTACCAGTACAAGATCCGTATTGGTGAAGGACATTGGGTTGTCGACGAGTCCAAAGAATCTGGTGTGTAGTATCATATCTTTGTCCTGGCTGCATACTGATACAAAGCAGCCACAGATGAGCAGGGCAACCGCAACAACGTCGTTCACGCCAAACCTGCGAACTCCCACCTTCCTCTCGACCACCCAGCCAATGTCAAAGATACGCTTGATCGCAAAGATAGCACAATAGATACCGGCGACGAGAAGCCAGGGCCCATCCCATTTGTGGTGGTCGAGAAGGTCGAGGACAAGGACCAGCCGGAGTATGGTGACGTTGCGCCTAAGAGCCTTTCTGTGGACGAGTCTAAGCGTGCTGCCGACCCTGAACCAGACTTCGAACAGACCAAGACAGACTCTCCCCTCGACACCGAACCGCTCAAATCGGCAGAAGCCCCTCTCGTTATGGTCGAGAAGGTCGACGACAAGCCAGCGCACAGGGACGACTTCGGCGAGGATGTGACCAAAGGCCAGAAGGTCACGCATAAGCTGAGTCCTGCAGATGTATCGCCAGACGGACTCACTGTCTCGCCTGAGGGACCTGATGAACTCGAGCCTGAGGATGCGCAAGCCCCGCTGTTTCGACATGAGTCGTTCCAGGACTCTGAGGCTTCTTTGCCTGACCCTTCAATGGACACGATCGAAGAAGAGTCCGTACAGTCCTCGACTGACCACACCAGCTCAGGGGACATTATCAACACACCCTCTGCTGAGTCACAGGACGACTTGCAAGATGAAGACGAGCTGGGTCATGGACCTCTTCTCTCCCACGAGACTGGCTTCACGGATACGGAAAGCGAGTTTGAGAAGGCACCGCTTCTCTCACACGAGACTGGACTGGGAGCCAAAGAGGACGATGAAGATGATGAGTTCACGAAAGGGCCCCTTCTTCCCCACGAGACCGGCTTTGCCCCTCAGGCGAAACACGACGACAGCGACTACGACGAAGACGAGTTTGATGCAGCGCCGTTGTTACCTCATGAGACTGGTTTCTCGTCATATAAGGGTAGCGAGGCCGCCAGTAGGAGCAGTCGCCTTGCTAAGGACGAGTACGACTACGAACCAGAGCATTATACACAGTACGGCGATCACTCGGATGACGGTAAGGACTTCGGAGAGCTCGATCACACTCCCACCTTTTCTCATGAGCAAGATTTGCCCGCAGAGGATTACGGTGCACCTCTGCTTCCGCATGAGCGAGGCTCTGCTGCTGAAAGTTTCTCTGGGTCCGAGCGATCTTTCAGCACAAGCCCGACAATGTACGAGGGTGCTCACCCGGCCTTTGGGCAAGAGACAGACACCGCTAAGGAACTGTTTGGCGGATCGATGCGCCCTTCGTTCTTCAGGACACATACCAGCAGTAGTACGCTTCCAAATAAGCTACCGCGATCAGACGCAGAGGATACCGATCTCCACGACCCAGGGCTCGAAATATTCCCTGTAGGTCGTGAGCAAATCCTCGAGCGTGTGGCAACCATCGGTCACAAGCTACCTGAAGACGAGACACATGATGTGCCAACCTCGCCACAACCGTCGGTTCTTTCGCAAGCCTGTTCTTCAGTCGATCTTGTACCCGTCAAATCGTACATCTCTTTGGCATCTGTGCGCGAAGATGAGGAAGAGGAGGACGAGGAAGACAATGCAGACGTCGAGTCTCTCGGTTCTCCTGTGATTATGAGTCGCTCGAGTGCTCGATTCGCTCGAGATCGAGACCCTCTTGCAACGCCTCATCCTGATGACAGTAAGCAGCTTGGCTTCGTTCCAGAGAACAAGCCTGAGATGCAAAACACTCACACTGCCGAGTCTAGCGAAGCCAACAGTGTTAGCAAGACTGACGGTGCGAAGGACAGCCCCAAAGGCTTGACTAGTCTGCCCGACATCGTAGCTTCGAAGGCAACAGTTATGAACACCCTGACCCCTCCGCTCACACCCAGAACGCTTGAAGCACTCGGAAAAGAGCACTCCCCACCCGTCCCTGAATCAGAGCTTCGTCAACGTCGAGAACCTGCCAAGGAAGCTGTCGAAAACTCTGCGCCGACACCTCAACCTGAGGACAACAAGGACGAGGATGTTGCTGTCGCTGCCCCGCCCATGGTGACATCGGCGGCTGAGAAGCTGAAGCTTAAGAAGAGCTCCGTTCAGAGTTGGAAAGAAGCTAGGTGAGTTCTTACATGTGTATAGTAGGGTCCATGGCTCGGACTAACTCGATACAGCATTGGCGTCACGGCTTTGGTTGCTGTTGGAGCAGTGTACTACTACCTTGCTGTAGTACGATGATCAGATAAGTTCAGCATCGAATGAGCATGTTGGAACATTGGCAGATTGTACGATACAAGATGGCGCATGGAAAGGCGTACAGTATGACTAATGAGACACGAACACACGGGTGGTAATCTGGCGCTTCGGCGCTTCGACCTGTTGAATGCATCTTTCCTCTACTCTTGCATTGGAACTCACCATATTCGTCTCTTCGTTCGCTTTTGTTGATGTACTTGTCCATTTGACTACGCTGTTTCATGCTACAAACCATACGCTGACCCGGGTATCACGCTCTAAACGCCTGCAAATGCATCAACCCCTTCCTATCCACCAGCCAAGCTCACCGCCTCTCATAACTCCCAGGCAGTTCCGCAGGCTGCATTGGCCGATGCCCTTCAGTCTCCGTCACCGTCTGGCTCGGCATCTCGTACTTCGCCTCGGTGCTTCCATGATCTAACTCATGTTTAAAGTGCTCAGCACGCCTCTCTGGCAAAGTCGGGGCTACTTCCACAGCGCCTTGCGGCTGCCCTTGGTACGGTTCGTATGCGCTCTCCTGTGGCTTTGAGATGCGCTTCCGATTCCGTTTTTGCCGATGAATGAGCCCGAGGGCTACAAGAGCGATGAGTGCGGCGATGCCTAGTGCCGCGGCGATGCCGGCTTTGCCAGCTGTGGAGAGGCCGGTTGATGGTGTTGGTGTTGATGTCGATGTCGATGTCGCTGCAAAGGAGGATGTGGCGGAGGCTGTGGCGGAGGCTGTGGCGGAAAGTGTGCCGGGGGATGTGACTGTTGCGCTGAGAAGCTGTTCATGTCAGTATTTATATTCCCGCTTCCTGCCTGTTCCAGAACCAAGAGGCATGGGGGATGCAGGACTTACGTTCACGCTCGAGTAGGCCTCATCGTTGATCGCGGCGACGCTATCGAAGCTGAATCGTTGTAGGTTCTGTGGTGCTGTGATGTTGTTGTCCATCCGTACCTGCCCGTTTTTGTTCGCCAGATGATAATCTGTGCCGTTCGCGCTGTTGTACAGATACCACGTCCCATCGCCCCAGCTCCCGAACTGCCAGAACACGGAATCGTCTGCTACGTCGCCTCGCAACATGAGCGGTGAAATCTCGCCATTCGAGTCGGCAGGCTGGGCGCCGATGAAGCCGTTTGCGCCGCCTTCTTTGGTGCGCAGGACGACTGTTGTGCTGTTGATGGGGAATATCTGCCAGCGCTGTGTCGCGCTGTCGTGGTTGGTGAAGTTGAAGAAGACGGCGCCTGCTGTGCCGCTGCGGGTGTAGAGGCTTGTGCTGAGCATAGAGCTGGTGTTGTAGTTGTTGATGTACATGGAGTACCATTGGTTTGTGTCGAGATTGGGTGCCGCCATCTTGTCACTCCAACCTCCCCAGGAGCAGCGAAGACGTAGACACGAAAGAAGAAGCTGGAGCAAGACAGACAGAGAGGGACGCGATGAGAATAAGGAAAAGAGACTGGGGATTTGCACTCTGCCCAGGGCGGGCGCGTAGCAGGTTTAAATCTCCGTGCTCATGGCTAGCCTCAAACGCTCCTACAGTAGCGCGTACTGGGGTGTCAATCATTACGGAAGATTGTTTAATGTAGGATTTGGAGTTGACGGTAAGTTGGGACGAGACCCATACACATTGCTGCTGGTACGCTGCAGACAAGGACATTGTGTCAGGGCTCGAGACTGCCAGAACCTGACAACGTTGTCAGCCTCGTTGATGCTGCATCCACGAATTGTTACAATGGGCACTGATGTTGCCAGGCTGTCTTTGAGGCTGTGAGGATGCAGGATGTAAGGCGTCCCGTCCCGCTAGCCTGGAAATAGGAACCAAGCCCCATTAGGACCGAACAGCATGCCCGCGCGAGAGTGGAGTGGCAGTGTGCGGCCGCAGAGTGTTAGAGTTCTGGACCAGAAGCAAACTTCGTTCGGAAGCAATACGGAGGGCAGATACAGCTGGCCGGATGCTGCGTTATGTGCCCGCCTAGATTGACGCGTCTCAGTACCCATCAAACCAGAGACTGCCTCTTATAGCGGACTTCCATGACCCATCTAGCATCCGATTTAGATGACCCAGCTACACGTCGGCATTCGAAGCGGTCATGATGTGCGTGATGCGCGCATACTCCGTGGAGTATGTACGTTGAAGAAGACAAGTCTTAGAACCGCGACGTGAGAACCCGAGGGAAGAAAGAATCCATTTGCCTAACTAGGAAAGTTTGGCTTTCCATCGATTGCGGGAAAGGGTGTGCCGAATGCGGCACAAAGTGAAAGCGGGTCTACGGCTCACGCTAGCGCACCCGTGACCGCGCGCTCGCGCTTTCCCAGAACTTCTTGCGCGTCACTGCGAATCCAAACCACCACAACCCGAGCTACGAGTAAGTCACCCAACGCTCTCACGAACCCCGATGTGCCACCCTACCTCCCGGAATCGCTACTTATCTTGTTCCCACATGCTGCAGAGGCTGGCGACGTAGCTAACGTCAGCGTAGATCCCAGTGAACGACAAATCCCGTCACAAGGGGACCTTGGGCGTCTAATCAACCCCCGGCGTCCCGGTGCATGACATAAGAACGGAAAGCGGAGGGATGCGCCGTCTGTACATGACGAGCGTGGCTGCCTTGGATTCATTGCACGAGGATGAAGAGGTGGTTGAGTGAGGCTCTGGGTAGCACGTGTTCCCTGACGTTCTCGCAAGAGGAGCCTTACGGCAGGCTCGCAGCTTTCTGACGGTCGCGGCCCAGCCGTTCCCACGCGCATTGAGGAAAAAGTAAAAGAGTCGAAGCGCCGACCTGCCCCAACTTCCCTTCTCGGCTCCGGTTGACGAGGATGAAGGGGGTGCGCCGTGCAGCTAATGACACGAAACGTAGTTTTCAATCCGAGCGCCTTCGCCCTGGCGCCAGCCAGCTGGTGTCGACAGTGGGGATGCGTGGTCGTTGTTGCTGGGCCACGACCGCAAGCTCGCAGAGCAAATCAGCCGAAGGCTGGAGTTGGGGACGGTGCAGGTGGTTTACCAAACTGATCTCATCCTTCTGACCATTTGGCAGAGAAGAGAGAAAAGGGTCCAGTGATGATGTTCCACCGCGCGATGGGGCATGAAAGCCAAAGTCGATCAGGAACCCGTGGTGCTGGACGTCTCTTTCTCTCTCTCTTTTTTCTCTTTCTCGAAAGGGAAAGGATGGGGAGGGAGAGGAAAGGCGCTGCGTGGGCGCCTTGTGAGAACAGCGAGAGAGCTAATCTGAGGACTTCAATACCATACATTTTATACATTTTTCACTTGAATTTTGCCTTTTACTTACACAGTGGTATGTGAGCTACTGTGCGTGCGTCTGATCATCAACATTGGTTGGTATTTTTGAGCTCCATAGGGAAGAAAAAGGGGGGATGAACAATGCAAACAATGCTACAAATAATGGCGGTCAACATTCACACCCGACCATGGCTTTCTCAGCCCACCGCCGCGCACGCGCAAACGTACACAACCAGAGACTGACGCCACATCCCGTCGACCCACGCACCCAGCTCACATGGTACGTCGGCGCCACTCTGCCAGGCGAGCGCAAGCCGCTGATACCACATAACCTGCGCCGCCGCTCGACCACTTCATCGAACCACACCTGTTCCTTCAGATCCGTGCATATCCACACACTACCTCCACAGCCAAAAAGGCCTTCTGCCGCCCAATCGAAATGGCGTTGGTGGAAGGCCTTGGCCGGGACATGCGACTGCGATTTTCCAGAGCGTTTCTAGAACCTGTCTCGCTGCCTTGTGCGGTAGATGGTAAAGCCGACGTACGCGCCGGTCAGTGCGAGTCCAAACAGCACGAACTTCATCAGGAACCAGGTCCAGCTGCCTCCCTCCTGCTCGCGCGTCATGCTGGACGCGGTCTTGGCGGGCTTCGTGGCGCCTGACCCGGCAGCCTGGCCGGGGTTGCGCTTGTACAAGTTCAGCGCTTTGACGGAGACGATGTCGAAGTTGTCGCTCAGCTCCCCGGTTTCGGCGCTGAATCCGAGGTAGGCGACGGGCGGCACCTTGAAATTGGGGATCTCGAAGCAGGTCGTGTATTCGTCTTCGGACTTGTATTGAAGCTCGAGCTTGAGGAAGGAGTCTTGGAAGTAGGTGAGACGGGCTTTGGTGGGGACTTGGGAGTTGCGGATTCCGCGCGCCTGGATGGTTTCAAGTTAGCGTTCCACTCCTGATTGCTCGTGGGATTGGAAGACGTACAGAGCAGCCGGCGACCTCGTTCGCCTTGCCGTCGTTGTCCTTGTCGTACTTGGTCTTGCCGTCGCCGTTCATGGCCATGATGTAGGGGAACACGGTGCCTGGGCGGTTGTTCTTGTACGTGTCGACGAAGATACCGAGGCCCTCGAAGTTGTCGGCGTGGCCAAAGACAGGCCCTGGCTGCGCGCGCTGCTTGGTGAGCCACATGGCGAAGCCGTCGCCGTAGAGGTTGCCCTGGCCATGGACCTTGAATTCAATCGTGATCTACTCGCGTGAGCTCATGTGCAAGTGTGAGTGTGGGGTCCAGCGCACCTCCCAATTGGTAGCGGTCAGAGGCACGCGGGAGAACAGCCAGCCGTCGCGCGAGGGCTTGTCCGACGAGAGGCGGATGTACTGGTCGGTTCGAATGATTGTGTCTCCTCCAAAGTCCCACCAGCGGCTCTGCATGTCCGAGTCGAGGTATGGCTGACTGGATGTTAGAGACTGTTTCTACGTTCGCAGGCGATGGTGTCGGCGACTTACAGGCTCGAGGCTGTGTGTGCGTAGCTGTATGTCCGTTAGCATTCATCCTAGCATTGATCCCAGCATTGATGCTAGCATCCTCCCGTAGAGCAACACCGTACCGAGATGGCCTTGATATCCGGATCCTCACTCAGCCCGAGACTTCTGACGCCCGCCAGACTCCCCGCCAGCAAGCACAAGCTCGCCCATGGCCTTGTGAACAACATGGCCGCACAGCGTCCTCGGTCCTCTGAGACCACTCAAGCTGTCGCGCGCCTGACCGTAGGGGAAGGTCCCTTTCGTGGGGGAGTTGTTGGCAACTGGTGGGGCGCAGAGAACGTACGAAGCCTCGCTTCAGCAATGCACTCTGGAGAAACAAACGGCGGGAAGAAGAGAAAAGAGGCTGTGTGGGCGGCGCACAGGTGGGCAAGTTGGCGGACGATGCTTGTGATGAGTGGCCTTTCCACGCGGAGAGCAGGGGTCCAGCGAGCAGCGCGAGCCAGCGGCAACGCTACCGCTAAGGCCGACGGAGCTCTTGACGTCGATACCATTTTTGACATGGACAGTGGCCATCAACACCACGCGTACCCGTTCATATCGCACACCTGCAACGACTGAACGAACCCGCGCTTTTCCGTCCAGTCTCTCGCGAATCTCATATCTCCGACACAATGGCCGACGACAGCAAAATGCAAATCATGCGCCAGGTGCAGCAAGAAGCCGCCATGCAGAACGCGCGCATGCTTGTCGAAGTAAACTCCCCCTCAAATCTCCTCAAATTCCCAATCTCCTCAACCCTCCCCCACCCTCCTCAACCCTCCTCAACCTCCTCAACCCTCCTCAACCCTCCTCCAATCACGTCTAACAATCCCCTCAGAAACTCAACGAACACTGCTTCGAGCGCTGCGTCCCCAAGCCCGGCACCTCGCTCTCCAGCGGCGAAGAGGGCTGCTTCAAGAGCTGCATGGAGAAGTACATGAGCGCGTGGAACACGGTGAGCAAGCAGTATGTTGCAAGGATACAGAGGGAGAGCGCGAGTGGCGGGTTGAGTCTGTGAAGGTCAAAGGACGAGATGGTTGGTCAGCTGGGAGGGAGGGCCGGGGAATGAAGAGGGCTGCTGTGGTGGCTCCTGATGCAAGAGAAGGCAGCCACTGTACAACACATGGCGCACATCTGAAGCGGTGCATGGAAGATGACTCCAGAAGGCGCGTGTGGGTACGGCTGGAAGCCATGTATCATATTGTACAATCAAGAAAGACCTATGTTATGTACTCCGGTACATGCTGTACAACACTCAAACAATCCATACACCGCCACTCACACAGGACGCTGAAACCAATCAACCAATCACACACCGCTATGCACATGCTGCACCAAAAAACCGCTTCGTCTCCTGTTGACGCCTACGCAGGCTTAGCAAACGTCTTCTGCCTCTGCACGTACTCCTTGATAATCACCGAACAGCTGACCTCTTGACACAACCTCTTCCTCCGCGCCGGATCCAACTTGGTCGCAAACTCCAGCCCACTCGCCCTCTCGACCGCCTCAACAGGGACCTCGAAATCCGTCAACGGCTTCTTGTTGTCGATGCGCGCATTCGGCAGCACGAACGCACCGAGCGCTACTTTCCCCCCGACACTCCCGTCCTCAGCGAAGATGACTTTGTAAAAATGTGTCGGCACCGCGACGTTAGGCGGCGTCCCAATCATCTCGTAGCTCACGCGCCACTTGCCATCAGCGTCGCGCTTAGGCAAATACAACGGACCCGTCACAATCCGCACACTGGGATACGTATGCGTCAGCCTGCGACAGAAATCCTCAAAGTGCGCCCAGTAGTCCCGATTGAAGCCGTCGCCGACCTGCGGACACATGTTGCTTAGCGCAAACGTATCGTCCATGGCCTCCTGGCTCCATTTCGCGTCCGCGGCGGGCACCTGATGGCCGCGGTCGTAGCCCGAGCGAAAGTAATCTTTGAGCTTTGCGCGGAACTTCTCGGGGATTGCCGTGTCTTCGACGAACACGCTGTGCTTGCGGTCTGCGTTGTTGGCGGCTAGCGACTGGGGGGTGATATGTTCGGCTACCCAGGCTGGGTTGCGCCGCTCGCGGTCGTACGAGGATGTGAGCGAGGCGGCTGGCCGGAGGTCGTTAACGGGGCCGGGGAAGCCGTACTGGAAGAGTCCGTTGGGGTCGACGAGGGGTGTGCGGTAGGCGGCGGCAGGCGCGGGGGTGGAGGGGACGGTGGGGATTGGGGCTGGTCGTGACGGGCCGGTGATGGTGGTTGTCGTCGTCGTCGTGACGGGCGTGGATGGCAGACTGTCTTTCTTGGTCGAGTAGAAGGCGGCTGTTGCTGCTGCGCCGGCTGCTGCACCGCCAGCTGCAATGATTGCGAATGTGACTTTCGACATGGTCGCGATTCGAGGTGGTAGACGAACCGGAGGGCGGAGGTTTGTGGGCGGTCGAGAGTCAGTCTTATGGACAACGCCACAGGCAAGAGCGATCAGGTGTCCAGACGGCGCGTACAGAACGTCTTGGACGCGTCAACTTGTGCCCCAGTCGTTCGCTGGCAGCTACTGGAGAGAGGTCATCCACTGAATTTACAGACGGCGCCTTCCCTTTTTTGATCTAGTCCCACACCGACATCTGAACTTTGAGCCGCAACTTTCTTTTGTCATCAGTTACACGCTATCAGCATTGCGGCAAGAGAGAAACAGCTTGCACATTACCGGAAAGAGATGGAAACGTGATAAGAGAGAGTCAGGGAATTGAATTGTTGTTGCACACCACCGAGATGTCCTCGTGGCTAGCTCGAGCGACCGAGAATCGCAATGCTCAGTTCGTGACGACTGCAGTCGTGTCGGGAGTGGTCGTTGCAAGCGCGATCCTCGGCCTTCAGAAAGCGAAGCGCATGTACAGGGTGGCCGACTTAAAGGCTTCGATACCAGACATCACCGATGATCACCATTCGACAAGAGTAAGTGTAGTCTCGCAGCATCGAACTCTCTTTCTGCTTGGGGACAGTTGCTTACTTGTGCTCCTGCCGTAATCCTGACATGGCCGTCTATCTCGTGAGACGTCTTGTTCGGCTATAGTTACAAGACCTGCTGTCTCACGTGCCCACTCAACCATCCCACACATGTCCAACTCCAACTAACGCCACCCAGCTCACCGAATATGGCGCCGCCTCGTCCGTCTTCAAACCTAGCAAAGAAGATGAACGCTCCATGGCCCTCGCAGCTCGCGCTCGCAAAGGCGACTACGACGACGACCTGATCCTCGAGCAGCTGGCCCGCAACCGCGTCTTCCTCGGCGACGCAGGCCTCGAAAAACTCCGTAACGCATTCATCATCATCGTTGGCTGCGGCGGCGTCGGCTCCCACGCGGCAGCCGCCCTTGCCCGCTCAGGGTGCTCCAAGTTACGCTTAATTGATTTCGACCAAGTCACTTTGTCCTCTCTGAACCGCCACGCTCTGGCCACGCTTTCCGACGTAGGAACCCCCAAGGTGCATTGCATACGCCGACACCTCGAGAAAATAACGCCCTGGACACACTTCGAATGCCTGAACGCCCTGTTCTCCGCCCAGAGCGCCCCAACCCAACTATCCCCTCTCAACGGCCAAGCACCAGACTTCGTCATCGACGCCATCGACAACATCGACTCCAAAGTCGCGCTCCTGCACTACTGCTACACGAACTCCATCCCCGTTATCTCCTCCATGGGCGCGGGCTGTAAGAGCGACCCCACACGCCTCTTTATCGGCGACATCAGCACATCCACCGACGACCCCTTATCCAAGTCGACGCGCCGCAAACTGCGTCTCCTCGGTGTCAGCTCCGGGATCCCCGTCGTGTACTCCACCGAGCGCCCCGGTCCCGGCAAAGCCGAGCTCCAGCCGCTCAAGCAAGAAGAGTTCGAAAAGGGCAATGTGGGTGAACTCGGCGTACTGGCAGATTTCCGCGTGCGCATATTGCCTGTGCTGGGCACCATGCCCGCCATCTTCGGGCTCAGCGTCGCGAACCACGTCATCCTTTCCATCACCGGATACCCCAACGAATATCTACCCAGCAAGTCGCGCGACAAAATGTACGACGGCATTCTCGGCGCGCTGCAAGGCAGTGAAGAGCGTCTGGCACGCCACATAACCGGGCAGCCCGCGCAAGGGCTTAAAATCCCAATTACGCAGGACGACGTCGGGTATTTGGTCGAAGAAGTGTACAATGCGCGCAGCATCATCAGCGGCCTCTCCACTCGGCTTTTCTTGACGAGGTGGAAGAAGCCCGCGAAAGAGATGCTGGATGAGAGCACACCCGGGCAGAAGTGCAGTCGTCTTCAGATGAAGGACCTGGTTTGCATGACGAAAGAAGAGATTGCGAGGCATGAGAAGGAGGTGCTCAAGGGGGAGAAGAGTGTGGTGGAGGTTTATGGGGAGGAGATTGTGAGGAGGGTGGAAGGGAGGTTGGAGGAGGAGGAGAGGTTTGAGAGGTTTAGATGATGGACTGCTGAGTGAAGCGAGTTGGAAAGCGAGGTGAACTGTGAGCTATGTACAGATGTATGTGTATTATGTCGTATGCGAGAGAGTACTCTGGGCAGCTTTTGCAGTTCCGAGTATGTCTGTTCGACGTTGCCTTCATCTCAACACAACATCACCTCTGGACACCATCAGCACATACTCCCAACTCACAAAACCTCTCTTGCTGTTAGCCGTTCCTATCAAGTCCATCATGTCCTCGCGTCAACATCCATACTCTCAGTCACTCCATCTCCAATATTCATACTCCCCGCCTCCACGCTTCCCCAATCCTCACTGCATCTCATTCATCAGCTTTACAACACGGACATGTACGCTTCGAGGCTTGTGTCCAAGAGTGCTCTGTCCAAGAGTGCTCTGTCCAAGAGTGCTCAGGGCTTTGCGGAACCCCGAACAGAACTACAGCCCTACCATTGATGTAACCAACCCACGTTCTAGTCCTATTCGCCTCTCCGCAGCAGCCTCTGTAGGCTTTCGAGCCGAGATACGCTATATTTTGCTTGACGAGATTAAGCGCGGGAGGGCAGCTGGAAGGCTGGAAGCAATAATACAGCAAATGTAAATGAGATGGAGAGCTACTGTCGGAGGGAGTGAAGGTATCCACCGATCGCCATCTGTTTGCTAGCGGTCCGTTGCAGTGTTTGCTAACGGCCCGCTGCACTTCACTGCTATCCCCTTCTACTATATAGTCTCGATCGATTCTAGCTAATCGCTCCCAAGATCAACCAACACAATCCACTCACTTCAACAGCTACAGATAGCCATTTATATGTTGTGCAGGTTACCAGTATCTCTCCGCCAGACATTCAAAATTTTCAACCCATGGGATAGAGCCCAGACAGAGCTGGTGGTGTACATAGTCGTTGTTCTAGCATTCGTGCGTTCCGTGGAGGGGCCTGGAGGTCTTCGCTGTGGAATTGGGGTTCAGACGTATGATAAGATCAAGCCTGGGAGCTTTACGAGGAATCCTGGAGGTGTTCACAGTAAGTCAAGTATGGTTGAAATCACTTCAAGGTACGGCGGAATACATCTCGTGTGCAACTGCAGATAGATTGAAAGCTACAGGAACACCATTTCATCCGCTTCCTGCCATCCATCCTCCCCAAACCATTCAATCATCACATGCCATTCAGCTGATTCGCACAGCCCGTAGAAGGTATTTACGCGCCGTTGCCGTTGTAGGCGAACAGGTTAGGGCTACCACTGAGGGTGCCAGTGACGCGGTTAGCAGTACCCAGAGCCTTAAGGCGGTTGGAAACAGCAGCAGGGGTGGACAGACCCTCAAGAGCCTGGAGATAGACAGCGAGACCAGCGACGTGGGGAGCAGCCATGGAAGTACCGCTGAGAGAAGCAGTAGCGGAGTTGCCACCTATGTAGGAAGATAGCACAGCGACACCGGGGGCGAAGATGTCGACGCCCGCACCGTAGTTGGTGAACGAGGCGGGACGAAAGCTGGAGTCGGCGGCGGCGACGGTGAAGGCGTTGGGTGCGTTGGCAGGGGACTGGCTGGAGACGGGGAGCGGGTTACCGTTCTGGTCTCCGTTGCCGGCGGCGACGACAGAGAGGACGCCCTGGGTGTAGGCGGCCTGGATGGCGTTGGTCCATGTGGTGGAGGCTTGGCCGCCGAGGGACAGGTTGATGACGGAGCGGGCGGTGCGGCCCTTGGAGGTGATGTCGCTGACGGCCCAGTTGAAACCGGCCAGGATGGTGGAAGTGGTTCCCTGGGAGCCCTGGAAGACCTTGACGGAGATCAGGTTGGTGCGCTTGGCAACACCGTAGGTGGAGCCACCAATGGTACCAGCAACGTGTGTGCCGTGGCCGAGAGTGTCAGTGTGGGTTCCACCGACAGCGTTGTAGCCGAGAGTGGCACGGCCACCGAACTGGGTGTGGGCAACGAGGATACCGGAGTCGACAACGTAGGCGTAGGTGTTCTGTCCAGCGGTGGTGTCGTAGATGTACGAGGTAGAGGCGCCAGAGCGGTGACTGATGGCACCAAGACCCCAGGTAGCACCAGTCTGGGTGGTCAAAGCCTTCTTCTCGAGCTTGTCCTCGTGGACCTCCTCAACGTCGTACCAGAGATAGGCAACGGTGTCAGGCTCGACAAGAGCAACCTATTATTTGTCAGTATGTGTGGTCCTGGAGGTATTCAACACTTTCACGATTTCGGGAATTGCGGGAATCGTGTTTTACGATTTTGAGAAAGTGGGGAAGGGAAAGATGTAGTCGCGTTCCGGAAATCGGGATGAACAATTCTCACGATCTTGAAATCTTGGAAAGAGGGAAATGGCAGACTGGATAACTTCAGTGGGTGCTACTCACATCAGGGCTGGCCTTGATCTCAGCAATGGTAGCCTCGTCGAACTCTCCAGCGTAAGCCTTCCAGTCCTTGATCTCGTACTTCTTCTCGATACCGGCGGTGTCACGCTTGGCGAAACTGCGCTTGTGGACGTCGCTGACCCAGTTCAAGTGGGACTCAGCGGCAGCGGCATCAACACCAGGCTTAAGAGTGACGATGAACTTTCCGGGGATGATGTCGTCCCGCTTGGTGATGGAAGCCGGAGCCGCAAGTACAGCGGGGAGCAAAGCTCCGAGGAAGACGGCGAGGTTGCGAACGTTGATCATCTTGAAATCTATAATGTGTGAGCGAGGAGGTCTTTAGTTGTTCAGAAGTGGACTTACTCAAGAAGATAGTGAGTGTGGACCGGTAGAAGAAGCGACTGAGAATCCAAGGCTGATGCTTGGATGATGATTGTGAGGCGGCCTTCAGCCTGACTTATATACGGAACCGTGAAGGCATTCAGATGATTGCATTATCACCATCCGCTCATAGTATGATGACATTAGGACTACAGTTCTAGTGGAGCTGTAACGGCTTTCTCAATTGAGAAGGTAGCTGGAAATCACCAGCACCAAGCCTAGCATGGTGCCTTTTCAAGCAATCATCCAATACTATAGCGCGAATTCCAAGACAATAGAATGGGGACTCCGCCGTGTCGTGATTGTGTTGTTGCTATCATGCTTTGACATTGAGTGTGGTGACCAAGATGGTCAGGCTGACACCTGCCGAATCTGGACGGCGGTAATATGAGATAGACAGGGATAGCACAGTGCCAAGCTCAAGTACCGGGACAAGACCATCAAGAAAGAAAGAAGACTGGAGCGTTTCACGCAGTTATGCGTCAAGCTGTGGAGAAAGTGGAGGGGAGGATGAGGATGCTGGGGCGTCTGTCTGCTGTTACTGATTGGTGGACTAGTAGGCAAAGACGTTGAAGGTAGAACTAGTACCTGACGCTGGTGAGCTGCCACCTGCTCAGTGGTCAGTCTAGCGCTTAAGCGAGATTGCAAGGTACTCGCTGTTCTATGGCAGTCGGCGATGCTCACAGCGAGTGACGACAGACAACACTGAATGCGTGAGCCATTGACTTCTGCGTGTTCAGCATCCACCAATTCCAGGATTGAGACAGAGCTGAGAGAGGTCGTGGTGGGCGATGCTGCGGCGCATCATGCAAGTCACCCGCTCGCTTTGGCGTTCTGGGTCTCCTCTGCAGCTTGGACCTACTTGACCAAGAAGCACCGTCTCGTATTCCACAGGCACATTTCGAAAGCCCCGTCCTAGGCGAAGTGTTGACCCCATAGCTAACGCTGTTCTCGAAAGGCTCGGCATTGTAGCGCTACCTCGGGCGGTATACAGATGCAGCAACGTCATTGCTGATCCTGCGATGCTAAGCAAATGATGCCACTCGGCGTAGACATCACGATGGCGGTGCTCAGGAGAAGCGTTGGAACGATGAAGAAGAGGGACGTGTCAGTCTTGGGACCCATTCGCGTTTTAGTATCTCGCTTGGCGGCTTGATTGCTTGCTTTTTGGAAAGTGCGATTGGCGAGAGACATAATTTTGGGTTTGACTTGCCGGCAGGAGTCTGTACCTGCCGGGCCGCACCGAATTAGCCAAGCGAATCCAAAAGTTGCCAAGCTTTGAGCTTAAACAGAACAGGCAACTTGTATCGCCTGCATATCATCGAAGCTTGGAAACATTACCCCACTCGCGCGCATGGCTATCACGTTTTATCAGCAAATAAAAACGACTCGTAAATCGGTCCACAGATAGGCCGGAACCCGGCAGGAAATAGGGATAGTAGCAAGATCCAAGCGCTTAAGATCCGTTGTAAGTGAAGTACTTCCTATTGCCCAGTACAACATATATTTGAGGTGACTCGTCTCCTGAATACCTCTGCAAGTTGTATTCGTGCTTGTCTGGGAGCGCATTGAGGTTGCACAGTCACTGCGCGCCGTCAGCAGATGCTTGCGAAGTTGTCCATGTAGAAAACTAGCGTCAGCTCGGAATGCATTTGGTCGAATACTCGACTCCGGAAACGGTGGCAAAGGCTGCAAGATACTGCTGGACATGCCACTACCAACGGGTGTGGATGGTTCCGGAGAACAACAGGTTCAAAGGTTGTTGACTTACGGTTGGAGCCTCAGCCGACAATGCAGCCTCCACAACCGTCTGGGAACCACGATTGAGGTATCGACCATAGCCTCGGCTTCTCCATGCGCAATCCTGTTGACTCAAGACCGAAACCCTTGCTGAGAAAGAAGCAGCGTCTTCTCTGGTCTTTATCACCACACCATGGAGGATCAGTCATCCAAGCCCGTGTCCGTAGACGTCGAAAGTGCGTTCTATGTTGTCGCCATATCGTTATTGTCTTGTCGTGTTGCTCGTATCCGAAATGTATTGTTGCATGATCAAATCAAGCAGGAAGGTATGTTGAGCCGTGTCGCGTTCGGTATGGATAACGTGGCAATGGTCGCACCTCGTGTTGGACTCCGCTCGAATGCACGACTCATTTATTGTGACGTTACAAGTAATGGTATAGTTCGATCAAGCAGGCAGCTCTGTACGCTGTAAGAGTACCTAGGATGCTGAATAAGCTGGTTCAACGAGACGTCCTACTTAATCTCGAATGATGGATGAATGAGAAGAGCACGATCAAAAGGCGACGTGCTTAAGCTGAATGCAAAGATACAAAAAGCTGATCACAGCAGTCCATACATGCTTACACAGTACATGGCACTCTGCAAGCGGTGCTTTTGCTGTAATCCCGTTCGATCCGACCCACCTTTGGTATCTAGGAGACGCCTTTCACGTATTGGCTTGCCCTTCCTTCTGCGACTTTGGCAACAAAGTCTCCAAGAACACACTGCACAGTAAGCGTGTAACCTGCTTCAAATGACCATAGGACACCATCATGTCAGTCGAATGTACTGCTTCCACCTCTTCGTGCGCTTAGGCCGCGGATGCGGTTGTATAGCAATGCAAATCCTGTGGTTTCGACAATTTGGCCCGGAGACATGGTCTGCGACCAAACGAGCCGCTTAACCTTCCCGTGCGAGAGCCAGGCCTGGCGCCTACGCGATCTGATTGGCCGAAACGAAAGGACAATTGATTTTGCTTGGCCGAGCACGTGAAAGGAGCGCTGCCGAACAATCAAGCCGGTCACTCGGGGTAGGATCTAGCGAGGCGCCGGTGTAATAATCTGGGGAAGAGTGAAAGGTGCAGCAAGGTGGTGAGACTCGAGTTTGCCGAGCGTAGGCCGATGGAGAGCGCTCCTATGACGTCGGTCCTCACGAACTTCAGGAAGTGAAGAAGTTCAGCCGTGTGAAAATTCGCAAACTGGTAAATTCGTGGTGGAGTGCAATGACGATAGTAGAGACGGAGGGGTTGATGATGTCGACGTCGTGTTGCAGATCCGTGAAGCAGGCTTCCGGTCAGTCCCTGCAGATGTTGGCTAACATAACGATCCCTTCTTTCTTCGGCCGTTCGCTCACTCCACGATCAGCTAACCTTTTCGAACCTCCACTTTGCCTCCCTAGGTTTACCTCCATCTTCCGATGCTCAAACACGTTAAGCCGCGGTGCCTGCCGAGTCAGCCAGACCCTTATTGAGGCCGCCGTGAGACAGTGCCGCTGCAGTAGCCGCATCATCTGCGCGGCCGAGAAGCAGCGAATTCATTGAAGCTCTACGTCAGGGTGTCTCGAAAGGTATTCGCGGTAGCTTGAGGTGCCTGGGCGTGGAGGCTGTGACGCTTCTCCGCGTTCCAAATGCGGTGATCTGGCCAATCCGATACATTCTCGCGTGACGTCGGGTGCTGTGATTCGTGGCCTGACACTCTGGTACGCGGAGATGAACTTGGGTGGAGAGACCATCGCACAGCCTACTCGTGACATACGCTTCCCCGCACAAGGCTGCAGTATATACTTCCAAACATCTCCGCTGCTTGGACGATTTTGAGGTACGACTTGTGTCAAGCAACCATCAGACACTACACTCCAGACATTCGACACAATCACCATTCTTGGCTAAAGCCTAAAGCATCAACCAAGACGAAGTCCAACATATAAACAACACCATAGCAAGACCTACCTCGATCATCAACCCATCCGAACCAAACCACAATGCCTTTCACTCGATTCACACCACTTCTCCGCCAGAGGCTCTTCACCACATCGACACGATCTCGGAACGCTATTGCTATTGGAGATGTCGCAGCTGAGGAACTAGCAGCAGCCTCAAAGGCTGTCCCTAAGCTTGGAAGGATTGCCAGATGGTACCTTCCCTCCATGGCAGTTGCCGCTGTGGGTATGATGTACATCCCAGCCAGCCTGTACCTTCCTCGCGCAGAGCCAAAGCCTCGCTCCGTCACTCTCGACGCTGCCAACCGTCACATTGGTTACAGCATCACCACTGCTCTCAACGAGTCCAACCGCGCTATCCACGTGCCAGTTGAGCTCACTCAGGAGCAGAAGAACCAGGCGCTCATGGACCTCTACGGCGAGCGTTCCAGCCTTGAGGATATGCAGCGTGCTATTGCTGGTATGGAGGCTCGCGCCACAAGCCAGAAGGACAGGAACGCAGCACTCGAGGCAGCCTACGGCGACAGGAGCAGCATCAAGGACATCGAGAGAGCCATGCAGATATACGAAGTCCAGTGATTACATTAAGAAAGGTGTATAATTTGGGACGCACAGCCACTAGCGTGAAGCTGAAGAGAACACCATACCACTTCGTACCGGGGAGCAGGGCACGACGAAGAGGAAGAAGACATAACGCGCGCAAGACGCTGCAAGTCACACCGCCAGGGCACGAGAAAACCGTCACTACAAACACCACGCCGCTCAATACCAACCCCTCGAGAAGTGATGGTGGAAGAAGATATGCAATTCGCATCAGAATAGGAGGAAACGGAACAGACTGAAAGCAAGACTGTCTACAAGACAGCTACGAAGTCACGAAAGCCATTGATATCCATAGCAAAATATCCCATATGTTCAATACAAAACATTTCATAACCATCACCACCTCTACTCAAGATTGCCCGCTGCTTCTCATCATCTCCACTTACATTTCCACCTTTGTTCTTCCACCTCTTCCCCTGACGTCGCACAAAGTTCGATTCTCTCCTGACAGTGGTGGTCTGCCCGCTCAATCAAAGTCTGTGGCACAAGCCGACAACACCCGAACGCACCCGGCGGCCGCGCGACGCAACTCCAACAGAACTATATGTCTGTGCTTTAGCATTTCAGCCTCCACATACCGAAAACCTCCGTCATTGTGCTTTTGGTGTGGGCCTGATGCGGAAAATTTGCAGAGTGGTTGAGGAGGTGAGATCTCGTTGGTGTGGTGAGAGCCTGCGAGGACCTTTCCTTGCACGAGCGCGACACTTCTTCCGGCGTTTTCTGCTTGTGAGAACATACGAAGCTAACGCCGTATTCAAGCTATTTTGAGTTACCGGCTGTGCCTTGTCGTATTTGCTTATTTAACGGGAAGTGACTTTGTGGTCTTGCAGAGCGAAGTAGTAGCGAAGCAGTCACCCTCCACACAGCATGTCCGCACTCAAAGTACAAGAGAAGGAACGTCCACCTGCCTCAGAAGACTTCATTCATCATTTGGTGCCCATGGCCGATTCATCCTTCGTGTCACCCTCGGCAATTGCGCGTGAGATTAAACATATTATTTTGCGTGTGGTACAGATTCGATCTCAGTCCAGCTCATTGCCAGTTGACACGCGCATTTCCTTCACGTATGGGATCACTGCCAACTCAACTCGATGACGCAGACAAGAACAGGCTCTGGACCTGTACGACCATCAGAGATGGCATTGCGTTCGAAAACCGCTCCAAGAGCGAGATATAGCCCAATTGGCATGTGGAGAAGTGGTATCGAGTCTGTGACGAAGATCCTAGAGCACTAAACAAAGCGCTGAAGTTTAGCATCCGTGATGTTGTGAGTTTGATGATACGGCGACGGTGCGAGGAGCTGAAGACATGACCGTCAAGTTCAGCCGGGGAGGGGACAAGGGCATGATACACGGTGTCCTCCGTTTCATGGACAAAGGGCAGGAGAAGACAGTGGTTCTGACTTACGATACCCTGAGGAAGGAGGTTGAAGGACTGCCTGTTGAAGCACCTAGCGAGGAGTTAGATGTTCCGGAGGTTCTCCGCACGTTGCTCGCGTGACTTGATATAGTATTTTGAGACACTCGATTTAGTGTTAGTATGTCATAAGTATGTACTGCAACCTCGTGTTACTACCAGAGTATCAATTACAATTTTCATGCCAGATGCCGTCATTTTCTTCGCTGTATTCGCCTTGCCCTCAAACCCATCTTTCATCTCAGAGTGCTTGTTGTCACTACTATCCGTCTCCTTGAGTATCATCGTCGAGTTCTCACTCAAGACTAACTCTTACATCAGGAAGTATGCAAATGCACCAGCAAGACCCGCAAAGGTCAAACTGCCGGACAGATGCGAAGCCGCACCAGTCGAAGATGCTGGTGTGCCTGATGCAGTTCCTGAAGGTAAGGTCGAGGTTGTGTTCTCTGTAAGGTTGCCACCAGTGCCAGCCTTGACGGTAGGCGATACGTTGTTGTCGGCTTCAGCAGATGCATTCTTGAAGGCAGCCAGAGTCCTTGCGCCGGTAGCACTGCAAGTCGTAAGTGTTGGGAAGCATAGAGCCTGGAGGATATACTTACGGTGGGTTGATCACACCAACCATGCCGTTCTGGCAGTGCTTGCCTTGTGTACAATAGAACCAGATGGGTGCTGAGGCGTTTGTCACCTCATATGTGAAGGTCCAGTTTGCTACGTTCTGTGTGTCGGTGGTGGGCACGAAGCCTGACCAGAAGCCGTTGTTCAAGGGTGTGCATGGCGAGTTGAAGGCTGCCTGAGCGATGGAGTGGTTCTTAGGCCAGAAACGGAAAGTGACTGTGTCACCCTCGGCCGCGGTGATGGTGTCAGGCTTGAAGAGTAGCTCGCCGGTCTTGGTTCCAACGGCAACCTTGTGGTCTACTGCGAGCGCGGAACCGACGAGGGCGCTAGCAGCGAAGAGTGTAGAGAAATGCATTATGATCGGTTATGAAAGAAGAGTCTAGCTCGTTTGGGTATTGGTAGTGAATGCGGTAGTAGAAACGTGAAGATTACGATGTGAAACTAGAACAGAAGAGAATATTAGGCCTGCCTGATGAGTTGGTACTGCAGTTGAGCACATTTAAGGTCATTTTATACTATATAACATGTGCGTTGCCGCCGGGCTGAGCATCTCCAAGATGGCAATGTCGGCCTGAGCAGGTCATGGCGGAACGACTTCGAGACTTCAGGCGTCGCGAAGGCATGAAGAAGCGATACCTTGACACCTGAAGCTTCGTTTCCAGGAACGACTTGGTATGCAACGAAGGACTACGATTGGGCACTGGCACGGTAAGCGCCTGGGTGTAGCCACAGGTCTCTCTGGGCAGCTTGAGCCCTACTGAGGATCTGATGTGTGGCTGAATGCATCTCGGCGCGTAGTGTGATGCTCTGAAGTCTGTTGTGTTTCTGCAAGAGGGATGAAACTTGATGACGGCTGTCATTGGAGACGCGAAATGTGTGGAGTCCTTGCTAGCGCGTTTTTAGCGCGTGAACCCCCACATTCACCAGCCTCGCTCCTTGTCACCTTCCCTTTGACAGCTCGACCACCGGCAACAACTGCCGCTTGCGCCATGACATCTGAGGAGCCGACTCGTTGACAAGGCTCTGGCATGTCTCGAGCAGTGTTTCTAGTCTTCACGTCTGAAGAGTACACGGCAGCGCTATCGATACAGTCATACTGACTGCTTCAACTTATCACTAACCTTAGCACTTCCATCATCTTTGACAAGAACCACTGCTCACTATCACAGTCAACATGCTATCTTTGGGTATATATCGGTCCATTAGCCTGCATTGACCGGACGCTCAGGTCAACATACGGTTTCGAGAAGACTCCGTGGGGACGCACCATCCACCATGACCATTATAGGACTGTTTTCAGCGGTGTAGCTGATTGCTACACGGGCACGTAGAGCACGCTCATCGGTTCCTCGCTACTTCTGCGAGACATTTGCCTTTCTCTTTAGCTGCTCGAGCACTTCCTTTCAATAGTACGACGTTACAAGCACCGTGCGATCAACCTGACGTGGACGCTACTTCCGCCACAGCCGGCAGGGTCCACCTTGAGCTTTTCCCCTTTCAACACTGGCATGCACGACTTCACTCCAGGGTATCCTGACCGTATCTGCGAGAGCTGCGATATTTATTGATCGATGTCGAATATTACTTGCTGCGGACAGCTCGGGTGTAACCAGCTGTCACCTAGCCGTTAGCCTTGGACATTTCTCTCGCTTGTACACCTCAAAAGGAAATCGGCCCCACTTTTACCCTGCCAAAAATATACCCGCCTCCACATCCTTGCTCGTGTTCATTGACGCTATGAGCTCACCTGCTCTATTTGCCTGTCGAGCACCGCCTGCACACAGTCACCTGCGCTGACGGTTGTAGCTAGCCTCAGAACATCGCCTACCAAGCCATGGATCTCCCTCGTTTTCTGCCCATCGTTACCGTGTACGACTGTTGCTATGACGAAAGTATGGAATGAAGCTGTATACGGTAAGCAGAGTAAGTGAGTATAAAGATGGGCATGATCGCAGATGGCAGAGCTCATCATCAGCTTGAACTACCATCCAACACCAGCTTCCTCGATCACCGCCACCAGTCAATCTTCACTCGAACTTGGCCCTATCTTCCATCAATTTCTCTCAACATCAAACCCAAAATGAAGTTCTCCGTCTCCGCAATTGGTCTGGGCCTTGCCAGCCTTACTTCTGCCATCTCTGGTACGATTCCAAGGATGCTTCCGAGGAACAACGTTGCTAACATGTGTAGTTTCCTACGACACCGGCTACGATGACGGAAGCCGTGCTCTGACCACTTTGTCTTGCTCAGATGGTGCAAACGGCCTCATCACCAAGTACGGATGGAACACCCAGGCCAACGTTCCTTCATTCCCTCGCATCGGTGGTTACCAGGGAGTCGAAAGCTGGAACTCTGCACAGTGCGGTACTTGCTACGGAGTCACATACAACGGCAAGACCATCTACGTCCTAGCTGTCGACCACACCGCCACTGGCTTCAACCTTGCCAAGGCCGCCATGGATGAGCTCACGAACGGTCAGGCTGCTCAGCTTGGACGCATCGATGCTCAGTATGCGCAGGTGGCCACCAGCAACTGTGGCTTTTAAATGCGGAATGTTGACGAAACACCGTAAACTACAATACGTGTTATTTAAAGACCAGGACTGCCGAAGAGGCTTTAATGTTTATTGCCTACACAATGGGTTGCATAGCGTGGATACTGCATTTACGGGAGCGAGTCATTCCTTACGAAGATATCTACGAATCAGCGTATATACATTTGATTACGATGCTGTTCTTGCTCTCTCATTGACCACTTCCATTAATCTTCCCAATGCCTCGGCATCCTCATTATGACACTGAGGGAACTCCACTTGCCAATACTCTGGATTCGGATGAGCACCGTTACGATAGAATTCGTGGGAACTATCTCTTGGCCCGAAACCCCAAGGTTCTAACCAGTGAGGTATGGTGCCACGGTCAAAGAACTGATACCTATTGGCCCTCAATTTGTTAGTGAGATTGTAACGGTGATCGAAGGCATCGTCGGTCCAGTCAAAATCTGAGCCGTACATAGCGAAGTGCTGGAGATGAGGTAGACTAGACCGAAAATGGTCAAACACTTGATGCCAGCGCAGGGGAATTAATTTGAAGTAGGGACTGTGGCTGTCTCCTTCGCTCTGTAGGCCAGGAAAATTGAGTTTAGCCATCTTGTCGTCTCCCGCCATCCTCAATGCCGGGATGATGGGACAGTCGTCGAGCAGCAACTGCTTGAGGGTAGGGCCGTGCGATAGTATCCAGTCAATCTGCCAGTCGTGTGCGATGGTATAGTTGCCAAGGCTCAGAGATTCGAGACTGGGGAATGTTCCAACTTCGCGGAAGTCCACAAACGGATAAAGGCCCCACATGCAGGTGTAGCTGTAGAGTGTGAGGTGAGTCAGGTGCGACAGCACTGGCTTGAGCCAAAGCTCTGGTAGATCAACTGCAAAGCCTCGATGGACAGCTGCAAAGTCCAGATCATGCTGCTCCATGATCTCTGTTGCTATCTGGAGATGCAGGCCGGTGAGTCTGCCTCTTACAGACTGGAAAATTTTGGACTTCAAAATTTGTCTATCCATGTGATCTTGCAGATCCCTGATCGATAGAACCTTCAGCGTCTTGACCTCCCCCAACGCCTTGAAGGTCGTCTGCAAGACCTTGCTCCGAAACTCTGGCGTCTTATTAACGTCTTGTTGATACTTACTGCCTATCCAGGTGTCCAACTCTGCCGCACATTCCATGGCAAATTTCAATTGCAGCTCTTGCAGATTTCCAAAGCTGCAGAGCGAGCCGATCGCTTCAGCAAAGCTCTCAAGAAGTTCTGATTCTTCCTCGGGGCCATCTGGTTCGAGGGAGGTGTTGATGACTACACATCGAACGTCTTTGCTGTATTTGGACTGCATGAGCCTGGTGAATGCCTCCGCACTCTCGTCGCTAGTATTGAGAACCGCTGTGCGAAAAAGAACTTCGGTCGCCAATTCTCCCAACTCCTTGTTGACCATTCGCAATTCTTTGAGAGTGTCCACATCATGGTCAAGGGGTTCGATGCAGAGCCGCCTAAGCTCTACCGGAAGTTGCAGCATGTCGTAGATTCAGCGGGAGAACAGAAGATAGAAAGTTGAGGAAGAAAAATGCTCCAAGGATTTTTTTCACCCAACTAGCGCTGGGCTGCCACTTTCCTTCGAATTTGCAACAATGAAAACCTCTGCCGAAACCCCAAAATGAGCGTGATGATAGCGCTGCGCGTAATGCGCCAAAACCCTCACCAAAACAGTCTATTTCTAGTACTCTTTAAGATAGTCCAGCTCTTTAGCTAGAAGAGATATTAAAAAACTCTAACACTAAAGTCATAGAGTTGATTGGATCTATAACTTTTATATATAAATATTTTTAAAATATAGCTATTCTAGTTTTTCTACTTCAAAACTACAAAATTAAGGTTGATAGATTTGACTAAGATTTTAATACCAATGTATCTTCAGTCCGGATGTATTGCAGCTTACAACTTTTACGCTGTGTAGCTGCCTCAGTTGCATCTCGCAGGTGCCCCATTTCTTTGCGCATTAGCACCATCTCATGTGCTATTTGCTGGGCGCCTTTAGTAAGCTGCCTGACCTGCTCATCAATCAAACTTGCTGGAGAATCCCCTATGTTTTTGCATGCAATTTTGAAGTAGTGTTGATTGCACCTCCAACTTGCAGGCATTGCGCAATGTCTTTGCCTCCCAAGTGACATTAGCTAGTTCTGGTGGAGTTGGCATATGCAGTCGTACATCAGGCTTAGATAGCACTGCCTCTGGGTTATATGGAACCAGTCCAGTGCCTCTAAAGCCTGCGCAAATGTTCTCTGCTGTAAACATCTGACTGAAAGTAGCTGTTACGATCCTGCACCTCACACGGCAGTCGACATCCAATAAGTAACCACCAACCAGGCACCGCAATTACGCGCGAGCGAGGCTGCATCAGAACCACACCTTGATGGACTGACAGCACATGACTGTTAATTGTTGAGCATGGCGTGTTGCTCAACAGTGAGCAATGATATCATTGGATCAACTCGGACTGCTCACCTTTCAGCAGTACTGTCTTGTACAGTATATAGCAAGTAGACACGCTGCCCTTATGGCATTGTATTCAACCCCGTCAATCAACTTTGTTATTGGGATCTCATCTGCTCTCGAGCCAGACAGTCTACTCTTGTCACGGGTATATACTGTTCAGCTCCCAGTACCTGCTATCTACAGCTGTACTGTACCTTTTTGGTCAGTGTAGCGCAGCGGACTGAGCTGTGTGCCGAACTTCAAGAATAAGAGCTTCCAGAATCTTGGGACTGTAGAGGCGAAACGGAAGCAGGTCTTCCGTAGTATTTTCCCAGACGTATCAAAGAAGGATATCCCTTCCCCTTGTAAGTACCTCGACCCCTATAATAATAGCAGGCAAGCTTATGATCTCATAGACAAGAATATTATGAGATCCACAGGCAGTCCAGTCACGCCAGGTGCCAGCATCGCAACACCACTTGACATATTTGAAACTATTATGGATCACAACAATAACGAGCCTGGCTTCGCAGCTGCGATCAATGACATACTCGGCAATGTTGTCCAAACCGCCAAAAATGAAAATATTCCATTGAATAAAACGTATGGGCTTCAGACACCAACCACATCGGCTGAAAGCTCGCCTGGGTTGAGCAATTTGTATACAACTCCCAGTCCAGATCTCAAATCGCCTTTTGGACTGCCTACAACCCCCAAAATGTCGAACAAGAACTTTTTGATCCACCGCTCTTTCCAATTACAAGTGTGAATTTGCCACCTTCGTCCGACTCTCTCATGGGCTATGCGTGGGATACTCTCGACACAACCCTAACATCAGCGCAATCCGTAAGCACACCGGACATGTTGACTCCACAAACCGTCAACGATTGCCTAACACTCAATGTCTGCTTTAGTTGTCTGTCCAACAACATTTTCAAGACCACCGGCAGCGGGGCACAAATTGATGTGTGCGGCAGTTGTCACTCCACTGACGTTCTGTACGGGATTCCGTGCGCACCCGTCGAGGAACTGCTGGCGTCAAACCAGCCCCTCGACGTGTTCATGGGAGGAGCAGATTCAGGAGTAAGCGATACCGTTGCCATCATCAGGGCAAAGCAAGATGTCACTTGGAATGTGTGGACCGCCTTTGAGGATGGCACCAATGCAGCCTCGACAGATAATGATGAGAAAACGTATAGCGATGTTGATACACTCTTTGAGTTATAGAAGGAAGATGATTGTATAAGTTTAAATTAATAGATATGGAGGGGCTTGCTAGATAACAAGGCAATGCAATTTGCTCGCTTTCACCTGTTGTTCTTTAATATAGTATCATCGTTCAAGTCACCAATTGTCTTCGCGTGTCTCAACAATGTGATGAAACAAATTGATATGACACTACATTTGATAGTCGTCCCAAACTCCTTCTAAACCTGACAAAAAAGTACCAGCTCTAAACTCAGTGCTTAAAACCAATACCCAGAGCTCCATTGAGATCCCTGAAGTCGCCCCTCAGAACCTCAATGCTATCGCGCTGCACTTCCTTGACCAGCTCCTCAATCTTCGGCGCCATGATCTCAGGCTCGAAGCCAAAGTACTTGTATGCACTCTTGCTAGGCAAGCTCTTCCCAAACCTGCGCATCGAGAAGGCTGCATCCGCATAGCGCTCCCAGCCGTTTGCCGCATATGCTTCGACGACAACCGCAGGCTTGCCAGCCTTCGACTTGAGAACTGACTGTTTGTACTCGCGAGACTGTTGCTCGAACAGGCGAGGTACAGGGAATGAGACAACGCGTGCGGTGATGTTGTATTTCTCCTTCAAAATGTCGCGTGTCTGCATGGCGAAAACCATCTCGGAGCCAGTGCTGATGAGGGTGACATCGAAGTCGTCCTCCTCGACGAAGACGTATGCTCCCTTGGCGAAACCCTGGCGAGACGACTGATCCCACTGAGGCAGCACTTGACGAGAAAGAGAGATGATGCTGGGGGTTTCTGTTGCCTTGATCGCGACTTCGAACGCACCAGCAACCTCCTCAGAGTCGCAAGGTCGCATGTAAAGGACATTGGGCATGGCACGGTACAGCGCTGCAAGCGCGATCGGCTGATGTGTAGGTCCGTCCTCTCCGGTACCGATGGAGTCGTGTGTCGCAATGTGGATCTGTTGCAGTCCTTGGAGGGCACCCATACGTACAGCTGGTGCAGCATACAGGTAGAACATGAAGAAAGAGCTAGTGATGGGTAGAAACGTGCCCCTGTTGAATGCCACAAGACCGTTGGAAATGGCGCACATGGCATGTTCGCGGATACCGTAATGGATGTAGCGCCCGGTGTAGTCACCATCCAGCCCGCAAGCAGTGCGGAGTTCGGGTGACTGAAAATCGAACTTCTTCTTGTACGCAACGTTGCAAGAAGGTGTGAGATCAGCGGTGCCGACAAGGAAGTTCTTCATGTTTTCGCCAAGGGGGTTGCCGACAAGACCTGCCGATTTGCGAGTGGCGGTAGGCTCCTTTGGAAAGTCTTCCTTCTTGGGAATGTACTTTGTCCAGTCCTTGGGCATCTTGCCGGCAACGCGAAGTTTGAACTCAGCCGCCAGCTCGGGGTACTTCTGCTCATAGGCGTTCAATGTGTTTGACCAGTCAGCCTCGAGCTGCTTGCCGCGTGAGGCCACATCCTCGAAGAAGCTGTACATCTCTTCCGGCAAGACGTAGTGCTCATCCGGGTTGAGGCCTGAGCTTTTCTTGATGTTCACAATGTCGTCCAAGCCCAATGCAGCACCGTGTGTTGCTGGTGTACCGGCTTTCTGGGAGCCGATGCCGATTACTGTTCGAATGTTGATGAATGTGGGCTTGTCGCTGCTGCGAACAGAGAGTAGTGCGTGAACGATCGAGCTCACGTTGGAATGGCCGTCAAGGATGTCTATAACGTTGAAGCCGGTCGCTCTCATCTTAGCATTCATGTCTTCTCCTGAGTTGGCGACATCGGCGGTTCCATCGCATGTGATGTTGTTGTTGTCGTAGATGATGCAGAGGTTGTTGAGCTTCCAGTGACTAGCAAGTGACACTGCTTCGAGGCCGACGCCCTCCTGAAGGCAAGCATCGCCAATCATGCACCATGTCATGTTGTTCACAACCTCATGACCCTCACGGTTGTATGTTGCAGCGAGGTGCTTTGTGGCCATTGCGAGGCCGACAGCGTTCGCAACTCCTTGGCCCAACGGACCAGTCGTAACTTCGACGCCATCGTTCTCGATTTCAGGGTGGCCTGGGCAGATAGAGTCGTACTTCTCGGAGTGGTATGACTTGAGCTGGTCGGTTGTCATCTCTTTGACACCAACAAGATGCATGAACAGGTACTGCCATAAGCAAGCATGTCCTGAACAAAACGTGTTAGCTTTCGCCCATTGGAGTTCATCACTTGTGCTACCTGGTGACTTACCATTGGACAAAACGAATCGATCGCGGTTGAAGTAGCTGCCATTCTTGGGCGAGAACTTCATGACATATTTGTACAGTGCAACACCAATGGCAGCCATGCCCATGGCCGACCTGCACCTTGTCAGTACTGCAGCATTGGGTTCTGTTTTGAGACACTTACCCTGGATGCCCACCATTGAACTGTTGGCAGAGGTCTGCAATGTATGCGCGGAAGTATCGAAGAACGAGATCATGCTTTTCAGAGTTCTCGAGCTGTACAGCAGCGACTGCCGGAACGCCGTTCACCTTTGCCGCGACAGGCTTAATCGGTAGGTCATGCGAGACCTCATCATAGTACTCAAGTGTCGGAGCCATAGTGCTATAGGTAATGAAAAATGCAGAAAGCAGACGCTGATGCTGCCTCCCAAAGGTGCCCTTGACCTGTATTTATCAACATTGTCGTTGCTTGTGGTGGCAAGCAGGAACACTCGCAATGAAGCCGCAACGATCGCTCGACGCGACAAATGCACGCACCAAGGGGATCCCGTATGTGCGAGGACTGTGAGTGATGGTCGACTAGCGCCCATTGATTGGAGCTCGTCTCGAGCTGCTCCCGGAGTCACTCCACTTGCAAGTGACCCCCAACTGTCTCGATCTGGGGCCCCGCATTTCAGGACGACACACTCGTGGGCGCATGAATCATGACTTCATATTTCTTGCGGCGCAATGCGGAAGTAAATGTTCTGACGAGCATGCGACATGCGAACTCAGTAGTGGTAACCCTGGCCGGTGCTTCTCGTTTCGAGCTTGTTGGTGCTCGCTGATCAAGTGCCACCACTCCAAACTTTTACAAGGTCGTTCAGAATTGATCTTGATGGAAATTCGCTGATGAGCAATACCCTATCCAGAACCTCGAGGATCTCACCCTGTTTCTCTTGACTATCTGCATACAAGGCAGCTTCATATCATTAGCAAGAACAGATATAGCAGTCGGCAGGCTGCAACTCACCGGCATAAACAGCTTGGAAGCTGACGAAAGCACTGGGCAAGTTCTGCGACTGCTGTGCAGCAGCAATCCCGCAGATCATGGTAGTACTTTCGCGCAGCATCTTGAACCGTGTTTGGTAGACATTCAAGCCCCCCGTCGAAGGCTGATTGAGAACCATGACAATCCGAGAGAAGTGATACATTTGTATTGCGGCTGCATGTGCAGGTGGATGGATCCAGATTGGCGCAAGCGACACTGCATCGGAGTTCGTTTTTGGAGTCGAGTATGAGCCGACGATACGTATCGGTTCGAAGGATTGAGGAAGGCATCGTTTCCATGCGTCCAACATCCGCATCAGCGTCGCGCCAGCTTCAATGTACTCTGTGATGTTCTGTTCCTTTGGAGTCGCAGCGAATTGTACCTAACATGTATCAGTTCTGCCTGTTCTGACGGCCGTGCTACACATACACATTTGGCTGTAATGTAGATGATGCGCGTGGTCAGTTCTTCCGTCGTCAAATCGGACATTGACTTGGTCGGCTGATGTATGGTCAACGTAGGGCGACCTGTGCGGAAAGCCGCCCATATGTCTTGACGCAACCATGAGAACCAGACAGCGCGTCTAAGACTATCAGTAGATTCACCACTAGTGTTAGAGTTACGCTGTATCCAAAATGCTCCCCTCGATATCATCAGCAAGGAGATACGCAAACATGTAGGGCAAGGTGTACCTCAGATGACGATCCCATGCAGAGTGGTCGGGATTTTCTGCTGTCCCAAACATCTCGTACGTCGATATCATGATGGCTGTGATCAATATCTCGTGTGAACCAGTGTATGTTTGGTACAGCAGATTTTGCGAGAGATACTGCAAGGTTTCGAAGTAGTATTGCTCTGCAAACTTTGCAGCATTTGGTGACAGACTGTGCACAGACGCCGGCGTACCTGGTGAAACATGTAGAATGGCTTCGTTGGGGTCAGTGGGGGCTTGACCGAGCGTGAGATGTCGGGCACCAACGGCTAGGATCGACTTCAATAAACCAACATTGCGTAAAGCAAGATGCGGTACCATGCTCGCGAAGTGGCTCAACGGGTCAAAGAGGTCCAAGATGGGCGCGACAACATTAATGTAGTGTTCAAAGAAGACCAATTCATGATCCTTCAGCTCAACCCTTGTGTCTGTGTTCCAAGGCTGAGACGGTAGATCTTGCGTCGCTGTTGCTGGTCCATCGCCATCGCCATCGCCGGGGCCTGCATTTGGGGCGACAGACTGCCGAGGTGTCTGTCTACGTGACAAGCTCGAGTAGTCGAAATTCCAGCGATTGCTGGGGTTTTGGTCCTGCATAGTGTCTATTGCATCTTGAGCCAAGACATCATACCATTCGATCCTAGACCACTTGAGTTGTTTGGTTCACATGACAGCTTCGATCACTTACGGGCCGAACGACGGAGTAAGGGTATCGCCGAAGGAGAAAAGACTGTCGTCTAAGAAGAAGCTGTCGTCCGGCAGCACGGTACCTGGAACCTGCGGTGGATCGATGTTGAATGGGATCCAGGATTGCGCGGCCTCTGGGCCAGAAGTGCTCAGACCGCCAGATGGCGCGGGGAGGCCAAGAGATGCCACCTCGGATTCTGACAGAGAAGTACTATTGGTAGTGTTTGGCAGTTCTTCGACCGTGCGAGCGCTCAGGGCTCGAGATCGCTTTGGCGTTGCCGACTTCTGTGGGTATTCGCAATTCCGCTCTACTCTTGTACAGTTCTTGCAGCGAGGACGCGTTTCATCGCATTTGACTCTGCGTTTGCGACAAACCAAGCTACACATTCTTTAGCATACGCTCACACTGTAGTCACGTGCGTGAATATTGCGTCCCGATAACTGTATGCATGACTGCTGCTATTCACAAATGGATTTGACTTACCAGCCTGTCGACGTTCGCAGCCCACGTGATTTGGAAGGCATCGTGACACGTTTGTAGGGAAATGTTGGATGGAGAGCTGCAGCTCGCATCGAGCTGCAGCATCCTCTTATGTAGCGACCGGCAGTTAGCCGCAGTCTCGTGAACAGCCCACCGACCCCGCTATGCCCCTCTCTTCGAAGCAATCGTCGCCAGTTTCTCGCGAATACGTAAAGTCGTGGACCCATTCTTGAACTGATGATCCGGGGTCGCGAACGACTTGTAGGTGTGTTGAACTGTGGAGTGTGGGGAGCGTGGTGCCGGCTTCAGCCGAGGCGCTACGAGACACGCGACTCAACCCATGGAACGCGCCTTTTGTACGCGTTTGACATTGCTTCTACGCTTCGGGAGAAAGGAACATCAGCGAGACGCCCCGTATCGGTCTCGTTGATATCGTGAGGTGTTGGGAATTAGGATGTGCGCGCGGAAGACGCGTGCTGCTGCTGGTCCATGCAGGGAAGGAAAGAAGGAATTATTGGAGATTTGCTTCCACGATCACCATTTTCCTTAGAAGTCAAGTTCATCAATCAGGACACCACTGCATATTCAGGTATGGTTTTCTGATAGGGGTAGAAGTGTGTATTAGTCAACGTTCGCAAAGGCGTGATGAGATTGCTCTCTTGAAGATCACTATGAACTTCTCTCTTATGCCTCAGATCAGCTCAACCGTCGTAGTCGGCACAGCGTCGAACAACGACTCGTCCATCCAACGCGCTAAACCGACCCTTCTATATTCCTGCCGTTTCGGGAGGCTTGTCACTACGATACCCATAACCATCGATCTCATTGCACCGTCTTGCTTAAGTCGAAGCTGGTGACGACGAAATGACCGCATCGACTCACTCTGAAGAGCTACACAGTACGTATCCTTCAAAAGAGCGGTTTCCCCAGCTATATCAGGGTAGAAGACACCTATCGGCGCTTTATTCTGAGTTAAAGGCTGCCCGCCATCAGAAAACCGTACAACACCTGGCCCGCACTGTACTCTGATGCAACGTGTCCCACTCAAGATGATTCGTCCTTCGCGGACATTAGCATACTCTTTGTCTTTGTCTTCTAAGGTCATCTGTACGCTCCGCACTTTCAGCGTCTTTAAGCCAGGATATATATCTTCCGGATGTTCGTACTGAGCGCTATCGTGTCCCGGCTCCAGTCTCAGACTTTCGTAAGTTACGCTGCCCATAAGAGAAGCCCAAGACCACGATGGCGCAAGGTAAGCTGGCCGTGTCGCCGCATAGTCATTGACCCGCCACAAGAGTGCGGCAGGCAGATCTGTGCTCCAGATGCCAGCAAGATACTGCTTTCTGCCACACCCGAAATCTTTGGCAAGACCAGAGAATGCTATCAACTTGTCCGTCGGGAAAGTTAAGGAGCGAGATGCGTAGTCCTCAACGAGTTCGTACCAAGGGTACTGCGGTGCGCCTATGATCTGGTGAGAAAGGTTCTCGCGCATCATGCGTGGCGTTCCTGACCGCGCCCCTAACGTTGTCTCTTCCCAGGGTAATTGTGCGGTTGCTTTGTGCTCCTTATTCTCCCAGAGCAGTTGGTTTTTTGCGAAATAGATTGTGCAATTTGACAGTTCCTTTTCTTGCAAGACCCAAGCTCTAGTCCGGAGAGGGCTATCCGTCTCAACGCCTGCTTGCAAAGATTGCCCATTGAACTCTTCAACCCATGATCGTGGCATCTTTTGGAAGATCCTGATTCGTGAAGAACGGTGGAGCTCGGCCTTCAGTTCCACGTAAGGGGATTTCAGTGAAGCCTGAATGTTCGAAATGACCTTGCATCCTTCGCTGCTATCTTTCGAGCTCAATGCCGCCAGTGTACAGACAGCATTGCTGTAAACCTCGGCCATGAATGAGGCTTCTTGTTTCCAGTCCTCCATACAATCTTGGATAATGCACATGGAGTCGATCCAGAGATAGCGAATGCCGAGCTGCCTAGTGATCTGTATGGCATCACGGAACGTCTTGGGTAGGGCACCAAAAGCAACTCCTCTCTTGATCCAGCTCTTTACACTGTTCATCTCCAGCCGTATAGGAACAATTCCACCCCAGCAATGACTCAAAGCAAGATATGATGGTGTGGAAGCGGCTCGAATGTCTTGAGACACCACTAGTCGGACATCATCACTCTCTGTGAAGGCTTCAACGTCCAGTAGTCTTGTCGGTAGGAATCGCCGTGCCATGCTTGATGCTGCCTCGCTAGGAAGAATGCGATTTCGTACCCATGTTCTCATCAAGCGCACATTGTCGGTCTCGTCATTAAACCTTGCGATAGCAGACTCGCCTGAATCGTTAGTGTTGTCACCTCAAAGAGTTGCCATCACTCACACCAGATATCAGGTACGCGGAAGAAGTACAATGTCCCCAAAGAGGTAGGGAACTTCTCCGTAGCAAGACAGAAAGCTCTGTGAGGATCACCGTAGTCTCGCCGTAAGTGAAGACACTCGTTGTGATCTTCCAGCTTCTTAAGCCAGATAGAGGCGACAAAAATTGTGCACAACTGGCAGCCTTGCTTTCCTTGCTTTTGCATGCCATTGTAGGACTGCAGCTTCGCTTTCGCTCCTCGGCGTGACTCAAACAAGTCATACGCTCTGGACCAAAAGTCTTCCGGTATGTTGCGACAGACGAAACATAGTTGCTGAGACATAGCTTCCAATTACCCTATGTTCTTGTGAAGGTGATGAAGATGATAACAATGCCACTGAGGATGACCTCAACGCGGTCGAGCTGCACCTTTTCAACTCTGCATTTCTTCAACTCCAAAAACCGAAGTTTAGTTCGAGTTTCGCGAAGCGCCATCATAGCGGTAAAGTTGCTAACGGTAATGTTAATTGGTCTGGCGTGCCCAACGGGTTCTCTATTAGGCGCTGCCATTTCCGGAACGAGATAGAAGACGAGCTGCGCCGCAGGTGCGCATCGCCCAAGCGGCTGCAGCACTTGGACGTACGATTTGGAACCCGCCGCCTGATTTATAAATGTATTTTTATCTATTTTTTTGGTCTTATCTACATTGATCGTCATTGTCTCCTCGACGCGGCGTCGCGGAAGCCATCATTGCCGTGCGTCTCGAGGGGGGTTGCACATCAGCTAACCGCCCACGCTCCACTCTCCACGGTCTTCGTTCTTCCTTCCCACATACCAGGCCTTCGGAAGACCTTGAACCCCACATTCTACTCCTATCGTACACTTACCAATTCTTTTTAATCGTTTCGAGTATTTGGTCTTCTCATGAAATGAAAAGCGAAATAGAAAGCATGTTGTCCCCGTTCAACCAGCTCGTAAGATGCACGAACTCACTCGATTGTCCAGCGATTGCGTAATTCCATCGAGTGTCGAATATTGGCACTTTATGAGGTTCCGGTTCATGTTTCTTCCAAAGACGCGCCCAAGCCCCCTCGGGCAATGCGAGCCACTGCTGACAATTGAGGATCGGGTCGACGAGTGTCCCGGCAACGTGCGAAAGTCGAAAGGATGTGTACGAACAAAGTGGCGTAGAAGATGCAGAGCATCATGTATTGACAACAGCAAACGTATATGTATCTTGATCGTATGAAATCCAGCGACCAGTCTGTGCAAGCCGTCAGCATCGATACAACAGACAGAAAAACGAGACTTACAGTTGAAAGACGATATCCCAACCTCAACACTCTCTCAGTACGACTCTTTGCAGTGCTTGCTAGTTCAAGATATCTTTCTTCTTCATCACGTTCCCTTCCAAGCCAATTTGCGGGAAGGTACTCCTGCGCCCAAACGAGACCACGCACAAGGTAATCCTCAGGCAGCGGCAGCTCGTCTCTCTCCTTGGTCTCATTGTCCCCAGGAAAGACAGATTGAGAAAGCAGAGCGTTGATATCGAGGCTGTTGTTTTTTTGAGTTTCGATTTTGATCAGCGTATTGAGAAATGAAACGAGCTCGGTCCAAGGAGTGTGGTCGACCAAGTGCGAAACGTATGGTACAGAAGCGAGCGTGCTGAGGAAGGAAAGCATAACGTGGACATGAGGAAGAACGTTTTTGTCGCCTATACGGCGGAGAGCGAGTGCAAAAGTATCGCTGGTCAGCAGTTTGGCCTTAGCAAATGCGGAGTCAGTAGAGAGAGTGTCTACTTGAGATGGGACTTGGTCTTCGGTGATCTTGGGGTCTGTTGGTTTCGGCTGATCGGCTGAGATTGTTGGTAGTTGTTGTTCAGTTTGGACCCCGGTACTTTTACGTTGGAAGGCACGAAGTAGGAAAAGTTGGCGGAGGACATGAAGGTCGATACCGTAATCGAACCACGCCGTGATGTTACTCACGGCAATGTAGACGCCCTGCTCCTTCCACTTGGCAGTGACACGACCAATGTGGTTATCCAAGCTGTCCAAAAAATCTTGACTGGCTTGTTCGTATCCAGGTTTAGCAAATCTTGTGAATAGTAGTGCATGCGATTTGGTGAACTTGGTGTCGATGTTGATTCCAGTGTAGGTCGTCTGGTCGTCCTGGATCAGAGGCTTGAACAAAGTCATGATCGATTCGCGAGCGCTGGGAAATGGCTCGACGCAGTTCAACGAGGTGGTGTAATAGTAGAGCTGCTGAAGAGCATTGGGACGTGCTAGTATGGCCAGGTGGTGGTAAAGACGACCAACTGTAGGGTTCTTGTCTGCAGCCTTTGAATACCACGACCTTGCAACTCCAGCCCAAGTCTCACGATCTCGAATATCTTCGTCCTCGATAGCCATGCGGTACCGGCCAAGATCACCAAGGCATTCAATCCATGTATCCTCAAAGGCCGGTACGGTTTCATACAGGAGAGCCATCATCTGGTAAGCCAAGTAGATAAACGCCAACATGTAATCCAGACTATGAGGAAGCTTTTTCCGTAGTAACTCAAGGAATGAGTGAATCCCATGCTTCCACATGCGCGCCGGCATAGTGTATTTACCCGCCAATCGACGAAGTGCTGGTGAAGCGGAAGGGTGCTGGGAAGCCAGGAAAAAATCATGGTGTTCATGAAGCAATGTACGGTGGAGAGCTATCAGCGCCTGCCAATGATCAGGAGCAAGTTTGGGGTTAGCCTCGTGCGGCACAGCTGCCTGCGCACGATCGACATGAATACACTTCGTCTCGACCATAGTTAAGCCCGCATATATCGATTTTACTTCTGATGCGAGCTGCTCTTGAGATATTGGTCGACTATCCGGCTGCAGTAGAAGCCCTGGGTAGCGTGGATCATATCTCTGAAGTTCAATCAACCCTGGTTGGCGCGGTTGTGTGGGACGCGGTTGCGACTTGATAGTTCGACCTTGCTTAGTCGGCGACTCTAAACTTTTGAGACTGTTGCCAATGTCGATTGACCACTCGCTAGATGGCTCTGTTATTGAACGTCGAGGGGACATAGTGCCCTTGGCACCATGCTTTGGGTTATACAAACGGGCGTCATGGCGTTTAGACCGGACCTTCTCTCCCTTATTCGAAAAGGGTATGTTCCTCGAACAATCCGGATCAGCAATCTCCACGTGCGAAGGAACCTTGTCTTTACCAGCATGGAGCTCGGAATCTGCTCGTCGCTTCTTGCCCGTTGGTGAGGTCTGTCGATCTTGACCAGGTTCCAATGACAGGGCAGCAATGTCCGGGGATGAGTGACGGGCAGGGTCGTCACCAGCGGCAGCTTCCGTGGGCTGGCCCGACTTCCTGTTGAATATATTAGAAATGTGGCAGACATGAAGAACTGTTCTTACCTCAGAGCCTTGACTAGCTTCTCACGTGCACGAGGTGATGCTAGGCCTTTGAACTCGGAATCATGCTCAATCCTCGCATGGTCCAAAAGCTGCTCAGGACTCTGGAAGACCCTTCCTTGATGATCGCAGTATGGACATGACAATGCGGTTGTCGGGCGAGGTTCAGCCTTATGGTGGCTCGCTTGCGTCCATAATGCATTGATGAAGTGAGACTGGGTGTCAACATTACCTGGATTCATCTTCGTGTAACCAAGGCACGTGCCGCAGTTTCCGTTGAAGTTCAGGTACTGAAGTCACCGAATGTTCAGTAATATGGACCGATCTGACAAGAATGCCAAACGACGCCACATTGGCAGCTGTACGACCTGATCTCGGGTGTCGTCTGAGGGACTTCCTCAACTCTCGAAAGATAACCTTCGTTACTTCTGCTGCGACCGAGATGTGAAGCACATGGAGTTGATGGAATCGACAAGTCCGATCGGGGGCGATTCTGTTGTTGGGCTGTAAGGTGTAGAAATGAAGCGGAGGGGCTGTGGCTTGGCGTCCACGCTAAAAACAGCACTTTGAGTAACAATAACAGCGATTTCGCGCTCCCGTTCGTTCGCAAATGTATGTTGCTGCTAATTAACGCACAGCTTGTACTTTGGAGGCTGAAATGAAAGAATGTTGCAGAATATGCCTCAAGTGGGGTGTTAAGAGGTGAAAAATTGCGGCTCTGCGATGGTCAGCAATCGTGCGAACAGGCAAAAAGAAGGCAAACGAGCATGAGTCCAGGGCTTCTGCGGCCGTATTTTACGCACATCGACCCACCCGATTCCCCTAGTCAAAGGCAAAATGGATTGGCTTGCATGAAGTCCTTCGTCACAACCTTGAAATGGTTTGCGCACCAACTCCCCTCTGCTGTTGCACATCGGTCTTCCAGATCCTCGGAAACTCCAGAGCGAAAGCAACTTCTCAGCAGAAATTTTGTGATCATCCTTACGCCCACACTGCGTGAATACCTATGATACCGTACCTTCTGCAAACAGTTCAATCCACACTCTTTTGTGATGATTGTCTATTTCCGGATGAAACGCCTCGACTTCTGCAACATTACACCCGTGAATATTGGAATGAAGCGGTCTGTATACAGTTGAGGTTGCGCATTTCGCGCCCGTACGGGTGCACGAGCTGCATTCGAGCATGCGCCTTTCCTCACAGTTGATATTTTGTGTCTCGCGACCACTGGATGCCCGTAGCTCCTCCTCATCGTGTCAAGACCTCGCTTGAGAATGAGCTATTGTCTACGCATCAATAAAGACGGGGCCATGCGCCAGCTCGCCTCAAAGGTTCAGCAATCAGCCGCAAGTCAGCGTCAGCCGTACGACTCTACAGGCAAAAGGTGGTTTGCTATGACCATACAAGAATAAGCTAAGGCCTACAGAAGACGATATCACACCGGACAAAGCAGGCAATCACTGCCCAAGTCTCCGTCTGGCGAAGGACGAAGCCAAAATTGCGGCCTGACACATGTCTTCGATGCCATAGGGGCAGATGAATCAGATACCATCGTGTTCATCGTCATAATCCTGTGCACTATTTCTTGAAATTGCTTCATTTGGGGATCAACTTTCACGGTAAATGCGCTTGGTTGCACTGACGGTCATTTGTGCTGCACCTGCACGTCATTCGCGGTCCGTTCCACTCGAAATGCCCGACTTCGAAACCTCTCAATCGATATTCCGGTGCGCCTTGATATTGATGCCGACAACACACAACACCTGTACCATGTTTGTATTTAACATACACAGCGAAACAAGAAGAGTATGGACCAATAAGTGGAGACCATGTGTTCGGAGAGAACAGCGCTTCAAGTGGGGTAGGTTCCAATCGACGCATTGCGCTTTTTAGCTTTGCAGGTGTGCTGCAATGTAGTCTAGACGAGCACATCTAACCAGCCTAAAGTACACCTAGTATGCAAGATATCGGCTTGATCCTCAAGCGCCTACAAGCCTGAAACCTCGAGCCCGACCGGCAGTCGCGCGAAAACAAGGTTCAAACAGTCGAAAGCTCACGAACGCCCTTTGAAAGACCATGGGCTCATGAACATTCGTTTGTTAGCCTAGCTGCTCTGATGTTTACGTCTGTGGGTCTTCGTATGAATCTAAATAAAGACATAGAGGCATATACCGAGGACATATGTCTTGGGAAGCATTTACTGTCAGAATGTCACTCATGCTTGACGATGGTTTGTCGCCATTCCAGACGCGCGAAAATTGCTCGCAGGCAAAGGGTGTGCTGCCTCAGTAAGTTCTTGTTTCAAGTGCATTGCCTAGATACCCTGTGTTGACCTTGATTCGCATCAGCATATGGATCTTCAAGCCGAGAACACACGTGGGACCCTCCGATCCTGGCAAAGAGGCCATCTGTAACATGTATGAGAATCTTATGATACACTCAGCACATCTGAGTCCTTCATCAGCAGGCTGGTTTTGCTGAAGTGTCATTAACTTTTGCATCCAGATGACGATGGCACTTGACCGATAATACTCTGTTGCCCTTCCAGCACAATGGTTCAACCTGTTGGTTGAATGTTCTACAGCTCCGTGCATGCGATTGGACTAAGTGAGCATTTTTGTAATCATCTCCACACCCTCTTCTGTGGTCCGTCCAATGGTAACAGAACGCATGCCTTACTAGACCGATCCATCTTTTGAGAGAGCGGGTCGATCAAGGTGTCAGATCTGCCTCGGCACGGGGAACCGTTAAGCTACGCCTTCTTGATCTCATCATACTGAAATCGACAAGGATTAGGACACCAAAGCTATAGAGCACAGGTTGCATGCGGTTCGGTCACGTATGCACTAAATCAAGTATAGACAGAACATCATGAAAAAAGTGTTCCCTGGTCAAGAGCAGGCAACGAACAGGGGGTCGTAACCGATGCGATATGCCGTTCCACTAGTAGGTATCTGCGCGTTCGTCGAACTGCTTTCGAGGACACGAGACGCTTCGTCATCCCAGTGTAAGCTCCTCCCACAATGCTGGAAGCTTTGAAACCATGTATTACGTTACGCAAGGGTGACCAATCCTGAATCTTCTGATGATCTGATTTCTGACAGTGTCCATTTGGCGATCAGCTGAGGTCTATATGCCAAAATATAGTAGCTGAGGCGAAACTTGACCGAGTTCCGTTGTTAATGCTGTCCACGATGCACGAAGTCCAGTAAACCCTCGTGTGACAGTCTTGTAGATCGCCGGAGCCTACACTAAATCTCACGTGTTGGTGGACTCGACAATGGCGTTCCATATAATGGGGTCCAAGAGTACTGTCCAATGAGATGTCACATACAGAAGTACCTGGGCATATAAGCTCCTAATGCGGCTCTGTTGCCTAGTTTGCCTACCAGAGGTACATACACGAACTGCAGTTCCTCCTGGAACTACAAATCCTACGGACTCCAGCCTTACGCCACTAAGGACTGCCTTTGCTTTCAGGTCGCCAATCTCGGCACAGCATTGCGTCTTGCACTCTTCATGGCTGCCTCATGAATCGTAAAGCTGACCAATGAGACACCAGGGTAAGCGGTCTCCTAGACAGTCGCGAGAATGTGCGAAATTAGGTTCAGCCACCAGTTTCCGTCATGATATTTGTTTATTCGTAGGACTGGTACAAAGGGCCAAATTCGCAAGGCTGGAGCTGCACGCCTCAGGCAACAAGCAACCATTCATTCAGATAAGGTGTTACAGATTTGGGGGCCGGATGCAGATACGCAAGGCTGAATCCAGAAACAACGAATCATAAGTACACAAATAGACGTGCCCCTGCCGTCCAGCTATTGGGCCCATGATGGTCCTGCTGTCACAACGTCAAACATCCTGTATCGAAGTACCCCTCTTCGAAAGGGTCAACCCGATGCCCACATTGAAGAGAATGTCTGGAATTTGTATGTTCTGCACTTACACATATGCTTCCATTCCGCAACCTAGATATCGCCAGGATGGATTAGACAGAACTGACTCTTCTCGGTCCGACCGTGCAGATCCTCACCAGTCCTTTGGTCTGCTTTTGCTCCACCATCACCGGTTCGACGACCTCCTCTTCGTTCAATTGCTGACTCATTCAATTGATGACTCATTCAATTGCTGACTTATTCAATTGTAGAGATTGCAGACATCCAAATGCTCTTCTGCCATCACAAGCGTCCATGATGGTCTAGGCGATGAACCACTACAGATCGCGACGAGGTTTCGTTCGTTCCGCGGGCAACACGCTTTTCGAATAGCAAACACTCCGGTGTGTCCAAGTTGTTGCCGCTTCCTCAAGGATTTTCGGTCCTGTGATGACCGGACTTCGCCAAATCTCGGTCGACGTTTCTCAAGGGGAAAGAGTGACGGCAAACAAGAGGCAAATGAGAGTCCAGTGCTGTAGCAGGCAAACGGATAACCCAGTACCAACAACTACCGGCATCCTTAGCTGCAGGAAAACATCTCGGAACTAGGAGGTCATGAGCAGAAAGGTGTGTGTTCGGGCATCAGTCATGACAGAAGTTGTTTGGAGTGGGTTGCCAACGCATCGTACTTCACCGTAAGTTGTGCGACGTGACTACTCAAGGTCGCGTGTCGTGCGTGCAATCGATGCACGCTGCACTCGCGCCGTGAAGTCATTCTTTGCAGGTGGATACGGCAGGACTTGCGCCACATCAACAGGCGCTTCCGTGTGATGTGCGGCTTAGAATGTGAAGTATCACCAAAGATGACACCTCATTGACGTATTCTTGGAGTTGTCGTATGTTGATGTTGGCTTACGTGTGAGGCTGAGAGCCTTCATGCTCGTGCTGATCTGGTAACGAAGTCGCGTGGCTGAGGCATTCGGCCCTTTTTCTTTCTCCAGCTATGACCTGCATGCTGTATCTCGGCATCTGAACTAACACCCGGTGAGCGGAGACAGTAACATTGTGCGACTTAACTCGTTTGTCGTACATAGCACCAATGTTGTGGCGTTGAGTCGAAAGGTCAAGGTTGAACTAAGATCTTATACGAAAGGTAGGAGGCAGGCCGTATTGTTGATAGTTTACACCTACTGCTGAAATCTCTTATTCGTATGAAAACATCTCGACCTTACTATGCAAGATACAACAAGCCTGGAGGTCCTATTTGGGAGTGCGAATTCTAGCACAACTCGTAGGGCTGAATCAAGCGGGGAAGGCAGCAAGGTTGGGAATCTTTGGATGCCTAACGCGGATGCTCAACGAGTAGCGTACTTTACTTTTGGTTCATCCTGGCCATAACATGCAGAAAGTACGTCGGTTTACATGGTAATTGACTCTGGACAAGACCATCTGTCATTCGAGAAAACGAATCTGGAACCAAATTGCTTTCGAGCCGTCGATACTTGGTATCAACAATAAGCGTAACAAAGACAAACGGCCAGATAGAGAAATGGGACTCAGAATGGAGTGCGAGGACTTACAAGTGGAGAAGCTGAAAGACTCTATTGGATGCCATTCATGTCCGTATGCCTCAGACCAAAGACTTTCATGTCAGGAAAATGAATCGTAAGGCATAAATGGCCACAGAATTTAACGAAGACCTTGACCGGGTAAACATTCGATCATTCAGGCAACGAACGATGGACTCTACCATTGACCAGGCTTGGTAAGGTAACTGTCGTTAAAGTTTACTGAAAGGGTAAGCCATATGAAAGCTCTGACACTTACCAACAGAGTACCTGCGCTTAGTCTTGGTATGCAAGCCGCTAATATATGGCTGCCTGCGAATGCGAGACCTGTGCTTGGTAATGGTTACGAACACAGTCTTATGAGTCATCCCCTGTCGAACGTCTACAGCTGATTGACTGTGCGGACACTCGCAGTCGCGGAGGATTAAATCACCACTGAGCGTCAGTTTCACATGTTGCACGTACTGTGTTCTCCAGTCAAAATCCCCGTCAGTCTACATACAGAGTCAGCACGGGCTGGAAGTGCCCTCAGCGATGGCTATACGTATATCATAAGCTTCGTGGAAAGGTCGTACATACCAACAATCCGATACTACGTCACTTATGGCATCTTGATGTACGTTCGTTCGTTTCCCATCTTCATGGTACTCGTGCTGGAGATGCCAAACACTTCCCTGCAATGCAAGGCTCAAGGCAATCCCTATGCCTTGGACATCACCCTTATCCCCCAATATAACCCAGTCGGTATTCGGCAACACCGAGTCCCAGTAATTGTGTAACCTCGGTACCATCTCTCCGCGTACAAGGAAGACGAAGGCAGGAATGAGCGCAGCTCCAGACTAGCAAAGAAGGCAACCAAACTTATCATGCAATTTCTGGGGTTAGAACGACTTCGGAGCCACATAGATATCCCCTGAAAGGATACGAGGCAGTGCCGGGACGACACGCCTCCAGCGACTCCTTGTCAGGAGATGCCAGCTAGTCTGCACCCACCTACATGGAGTTGCGTGATTGTTTCCGTATCGTATGTCGCGGAGTCGCGCTTGTTGCAGAAGGCACCACAAGCTGTCCGGACGGCTTTTGATATCAAGGATGGCTTCTTGCAAACTGGCAATCATCCTGCGTTTTCTCTGTTGAAGGACGATGGGTGCGCTTCACCGGATGTCCGCGATTCAGGAGTCCGCTAAGAGTCTGCCAAGTAATTGCTGCACATCGCAAGCCCTGGTAAAGCTGCCAATGCTTGTGATCTTTCGACTTCGTTTTTTTGCTAGCCAGGCCGAGAACATCCGTTTGCTATCTCGAGTGAGGCTTAGACAGTCGTTGGTGATCTTACGAAGATTGTGGCTTTGCTGGTCGTGCCAAGAAGAAGCGAGCTCAAGCAGGGTCCTGTTTCGAGCGGCCATTGAGCGTATGGCACCTGAGAATGACCGAAGACAAGTCTGTGTGAGAAATGCAGTTTCTGAGGTCGTGCGCGGCAACAGTTTCCGTTCCGTAGAAAAGCTCCGGCAGCAGCACATCCTTCGTGATTGCCTGCAGGACTGATCAGCTAACACAAATGTCCCCTCATGAGAAAGTAGTAGTGCTGTATAAACTCTTATGGGTATTCATTGGAAAGTAACCGTACTTCACAAGAACATCGGTGTTCGAGCGAGATCGCTGTTTCGCAACCTTGAAGCATGCTGTCAAGGTTTGCAGACCAGCACTGCGAATACGGCTGTTAAGCAAGCAGCATCGTTACACCGCAGATGACAAATGTCAAAGACTGGAAGTTGAAGCTCGAGGCAGCAGACCTTGCCATAAAACCTAGCATAAATCGGCCCTCCTCTTTCCTCTCTGCAGCTACATCAACTCACACTGAGTTTCTCAGCTCCTGTGATTTCCTGCTACTTTTTGCAACTGTCATGGGGATTGCTCAACACGTTTGAGCTTTTTCACACCTTGTGCGCGTTTTGAGAATTTGCAATCGAGATTCTGCAGCACAAAGAGCTATCAGAAGCTACCGAGACGTACAGCAACGCGTCCATGGACTAGATGCTTCCAAAATGCAAAGCACGACAACACTCACAGCCTTACTTATGAGCTTGAGAAATGAATACAACGAGATGTTCAAGAGATGGATGTTGTGACCCCACAAGAATGTGGAGGAGCGCCTTGCTAGCGCCGGACACTGAACAGGGCCGGAACCCCGACAATGGGAATCTTGAACAAATGGCAACGTCATGATCAATTGTTATCGATATCTCCCACGCGAGGAGAACCACCAAAGCAACGGCTGCTAGCGCTGTCAAGCTTAGCGGACCAGATGTCGCGGACGAAGACTTGGCTTTCTTCATTTCCTCCCCCTCTCTGTGCCTCAACACGAGTGTCGTGGCTGCTTCGTCTTGGTAAGCAACATTGCGGCCGTACCGAGCGCTAGTTTTGATGACAATTAGCCCCAACATCGCATTTGTGGCGATGCTGTAACGCGTTGTCCGGCGACTACAGTCTAATCCTTTCAAGATAGGTTCTAACAATCATTTAGTAATACAGCAATGCGTATGCAATCGTAGACGGGAACGCCCTCGAAACCTTCAGTGTCACCCCTGTGCACGAGATAACATCATTCATGATGGCGGAGAATACAGATGCTGCGTTCGTCAACGACAACGACCTCGATCGAACCTTTCGTCCACGCTCCAAGTCGTCAAGATCGAACTCGAGGGTACCACTCCTTATCCATAGCAAACCGGGCAACTCTGGCGCAAGTTCGCCCGGACTTGACACCGACGACGAGAACACACGGCTTCTAAACCCTACACCGATCGACTATCGGAGCTCAGACAACAACGCGGGTGAGAATGAGGAACCAGAGTGGTACCGTGAGTTTGAAGGGCTGCCCTGGTGGAAACGACCTTCAATATACTGGCTCTTGCCACCCTTCCTTCTGTTTACAATAGCCTTTGGCGGTGTTGTGGTGCCCAAGATTAACCTGATTATGGACCTGGTCTGCGAGGAATACTATGCGTCGCTGGACGGCAACGGCGACCCAATCTCAGGGCCCATGGATCCAGGCACAGACAGGTGTCAGAATGACGCCGTATCCTCTCGATCCTCGCTCTTCCTCTTGTACGGCAGTCTATGCTCTGGCATACTCACAGCTATCATCAGTCCTAAACTCGGTGCGCTATCAGATCGATTCGGCAGGAAGACTTTCATGATCCTGAATACATCCGGTGCGCTGTTCGGCGAGGTCCTTACCATCCTAGCCGCCAAGTTCCCTGAGACTGTTCACGTAAATTGGATCCTGGTTGGCTACGCCTTTGAGGGTCTATCCGGCTCATTCACCGTGGGCATGGCCTTGGCGCACTCGTATGCTAGTGACTGCGTGACGCCACAGAAAAGAAGCGTAGCGTTCGCCTACTTCCATGCTGCCTTGTTCAGCGGCATTGCGGTGGGACCTATTGTGGCTGGTTACATCATTCAGGCGCGCATGAAGTACACTAGCAAGATCGATGCTGTGATCTTCATTTTTTACCTGGCGTTGGCGGCTCACGGCCTCTTCATCGCATTCCTTGTCCTCTGCATCCCCGAGTCGCTGAGCAAGTCACGCCAGGAAGCTGCACGGGAAAAGCACAGGGAAGAGATGGAAAGGTTGGGCCCAGCATCGGACTGGATCAACCAACTACGACACATCAACTTGTTCCGGCCCCTCAAGATCCTCTGGCCTACAGGTCCGGGCTCTTCCTCTGCTGTTCGTTGGAACCTGCTGCTTCTCGCGGCAACAGACACCATCATGTCTGGCGTTGCCATGGGAGCGATGGGTGTCATTCTTGTCTACATGCGCCGCCAATTCGACTGGCAATCGCTCGAGTCCGGACGCTTCGTCAGCATTGTCAACGGCTGCCGTGTTGTTGCTCTTCTTGGCTTCCTGCCCCTTCTCACCTGCCTCGTGCGTGGTAAGAATGGTGCAATGAAGCAGCGCCAGTCTGGTACCGACCTGTTTGATCTGTCCATTATCCGTGCAGCCATATTCTTCGACACGTTGGGCTACATTGGGTACGCTCTCGCACCCAGCGGAGTCTTCTTTACCCTCTCTGGTGTCATCACCGCTGTTGGAGGAATTGGACCGCCAGCACTTGGAGCTGCTCTGACGAAGCATGTCCCCAACGACAAAGTGGGCCAACTACTTGGCGCGACTGGATTGTTGCACGCCATTGCCCGGGTTGTTGGACCAACCATCTTCAATGGTATTTACAGTGCAACTGCCGCAGGCTACCGACAGACTGTGTTCGTTATTCTGGCATCGTTGTTCGGATTGGCGTTTTTGTGTAGCTGGTTTGTACGACCCCACGGTAAGCTTTGTGATGATGTTGATGGCAGGTAACTCTTGCTGACAATGTACAGTTTACCTAGAAGACGACACCGAGCCTTCCCCAACGCGCGATTGCTCTGCAGATGCATAGCACGCATCTTCTTTCCTGCTTGGGTTGAGACACAACCAATTGCATGACCCTTAGATTCAACAATACATGGACAGCGACAGCGTTTTCGAGGATGCACTTGCACACAACCTGTGGGGATAATTCCGAGTTTGAAGCGCAGCGTAATGTACATACAGCATAGCCGAACACATACATAATGATCGATTACCTGCGCACACATACAGTCAGGCATTGCGCATTTCCATCAGTAAAAAGAGGGTCACTTATCATTATGCAGACTTAATTGCCAACTTGGCCGACCATGTTACTCATCCACCTCACGTAAGCCAACAAAAACCGCAAAAAAAATCGACACCTGTGTGATTCGAACACACGCTCCCGAAGGAAATGCCTGGCTAATAATAGCAGGGCATCGCGTTAACCACTCCGCCAAAGTGCCGAAGGTCTTAGCTATAATCTTTTGTATAATTATACAATAAATATTCTTGAAAATATTTTGTTGGCTGATCGTTGAGCTTCTTCCAATCCTGGTGGGGCCGGAGAACACCGGAGTGTCTGGCCGCCATCTCGAATTTCAACCGTCAAAGACCATCTAACATCAGTCTGATTGTCGCACTCTACGATGACACGCTTGTCGCTAGAACAGTGACTACCTACCTTCCGCTCTGGGCAGCTGCCAATGTTGAGCCTTTCCAAGGTTGCAACAAATTTCGTCATGTTTTCCCGAGTTGCGTGGGCACTTCAGACTTTTCTTGGTCAAAAGTGTTGCTGAGCTGGACTTGGTGCACGAAAGTTGCTTAGTGACGAAGGCTGCCACTTCGCCAGCTCCCATAGTCCTCGCTCCACTCCTTTACCATCAACCCACACCCCAATTATGACTACCTTGACGTTAGATTTGCTGCAATTCATGATTCGTTTGGTACTCTCTCGAGGATATCAAGGCCAATTCTCTCGCTTTTCGGAGGTGCACAAGGTATATTTGCTCACTGACTGCCAAACCGTAGTCAGGAGCAGGACTACAGTTTATTCTGACCGAAATAAGAGAAGGGTTCAATTCTACTGAGGTCCTCCAGGCTCATTGCCGGATTGTCAGAAGCTCTTTCTCAGTTGAGACATCCATCCCAACAACCTAATCCTTTGGAACCTCATCTTGACAGCCACAAAACGACCACAACTGCAGTGAAAGCATCTGGAGCAGACCGATTGGAGATTCATGGTACCTGGAGGCTTAATCCAGCCTACTGAAGTGTTCAGCTCTGACCAAGCTCGCACTATAAACATGGCGTAGTCTCCCCACAATTCTGGCACACTCACGTTGAATAACTCCAAGCATCGAATGGCTCCTAACATACCTGGTTGGCAATCAGGCTCACGTGCTGGCTCCTGTACTAGTGCTATATAAACTCCTCTCTCACGCTCCCATCTTTCCTCCCTCCACAACAACTCATTGGCCTTCGTCCAAGCCAGCCAGCCAAAGCGATTCGCCAAGCTGCTTTGGCTCGGTGAAACGATGACCTTCGAACTAGGGATTCGCTGTCTATGGGCGGCCGTCCTCCTCTCGAAGATTGGAGAGGTCTTACTGAATCCCTAGTTCTTCTGAAGGTGCGTCCGGATCAGAAATACACTTTGTCCGAAAAAGAGAATCAGAAGTCTCGTTGTCCAAGATGTATTGATTCGAAGCTTGTTTCACAAGCTTTGCTCGCTGACTTTCGAATTGTGAAGGAAAGGAAGGATGGTCGAAGGTGGGCGGGGAGGGTTGATATAGACGTTACAAGCACTAACGTCCGTATCTCTTACTCTCACTACAGGTAAAGGTATGACACTAGGGTCTGATGCTCTCACTCTTGGTGAAAGTAAAGGTATACGTAGAGCATTTTTGATAGCTCAAGGAGCCGTTGATGCATGTCTGAATGTCTACAGTCTGAGTTCCGCCTATAGTCGTCGGGACAACTATTCATTTGCTGAATGTACCAGATTTTGGTCCAGTGATCGAAGGAAATGATCACATCGCATAGAACTTTGAGATGCAAGTCGAACCGCTCATTTCTCAGTCGGTTGGTTGCTATAGTTTTATACTACATTAAGCCGTTTCCATCTCTCTCTTACAAGCATCTTACTTCTTACCCTTACCCTTCTTCTTCTGCGCCTTCCCCTGGTCCTTCTTCGCCTCCACCTTCTTCTCCTCTGCAACCGGCCCACCCTGCGTCAGTCCCTCCGCCCTCTTCTTCCCCTTCTTGCCCTTCGGCCTGTAGTACGTGCGATCGCGCATCGGCAGCCACCTCTCGGCATCGATCTTCTTATTCGGATCGAAGTCCTTCGGTATACGGACCTTGCGTAACCGCTTCGAACGCGGCGCAATGGCTTTTGTAGGTGCGATGCTGCGCTTGCGTGCCTCGGAGACGAGAGTGGTGGTGGTGGGTACGCCGGCATTCTCGAGGGCGGCGGCATCAATGTCGGCGACAAGGCGATTGGCTTCGGGAAGGTAGGCGAGGAGGTCGGTGGGGATGGAGGAGGGGTCGTAGATGCTTTGTGCGGCGACGAGACCGGCGATGGCGGCGCGGTCTTCGTCATCTTGTTCGTAGAGGCTCTGGAAGATGGCACCAGCCGCCTTCGCGTTCTCGGAGTCGTGTGTGTCGAGCAGTGCCGTGCCGGCTGCGACCATGAGAGACTTGGAAGGTGCCTCTGTTTTCGACTTGTGCGGTGTTCTCCAGTACTCTGCAGCTTTCGCTAGTTCGGACTTTGCTGCTCCTGGGCGCCCTTGTTGCGTGTAGAGCGAGACAAGCGATGCAATCAGGCCTGGTGCAAACCGCACATCGAGGTCTGACGCGGAGCCGCTCTGCTCGAGACGCTTGAAGAATGACTCCAGAAGATAGGTGGCTGCGGCGTAGTTGTTCGTGATGATGTAGAGGGTTGCAATTGTGAGAATCAGACCAACATCGTTCGGCCTCTTCTCCAGCAAGGGTACTATCTCTTTCAGTGCTGCCTTCTCGGTCTCAGCACTTCGTGTGTGAGCTGCAGCATTGATAACACCAGCCATGTTGACAGCCGGCGACAAAGACGGAGATGGCGATGCCTCGATAACCTTCTCTGTAGATGATGCAACACCGGCCGTCTTCTGCGAGAGGAGCGAGATAACGTATTCGTCTTGCTGTAGGATGTTCGCTTGGAAAGAGAAGTGCTGGTTCGTGACCGGCGGCTTCGGCGACGAGTGGAATAGACGGTGTGACAGGTATGGGTTCGAATGCTCCTTCGACGCGGCGATGCTGTTGACTTGGGCGATGTAACGGACGGACAGATCCTTGATGCTGCATGTTGTCAGTTTGCAACGTCAGTTCCTGTGGTGTCTGCACTCACTCAGCGAACGGAATGGTGGTCGCCAGCTGCTCAGCCTCGTCAATCTTGCCCATCTGTGTGAGCACATAGACCTGCTGCACAGTGATGGGCAGTATCTCGGCCTTCTTCTCCTCCTCGCTGAAGTCTTCAACCGCATTGCAAAGATCCTTGGCCCTCTTCAGGCACACTTCTCCCTGTGCCAGTTCGCCGCGCGATATGCTCCCACATGCAGCGTTGAAAGCTGTCTCGAACGCCTCAAGGTCTTCTCTGGTGGGTTTCTTCTTCTGCGCTAGCTCGCCCTGTCCAGTCCATTCCAATTGAGCGTCTACTGCGCCAGAGTTGATGTTGATATCGAATGCTTCGTGGTCGACGGGGTGATTCGCTAGTTCCTTGTACACTTTTGCTGCCTGCGCGAAGTTCTCTGACCGGTAAGCCTGCGCTTGTTAGCTCTGGTGCCTCCAGTGATGTCTTAAGGTACATACAGCCTGAGCAAGAATGTGTTGTGTTTTGCGATCAGATTTCGCGCTTGACGCTTGTGCAATCTGTACAGCTTTCGTCGCATCGCCAGTCTTGTACAATGTGTATGCATATTCGAATTGCGCCTTTTGCTGCAGCTCCTTCACGTCCTCGAACACCTTGAGCGCGCCCTCGAAGTCGTCCAGATGCAGCAAGGCGATCGCCTTGGCGTGCTGAGCGTCTACATCATTCTTGTTCTTCTTGATCTCGGCATTGGCGGCTCGCAAGGTCTCGTCGTGGTCCTCAATGGAGGCTTGCGCCAGGAGTACTGATAGTGATTTGGCCATAGTAGAATCCTCGCTTATTTGGCATCCATCGGCGACGCGATTGTATGTTCGGCAAGAGTGTAGTGGTGCTGGCGGGGGTAGATGCGGAGGTTCAAGTGTAGCACGCGGGGAGATGAGGTGGGATGTCGCCTAGCTGTCACTTTGGTGTGGCTTGTGCGCACGAACATGAGTCCATAAAGCTCCTTGGTAGAACCATCGCGCTCCTCGCAAGAAATCTCTCTGTTTACAGGTTTATTGATATAATGATCTATGAAGTCTCAATCTTGAGCTGCCGAATGAAGAAAGACTTATGGATATTTGCCTCCTTCAGATTACGAACGTCTTTTTTTGATATCCAACGCCTTGAACATGCGGTGCAGTAACCCCCTACACCACTCACTAACCATGACGCCAACGCTATGCAATAAACCAATCAAACATCCTCGAACTCGTCTTCTTCGCTCTCTTCACCACCGTTACCGTTGGAAGCCGGAGTCGCTACGTTGGAGGGCGTTGGTGCTGCAGACATCTCGACCTTCACGCGTTTGGCATCAGGAAGCTCACTCGGTGTACCAACAGCCACGTCCTCAAACTCGTCATCGTCCTCATCTTCGTCTTCGTCCTCCTCTTCCTCTTGCTCTTTCTTACGACGCTCAGCCTCGATCTGAGCGAAGACATCATCCAAATTCTGCGTCGTGGTAATGCCGTCAGCCTGCTCTGTCTTGCTGGTAGGTCCGTTTGTGCCGTTGGTCTCTTGCTTGATGCCAGCAACAGCTCCGCCGGCGTCCTTGATGACCGTGGATTGAGTGTGCCACGATGGGAGCTGGTTCTGTGCCGCAATCTTCTCCTGGCGAGCCCTGTCTGCGGCTTGCTGCTTCTCGTTTTCTTCTGCAGTAGATGCAATCTGGACGTTGATCTTCTCGCGCTCTGCAGCAAGACCCTTGACAGCTGTAGGCCTTGTGTAGTTTGTGTCTACAACCTCCAGCTTCGTGCCAGGATCGATAAGCTTGTCGCGAGGTAGCTCGATCTTTGTGTCAACCGCATCTTTGCCCTCGATCAACGGGATCTTGAGCTCGTCGATGATCTTCATCATATCGAGCAGTGGCTTGAACTGCTTGTTGAATCTGGCCGGAGTGTCGTCGGCATCATGCTGGTTTCCCTCATCGATCTCGTCCAAAGGGTAATTGCACTTGATGCATAAGAAGCCTGATGCCCGAGCCTGAGGATCAGGGTTGTCAAGCACATCCATCATAGTGTACTGAGACCTGCAGCGCTTGCATGAAAGCTCTGCCTTCTCTGTCGTAGGCTTCGCATCCTTGTTGATCCGTTCGTGCATTTTGTGAATGCGGTATTTGGTCGAGTCGATGGCGCGGCGGTAGTCAATGTAGTACCACTCGCGGTTTGAGAGCTTTGTTGCACCGTCACGCTTGACTTGCTCAGTGTAGCTGTGTTTGTCAGCACTGCACGTTCGACTTTACCTCTCCAGACTTCACATACGTTGTGCACAAGCCTGCTTCCTTCAGCCTACCCACGAGCTTCCCGACGTATTTCGAGTTCTTGCCAGCGTCGAGAATCTGGACCATGTCTGACACATGCAAAGCGCCGTGGTAACAGAGGGCATCCAAAAGGACAATGTGCTCAGTCTCGTAAAACATGCGGACAACTATCTTGACCAGCTGTTTCGCCGTCTCCAAAGGATCCCTTCCCATGATGGCGGTGGATAGACGGTGTACGCTTGACGGCGAGTAGGGATACGATCTTCTCAGCACGAGAAGGTAGAAACGGCCTTTGTCTGCATGCGCCGGACTCGATCACTACTTGAAATGTCGCAGGCGACCCTTTCACTACGTCCCAGAGCTATATTAGTTCTTTGCCCACTGTATTACGGCTGTCCGCGAGCGAGTTGACGTGACAGAGTGGTGATGTTGAAGAAGAGAAGCTGAGCCACACGAGGCAGCGATGATGAAGCGGTAGCGCGTGCGGTGAAGCGCATTCTGCCGCGCCAAGTCCAAAACTTCAAGAAGTTCGCAGAAGCTCCCCCACATGTACCTGCAGCTGCAGCTTTCACCTCTCTTATGCTCTTCCTTGCCCTGAACAAACACTTTCCACACAGCCTCCGACTATCACAATGGCTGACAACGGCTCGTCAGATCGCGACGGCAAGCGCAAATGGGACAATGGCGGAGACCGCAGGCGAGGCCGCGGAGGTGGCAGCATGCAGCACGGCAGCCGTCCGAATAAGAAGAGAAATATGGGCCGTAAGGAGCACGCGTAAGTATTCGGTGCTATGATCCAATACGCTTCTCTAACTAAGCAAGCAATGAGCAATTAGATAGGCGAGGTCGCAACGCAGAACAGCAGGCCCGCAACAAGGAAGCGCAAGAGAAGGGCGAGAATGACAAACCAGCCCTGCCCTCAGCATTCCCCGCCGAAGAAGTTGCAGCCGAGGAGCGCAGGCCGAAGCGCAAGGTCGCTGTCATGGTTGGCTACTCTGGCACTGGCTACAAGGGCATGCAGATCGACAATAAGCAAAAGACAATCGAGGGCGATCTCTTCAAAGCATTCGTCGCTGCCGGCGCAATATCGAAAGCGAACGCCGACGACCCCAAGAAATCGGCACTAGTACGCTGCGCACGTACCGACAAGGGCGTTCATGCCGCCGGCAACATCATATCATTGAAGTTGATCATCGAGGACGAGGATATTGTGGACAAGATCAACGCCAATCTGTCCGAACAGATTCGAGTATGGGGCATTCAGCGGACAGTAGGTTCTTTCAGCTGCTACCAGGCGTGTGATTCACGATGGTACGAGTACCTGATCCCAACACACTCGTTCCTCCCACCGCATCCATCGAGCTACCTGGGCAAGAAGCTAGTGGAGGAGGCAGAGAAGGCGGGCGACCTTGAGGAGTATAAGAAGAGGCAGGCTGAGGTGGCAGACTTTTGGTCGGAAGTTGAGGAGAAGTCTATCAAGCCCATCCTTGAGACACTGGACGACTCGATAAGGCCGCTGGTAGAGGAGGCCCTGTATATCGCCGACTCCACAGACGCGCCCGAGGACCAAGATCCTATCATCGAAGCTTCCATCGATGAGGCACTAGCAGATGCCACAGCCGCCAAAGAGGCCGAAGAAGCAAAGGCCACAAGCGAAGAGGCAGCCGCCGAAACCGCGATACCAGACGCAGGTGAAGCCATGCAAGTCGACGAAGCCAAGGAAGCCGTAGAGAAAGTCGAAGCTCAGCACCCCACAACCACATTCGACGACCAGACCGACGGTTCCATCCCGCTCCCCTCGGGCATCGTAAACAAGCCCGCGCTCGAAGAAGTCGTAAGAGCACTCAAGAGAGCCATCATGGACGCCAAACGCAGCTACCGCATCTCCCCCGAACGCCAGGAACGTGTGCAAGCAGCGCTGAACAACTACCTCGGAACGCGTCGCTACCACAACTACACGGTGCAGAAGAAATTCACCGACTCCTCCGCAAAGCGATACATCAAGTCCTTCAAGGTCGCGCCCAAACCAATCATCATCAACGACACGGAATGGCTGAGTCTGAAAGTTCACGGCCAGAGCTTCATGATGCACCAGATCCGCAAAATGGTCGGTATGGCCGCGCTCACAGTGCGCTGCGGCTCGGATCCGAAGATCATGTTGGAGAGCTTTGAGAACAATGTTGTCCGCATTCCCAAGGCTCCAGGGCTGGGATTGCTGCTTGAAAGGCCCGTGTTTGATAGCTATAACGACAAAATGGCCAAGGCGCACGGGCGGGAGAAAATCGACTTCGCCAAGTACGACGATAAGATCCAGGAGTTCAAGGAGAGGGAGATTTACCAGCGCATTTTCAGGGAAGAGGCGCAGGGGAACCAGTACGTCCATTCCACAACACCGATAGCTTTGGGCTGTCACCAGGGTCTTGAGACCAGAAAATCCTATCGCAACGTCTGCTAATATCACTCTAGATTCAACACTTTCTTCACACACCTGGACAACTACAAGGATACCACGTTCCTGTACTTGACGTCTGGCGGCATTGAAGCGACTAAGCAGGGTCGCAAGAACAAGTCGACGCAGCCCAAGTGGGAGCAGGACTCGGATAACGAGGGATACGCAAGTGACAACTAGAAGAGCGTTGGATTCAACCGTCACTGCATTTGATACCCAATCAATAGATACTCGAACATAGCATCACGTGCAGAATTGCGTCGAAGATGATGATGATGATGATGATGATGATGATGATGATGCTATGTAATTGAAAGCCTATCGTTCTCACACAGCATCCATCATGCCTAAAACCCTAGAATTACACATATGCAAACTCTCCCCCTCCAATCGCATGCCCTCGCCCACTCATCATCGACTCTCTACGATGTCCTGGCAACGGGCTTCTTCTCGGCACCCATGTCATGCTCAGTGTAGTAGAAGTTCTCCTCAGGGACACGGCCACGGAGGAACTCGGGCTCGGAGCCACGGACGTAGATGTCCTCGAACAGTACCTTGCTGGTGGCGTCGGGGACGGGCATCTTCTCGGCCTCAGCGACCTCGGCGTCGACGTCGGAGCGCGCCTGCTTGTCCAGCGACTTGAGCTCCTCCTCGGTGGTGACGCCCCAGTCCAGCAGCTTCTGCTTGAGCCCGGCGATGGGGTCTTGGGTGCTGCGCATGCGCTGGATTTCCTCACGTGTCTGGGCTTGTTAGTTGGTGGGCTTGAGTGTTTGTGGGGAGGGAGGCTTACGCGGTAGGTGGTTCCGGGGTCGGACATGGAGTGACCTCCGTAGCGGTAGGTAACGTATTCGTAGACGAGAGGACCCTTGCCAGCAGCGCAGTACTCCTTTCCGTACTTGACGGCGGCCTTGACGGCGAGGACGTCCATGCCGTTGATCTTCAGGCCGGGGATGTACTGACCGCGCTTGTAGTAGTCGGTGATGGCAGACGAGCGGTTAGCAGCGGTACCCATGCCGTACTTGTTGTTCTCGCAGCCGAAGATGACGGGGAGCTTCCACAGGCTGGCCATGTTGTAGGCCTCGAAGACCTGACCCTGGTTGGAGGCACCGTCGCCGTAGAGGGCGAGGGTGACGTTCTTCTTGTTCTCGTACTGGCAGGCGAAGGCGATACCGGCGCCGACGGGGACCTGGGCACCCACGATACCGTTTCCGCCGTAGAAGCCGGGGGAGAACATGTGCATCGAGCCACCCTTTCCGTAGGCGATACCCTCCCTCCTGCCGAGCAGCTCACCGATGATGCTCTTGACGGTTCCTCCGCGCATCAGGGCGAAGCCGTGGCAGCGGTAGGCGGTGATGAGGTGGTCGGCGCGCTCGATAGCGTGCTCGATACCGACGGCGACGGCCTCCTGACCGGTGGAAAGATGGCAGAAACCGCGGATCTTCTTCTCCTTGTAGAGCCTGTCGGCGGCCATCTCCATGCGGCTGTGTGCTATGTCAGAGTGGGTAGGGGCGGGATTGCTAGGCGGAAGAATCGTACCGGACAGCGACCATGTCGTAGTACATCTGCTTCAGCTCCTTCTTGGTTGTCTCGAGTGTGTAGGGCGGGGGGTCGAGCTCGTAGGTCTCGAAGGACTCGTCGGAGAGGCGGACCTCGAAGGGCTGGTCATCCGACTGCGGTGCGTCAGCCATCACTGCTCCATCACTGCTGCTGCTGCTGCTGCTGCTGCTGCGGGCCCAATTGGCACGCAGAGGGGCTGCCCTACCTCGGGGACCTGGTCCCGCTCGGCGTGCGACGAGGCGGCATCCGTGGTCACGAATCTGCTGAAGGCCGGGCGCGCGGCGGGAGCGACGAAGCGCTGGCGGAGCGGCGAGGCAATGCTCCTCCTGATGGACCTGGAAAGCATGTTGGCGCCGGCGGGAGGTGACTGGCGGGGGTGGTGACGGGGTGGACGGCGGAAGGTTGAGGAGGTCGTTGCTACGCGCAAAGATTTGGTTGAGCTGTTTCTCGGATCTCCGACTTCACGCTAGCGGGACCCACCTCAACACGATGCACGACCCTGACAGCCTTATCTATCACTCTGCTGCGGACGTTGGAGTGCGAAATCTTGCGTTGAGGGCTACGGCTGGAGAAAGGAAACTCTTCGGATATCGAGAAATGGTCGTCGTTCTGATCAGACGCCCAAGGTGGCGGCCAACAGCGGCTGCATGGGTGTGGACCAGGTAAGAGGGCCCCAGGTACAGCCCAGCTGGATCAGCTGCTGAGCACTTCAGCTATCACACACACTGCACGTAGTGACATCGTTCACCGTATGCTGCGTTGAAGAGAACATACATTCAGGTTCCAAGATTGTCATTATTTCTTAGACAGCGTACAATATCATACAAGGTGTACATTCCGTGTTCTCCCGGTCTACGCCGCGGCGGCCTCTTGCTTGTCCTGCCCAGACTGCCTGGCAAAGAACTCCTTTTGCGCCAGACACCTCTCGCTTGTGCATCCTGGACACCTAAGGATCATCTGAGGGCTGCAAGCTTCGCCGCTGTGCAAGTGCGACTTTGCAAGATCTGCGAGCGCCTTGATGAACGTGGGGCTGCCATTCAAGCTGTCGACACGCTTGACACCTTCGTGTCCCTCAGCATCCTCGCCGATGACTTCCTTGTCCAATTCGTACAGGGTCTCAATGTGATCGCTTGTGAATGCAATAGGGATCAAAAGCATGTCTGTCTGGCCCTTCTTCATCAGGTTCTTGACCGTGTCTGAGGTCTGCGCACCGAGCCATGGCTGAGGTCCGACCTGCGACTGCCACACCAGACGATACTTGTACTTCATGCCCAGTCGCTGCATGACTGCGTAGACGGTGGCTGCGACTTCAGCGGGGTAGGGGTCGCCGCGGTTGACGACCGACATGGGCAGACTGTGCGCCGAGAAGAGCAAGATGACGTTATCTCTTCGCTCGGCTGGGTACTCGGCCAGCTTTTTCTCAATCAGCTCTGCAAAGGCCTCAACCAGACCCGGGTGTGCCGGCCAGCGGTCAATGACACTCCAGTTGATTGCACCCTTGGACTCGACCTCTCCTGTGCCCCTCTTGCCTTCGAGTCTTGTCCTCCACTTCCACAGCTCGTTGAGTGACGATCCAGTGGTGGAGCAGGAGTACTGAGGGTATTGCGTGAACGCCACAGCTCTGCCGCCGTTACCACCACCATAGCCATCTGCCAACAGCTGCTTGTACATGTCCTCCGTTAGGGGGTCTGCGTAGCGGAAGGCGACGTAGGGCTTGTGAGGAGCGGTGTCTGGCGAGGTCTGGTCAAGCATCTTGCACATCTCTGCCGCTTGGTGCTCCGACCACTTCCTGATGGGTGACCCTCCACCAATCTCAGCATACTGCTTTTGAATCTTCGGTGTTCGTCGTCGCGCAATCAGGGGTCCAATGTAGTTCTGGAGGCGGCCGAGGGGAATGAGGTCAGCATCAGCCTGCGACTGTTAGCTCTTACTTCAAACATGACGTTTACAACACATACGAATAACCTGCTCAGGAAACTGCCAACTTCGTCTGTCGTCGAAGGCCCTCCCATGTTCATGAAGACGATAGCAGTACCCTTCTTCGAGCCGGTGCTCTGTGTGACGGGGGCAACCGTAGCATTGCCTCTCCTCCATTGCGCGCTGTATACCGAAAGAGCGGGTGCGGCGGTCGCTGTCGACGTAGCACGCCTCGCGGCGCGCGTCAAAGGTGTGCGCAGAGCCATTGGGATGTGTGTGAAGGAGAAGAAGCGAAGCTCGGTCGAGCAAATGTATGAGAAGAGCAGCCGTGGCCAGACAGCCGACGTGAATAATATCGAGTGAAAGCTCTGGCCAATGAAGGCCCGCTGAATGCAGTGATGACGATCGAGCTCGCGGATCGAACCTAACGGCGATTAGCTGCGGTCGACCCACGCTAGCTCCTTCCCCGTGACACCGCGACAGCTTAACGCGTCTCCCTGCACTGCTGCCTTGCAAACAACTAGTGCAAGGCAGCTCACCCGCAGGTGGTCTTTGTGAGCTTCACATAAAGAAAACAACGTTCGCGAATTTGACTACTCTGAAGTACTCCTGAGCTCGCTCACAAAATAAACAACACATTCCGGTGTACAGTACACCAGACAACACGACAAACAACCTATCATGGCGGACGCGCACGACCGCAGGTGGGGCGAGGAAGAGGAAGAGGAAGAGGAGCTTGACGAGACCGTATGACACAGGTTGTAGAAGCAAGAGGGCTGATGTTGACCCTTAACAGAGCTACAAGTCGATCAAAGATGCCGTTCTTTTCGCCATTGATGTCAGTCCTACCATGCTGGAGCGCCCACCAGCTTCGGAAGACAAAAAGGCAGATCGCGACTCGCCAACCTCTGCTGCGCTCAAGTGTGCTTATCAGTTGATGCAGCAGCGCATCATCTCAAACCCAACAGACATGATGGGCATACTACTTTTCGGCACAGAGAAGACTGACCTCAAAGACGGCGACAGCACATTCCAAAACTGCTATCTGCTATCAGATCTTGACGTACCATCAGCACAGGACGTCAAGAGACTGAGAGATCTGGTCGAAGACGAAGAAGAGGCGGAGAAGTTACTGAAACCCAACAAAGATGGAGCCAGCATAGCTACGGTTCTCTTCTGTGCAAACCAGATCTTCACCACCAAAGCACCGAATTTCTCTTCGAGACGCCTCTTCCTAGTTACAGACAATGACTACCCAGTCAAAGCGAAGCAGGACAAGGACGCTGCAGTGACGCGAGCGCGCGACTTGTACGATCTGGATTGCACCATTGACTTGTTTCCGATCTCGCGACGTGACCATAGCTTCGATCGAACGCGATTTTACGATGACCTCGTCTATCCCACATCTCCTTCAGACCCTGACGCGCCAGTCGCTATCCCTTCGACCACCAAAGTCACCAAGAGCGGCGAAGGTATCTCGTTGCTTCGACAGCTGCTGTCCTCCATTAACTCGAAGGCCGCCGCTCGCCGAGCGCTATTCTCATTACCCCTGGAACTTGGTCCTGGCCTGAAGATAGGGGTGAAAGGGTACCTTCTGCTCAAGCGGCAAGTGCATGCTAAATCTTGTTATGTCTGGGTCGGTGGTGAGAAGACACAGATTGTACAGCAATCAACATCACACATGGCCGACGATACAGCGCGAGTAGTCGAGAAGACTGAGCTGCGAAAAGCGTACGAATTCGGCGGAGACGCTATCACATTCCTACCAGACGAGGTTACACGGATACGGCAGTGCTTTGGCGACCCAGTGATCCGCATCATCGGCTTCAAGCCCATCTCCAGCGTCCCGATTTGGGCAAACACCAACAAGGCCACATTCATCTACCCTTCTGAAGCTGACTTTATCGGTTCAACGCGTGTCTTCTCAGCACTGCAGCAGAAGCTGATCAAGTCGCAGAAGATGGGTCTCGTATGGTTCATCGCCCGCCGTAACGCCTCTCCAACACTCTGCGCACTCCTTCCCTCTGAAGAGAAGACCGATGAGGACGGGGAACAACAGATGCCGCCCGGCCTGTGGCTCATCCCCCTTCCTTATGCAGACGATATTCGCCTATTCCCCGAGCAACCAGATGCACCTCTCAAAACCACGGACGCACTTACAGACAAGATGCGCATCATCATGGAGCAACTACAGCTGCCAGGTGGCGTATACGATCCGAGCAAGTATCCTAACCCAGATCTGCAGTGGTTCTACCGCATCTTGCAAGCCATGGCCCTCGATGAAGACATACCCGACACCCCCGTCGACAAGACGGTCCCACGCTTCAAACAGATCGACAAGCGCTGCGGTGAATACATCGAAGACTACGGCAGAGCATTCGAGGAGACGTACGTACAGTTGTCTCGCGGGTCACTTGCTGTTCGTGGCAAGCCGGCTGCAAAGCGGAGGACGGCGGAGCCAGAGGATGGAGAGAAGCCAGCAGCTAAACGTGTAAAGGCCGAGCCGAAGGCCAAGAATGAGGACGGTAATAATGACGGGCTGACGGATCAGCAGATGGCAGTGAGCAATGACAAGGGGCAGATCAGCAAGCAGACTGTCGCGGTGCTGAAGGCGTATCTGAGTCAAAGGGGGCAAGCGACGGCGGGAAAGAAAGCGGATCTCATCGAGAGGGTACAGGAGTATCTTCAGAGCAAGGGCATGTAATGAACACCGCAAGACATTGCAAGGTGAATGGGCGCTCATGATATGGCGACAACTGCTACAACTGGAACACAGAAATGAAGCGTTGCATGAGCCTGCCGCTTCAGCACAACATGAGGGATGCTCATTGATGCTAGTAATTAGGGCACCAGTCGATGAATACCCGACGGATTTGGCCCCAGCCCTCTTTAGAAAGAAGTGTCTTGACACAGCAGTGGGAACTGACCTTTGCATTCACATCTGTAACGTGTAGGCCGAAATCAATACCTACGTGGTGCCAATAGTCTGACTACCTCCAGGCTGTCCTTTTGCCCTCAATCTTGCACCCCTGACATTACAGATGCAATTCTCAGGCAGACGCATAGTCTTATACAATCCGGACTTTTAAGGTAAGTAACTTCACCTAACACCCTTGCTGTGTCTGCATCCTCGCGACTGTGCTGAGACTCAAGGCGATAGTTTCGCACTTTTGGCACTACCGAAGTACCCGGAGTACTTAGTGAAATTTGTAGCACAAGCTCGCGAGTGCGCACGAATGGAAAAGTATGCCTGCGTTCAACACTTTAATTATCTCTGACTTGGATGCGACTCTGCGATAGCGCTTGCATTGCAGTCTTTAGCGCTGAAGTGTAGTTCGTGAGAGAAGGAATCTGAGATGATTGATAGATCTGCTTGTAGTGTCATTTGCCCCTGCACTGCAAATTTTTAGTGGCAGTGAGAGTTTTGCTGCAGCCTGGTTGCGTGGCCATGCCCAGTAAACGATTGGGCAGTATACCGCATCTACACTGCAATCTCTAGCATGGACCTGACAAGCTCCTCTTCTATTCCGGGAAAATCAGTCCTTCCTATGCAGTGCAAGTCGGCGTGGCTGTTGTGCACTGCAATCTTTAGCGCAGACGAGGACCCATTTCGACCTTGTCAATGACCAAGCAAAGACTTCGAGACTTCTAATTGCTTGCTTGGAAAGGGAGCAGCCAATGAACGAACATAAATCGTTGTCGTGGGGAAGACAGACTCCTTCTAAGCATTGCGTAGTCCACTTGTCAAAAGCTGAGTCCATAATGACTTTGGTGAGCATCGGCATGCGGTGTCTGTTCATGGGAAGACTGTCATCACTGGCTCACAGAATCCAGAACTTAGACCTCTCCTTTGCTGCGCGCGATAGCTTGCACTGCAATCCCTAGCGCAGCAGAAGCGACCATCATGCATTCTGGAAGATGGAGGTGTTGGGGATGCATGCCCACCTCCTATCGACATCTGTGAATTCCAATATGGGTGAGCATACTGACTCGCTCCCGGCTTGTGCGAGAGCGTACAGCCGAACAGCACCTCTAACCTTTATATGTGCCCCGGTAACCGATCCGCGCTATATGCACTACAATATTTAGCGTGCAAGAGACGTTCGTTGACGACCATGCACGCAGGGGCCGGCGAGCATGCCTTGTTCCCAATCGCCGCCTCGATGGGAAGCAAAATGGACCACAACGCACTCGCATCCTGCCAATGCAACAGATGACAGCCATGATTGGGTCTTGTCTACCAATAAGTGTGAAGAGGGCAAATGTTGGGCAACATCGCAGGTGCACTGCAATCTTTAGCGTAGTGAAGCTGCGAAGCGCAACTGCTTTTCGGTCATCAGAATAGAGTATCGACACATCTGATTTGCAATCATTGGGCGTAACCACGTGCAGTGATGCAGCCCATGCGTCCATCGTGCACTGCAATATCTGGCGTTGAAGAGGACTGTTGGAGCGTCATGGCCTTTTGACATCGACCAATGGGCTCAGGTCTTTCACATGACTGGCGGCAAAGCTCTGCGCCGCAATTGCTAGCGTGTGGGAACAGACGCTCGAAGAAAGTTCGTCTTGATGTGTTTCAGTGAGCATGGGTATACTTACGAGCTAATGTTCAAACCTTCTTTCGCGAAGCTACTGTGAATACACACTACGCTACCAAACACTCTTTTCCATGCATGGCTCGATTTGAGCTCAAAACAAGTCGTTCCATCATATCATTTCAAACGCCAAAAGCATGTGCCAACTACTTCCTCGAACTTGCCATCTCTCCGTATCTTCCTCTCTGCTGCGTGGTATCATATGCCTGCAACACCCTCGCCTGACTCTCGTCTGTTTGCGAGAAAGCGTATCCACGCTGTTTGCGCATGCGCTGGACTTGTCTGACCTTGCGAATGGCTTTTTGGAATTGCTCCATTCTGCAATAACGTTAGCACTCGATCCTCTAAGAACTGTTTCTAGAATGCCGTACCTTGGTCTGTAATCTTGGATGTTGTACTTCTGAATCTCCTGCACATGGTGATAGCTCTGCGGGAAGTACATCCGCTTAGCATACTTCCACGCAAAATCCCTGATCAGGCAAAGCGGCGGCAGCACAACTACCATTGCCCAGAACCTTGGATCGGGGAACAAACGCTCAATAACGCCAATGTACTCATTCGAGATATTGACCATAGGCGCCACGGTGGCATAGATCGGCATGAGGATGAACCACAGGATGAAAGACCCAGGAATCGCGAGGAACGTGTACTTGGTCCAAATGTTCGTGATAAGACTGGCTTTAAGTAGCACGGTGGCCAAGTTGGCCGTGTACGATGCAGCGCCCCACGTCCAGTGACCGGCGTTGCGACCATCCCATTGCGGCCAGTCCCAAAGGATGAAAGCTTGAGAACCGAAGTAGAGGATCAGGGAATGATAGAAGCCGTTTGCTACCCAGGACCAGAAGGAGTGCATCTTGAAAAAGACACCGGACTGACTGAGGCGGTAGAGCTGCGGGTAGCGATCGAGGAGGCGAGCGCTGACGAATTGATCGAAGATACCGAGGACGAAGGGTGGTGCGGCAGTGAAGAAGACGTTGTAGAAGGTAAGGGTCCAGGACTCGTAGATGATCTGTCCAGAGAAGGCGTTCTGGAAAGAGTACCAGAACTGCGTCATGAACATGGCGATGTTCTTGTAGAAGGAGTAAAGGATGACCTTGCTGACACGTTGGTAGCTCCATGCACCGTGGACAAGCAGCAGTTTGCGTAGATAGCGGAATTGACCGATCGAGATATCAGCGCTTCGTGCTGCCTGCAGACCTTCCATACCACTGATACCGACACCAACATGGGCGGCTTGGATCATGGAGACGTCGTTCGCACCATCGCCGATGGCGAGCAAGATGGCCTTCAGGTGGCGCTTGACAAGCTTGACGACGAGAGCCTTCTGTAGAGGAGAAACACGGCAGCAGATGACAGCCTTGCACCTGACTGCTAAGTCGAGGAACTCCTTCTCGAGGTCGCGCTCGAGCGCATATGTAAGTGACTTGCCGTCAATGACTAAAGCCAAGACGTCCATCTCTGCACCTCCCTGACCCTGGCTCATGATCGCATTGTACTTCTTGGCGATGTTGTCCCTTGTGGCTTCCTTTGACTCCTCGTTGATGATGAGCAGGCTCATGTCTTCGCTGATCAGCTTGCAACTCATGCCAATATTGATGGCAGTCTCCTGTCGATCACCAGTCAAGACCCAGATCTTGATACCCGCAGATTGCAGGGTGGCAATTGTGTCTGGTACACCGTCCTGTAGTTTGTCTTCGATAGCAGTCGCCCCAAGCAAGGTGAAGTCATGCTCGATAAGCTCAGCAGCCTTGTCCAGCTCCTCGGCGCGGTTACCGCTGACCGTGGTCTGTGCCGTATTGAAGATCTGCCACCACTCCTGATACTCAGCTTCAGAGATTTCGCGCATAGCAAGACAAAGCGTTCGAAGACCTTCAGCGGCATACTCTTCGAGATGGGTTAACGTCGTCTCGACAAACGGGTTGTTGTCCTTTGCCAAACGTTCCAAGATGACAGTATCTGCACCCTTGCAGTAGCAGACAATCTTGCCCTCCGGTGTGCGGAAGATTGTGGACATGCGCTTCCTTGTCGAGTTAAACTCGCACACGGCCAACAGTTCGTACTCTTTTCGCTGTCCATCAACTTCCATGATGACAGCTCGCGGTTTTCTTGCCGTAAATTTATAGCCGAGTATCACCGCACCTTCCACCAATGCACCCTCGTCGGGAGACGCAGCTTGATACTTGATTACATCTTTCTCGCCACCTCGTTCAGGGATGACAGTGTGACAAGTCGAGAGTAGTGTAAGAAACTGGTCAATGATGTACCTGTTCTGGTGCGTCTGGCGATTGTTCTCAAGCTGCTTGAAGTCGTGAATGCCGACCTCAACCCCGTCTTCTACAGTAGCTCTCCGATCCTCCGGAATCTCATCTGCGTATTGGATTCCAGCAATCGATGCCTGCCTGAACTCCATCACGTTGCATGTCAGAGTGCCTGTCTTGTCGGAGAAAATGTACTCAATCTGACCAAGCTCTTCTACCAGGGACGAAGTTCGACAATTTGCTGGCGTATCCGTGGGCTCGTAGTAGATGTCGAGATCGGAATCGATCAAAGAACCTGTGTAGTACTTGACAATCTCAATCGTAACGAACAGTGAAATGGGTACCAAGTTCGAATACAAGACCCAGTATGTCAGCAGATCAGAGAAGAACTGCTTTGCACCGTTGAAGTTTTCCAGTCGCAGATACTCAAGGTTCTTCGCCCGAGTCGAACGTATAATCACGTCACCGATGGAACTGACAATGCTGAGACCGACAAGGATGACCACAAGCATGAGAATCTGTTTGTTGACCATTCTCTCGACGGCAGTCGTCTTAATGGGTGTTGCAGTGGCGTTCCTCATGAGCTTCGTTTCGTGACCGGTGAATACAACCACACCATGAATCCATTGCGTGTTGCGAAGTGTGGCACCACGAAGCAACAGCTGATCGGGCTGCAGGGGTAGTTCCTTCTCTCCACCTCCAGCCGCTATCGTCAGAGTCGCTTCGTAGGTATACAGACTACTGTTGGGTTGCTCTGATCGAATTTTGCCGCCAAGTCTACCAAGATCGGAAGGACTGACATAGTCAGCAGTTTCTGGGATGGCCTGCTTGATTTTCAAATTGGTCTCTCCGTCCAGGTTGGCCGTTTCAATGTAGCATAAACCTTCTGGCTCAGATGAGGCAAGCAGAACAAGGTCGGCAGGAAACGGCTGTTCAGATTCGACTCGTATGATATCGCCGACCGCAATATTGATCCACTTTGCATCTTCGAACGAGGACCCCTTTAGCACTTGCGACTTCGAGTTGTTAAGTTGCGAGTCGGACTGTTTCCGCCTGTAGTCCTCGATGTACTCCTTGATCGCGGATACAAGCAACACAATGAACAGAGGAACGATAGTGGTGTATCTCGATGTGGGTGAAATTCCGGGTATCTGTTGCAGAACGGCAGTGAACAAGAAAAACAAGTTGGCGTATCTCGAAAATTGCTCGTACAAGAACTTGGGCAAGAATGTAATGATGTTGTACTTGGTCGTCGAGATGTGGTTGTCGACGTATTTGTTCGCGGCGTTGGCCGGCGGATTGTTGAGCTGAATCATCCTGGGTCCAAGGGTCGATGGATCTGGCGCACCTCTCCCGAATCCAAACTTGAACGTGCCTGAACTGCGCTTCTTTGTTTTTGTTGATTGCCCATCACCGTATGCGCTCGCGCTCGACTGGCCCTGCTGCGCCGCATGCTCGGTCAATGGCAGGTCCATCTCCGAGTATTCGTTGCCTCGCCCCAACATATTCTTGACGCGACCAGTGAGGCCTCCACCGAGACTCAGGATACTATTCCTGTTGTGATTCTTCTTGGAAGCGCCTCGTTGTAGCCCTGGCGACGTGGGATCGAACGCGCCGCCGGCGGCATAGTAGCCCTGCGTTGAGCGCCCGTCATCGTCGATGGGTAAGTCGGCGTCGGAGTAGCGCTGATAGTTGTTCAAGTCGGACGATTGCGAGTATGCTCTGTTTCCTGCCTGCAAGTATGGCGCCTGTCCTACCGGTGCGCCAGGCCCTCCCAGTAGATTGGAAGTATTCGGTCTGCCTCCGCCAACGAAGTCATCGTAGGACACTGACGGCCTCCCCTGCGGCGCAGACTCTGTGTTGTCGATGTCGAAGCGGTTGAGAAGGTCGTCGTCGTTTACGGGTGGTCGAGCGCCAGAGTAGTATTGCGGTTGGGGTTCATCGAAGTCGATCAGGTTGTCGCTGTGAGACGGCTGTCCACCTCCAGGCCGGCCGGCCATTGCGGCCGTGAATTGTGTGAAGCACTATCCGCGCAGCTCTGCTGCTGTCCAAGCTCATGCAAGTCCCCAACTTCCGCGGACGTTCCCTATGCGCGCAGTGTCGAGTTGCGGACGTGGGCGGACGTGGTTGCGGAGCTGCGTAAGCTATCCTGGAATAGTAACACCGCTTAGCCAACGTTGCGGTTTGCGAGGAATGCGCGTTTGTTGTCGACTCCAAGTTGTTAGCGAGCGGTACGTGGGACGTGGGGAGAACTTCGAATGCCTCCACGTCTCAAGAGCGAATTCAACGTTTCGGAGACTCTGGCGGGCTGGGGATTGGAAAGGCAGGTGCAAGCTCGGATGCTGTCATTCGTGAGGCAGTGCTTACCTGGGCCCAACGTGCACCAAGCGCGATCCTGGCGACCTGAAGATGCACTTGCGTTCTTTCTTAATGCCCGAGCGACCTTCCACAACAGTGTCAGGACCGAGTGAGAATGTACAAGTACACGCTAGGCTTTGGAATACCACGACATGTGTCTGCTTTGCTGCGCCGGATGTTTGTGGTTGCTGATGCCTGCTGCACATTGGACATTAGGTTGCGCCCAGCGCCCAGTCGTTCTCCACCCTCGAAGCTGAGATCACCTTTTGCAAGATGCTCTGCGCTTCGGCCCTCCCAAGTTGAGGTAGTCATTGACAGTCGCCAGCATTACGCATCATGTGTCAAGTGGGCCAGAACCTCTTGGACTGCAGTTCAAAAAGAAGCCTCTTCAGAGGTATCGAAGTTTCAGACATACGTTCTGTGTAGAGTTCACCAATCGTCATGACAGTCCGGAGACCCCTGCATTATCAGCCGCTGTTGTCGTGTGGGTGCAGTGGCACAGAGGGCTGGGTCGCGCCTGAAATAGCATTAGAACAGCGTACAAACAATCATCACTCCACCGGACTTGATGCTGCGGGCTTTCGGTGGTGCTCGCATCCCGGAGGCATTCCGGGTCGAAAGTCTTTTGTAGAACAAAGTACATCTGTTGAAGAAAAATGAACAAATCTTACATCGCTGCATTAGGATGATATCTAGGGTGGTGTGAAGCCTTAAAGGTTGCGTGCATCTTCTGTCAAGCCTTTCCATAGTCGCCTTTTCCGTCGATGCCACTTACGACTTGTTGGCAATGCCGAAGGTTGACGTTTGATCCGTAATGCCACCATCGGTGGATCTTCGTCTGGCACTGCTGGAGGGACCGGCGCAGGCGAGCTGCTGCTTCTGGTACCCAACTTTAGTGAGAGCAAGATGAAGACGCCTGCAATCAGGATCGCTAGCAGTAACATAATCTTCCTCTTGATGCCCCTCTTCTGGTAGCCTGAAGCTACCTTCAGCTCCTTGTCCGCCTCCTTAACATCTCTTGACATGTTCTCTACATTGTAGTCGATGCGATCGAGCATACTGCCCTGGTCGATGACCATTGTCTGTAGCTCCTGGAATATGTTTGCCAGCTCGATGATGCCCTGTGCAATATCCTCGATTTCGCGCTCACGCTGGGCGATAATGGCTTCGTTCGGGTCGTGGCGCGTTCGCTGCTGCTTCGTTTGAAGAGAGGTGGATTGCGCAAATGACCGATCGGCGTCTGATTCTTGCATGGCAGGGTCGTTATAGGGGTTCTGTACGGGCGTTGCAGATCGAAAAGGCGAGGCAAAGCCACCGAGATCTTTGAGTTCTGCCCATGTTAGCTTACGGCTGGATCAGTTGAGAAGGTGTTTCCTCACTTTTCAAGTACGCAGACTGCTTCTTACGGAACATTGCGCTCACTTCGCCGACACGTGTAGCCAGAGAGATCTTCAAGTTTTGTGCCATGACCTCTTCGCCCTGGTTGATGTTGCCTTGCTGCTTTGCTTCGCGCACCATCATCTCTATCCTCTTAATAGCCTGCTGACATCTTTGAAAGCCTCTTGTGATCTCTTGTGTGAGCTGCTCGATCTCGCGCTCCTCCCTCTTCTTCACGTCTTCATCGTCGAAGCCTGGAAGCACGTGCTTCTGGTGTAGCTGGTCGAGCTTGCGCGTCTGTTTCGCTATCTCTGCGAGCTGGTCTGTGATCTCATCCTGCACGTCGAGCCATCGTGGAGGCAGCAGGTCCATCTCAATCACCGCATCGCCGTCATCTTCGTAGGCACTACTAGACATGAGCCCTTGCCGCTCCTCCGACATGCGTCTGCCGTCGCCGAAGCCATTCGAGCTAGATCCGCCATAGCGTGTCTTCTTCTGGGGGTGGTGCGCATAGGACTGGCGGTAGGATATAAAGCTATACAGGCTACGTCAGCGAGAACGCATTGAATGCACAGCTGCGCAGCATACAGATTGGTGCGGTCCCGCCACATTTTGGGTTGGCGAGCTTCAATGCGACTATATCATGACAGTCGCAAGTTTCAAAGGGTCTAAAGGGCACACGAGCGAACTGTGACTTCGAAGTTGGTGAATGGTCGCCTTGACGGTTGTAGCCGCACCATCGCAGGAGCACTGGGGTCCTTGGACCGGGCTGCACCTTCCGCCCTTGCCGTTCTGGGCGGCCTAGGTTCCTTAATTTGCCCTCTCCCAACAGCAGGGCGCCGCTAAATGCCAATCTGACAGCCAGCTCCACCAACTCCCCCAGCCGCAAACACAGCCAAACCTCCTTCACACACCACACCCGGGCCTATATATACCCCCACAGTAGCCTGCACATACCTGCCGGTTATTTTCCGCCCTACTTCTTTCTTCCTTCGCAATACCACACCCCACAATTAACATGGTGCGTGAGCCCCGCGCTGCCCTCCCGCTCCCATACCCCGCCTTGGAAATCAACACAGCGCCAGCCCGCTGGCAAGACTCAAGATATTATGCTAACGAGATATCACAGGCTGACTCCCTTACCGAGGAGCAAGTCTCCGAGTTCAAGGAAGCATTCTCCCTCTTCGTAAGTATTTTCCAGCCCCTGTGCGGTGTATTGTTGCCTAGCGGCCTGAGAGCATCTGCTCGTGCCAACAACACACGGCTAACAGCTCTGCGAATAGGACAAGGACGGCGATGGTTAGTAGTCCTTCCGCAGCCTGGTCGCACGACGAAGAGACGATTTCTCGAGGCACCCCTCATCACATGCATGACAAATGCTACGAATGTAGACGCTAGCCTCGAGAGCTCCCTATACCGCTAGACAGCCACATCAACAATACCACACCTCCAACAGCGCATAGCTGACAATGCTGTTTTACAGGTCAGATCACCACCAAGGAGCTCGGCACTGTCATGCGCTCGCTCGGCCAGAACCCCAGCGAGTCTGAGCTGCAGGACATGATCAATGAGGTTGACGCCGACAACAACGGCACCATTGACTTCCCTGGTACGGAACCAGCACTTTCGATCGTGGAGACTTGGCTGACAACTATCTCCAGAGTTCCTTACCATGATGGCCCGCAAGATGAAGGACACCGACTCTGAGGAGGAGATTCGGGAAGCATTCAAGGTCTTCGACCGCGACAACAACGGCTTCATTTCCGCTGCCGAGCTGCGTCACGTCATGACCTCGATCGGCGAGAAGCTCACCGACGACGAGGTCGATGAGATGATCAGGGAGGCTGACCAGGACGGTGATGGCCGCATTGACTGTAGGATACGTCCACCGCGGAGACAAGACCTGGGCTAACATATCACAGACAATGAGTTCGTCCAGCTCATGATGCAGAAATAACCGGCGGAAACGCATGTTTGGATGATTACGCATACCAGGACGGTGCCACGGCCGAGATCTGATTGCAACGAGTAATTGAGCGGGGTTTCACATTTTGGGGCCGATTCAGTTGCTCGCAAGACCCAGTTTGCTTACTCCTCACCGACGTCTCCGGGAGACGACTCTATATCCTCAATCCATTTCTCCTGTGCCTTGAACCCCGAATGCCTCTGGGCCAAAGTGTGACATTTCGAAACCTGCACATGAGACGCGTATACAAGTCGGTGATCGACCAAGATGTCTATACAATTAGTACAACGATCCACAGAGCTAATCTGTTTCCATGAATGCAGGGTCTCGCTGTATGGTGGTGCACAAGCTTTCACTAGCCTGTGGGCCCAGTGGCAGTGCTGGAGACTCTGACAGCCACTCATCACAGAGCAAGTAGGAGAGCATGTTTCTCTCTGGGTCATTAATAGCATTTATCCATGCTATATACTAGTACAGGTATGTGCCATGCTGTCGTAATAGCCGTGCCATTACCAAATATACTCAACCCTAACGCCTTGCTGCACACCCGTAGCAGTGTCTGATAATTTGATCCAGACGATCGGCCTGGGAGATGGGTCCTCTTGCAGAACCTTGAGCTGTCTGTGCTCCGTCCACAACCTCTACGCTTTCGCGGACAAATCTGATGTCGAAATGTGCACTCATTACCTCTTACCTCACTACACCCACCCCATTCCTGAAGCGCCTTAAGAGCTGTATATCATCCGTGTAACACCGTCTCACAAGACCACAGTAGGGATCATGTAGGTCAGCCCAGTTCTACTGGTTGTTATTGACTGCCGTAAACCCAGCGTCTCGCATCTCCGTGTCCCCGTTCTGCGGCGCTTCGGCGCCGGAGTAAGCGCGTTGTCTCCCTCCTTCGCTCTCGACGGGGGCGGGTGTGGGGCGCTCGGCGTCGTACGCGGGGTCGAAGTATGCGCGTGGAGTGGGTGTTTGCTGGGCTTGCGGTTGCATGCCTGGGAGGGAGTGGAGAGGTGGAAGGGCGTTCTGGTTGCCGTTCACGGCGGAGTGGGAGGCGTGTGGTGAGGCTGAAGCGCCGATGGAGCTGAAGAAGGGGTTTGTGTGTCGTGATGGGTCAGGCGTGCTTTGCGCGCTGGACATGGGGTTTATGGCGTGTGGGTGCGAGATCGCGAGGTGGTGGGTTCCGTGCTCGCCTGGTGAAGCTGCGTGAGGGACACCTGAGTGTCCTGCTGCACCGCTTCCTGGTGCTGTGCCTGCGCCCGCGGGTGGTGGTGTGCCTTTCCTGTGACTGCGCTTGCTACGAAGGGGCTTGTCTGTAGGTGTCGGAGGTGGACTAGAGCTGCGGTCGGAGTCGTCCATGTTGTATTCTTGATGTTTCTGTAGCTGCTCAAGGAGGAAGGCGCGCTCAAGGCGCATCTTCTGGATACCGCGATTCAGGCGCTGGATACGTTGTCTTGTGCCATCGTTGTTCTCTTCGATGTCATTGATGCGCCGGCGCAAGTCGATACATTTGCGATAGTAGGCGGTTTCAACGGAAGGTGGGAGATCTTTCTGCGAGAAGGCCCTCGCTGCTGCATAGCAGTTAGTCGTCTGAGGACGCGTGCTGAACGAGCGCGACGCGCCGAACTCGGGACAGGGCGTACCTTGTTGAGGCATGTTTGCGGTCACTTGAGCTGTTATGCGAGATGCTGTGATTGCCCGAGATTTGGAAAGCTTGGTGCGATGGGGAAACTCAAGGGTGTGGGTGCGGAGGCAGTGAGTTATGTCGCTGTAAATGCGTCCAGAACAAGTGGACTGAACGCGGTGATGTCTGGAGCTTATGGGTTGTTTGCAAACGACTGTCCGGACCCCGTGACTTAGCGCGATAAGTGAGGCTAGATCTAGTTTGTTGTACAAATAGTATCCCACCACATTTTGCATCAACAGAACGCTCTGAAGAAGCTCAGATAGTTGGTTTTGCAGTATCGCGATATTTTCCTGGTGTTGTGCTTTCAATGGGATCCAAATTGAAGAAGGCTCAGCATATGTGTATTTTGTTGATGAAGAGTCGTAAGCACGAGATTGATGATCGATCTACGGGTGTAAATCAACAACAGACCAAAGGTATGGATATGAGCTAGGTTGGGTTAGGTGGATTTGTAGATGACAAGTTTACTGCTGTCCAGAAGAGGTGGATGCATGCTCAACAACGATTCGTCGTCCACTTTGAAGACAAGATAATTTCACAGATGAGAATTTACAGTGAGGTTACCGTATCTCATGTAGTGCAGCTCCGTCTAGTTTGCACCGCGTGCTGTTTAATTATTCTGGAGTGCGCACCACGTGTTGAGCTTTGAAGGAGTGACTTCGATTTGTTTGGCACTGATGGCCTATAAAGGCACCGACATCGTTCTTCGATCCTAACGAAAGAACCGTCGACTTCAGGCACTGCTCTAGAACCCAGATGACCGAAGCGCGCAACAGTTTAGAAGATGAACGAGACTTGTCTAAGCGATCGCCCGTCGGAGCCGTAGAGTTTGAGCAACTGCACGCTGTGTATACGAAGAGTTACTTGGTCGAGCAGATCTGAACGTGGAAATATGTCTCAGACTGCTCAAAGGTACGGCTCATGAACGCGTAGACAACGATTTGGGAATGCTGGAGGAGCAGATGATGGAATTGGATATAGCCGACTAGTTTTTAGGTTTTGGCTCGGAGAGTACTCCAACACGAATCGCAGCAGCAGGAGGGTGTCCTGCCAGTCAACCCCCACATTTGCTATGCTTTGCCTGCTAGACATGACACTGCATATTCAAAATCAAGCCGTGTTTTGCAAAGAGGTACAGCTTGCGATATGCTGGTCGTAAGACGTCTCATTGGTCTCGAGTACTGTCGAACCCGAGAGTTAGGCTGTGAAACTCCAAACTCGTGCGTGGCTGGCTGGCTCCCTTGTAAAGGCTGAGACACGAACTACGCCTTACAGTAGGGCCAATGATTCTATCCATCAACTGTTCAGAAGCCTTTGGAGACTCGAAAGACATATCTAAATGACCGTATCACGAAAGCCTCCTTCTCTTGTGCTGTCCTTAAGGTGTGGCCAGAAGGGAGAGACGTGACACTGAATGCCGCTTGACAGGCGCACTTTGAGAGGAAAATCGCTCCAAAGCACTTGGTGATGATAGAAAGAATGCGCTCGCTCAGGGGAAGTGGGTGTGGAAAACGCAGTGGGTGGAGATCTGAAGTCGGCAATTCAGTCTAGCGCTGTTTTTTGCTTCCTCGCTTGGACCTCCACCCACCTTTTCAGTTCGGCCGGCTCCCTTGCTATGAACGCCATCGAACCAAATGACATCTGTCCAACCAAACTTCGCACACGGAGATGCCTACAACTACGTCCGGTCGAACCCTTGTTTCGTAGATGCTGCCATGTGCTGCAAACATCGCAAAGAAGAGTTTGGGGTTTTCGAGGATACGAGGGATTCCGTGAGCTAAGACAATTAGGCATCTCGGTTCCATTATAAGGACAACACTGCATCTTACGGTGAAGGCTGTCGCTACTATCCTTGGATACGATGCAGTTGCTTCAATGAATCCTTCATTCGCTGATGTTACCCCGTGTAAGGCTGTCAGCAATCTGGGACCCTACAAGGCTGTTACCGGTGATCGGAAAGCTGCAGAAAACCAAGAGGCGAAGGAGCCATGTAGACGTCCATATCCACCCTGTAGCTATTTCTAATCCTAGCTGACTTCAACTCCACAACGACTTGGACTGGGGCTATCGTCCGATGTGGCGTATTTGACCTGCAAGATCGCTCTGACAGAAAGTCTGGCAATCTGTAGCGCCTTGTGAGGTGAACTCTCCGGCTACTTGTGGTAGTTCAGGACCCAAATGGTGAGGATGAACCATGGTAAGCGATCGTACTCCTCGGGAACAGACCCCTGGTAAGGTCCTTATCAATGTCCCACTCCGTCTACGTGCCTGACATTCCTCTCATTACTGCCCTCCCTTGCCTCGGCCCCCATCTCATCAGCATGTTCCTCTTCGCGACTCATTGTAGTCTTCCACTCATTAGTTGATATTAGCGTTTCCTTTCTGTCACCATGCTGAATCAACTTCGCGCCCCCAGCATCTTCCGTAAATCGCATGACTACATGCCCCTTGCCCCACTGCCTCCTCTCGCACGCTCACGGATCGATATCAAGATCGCGATAGCAATATGCATCATCATCATCACCACACTTGCCATAACCATAAGCCCTCTCGAACCGGTCGAGAGGGCGAGAGGGTTTGGGATACTAAAGTCTGCTCCGCTCTCCGCAGATGACCCTATACCCAGTATCGTCCACTACGTATACATTAAGAAGGATGCCGACTTAGTCATAAAGTTCCCATTTATTATATTCGCTTCGGTCATGTACATCAAGCCGACGCAGATCTACATCCACGCCGACTACAATGAGACTGAGATCAGGAATGCCAGCATGAAGGGCGACCGGTGGACACGTGCAGTTACTAACACCTTCCCAGACATCCTGCGCTGGAACGGGGTCTACGTGCCCAACTTCGCCGGATCCAGCACGAACCAACGCATTAGTGCTATTCAGCACAAGTCTGACTTCATCCGTTGGGACACGATCGCAAATATTGGTGGAATTTACCTCGACTGGGATGTCGTTCCCCTCCGACCCCTGACACCGCTTCTGAACGCTGGCTCGCTTTCGTTGGCGGCCATCAGTACGGTGACGCAGGTGAAGATGGCTCAGTGAACGGCACGATTAACAACGGCGCCTTCATGACAAAAGTCGAACAGCACAATGGCACGCATCATCGTGCGCGAGCAGCACGCAGGCTTCAACGGTGCATGGTTATCGAACCTGCACAGCATGACCATCATCGCCGAACACCTCGTCACTATTCCCAACGAAGTCCTTATCCTCGACCGCAACTCCCTCGCACCTACCCACTGGTTCCAAGACTCAATAGACAAGCCCTTCATGCCCCAGCCCGGCCGACCGTCGCCCGAACCCGTATTCGTAAACACCACAAATGCGATGGAACTGTACGAGAACGTCGTGCTGAACAGGCGGAGGCATGCGGATTGGGAGATCGACTTCTCATCCACGTATCTGTTGCATGGATTCTCCATGAGTCACTACCACGACTACATCAACCCAAAGATCATCCTGAGCAGAACGAGCACTTTTGGTGTTGCGACGTACGAGACTGTGAAGAAGATGAAGGCGGACGGTATCATCAGTGGCAACGAGGATGGCAAGGAGCTTTTGGGTTTCCCTGATGAGCTGGACTTGGATGAGGCAGGGGATTTGACACATGCGCTACATGCTACGATGCCGCCTTTCGATATTCCTGTAGAGGACATTCTTCCTCCAGAGAACAAGGGGACAGCCTCCTAGACCTGTGTTTCTTAGAGTTCACATTCAGTTACAGTAGGGCACAGGAGTTCGAAGTTGGCTCAAAGGCCGCGGGTATTTTATTGGCATATCGCCATCATCGAACGTTCTATTATAAGTCTTACAAGATACCTTTTCAATCAACATCGTCATCCGCAAAAGCTCTATCTAACAGCTCAATCTGCTCTTCCTCCCCCATAGTAACAGATCCCTTCCATCACTCTCCTTTCCAGCCTTCAACAAGCACAACAGGGCCCTTGTAATGCTTCCTGGCGCGCGCAATGTAATCGATCATGCTAAGAACAGCGACGCCGACGAACATGACGGACGCCCAGTTGAACGACTCGAGATCGGTGGGCGTGCTCTCGGGCCAGAAACACCAAAAGAAGGCGTGTATGGCGTACAGGACTCCGCAGATGTTGACGGGGACGCCCCACTTGCCGAGGGACCAGGCGCAGACGGGGAGGAGCTCGGGGGCGGTGATGCGGCGGTAGAGGACGGAGCCGATGGAGAAGACGTAGGTGATCATGAGGGAGACGACGTTGAGGGAGATGACTGACATTGTTAGCTTGTGTTCGTGTCAAGAGGTTGTTTTGTAGAACTTACTAGCATTGAAAGCGGTGTCGGATCCGATGTTAATGAGAGAAAGGAGAACAGTGATGAGGCAAGTGAATGTAACCGAGTTGGCGGGGTTGTCGAGCTTCTTGTCGACCTTTCCGATCCAGTTACTGAATGGCAGACCGTGGTCACGAGCGAAAGCCCAGGTCTGGCGGGAAGTGGACAAGTTGTAGGTCAAGGTACCGGCGAAAATGAGGATAGTGGGGATGGCGTTGAGGGCAACAACTCCACCAGGGCCGACAGCCTGGGAGAAGACCCAGATGTGGGGGTAGCCAGAGGCGTCGTTGAGAGCGGCGTCTAGGTCAGTGATCATAAACATGTAACTGATCAGGAATACAAGACCAATCAGACCATTCATGAGGTAGGCGTTGATCATGGCCTTGGGGACAGTCTTTCCGGCGTCCTTGACCTCTTCAGCCAAGTGAGCAACGCCATCAGAGCCTTGAAGAATGTTAGTGATGTCATGTGCTTGGCGGTACATGTTTACTTACAGATACAGGCGTAGATAGCGGAGATCTGACCAACCATCAACGAAAGACCAGTCGAGTTCCAGCCTCCACCATTGGTGATCTGGGTGAAGGTGACCTCAGCTGAGTTCCTGGGGTTTAGAGTCCAGAAGACAATGATAATAGCTAAGAAACCAAAAACGTGGACCATCAGCATGACGTTCTGGAACAGAGGCATAGCCTTAGAGCCGTAAACGTTCAATGCCCACACCAATAAGGTAACGGCAATGACCATAAGAGTACCTTGCCAGTTGGTGGCGACGTAGTCGGGGTACATGATTGTGGCCGAGGACTGGATCAGGGTTCCAACAAGGAAAGGACCGGATGCTGTACCAGCCTGCCAGGAGAGGGTTGACATCCACCCAGTGAAATAACTCAGAGACCTTTGGATCGATGGAGGAGCAAACTCAGACACCCAGTGGTACTGACCACCAGCAGTCGGTGCCATGGAGGCCATCTCAGCGAGCGAAAGCATGACCATGCTGAAGCCGAACCATGTCCAGACGAAACTCCAAATCAGACCTGCTGGACCTCCATCGACGAGACCTTGGTAAGTCGCACTGTTTCGCAATGTTAGTGTTGTCACACAAAGTCGCAACGCGCAACAGGTACTTACGTCAAGAGAACCTCCCATACACCCTGAAGAATAACCGTGAACGCAAGTGCTGACAACGGGCGGTAATTTCTCCTCAGCTCTTGGATTTTTCCCATGCGATTCATATCGCGGTTGTCCGCCCGTGTGTGGCCTTGAATAGAGCTGTGGTACTCATCGCCATTCTCTGCATACTCCAAGCTGTCCTGATGACGATGTGATGTTGGGCTGGCCTCCTTGGGCACAACCACCGAACTGTCGTACGAAGAACCCATCATTCGATCACTTGCAGGCACGCGAATGCAGGTGAACGCCACGAATAGAAGAAAGATGGAAAAGAAACCTTCGGTCAAATTCAAATGTGAAAAGTCCTGCGGGGGTAGCTCCTCGAGCCTTGGAATAAATCGATGTTGAACACCGTGCAACCCATGCCGCCGCTAGAATGATGGCTTCGGCGATTCGTTATGCGTGAACGGCCAAGAGGCCAGCAATGTACATCTGAGCCGATGAGCCGTTATCCAACGAGAGTCGCGGACGGTGTGGCAGAATGCTTCTAGGGTGAATGAGGCGCGTGCATAAGTCGCGAGCCAATCGGTCCTTGCGGCCCGCTTCCAATGGTCTGGGGCTGCGACGGCTGGACCCTTGACCTTGATGCAGAAGCATCTGATTTAAAGTGGAGGGGTCGAGGTTCATCCCGCGTTGACAGGGGATGTACTCGCGTACATGCCGTGTCTGTTACGTGCGCCTAACAAATACCAGCATAGAACAGGGATAAGAAAATTGGAATAGCAATTCTTCCGTGGGTGCGCCGTGGGTGAGATGTGTGGGACATGGGCGCTGCTGATCCGGTTCCTGTCGGTAGATCCTCCTTGGATCCTCTGGGAGGCCTTGTTGGCTTCGGGATTTTCCAACAGCAAGAGATATCTGCAGTTGGATGTTTGGTACAGCCTAGGCGGTAGCGACTGCTGGGAGAGCTGCAGTCGGTTGGAGATGTCACCGAAGGTAGACTTTGCACCACCGCGTGTGGGAGGCATCCCGCTGCAACCAACCCGTTAAGAAAAGGTCCATTAGATTCCGCCGAAACGGCTGGCGCCACAATAGCGAATTCAGCTTGGTACCCCTGTGCTGGGAATGGTTGATGATCTGGCTGGGTATGTTGCAGGGCAAAGACAAGGACGTGGAGCTGCTGCTTACAGACTTGCGTCTTACTTAGTCTTACGCTCAGTCTTACTCAAATCCTCCACCTCGCCGGCTGATGGGAGTTCTTGTTGCTTCGCTGATACCCCTCAAGTCTCCCACCGTCAGTCATGGCTGGAGATGTCATTCCAGCACCCTTCCAGATCACGGAAAATGATAAACGCGGATTGATCGTCGTGACCGCTGGATGTACGTTGGCCTTCATTTGGGTGTGTTTTGTTATACGAGTATGGCTGCGCTTGCAAGTCAGAGAATGGAGGTCTGATGATTACTTCCTCGCAGCAGCGACGGTGAGTTTGAAGTTGAATGCGTGGCTGCGGCGTGGTTGCTGATCACTCGCATAGTTTTTAGACACAATTCAGACTGGAATCACATTCCATCTTGTCAATCTAGGCTTGGGTGGTCCTCAGGAAGAGATTCCTTTGGATCGACTCAAGGACATCGGGAAGGTGCGTCAGAGATTCTCACAAGGTTTCGGCTGCTTCCCCAGCGCCTGTTCGCGGGGCAGTCGCGCGACCCACCGGTTCAAAGACATGTCTAACAACCATAACAGCAAGGTTTTGCCTCCCAAATATTCTACATTCTCGCACTATGGACTACCAAGTCTTCCATCTTGCTGCTATATATACGGCTGTCACCGAGTGGTGTCAACAGGATTGCGTCGTGGACGATGCTCGCGTGTTCTGCAGTGTGGGCACTTGTTTCGATCATCCTGATATCTGTTCCGTGCAACCCTGCGCAGTTATATACTAGCAAAGCTGGAGAATGCGCTGATATGGTATGTAGACTACTGCACTGTGTGGTAGTGGTCATGCAAAGCTAACGTATATATTAGTGGCCGAAATGGCAAGCTATCACCGCTCTTGACATCACCACCGAAGGCCTCATCTTCCTCATTGCGATTCAACTCGTGTGGACGCTTCACATGCGATGGAAGACCAAGTTCCTTGTCGTGTTTGCATTTTCCGCACGACTTCCGATTATTATGATTGCGGCTATTCGACTCTACTACTTCCAACAAGCGATCGCCGACACGAATGTTACATATGCGAGCAGCTTCTATCTGGTCGCCAACCAGTGGCAGATGAGCTACGCCATCATTTCACTTACGATCACCGGCATGGGCCCTTTTTTACGCCCTTTCAACAAGGATCTGATGACGAGCTACGTAGCGAAGCGGTACGCAAGGAACGGCAATATTATCGAGTCTCAGTCCGGGGGATCTCAACTGGGCTACCAGATGAGTCGGCTAGATCGTGAAGAAAACAGGCCAGTACGGGTGAGGCTGGGCCCAAGCAATCGCTCAAGGAACGAGTCGAAAGCATCTTCTCCAGAGCCTGGTCAGGTTTCGCCTACTTCGCAGACATCTATCATTAGATCGGCAGAGCCGCCAACCTTTCGTCCACAGCATGAAGGCCTCAGACACGACGCCGAAGTGTGGGTCGGAAAGCGTACATCGAGTGTACGGGATGCAGACGATGTGTTCAGACATCTGAGCGACGAGACTCGGCTGGTCATCACGAAAAAGACAGAGATGAAGGTAGAGAGCGACAGCGCAAGTCAAGCGCAGCGATAATTGAGCAGGCCTTTCCGCGGGTGTTTTGCTATGGATTGATACCCACTACCGTATCGTTTGTTGTATTACTACTTCCATTTGGATACGCATATAGAGACGACAATGAGAGATGTTGATGTTCACCTACAAGGCTGATGATACGGACCGATTCACACGTACGATTGCTGGCCTCGTGATCGACAATTCTGAGCGGCACGTCCGATGCTGATTCCACCAGTCTGGCTACAGCAAACATGGGTGCCATGACTCAGTCAACGATCGAGGCGATTCGGTTCAGCTTGCCTCGCTTTGCCTTTGGTATGTGCAGTAGCCGGACCAGGGGCGGCAACGTCTTGTTTCGGCTTGACATGACATGGGGCAGATCTGTATCTAGCCGCCACAACGGAGATTGCTGGAGACATTCTAGAGCTGTGCCAGTGATTACGACGTGGCGAGAAGACTCTGGAGACCGGTTTTGATGACGTGGTGGTGGTGGAGATGGTGTTGTTCTAGATCCGGAAGAATTATGTGTTTCACATTTGCACAACGAGCGGGAGCACTGGAGATGCACAGGATAGTTGCCAATTGTCATGTGTGGGCGCCGTCGGCAGTTTCATCGTGACTGCGACTGCGAGAGCAAAGCATTAATCCCCAACGGGGATCTTGAGATGAGATCGAAACGGCATGGATGAGATAGTCTTGGGATTTGAAATATACGAAACCTGCTGATATCGCTGTGTTAACTCCAATGCTTCAGTCAGCCACACTTGATGTGAAAGTACATCTGTGAAAAATCATAGGCAGAACGATGATCAGCCGGAAATTTGCAGTCTTTATTGTATAGGCTATGATATCTACAGTGGATATGTGGGTCAGGGTGAACGTTCTCGCGCCTCTTTGCAAACTCTGCTTGCAAGCAGAGGGGACATTGCATTCTTCAGCCCAACATTGTCAAGTCATCTATCAAACCGTGGGGTGGGGTTGCTCGTACGATAACGGCTCTACTCTCGGTCCGTAGCTCAACTGTTGTGCCGATGTCGTGCATTCAAGCAAAGACGTAGCAGGGGATGCCATACTGGCAGACCGTTAGCGAGAGGATTGAGAAGACAAATAAATGCAGGGCCACATACGTTCGTGGGTACGTTGAACTTTAAGTTCTTATCCAGATCTGAGATCTGCTGGATCTCGTCTGACTTCAAGTCGAAGCTTGTCACATCCAAGTTCTGCTGCAGACGGTGCTGGGAATTACTCTTGGGAATGACGGACAAGCCACGCTGTGTCGACCAACGCAGGAGTACCTTGGATATACGTCAGCAACTGCATACACCCGCTCTTTACAATCCAGCATACCTGTGCTGGCGTCTTGCCATGTGCTTCTGCGATATTTGTGATAACTGGGTGATCAAACAGTAGAGGTGTGTCTGCAGCGACTTTCATATCGCACTCAAGGAATGACTGAGGCCCAAACGACGAGTATGCGGTGACGGCGATGCCATACTGCTCAGCGAGCTTGAGCAGGTTGGGCTGGACGTAGTAGGGGTGGTGCTCGATCTGAAGTGTCGCGGGCTTGACCTTCGCATATGTGAACATGTCGAGCAACAGTGCACCATTGTAGTTTGAGACACCAATGCTCTTTGCGAGACCCTTCTTCTGCACGTCTTCCATCGCTCTCCAAGTGTCCTCAAGCCTTGCGTTGCTGTGCTCGATCTTGGTCGAGGCATCATCGTAGTACCAGCCAGGAGGGTAACGAGTCTCAGGAGCGACATACTTGAGGGCTACAGGGAAGTGAATGACCCACAGGTCAAAGTAGTCAATCCCCCAGTCAGCAAGCTGCTTCCTGGTAATGGGCTCAACCTTATCGTAGTCGTGGAAAGACTGCCATAGCTTGGAGACAATGAACAAATCCTCACGTTTCACAAGGCCCTCCTTGATGGCACGTGCAACACCTTCTCCAGCTTCCTTCTCGTTGCCGTAGTCTAGTCACTCGAGTCAGTATTCTCCTTCAGATATCCGCATTCGAGGCTTGACTGCGAAGTTATCCATGATTTCAGTCTCAGATCGGAACCGATCTGCCCATGCCAGTCGAGAGACTGATCACGTACCACATGCTCCGTCGAACAGTCGGTAGCCAGTCTTGATGGCGTTGTATACGGTATCCGCACAGGTGGCGTTGTCGACCTTCCACAGTCCAAAACCGACCTGCGGCATTTTGTTCCCATCGTTGAGCGTTACGTACGGAGTGTTGGCGGCCATTATGGCGAAGAAGTTGCGGTTGGAGGGTTGAGAAAGTCGCTGTACCGCAGGACGAAACGCTGGTGTAAGAGTAGGAACTGAAGCTCGAAAAGATGAAGAGAATCTTTCAAGCGAAACAGAAGAGCAGGATCGAGGGATATTAGTAGTTGCGCGGCAGTAACGTCCAGCAAGCATGACCTCCAAAAGTCCCTGGTTGCTGCAAGAATCCGGGCGCCTCTCCGGTATATACGGCGCGCTAAACACGAAATAAACACGGCCCTGCGTCTTCTACCGTACAGCTAGAGCTTCTCTTTACCCTGGGTGGATAAGCTTCCGGAGGCATTTACCCTTCTTTACGCAGGATCGTGGATTTTGCATACTGTACCTATGTGTACCCCGCATCTACGTAGATCATCCTGCAATCGCTGAGGTAGGATCACTACGGTGTTGCAAAGCAGTGCGCAAACCAAAGCACACAGTCGACATTTCCCTGAGACCTGCTCTTCTTGGATCAGTGACTACATTCAACTCTACAATGGTATGCTGTCAGTCCGCGGTTGTTGTGCATGGTGGGGCTCTTTATCGAAGCTGCCCCGCGATTCGTTTGTCGCGACTGACGGCGGGTAATCTGCTTTGAAGCACCGGGTAATACTTGCTCAACATTGATCCATCGGCAGACATCGTCGGTGTAGTTATGACCGCGCGGCTGTTCGGACGTTATGAAGCTGATGTTTCAGGGCCTGCATGGAAGTTTGAACAGTCTTCGTTGCGGGTCGCGGTCGCTCGGGCCGTAGACCTCGGGATGATGATCATCTGTGGAGTTTGTGAGGACTTTGTGGAGCAACGCGAATCGTACGTTCTGTGGAGTCTTGAAACACGAATCGCACAGCGCATTGTATGTCTCTGGTGTGTGCTTCAAGGCCCTCCAATATTGCAACTGTGGTTCGATTCTTGTGGGCGTGCGTGGGCTTTGACAACTCAACAAACTCAATCGCAATGAATGTGAAAGCTCCAGCGAAAAGGTGGTGCAAGTCTCTTGTGCAACCGAGGATGCCGAAACCAAGCAATTGACCACAATCTTGGAAGTGCCCTCGGAAGAATATCGTAATGAAAAACTCTAAGATTCCTTAGAAAAGCGGAATTTTGTGATAGTAATGCTCAATTTCAAGCGTTGCAGGGCTATTTGCGGCTTCTTTGGGTTAAGCAGAGCAAGTCTAGCCGAGTGAGTACCTTGCTGACAGCCCAACCGAGCAATATCCTGCATCGACGTTAGCTTACAGTCATGCTCTAGCAGTGAACAGAAGTTACCTTGAAGGTACAAAAGAGAGCAGTGCCTCTTATCACCGCATCTCTGAGATTCAAAGAGTCGTTCAATCAGCCCTCGCAAGCTTGCTCAAACGTAGTAGTCGATTCCGTCACTAGCGGCAACTCCTTCCAGCTCGAGAACTTCCTGCCTCTCTCCAACAAGGCTTAAGCACGACTTACGCCACACGTAGTAAAGAATCTTAGGAGCAGAAACAAAAGCAATCGAACAACACATCCGGGGTCACCTTTTAATGCCAGTCACAATGTCGTATAAGACAAGTGTTTCCCCGGCTTCCCCGGCTTCTCCAGAGAACGATTACAAGCGCCTTTGGAGCAGCTGAATGCAACAGCAACCTGTATACGATCAACTACCGTCAATCGACGCCATTATCCACCGCTCAGCAAAAGTCCATAGCAACAGTGGCGATACTGCTCCTCTCTGGACTCTTCGAAGCGCGCAACCTTCGCAGAAGCCTTTAAATCTGACGAACGTTCCAGCTCCAAGCATGGTGTCTTCAACACCCATAACCCACATAGTCCTCTTCAAATACCGCCCCGACATATCCTGGACCGACTTCCAAACACACTTCACCTCCTTCCAATCCCTGCAGACGCGATGCCTGCACCCCTCCACCGGCAAACCGTACATGCTCAGCATGCGCATGGGGCAGAACAACTCCTGGGAACCCTTTTCCAAGGGCATGACACACGGCTTCATCCTCGAATTTGCATCGCAGGAACACCTCGACTATTATCTACTCCAGGATAAGGTTCACGCCGAGTTCTCAAGAAATGCGAAACCGCTGATCGAGGACAGCGTGGTGGTCGATATCAAGGACGGCTTGTTGTTTGGCCCGAAGCCGCGGAAGCCAGTCGGTCAGGGGGGGGGTGTGGAAAGGTACGTGTCACTGCCAGGATATCGAGTGGGAGGTCAGCATTGAAGAGGGGGAGAAGCTGAAGCATATCGTGTGCCACTGCGATACTTGTAAGAAGTTGGGTGGTGGGCCGTATAGTTGCAACTACATCGTTCCCCAGGAAGCTCTCACTATCCTGCGAGGGAGGACGGGAGAGTATGCGTACAAGGGTGCGAGTGGAAAGGATGTGCATTGTTACTTCTGTCCAAGGTGTACGAGCCATATTTATCATCACCAGGATGCGATGCCGGAAAAGGTTATTGTCAGGACGTTGTTGCTTGATGGGGGGAATGAGCTGGAGGCTGGTGGGGAAATTTTTGCGAGAGGGGCGTTAAGCTGGGCGCAGGATTTGAAGAAGGCATTGGCTCAACCGGTTCCTGCGAAGAGTGCTGCGAAGAGCAATGGTGTCAATGGGACGAGCGGATTATAGAGTAGAATGTACAGCGAAGTCAAGACAACTGTCAAATTTCTTTCATTCATTCTTGCTAGAGTCAACGGCTTACGCCTTGATCTCAGTAACAAGCTTGCCCTGATTGCCTCCCGAGAACAATGTCATCCATGTCTTGGGAGCATCCTCGAACTTAGTAGGCACAACAGTCTCGCTCTCAGGATCGATCTTGATCTTGCCATCCTTGATGCCCTGAGTAATAGCCCCAAGCATGTTTCCAACCTTGCCCGAGGTCATCGCATCAATGACAATGAAACCCCTAACCTCGATCCTGTTCGCAATGATCTCGAACCAGTTCTTAACACCAGCGTTGGGGTCGTTGTACGTCGAAATAGCACCGCACGCAGCGACGCGACCAAAGCGCTTGATGCGCGAGAGCATGAGGTCGAGAATCTCGCCGCCGACGTTGTCGAAGTAGACCTCGACGTAGCCTTCAGTGGCCTTTTTGAGGTCCTCCTTGAAGGAAGCGGCCTTGTAGTCCACACAGACATCAGCACCCAGGCTCTCGACCCACTTGCACTTTTTCTCACCGCCAGCGATACCAATGACCTTCTTGCAGCCAATCAAGTGCTTGGCGATCTGAACGACCATGCTGCCAGTAGCACCTGCAGCACCAGAAACGACAACAGTATCGTCTTTTGTCGCGCGCGCGATGTCGGTGATGCCGTAATATGCTGTGAGACCGGGGCCACCGAGGGAGCCAATGTAATTTGTAACACGAATGCCAGCCTTCTCGTCAGCAGCAACGGCACGGACCTCGTTTGCCTTGACGACAGCGTAGTCTGTCCAGCCCAGCGAGCCGGTAACGAGTGTGCCCTTCTTCAAGCTGTCGACGTTCGACTCGACGACCTCACCAATGGCGTATGAGCGCATGACCTCGCCCTTCTTGACAGGAGGAACGTAGAGACGCTCCGGGTCCATGCCCTTCTGGATCCATCCACGCTGTGCAGGGTCGTTTGAGAGGTAGAGGGTTTTGACAAGGACCTGGTCGGCGCCAACCTCAGGGAGTGTGACGTTCTCGAGCTTGAAAGTAGCATTGGCGCCCTCAAGAACAGGGTCGGCATGGGGAGGGTTCGATAGAACCCATTGGTTTGCTTGTTGTCCAGGCATTGTGTGTGTTTGTGTTGGTTGACGGTGGATTTTGGTGACTTGGTGTGTCAATGAAAACCTAGGGAATGGGACAGGGCAGTGTATATCTATACCAAAGTGCAATTGATTTCAAAGCAGCAAAGAAGTTTGAAACGGAAGCCTGCATGCGACTACCATGTGAGGCTCAAGCGTTTTAGATGCGGTGAACCTCGGCTTCTAGACACGACACAGGTGGATACTTTTTTGGCCGCCTTTGCGGTGTGTAGACTCAATGCCTGTATGATATACTCCGCTGTTCGTCCTATACGAGACAATGATCTTTTCAGTTATCTCGAGTTCAGTTGGGGTGGAATGGACGAAGTTACTGCGGTCCATTGCTTCAGCGATTTTCAGTGATTAAAAAGTAACCATGACGCAACAAGCCAAGCATTGCCACAAGTCGACACTTCTAGAATTGTTGTCTCGGTGCTATTACTCGCCCAGTAACTGACAAGACCGCATTGAATCGAGCTGTCCATTGAGGTAGCGGTGACGACAAAGAATGGTGGGGTAGCTGTCTTTGAGTTAGAAATCCGAGGTGGGCTGGATTGTATGAATCGTGCTTCTCGCGCTAGCGGGCTCTGGCGACTAGTAGAAAGCTCATGGAGTCTGAGCATGGAGACCGCAAGGCTCCGGCCGGGATGTTGTTCTTACAAGTTGACGATGCGACAGGTTGTGAATTCTGCCCAGCTGTAGAAGTCCTCACTTTTCGATCGTGATGTCGATAGCAAGTAGCAGGCCGTATTGCGGAAGAAACACCACTCGAATGGAAGCAGACACTTTACCTAGGTTGGTAAAGTTGTCAATTGAATGCTTTGTTCACGTAACTAGACAACGTTACGTCTCATGAGCAAGCAATATTAATAGCACCCTGGGGAATGGACGGTGGAACACAAGCTAGGTCTCAATAGGTTGTTAAATAGCAACTTGAGTGCCTCTCAGGTCATTTGAATCACTATCATGCATTAACCCACTCGTTCGTTCGAAGTCCCATTCATTTGTAGACCTATAATGCAGCATGCAGATCCCAAGATTAGCGCAACCCAAATGCCCCTTTGCGCACATCAGGTATCAGGTAATCAAATTATATGCTTTTCCAGTCTTCCCAAGCAATGAGCCGTTCGACGGAATAAAAAAAGACGCGAGGAATCGATGTCGTGGCGCGCTTGATGCTCATCGCCCACTGGGCGAAGCTTGTTTGTGGTATAGAGAAATGTTGATGTTGTGGGTAGATTATGCGGTGAAACGGCGGGCGACCTTGGCCATAACTGATAGATTCGTTAGTCACATAGAATGTTGAAGGCTAATAGTGAACTTACCGTGCAGAGCGACGACGCTGAAGATGAAGACAACAGACAGAGTCATGACAACGACAGGATCGACCTTGAGACCGGGGGACTCATCAGTGTACAGCCCTAAAGATGTATGTTAGTACGTTTCCGCTTCCATGATCCGTTTTGAGAGTCCTCTCCCCCTCGAATTCCGTTCCATCTACTGCACGATGCCGTACTCGCGTTCCAGGATACATTTCTCTCGCGAGAATATCGACCGTCTGGGGAAAAACTTACTCAGCATAGTGCTTGAGCTGCCACCAGCACCGGCGGCCCTTGTGCTGCTTGGTCGCTGGTTGGAGACCTTCTCAGCGCGGTCGGCGGCGGCCTTCCTGCGCATAACTGTGGCAGGGCCACCCGGAGGCTTAGGAGACGCAGGGCGCGCGGTCGTTGTGCCGGACGCGGCATTGTTGACGGGGGAGGTGGGGCGCGGTGCAGACTGTTGGAAGCATGTCAGTTACTGTTGGCTAAGATTGTAGCTTGCATGGTTGCGGCATATCAAGACTGATGTATGGTTCGAAGCTGATGCTTTGCTCGATAAAGCGAAGAAGTACTGTTCGAAACAATAGCAAAAGAGACGCTTAACGCAGGTCCTCCGATTGCATGGCCTGGTCATTGAATACTGTGGTCGCATGTACAACGACCAGCGGCCATCTGTCCTTTGTGTGCGCGCCTTGGAGGCCAATTGATTGAGGAGAGGCCATCTACTCACCATGTTGTTCGTGTATTACAAGGACCGGAAGAAGTAGACCGAAGGAGCGTGGATGGGGGTGGTGTACGTGTGATGGTTGGGGTGGTAGTCGGGTCTTAGCTAACTGAGAGGCCACGCTTCTAGAAATGCTGCGAGCCGGGGTTGGTCAGGGTTAGCTTAGCGCACCGCGGCTAGCACAGACGCACAGGCGCACAGGCGCATTTCACCACCACGTCCCTTTCACTGCGTTACCCCGGACTAAGACAGTCGTCAAAGCTTCGATTGGCCAGAGCTTGTAAGCTTTAGACCTCACCGGCACGGTCAGTGGAAGATTGTTGCCCCAAAACCACTTTTCGCATTGTTCCTCAGATGTGCCAACCTATACATAACGTCCAGAAATTACAGGAGCTGGAACAAATCCACCACTCCATGTCGCAAATGCTCCCAACCAGATCCTACCAGATCGTAAGACTAGTGACCGAAGCATGAAGAACAATAAATCCGCAAGAACTCCCCACCGACCCATAAAGCGAAAGAACCGGGACAACCTTTGGCCCACAAGTAAACACCCCATGTAACCCACACGTGAAAGGTATATCATCTTCAGCCAGACCCAGATGCAGACAAACGCGCCGTAAAAGCATGATTGGAACCCAGGATAATTTTTCGCCGACCACCCATAACCTGTTCCGCCTGTGGATATTTGTTGGAAAGCCGACACGAATGCCTAGGACACCTTGAAATGCAGAAACTCCGGATGTGCATCAAGACTCCCTAATCAAAACTCCATTTTAGCCCCAGACAGAGGCCTGAACACCTTGGTTGGGTGTGTTACCCCAGGGACCATTGTTCCAGATAGCAGCACCCTTGTCGGTAATCGTCGACGAAGGGTTCAAAGAAGAGGACGTAGTAGCGACGTTGTGTTGTTCGCTAGCGCTGTAAGAGTTGTAGCCAAGCGGCGACGGGAGAGGTGTAGTAGCCCGCTTGCCGAGAGGAGCACCAGCTGGCTGGTGCTGGTTGGGGGCAGGGCGAGTGCCGATGGGGGCGACGCCAGATCCGTTGGCCTTGGGGCCGGGGACAGGAGGAGAGCCACCGGGGGAGGAGTTGGAGGTGCGGCTAGCCTGCTGCGCATCGAACAGACCGAAGGCCTGGTTCTGATGGGAAGAAGGGGACGAGTTGCTGTTGGCACGGGCCTCTTGGGCTCCACCTGCAGCCTCCTTGTCTCCTCGTGGGGGCATCTGAACAGCAGCCTCGCCGGAAACATTCTGTGCCTGCATGCCGAAGGGATCGAAAGCCAGAGGAGAGGCTCCACGGTTGGCACCGGCTGACTGGACTCGGACGTCCTGGCTGGAGGTGGGGTTGTTATTGTAGAGGGCTGAGTTCTCGCCGTACAGGGCACGATGCTGGCGGGCGATGAGTTCGCGGCGGTCGTCTTCATTCATGGCATTGGGGCTCATGGAGCGGTCCGACTTGGATCCAGATCCCGAAACGTCTATTATCCTAGTCAACCACTGTCCTTCCTCTATTGTTGCCCTGACTCTGAGTCCTTACTTCTGTGATATTGCTGCTCCTGGTGGTAGTTGCGCAGCTCACGCTCGCGCTGAGCAGCCATCCGTCGCTTTGCCTGCGCCATCTGGTCCGCATCGTTGGGTCGCGGCGCAAAGCGCTGGTTCTGGTAGAAGCCCTGCGCATTCGAGGCCGAGTGGGAGCGCATGCCGTCGTACTCGCTGACCGAGTGGTGGCGCTGCTGGCCGCCGTAGCGAGCGTCTGTGTCCGTCAGTCGGTGTTCTCCGTATTAGTCTCGTCGTGTTGGCGTACCTTGCTGCTCGGGATATGGGCGGGGACCACCCATCATGGGCATCGACTCGCGACGGCTGCTGCCAGTCTGGGGCGTGGATGGAGGGTAGCCGCCGAATGGCTTTCCGCCCTTGGCGAGATTCTCGGCGGCGCGTTCGACTTCTGCAGAGAATGTATTAGTCGAGTTCATAGCCCTTGTCAGAAGCCTGTCACTGCCATGCGCTGTCACTGTCCGCAGCCCAACATGGTACTGACACCTTCGACCCCAAACTCCTGCCATGACATACCGTCAAACTGCGCAACAAAGGCATTGGCCTCGTCCCTGTTCACGGTCGAGCTGGCGCCTGGATCCATGTTACTCTGTGTCCTGCCACGGCTATAAACACTGTGTCCGGTACCTGAACGGGAGGGCGGCTGCGGCTGCTCCCACGACGACTGGCGGCCCGGAGCAGGCGCAGGCCAGGAGGGGTCGTTGTAGTAGGACATGGCCGGCGGAAAGTGAGTTCGTGTGCGGCGGCTGCGGTGTTCGTCGTTCGGCGGTCAATATTATGGTCGTCTGTTTGTGGACGGATGGAGATGTTCCGAGAGAGCAGCGAAGCCCTGCTGCACACCGTGTCAGAGAGAGGCAGTCAATTGCAGGGTGAAGGAGCGGAACCGGTCGGACGGGCGTAAGTATGCACGGGATGGGGGCGGGAAATGAGGTCGACTCGGAAGCGCAGATTTTTTGGCGCGCTCCTAAGTTGCGGAGATGCTTGAGATAGGGTCCTGCCGCTTACCGAGAAATGCAACTCCAGAGACTCGACGCAGGAATAAAGAACGACTGCGGTTCACTCTACAGATCTACAGATATGCAGGTGAAGTAACCGAGGGGCAGCACAGCTGAGCGGTAGTCAAGGAAGGGTTGGTACGGGAAGACTCGCGGAGCGGTTTCGAAGGGGGATATTCCTCACATACATATTAGTCGTACGCTAACCCTGGCCAAGCGCTCAGGCCCGTGGGTCGTGAGGAGCGGAGGGAGATTGAAAGATGCAGTTAGCCTCGAGTTCGCGCACGCAATCAACTGATGGGCCTGCGTCCGTCGCGCTGCAGCGGCTCATGTTGTATCATGGCAGACCCGCAATAGCCTCACGGTCGAGGGCCCCTTCATCTTCAACATCTTCAACATCTTCACCTTCGTAGTTCTCGCCCGGGGACGGCCAAGGGGGCAGAAGCAGAATTTGCGGACATGACGTTTGTGGCAGCTGCAGGCCGTCCTCCACGCTGTGGGAGATGCATGCTGCTTGGTGCGCTAGCGATGTGAGCGTCTTCGAGCACCACCAACAACCCTTCTTCGGTTACGAACATACCTTGGGTAGGGCCACATAAATTCCCGTCAGGCCGCGCTCTCCTTTTCCCGAAGCCGCACGTGGACCCTGGCTGAGACCCTCTCTGTGCTTTGATACACGCAGTACCCCAGACGGCCACGCGCAGCGAGCAGTTGTCTTCTGCATCAACTTCTGCGAACCACTGTGTTCGAAGCCCAATGATCAGCTCTGCCCTACCGGACGCATGGCTGCAGAAAAGTCTGAAAAAGGATGCATGCCATGCCATCCTGCACACCCCACCTCGGGCCCAACCACTACCCGCACAGGACCACACCGTCTGCGCCGTCCGTCTTCGGCAGGAGAATGCAATCTTCAGCTGCCAGCGTGATCAGCTTTACCCTCCTTCATCGCAGACTACTCGAGAGCCAGCCCACTATGGTGCGGGGCTGCCACGATATCGTGGACATCGTCCAATCAGCACCACAAGTCGGTGATGGTATTGACCTGTGGCTGCTGTTGGTGTACATTTGCAAGAAATCGAAGAGCAATTTCATCAGCAAAGATGCGTGGCTTGTGAAGACGTTGATCATTGATGTTGCTCTGCCATCCTCAAGTCTCAACAGGACATCTCGGTCCTCTTTAATCGAAGTTCCGTACCTGCCGGGACGGGCTTCTTTCCAGATGAGGCTTGAGCGGGTATGGGGCATGCAAGCCGTCGCTGTCCTGCGGGTGCAGCGCTTCTGCGGACTAAGCAGTCATCAAATGCACAGCTTGCAACACCGTGTACACAGTGGGATGCCAAGCTCGCAGTCAATAGTCATACAAGCCGTTTGTCGGAAACCCGTTGCCGGTCTTCCTAATGTCAGCTTCAATGCTACACCACAACAAACAACTCACCGTTCGCGCAACCTGTCTATGTGATACACAGCGCGTTGACGAGCCTCATCTGACCAGTGTAATGGCCGCTAAACGTCGATGCAGCGTGCCCGTGCCAAAGCCATCCAGGATTGCCAACGGCTCGGCAATACTTGCCGTGGCAGCTCCTGCCCATTCTCTCTCAACGGCTGCACAGCCCTTTCTTTCTCACAACATCAAAGTCATCTTTCAGAAGCGTGCCCCCGAACGGACCAAATCTCTTTTTCTTCTCCAGATCGGTTCTTGTCTCACCTTTCGTCCGTCATCACATCACATTCCGTTGCACCTGCTTGTGTGATTAAATTGTCGATTCTCTAACACCGGATACCCCTTTGTCACGCGCATTTCGAAGGATGACATCGCCGCCAGGCAGCGCAATCAAGTTCGTTGTTCACGTACCAGGACAATGGTCGTCAATCAACAAGCATGTCGAACGAGACATCAAACACCTGCAATCACGCTTGCGACCATGTCCCCAACGGCCATCTCAGCCACAAATTCTAATCTTATCCTACTGATGTCAAAGACCATCATTCAAAGACGAACCTGACATCAGATGGTGGTCACTGCCACAACGGAAGTTTCCTCTTACCATTATCCTGGAGCCACGCCCGGTGCACAAACAGAGCCCTGGCCAGCAGGTGACGTCCCTGCGCAAGGTCGAAACTTTATATGCCCCGGACATGACATTGCCCTATTCACTAGTAAATTCACCGCTACATGTTTTATGCTAATTGCTAGGATCTCCAGAGAGCATCAATCCAACCCCCATACACGATCATGGCTGCGCCGACCCTAACATTACTCAACCTACCTCCAGAGCTGATACTCGAAATCGCTGACTATCTGCCTCCGGATGGTATATTGGCTCTCAAGTTCTCGCATCGAGCCTTGGACTATTCACTCCCCCTTGCACCTCGACTCAGAAATCGGACCCTGTCGCGTTGCGCTCGTCTTGCAGTCTGCAGCTACCTCGCAAAACCAAACCCGAACCCAACCCACCTTCGTTGCATTCTGTGCAAAGCAGTCTATCCTCTCAAGTCCTTTCAGTCATCGAGCAGCCCGGCTTGCGCGCCTTTGTCATTCGCAGTTGATGTGGGGCAAATGGAGGTAGTCGAGCTTCCGCAAAGGCTCTGTGCCTGGCATGTTGGCCGTCTGGCAAGAATTGTCCATACCGAACCTGCCGGTAAGAACATGTGGGTCGCCAGCTCAGAAGAAATGTGTATGCACTGTGGAGCGATTCAGTCTTGGGCGAAGTGTGATTGCTCGTGCGACAGCTGTTCGGTCAGAGCTGTGACAGCATACACTCGATACCTGAACAACAAGACGGAATGCAGAGAGTTCGTCTTCTACAGGAAGGCCGTGACCGACAAGGTCATGTCGCCACACGGGACTACAAGGAGTCAGTTGTTCGTCCGAGAGACATGCTTTGAGCCTGGTACGTACCTTACAGCCCCAGGACCTGGCAGCCGTGCTACGAGCTAACGTGATAGTAGACTCTGCAGATCAAAATCCTGTCATCCATATGCCAGTCCAGCACTCTGAGGAAGACGCGCCACATGTCGTCAGTCAGGCCCAGACTTGCACGGTTGTAAGCCGCCCAACGAGCATTACATCTGACACCTTCCTGCCTGCATCTCGAACACATCCATAGAGTCCAGTTCATCTTGTCGAGGGCTGCCGGTGCGGTTGATTGGAAAGTGGTCGTATAGTCATATCGGCCATTACGTTACATGCCTCTCGCTTCTCCTAACATCCGCTCTTCTCCCTGATTACGTAGACATCATCCTCCACCAAAAAGCCTGCTTTTTCGATATCGCTTCGACTCGACCGCCGGGCCTGCAGCTCGCTGCTCCAGCTTCTTACAGTAGCCAGCGCCCACCATTGTGCAATCATCAGCACCAGACCACCGCAAGCAACGCCCACCTGCATCATGCCAAAGCTTTTCGAGCACTGCACGAGCCACTCCTCATCCCAACCAAATCCAGCATCGATGTCTCGGCATATCGCGGTCTCGTCTATCCGCCAACTCGGAATCACCGGATTCATATAACGGAGGTCGTATGAAAGGAGGGTGTTGATAAGTGCGAGAGTGACGAAGGATAGTGTGGCGGTGTGAACAAGGGTGTAAGCTGACACAAGCTTGGGCAGCAACTATATATGCGCGTCAGTGGTCGTGTCTCAGGCTTGCAGTATACGATCGGTTTGAGTTTGGAATATTCGGCATTGCTCGGCCTTGCTGTGCGAAGGAGTGCTTACCCTCATTGCTCCTACAAGCCCCAGCACGCTGGCGAAAGCGGCCAATCCGTTATACATCAGCGACCAGAATGCCCATGTCTGATCATCTCCCGGTAACGCGAAGGACAGTGAAAGTAGCAAATGTGTCGAAAGCGTGAGCGCCGGTAAAATAATCGCCAGAAACCTATTTACAATTAGCCATGTCCATTCAACCTCAATATTCGCGTTTTCGCACTTCAAGACACGGTTTGCACGTTCCGGAAGTCGCGGAAACATACCTAATCTGCGTCTGCTCTCTCGACAACTCCATATTTAAAATTAAATACGTGCGCACGCTGAACAGGAAAGCAAAACAGTATCGTAAGGGTATCAAGGCGTGCGCAGGCAAAGGAAGCGAGGTCGAATGCACGCAAGGGCGCCGGTATTGATATGAATAATCCGTGATCCAAAGTTAAGACCTGACGTGACCTTGAGAAACTGCATTCGCTAGCCGTGCTTCCCCGAACACTACACTCCTACTCGTCCGACTTCAGAACATTTTCAAGACTATAGGTCCCAGGAACGAATGAATAAGGCGGAATTTAGTAGATTCAGTGGACTTAGAGCTGTCTGACTAACCCGTGCCGGAGGGATGCTTTAGCTCCGGACTTCCGCGGATGCGCGCGACGTCATCAGTCGAAACCTTACGGCCCCGGTGTTTTAACTTCAGAGCTCATTCTCGACCGGGTATGTCGGGTAGTGAAAAGCTTAAATCTCAGAATTCTGGGGAGAAAGAGCAGCGAGAGCATCGCTTTTGGCAGCTTTATTGGTGCGCAAAGGGCGAGCGATAGGAAACCGACTCGTTGGGGTTAGGGCTGCGGGAACGCGGATCACGGCGATGCGGTTGTGGAGGCTACCGCAAGTAGGCATCACGGGAGCGTCATGGGTGTGGTATGCGCTATATTGGTTTAACTTGGAATTGGAAGGGGGTTTCAAGCAGATTGCCATCCCGTGAGTTTGCGCGAGGGTGTGATGTAAGACTATATTTTTGCAACTTGCGTGGAGAGATTGTTGTGGTTGTGCACGCGACACAAAGGAGCCAAGATGTGGAATGTGCAAATGTGAGTATGGTAGCGAGGCTTGTTTGTAGATTAGCAAATGCAGCCAAATTTGGATGCAGCTTTGCCTGATTAAGGGTGGTGATGGTTGGATCGCTTGATCTTCGTGTTTTTTTTTCGGAGTTTAGGGTTGGGTGGGGCAGAATACGGTCCTTACGACGGGAATTGATGACGCAAAGATATGTGATGGCAACGCGACGCGTCTTCTCAAAGCTCATATAGTTATCGAATATCATCTCCACGAACACCATTGAGGCATACAACGGCTTACTGCGATCACGAATCTGCCTCTCTGCCTCTTGCACAAGACTAGAGATGTCTGGGAACCTCGTCATCGTGACCTTACCAAGTAACATAATGTTACAGAGGTAACTGCGCATGAGATCCCAATACCCTTTAGCTGAAAAATGACTTGAGGAGAACTTGCGCGCAAGCTGACTCAGGCATGCGCGACGTAGTAAAGAGATGCATGGGATCTTTCAGGATGGCGGGGTCGCTGACACGTGGGCCGGCGTTATCAGCCTGATGTGCTCTTGGACCATACACTCAATACCCACTACCTCGACAATCAGATCATAATTTCGAGAAGACTTGGGCAACCCGCGCCGGCACACATGAGCTACCGATGTGAGACATGCTCCAATACGAATATCAAGCTCTCGATCCTTCGAAAAACGAGATAAGAATCGTACGATTTCCAGGTCCTATCAAGGAAGGCGAGCATCTTGTCCAATGCAACATACAACATGTTTCTCTGGATCAGACACTGCCTGAATACAAGGCATACCTTCAAGAAACAGAGCCGTTCAGCCCTACTATCGCCATTGAGGATTGGTTGAACGCCGAACAATCAAGCAATCTCCTCCCGGACCATCAGATAAAGGCAATTGTTGTTGACGCCTGGAGACATCCTGCTGGAGATGCACAAACCAGTGGAGAAAACACAGTTCCCGTACCTCCTCGCTTCACCTGGGGCGACTTCGAAGCTGTTTCTTACTGTTGGGAGTCAGATGTCCGTGACAAAGTCGTACTGATTGGCGATTATGGTATTCGTGTTCCTACAAGCCTCGAAGCGATGCTCCGAGAGTTGCAGAGACTACCTGAAGCACGCTCAGGTATAGGATTCTGGGTCGATGGATTGTGCATCAACCAGAGTGACATACTTGAGAAAAACCATCAAGTTAGTCTGATGCAGCGAATCTATTGTGAAGCCCTGAGTACGGTAGTCTGGCTTGGCCCTGGCGACGAAGGCAGTAATCAAGCAATTGAAGTCTTCAAGACCCTGCACAGGGATTACCTCGCCTTTTCACTCATCGAGGTCGATGGCAAGACTACGATTCTGGCGGAACCTCAGCGTGAATTTTCCGGAATACAGTGGATGCACGTACTCGACCTCTGGTCTAGAAACTACTTCAAGAGAATGTGGATTATACAGGAACTAGCCATGAACAAGACACTATCTATGTTCATGTGTGGAATCCACCGGTTCACACGAAGCGAATTACGCCAGGGAACCACGTGGGCTCGAGAACATGCTGGAGCCATCTCTCGAACCATACTGAAGGATGTCCACCCGAAGTCATTGCCCGAGGAAGTCGATCACGACTACGTCTGGCGCTTAGCCAATCATGTCGCCGATCTCATCAGGTTGGACGATACTCCGTCGATTGATCACATCTTTAACCTCGCCCGAAAATCTCAGGCCACAGATCCAAGGGACAAAGTCTATGGCTTGCTGGGTTTGCTACCAACGCGGATCACATCGTACCTTAAGCCCGACTATTCCAAATCTGTGGAAGAAGTGTATACAGACCTGGCGATCTCACTACTCAGGAGTTGCAGCAGGCTCGATGAAGTCTTGTCTTGGTGTGCTTTCACTGAAGGAAGCACACTACCTTCCTGGGTACCAGATTGGACGACCAGTCACCAGCGCAATCATCTCCAGTGGCTGCGCAAACGTGAAGCTGGAGGTAATGAGCGCCCAGTCTGGTCGTTACGGAATCGCGGAAAGTCACTTTGCCTCAGAGGTGTCAAGGTCGACCGAATTGAGTCCTCGAGTCGATCGACTTCCTCCATCCTACCGTACCGAGCTGTCAGCCCACCAAACCCGGCATTGAATATCGGGAATCCTACTTTTGGTCGTTATCTCAACAAGCCACAGCTTACAATGGCCTTAGACCGCACCATATTGCAAGATCATCCACACCGGTACGAGCAAGGTGACCTTACTGGTGTACCATGGATTCGATGGGGCGATGCAAAGCATTGTGAGGCGAAACATTTGCTGGAGTTGATCCCTGGTGTGACCGATCAATGGAAGATCTTCGATCGGTTCCGACAGAGCAATGCAGATTTCAATATATTTGGTCATACGTTACAAGACTTCTTCCCGAACACGGGTGACTACAGCAAAGACTTGGTTTATACGCCAATTGATTCTGACTCCATTGATGAGTTCAGCATGGTCTATGGAAATCCCGAAGACGATGGCAACCCTCGACTATTAAGGGTCAGCAACCTTGAACATGGATACAACAACCATCACGCCTCTAATATTAGGAGGGCAGCCGTGGCTCTCCAGAAGCGACGGCTCATCACAACTCGAACTGGATTCCTCGGACTCGCACCCGATGAGGTCAAGATTGGAGATACTGTTGCTATCTTGTTGGGTTGCAATCATCCTGTTGTTTTACGTCCACACGAAGATGGGTTCAAATACGTTGGAGAGTGCTACATCCATGGTCTGATGGATGGTGAAGCTGTTGAAGCGGCATACCACGGCGAATGTCAGTTTGAAGATATCTCGATTGTGTAAGGGGTCGACAAATCTACCAGGCATAAGGGCCTTTAGGCTGTAGCGAGGCAGTGGTACACTTCTAGGTTCGCTGTTATATTTCTATGCAACCACACACTCAAGGCCTGCCTGCTTGCGGGTCACGTATCCTATGTCTATTCTCTTCCATTGATGGCCTGTCTCGGCTAACGAAGAAATCAGAGGGCTATCGCCGTTTCATCCAGTCGGGATAGTCAGAGATTGTTCAGTTGCCAACGAAACTAATCCGAGGTCCATTTCCATAATCGCCGATAATATCCATCGCCTGCTTCTGTGGCTTCTCGGTATAGATTGCAATGCTCGTGATGTCTGAGATTTGCTCGACGTATAGCATGTCGAAGGGTAGATCTGGAGCGAACAGTGCGACCGACGGCGTGCCATGGACTTTATGCTCGACTACCGCTTGCAACGCTCAGGTAGATGGTCCATTGTTGTATGCATGCCTCGTTGACCCCAAGAGCTCATCAAAGAATACTGCGTACTTTCGACTCAGTGCTTGAAGGTCGATCCGTGTGATTCCCGTCGCTCCACAAGGGTGCATCGTCTGAGCTGCGTCCGATGTTGGTACACGAAGCTCACGATTCGTGACATCAAGACACCAGAAGATACGAAGCCCGGTGCCGATCGACTGCTGAGGCGAACTTCCACTTGATGACCTGTCCGTCTGGCCGCACTCTGCCTCCGTCCTTGGGAGCTTCATACTTGATAGGAAACACAAAACTATTGACCTTCAGAACCACCTCTTAAAGGTCGTCATGATTGGGTGTAATGAATGCCCAATACACAATGCTGTACCCATGATCTCTCCACCAGTGATCACCCTTGATGGATGGAACTTCATCGATGAATGCGATGAGCTCCAAATAGTTCCCGTCCGCGAATATGATCATCTTGTTCTTGGTTAACCTGTAAGCGTGACGACCGCCAGGCGTAAGCACAAAGTTGTCAGTGAGCCATGCCGGAAGATTCTGTAGTTCCTCGTAAGGGGTCTTGATAACGATGTGGTCAATCTGTGGTATCATAGTGGCTGCACAACTGATGCTGGCTCTAGCTTCTTGAACCCAAAGAAGCAGCACAGCACTGCTTAATGACTGAGAAGTTCTCCCGAAGACTGTGAGATGAGACTGCGCTTTGATGACGGACCCCAAATCTGACTGTGTGTGGTCGAAAGAATCGCACTGTTTGGAGGGGTCATGCCAAAGACGGAAGTGCAAGCCGGAAAGAGACATTTCTCGCCGGTTGCCCTGCAATGCGACCCCAGATACTCATTGAACGAGTCAGCCATATCCACACTGCTATCTGAGACTTTAATAAGTCCTTGCAATATAGACTTGGCATCTCGAATCCTCTTCTTTTTGGACGAGTTACAATGAAACACTCATGTGGCCCAAGCAAATTGTCGATGACACTGAAGCTTGGCCACAACCGTTATCCTTCGAGCTCGGAATTGTGCATTCTGGTTCCAATCATGAAGCATAGAGACATGCAGACTCGAATATAACGATGAACTTCCGATCCTTCACCTATCGCAGCCATTGCCAACTACCTACTGACCATGGAGACCATGGCAGACGACACCTTGCGCAATGGCTTCCTTGCTAAACCCAAAAATCTCTTCCAGGACCCCGAAGCCAGATGTCGCTGGAAGCTCGATTGCCTACTGCTGGTGTATGTCTTCATTGCCGGGATCTTGAAAGAAATGGACCAGGATGCGACCACGCAAGCCTACGTCAGCGGAATGAAGGAAGACCCACCATTTAACAGCAACGAGATTGTGTGGTTCCAGACCTACTTCTCCATTCCCTACGCGGTATGCATCGTCCTAGCCCAAATCATCCAGACGAAGGTCTGTTGCAACACCTCCGTTCGCCGTATGATCAGGGCCTGATTTGTCGCAGGTGCGGCCATCACTGTTTTTGCCAGCGTGTGAGATCTGCTGGGGTATCATGATGCTCTTGTAAGTGCCAAATGGAATTGGATGCCTTCGGGGCTGACTGTGACAGCACCTACCTCGCTCGTTCAGCGACAACGATCTACATCCTCCACTTCTTCCTTGGCATGTTCTCTGCTAGGTCTTGGCCTGGTATTGTCGCGTTGCTGTACAACTGGTACACACTTACGGAACTTGTCCTCAGACTCGCCATCTTCAACATGTCAGATGTCGCCGGAAGTGTGTTCTTAGGACTTGCGCAGGCTGAATTGCACAGAAGTCTGGACGGTGCCTGTGGCATCGCCGGGTGGTCGTGGTTATTAATCGTTGCTGGTTCCATAACCCTTCTATCTGGCAGCGTTCTGCCAGTACGCATGGTCCAATCGTGCCAACGCCTACTTCTTGCTTTACCTCAAAGACGTAGCAGACCTCGCAGGCCACAAGCTCTACTCCACCTACCAGGTCAATGCAATTCCCTTTGGCGGCTATACTTTTACCATTGCCGCCCGCATAGTCTACAGTTCGATATCAGGTTGCAAGCAATGGAGATGGCAAGTGTACATCTTCCTCGCGTGGGTCCACGTCGTTTCCACAGCTGTGCTTGCAGTCTGGCCGAAGTCCCATGCGACCATCATGGCATTCTACTTCCTCACATGTATGACGGAAGCAGATTTCCCAATTCTGATAGCTTGGCTCGGCGATATTTTGTGAAAAGAACCCGAGGTCCAAGCGATCGTGGTAGGAGCGTCTGTTACGATTGTGTACGTCGGTCACACAACAATCCCTCTGCAGGCTTGGGGAGTTGGAGATTGTCCCACGTATCCCATCGACTTTCCGCTTGCAGCATCCTGGTCGTGTTGTTGATCGTCTGGTATCTGAGCAATTACCCAACCTTGCTGGAAAACGGATTCGGCGATGCGGTAGACGAAGATGAGGTTGTAACCAAGGTGGAGTCACTTGAGATGAAGGCCCGATATGGAGGGGAGACGAAGCAGTCTGAGCAGGAGATGGTGCTTCGTCTCTTGGGTTGTTGAGATAAGCACTACCGTTGCAATGTAGACGACGTTTGGTGACATACCATAGCAGATCGTATAGCATGCATGGAGCCATACGTCCAATGATCGAAGGATCTTGTGAGACTCGAGGATCGTATTCGCTGACCCTTCCACGAACGTGCTCGCTTACTGGCCGCAACTTCGCAGAACATTGCTGTAACGGGCAACGTCACGTGTGAGAGGATTCGCGATGAGGGTCGCGGGAATTACAACGCGGATATATAAGTTTCGGTGATGCGCTGGCACTGTTGGCATCGCGAACCTTTTGCTGAAAGAAAGAACGTCTTGACTATAGAGAGTAGCCTTGATAGCTCCTGTCTTTTAATTCGAGGACCGACGTCATCAAGTCGACATTGTCTACACACCTTTCCATTTCGTCGAACTTCCATCCTACTCGACCCTATTCAGTCTCTGCTTTCGCTTTCAAAATTCATATTGTCTTCTTTGCTCATGCGCCTCCGGTTGACAAACAGGATTTGTAGGTGCCACGGACCTCAGGAATCCTCAATGATATTACCAGTCAGCATGACGCTCGCAGGCCTGCGCGAAATATCACCAACAGATCCTTGCTGTGCTGGTGTGGTCCCGGGTTGAGCGGCAGAGACACCAACATGTGCAGAACCCAGACCTTGCAATAGAAGAGCCGAGGTCCATGAGTGATCGAATCGATCAGCAACATCTACCGACCCCTCTCGGAAACGCGTCTTCACCACCGATTGAACTGAACAAGGCTGCAGGATCTTGTAGGAGTATGGTCTCAAAGGTCGTCATCGTCGATTGGTCGCCGTTGTGAAGGATACGAGAAGCTCAGCCCCTGTCACCCCTCCTAGTCCCCGCGGTCATCCATTCGCCGTCTCCCCATCTTGACTTCCGCGCAAGGCCAGAATGACAGCTTGCGACCCCACACCTCCATCGAACCACCTTGCGATTGCTCACAACTCGAACATCCTCGAACACGCAAACCACAATCTCTATGCGAAAGCCGCCACGCACACTGTGCCGCAATGCCCAAAAGATCCGCAGGATGCTTTGAGTGCAGGAAGGTACGCTAAATTGGCTCGCCTTTCACATGACTGGAAGCTGAGACTACTCTCCAGCGCAAAGTTCGTTGCGACGAAACAAAGCCCGAATGCAACACTTGTCTACGAAGAGGAACAAAATGTCCAGGCTACAGGCCCGCCCAATCATTCATCCTCCATCAATTCGACAAGGAGACCGAAAGGCCACAATTGATCAAGGAGGATGAAGAGCGCTACCGATATGCTTATCAGACGACGCCATCAACGAGCTCGAACATTTCATCTAGAAACAATTCTTCAGGAACACTGGTTGTTCAGCAAGAAAATACGCCCGCTGAGACACAAGTACCGAAACAAGTCAGCTCGATAGCCGTCGATCGAATCCAACATTTGGGGACATTCATTCGGCTTTACCTACCAAGAGCTGATGGCCCAGCCTTGCCGCCTCCGTCAGCCCTAATGCTTGCGCTTCCGACCATGCCCGCGAACAGCCAGGTACTGCTGGCTGCGATTGATGCACTATCCGCAGCGCAGCTTGCTGTCAACGATCGCAATCGCACCTTGGTCAATCGTTCTCGGTCGATGTACGGTACAGCACTGAGCCAAATGATGAAAGCAATTCAGGACCCAGTGTTGGCGTTGAAGGACGAGACCTTGCTCTCAACGTATATGCTTACTCTGTATGAGGTATTGACAGACCGATCCCGGCCATGTACGTATATGCTCACATCAAAACATAGGTGTTTGTTGGTGTCACTCAAGGACACGGTTTCTTCTACCACGTACAAGGACTGCTACACTTGATTAGACAGCGGGGTCCATCATCCTTCACCACCAGGCTGAGCTTGCAGATCTTCCACGCGATTCGATATAACTCGGTACGGGCCAAACTCACCCATGAATCGTCCCTTACTGACAACATTTAGTTGAGTATCGGCTACCACATGCGCAAAGCTTCGTTGCTTGACAGCCCCGAGTGGCTCGCAGTAACAGCACGCGCCGCCAAAACTGACCCCTACGTCGCCTTGAACGACATCTGCATATGCATCCCGCGCCTTCTGGAACGGACCGACAAGATTGGAACCCCCGACTGTCCCCCAACTGAGATTGACTCCGTAATCGACGACTCCCAGAAGCTAGCAAACCGAGGCTTCGAATGGCTCTCCGATTTCGAAAAGTACGGCCCCCGCTACGACAAAGTTGACATTGCATCTATGGAAGCCTTTCTCGAAGAAATATGTGCAGATCGTGTCTTCGACCCCGTGTACAACTTCCACTATTTCGGCGCGGGGATCTGCTACATGATATACTGGATGAGCATGCTAATCATGCAGTCCAACACGTTCAAGTTGCTGCGCACACACCGCCAACTCGAGCCCAAGCAACTCATGGTGTGGGGACGCCAGCTAAGCGGGTATGCGGACAACATCTGCAAGAGCATTCCGTTCCATTGTAGACCGCAGACGGGGTATACGGCGAAGTTTGGTAGTCTGACGCCGTTGGTGGTTGCGAGGAAGTTCTATGAGAATGCGCCAGGGATGCAGCTCAAGGCAGAGTGGTGTGCGAAGGTGTACGTGGTGGCTAGGGTGCCGGGTTTGTATCAAGAGGCGCCTGTACCGTTGGAGCCGTTCAAGGCGGTGCAGAGTACTGTGCAGCAGGGAAACAAGCAGTTTATCTAGACTCGATGTTAGCCTGATCGAAGAGTCCTGCCACGAAGCACATAATGTTAGGCTACGGTAAAAAATGTACCATGTCTTCAGTTTCCCCAGAGTTCCAATCCAGTATCAGTGCACCTTATACTTCGAGAGAGGACAAGTGATCCTCCTTTACCGACACTACAGTGATGGAAAACTTAGTCTCTATGTATATGAACCAGCCTTAGAAAAGCCCTGCAGGCCTTACCTTCCAGGCCAGAAATACCGGTGCAGCTGAACAGATGGTCTTCTCACGCATGTGTTACATAGAAACAGCCATTTCATCATGTCGGGGTTGTCATAGACGTCCAGAAGGCGCTCAAGACTGCAGTGCAGGCGTGACCAACAATCGAGCCAGTCACGGCCTAGTATGCTCACCGGTAAATGCAAGGCCGACCATCGAAACCTCTCGTCCACGCTGAAGATTGCAGTGCTGCGGCATCTAAGTGTGGGGGGGGGGGGGGTCCGGCGGCTCCTCTCCACGCTCTGTGACCAGATCCCGTGGGCTGCAACCCCCTTTTGCCCACTGCGAACTAGATGCGGCTGAAGCCGAGTCCACACAGCGTCTTGAGGGGCCGCTGCTGAACGTCGCTCGATCTTGATCAGGGTTACTGCGATATCGTAACTGTTGTTGTTCGCTTGTGTCAAAACACAATTGCGAGTGGTACATGTACATTTTGAACTGCCTTATCAACGCTAAGAGATACGGCAACGTCGGCCTATATGTGATGTACTCATCATTGCTCCCATGCAGTGCACGCTTCCAAAAAAAAAAAAAAAAAAAAAAGGAAAAAAAGACTGCAATCCAAAACACTGGAAAACAACAAACGAAACGATGCAATGAAACGCCATCGCCATGCGTAATGTACAACATCTCTTAAGACGACTCTTTCTTTTGAGCGAGCTCTACGTCGCCTTTTCCTTCGGGCTCTTCGTCCTACTTCTCTGCCTCTCCTTCTCAACCGACCCTTTCAGCTCAGCGAGTCTCTGCTCTGTGACCCGTATTGCTTCGTCCATCTCCCGCTCTTTCATGTTCTTGGGTTGAACGCGTTGTTGGTCGTCAGGTGTGAACTTGCTGCCAGCTTCGTGTTGCACCCGGTCGATGGCTACACGGTCCTCGAGCCACTTCCACAGCTCGCTTTCTTCGTGCCGCCAGATCTCTTCGTACGCGACCTGTCGTTGGCTCGTGCTCCATTGATTCGGTCCGGATACGCCTGTTGCAGCGCTGCGGAAGAACCAGGAGTATATCAGCAGAGCCCCAAGCATGGTGATGATGATCTGGGGTGTGAACAGGGACTCGATCGTATCCGAGAACGGGACGATGAGGCGGATAGGTTCAAGCGGACCCCAGTTGCTCTGCTTCGGTTGTGGCGCGGCGGGTGCGGCGATGACGGGTGCTTCTTCCAGGGCTGCGGTCTTGGAACGCTTCTTAGACTTTCCGTTGCGGCCTGGGGTCTTCGGCCCAGCGCTGATTTTGGCGGCTACGGCGGTACGAAGTGCGGCTGTCAGGGAGGTTGCGTACGACATTTGACCATCGTTGGCGCCCTTCTCGATAGGTCCTGTTGTGCGTTAGCATATCAAGTTGGTGGAATTGAAATGGTGCACCACATACCCTTCAGCCAGCTCTTGCCGCTCCATTCAACGGTAAAGGTCATGATCAACCGCGTGCTGTTGCCCGGTCCCCACATCAAGCAGTACCTTGTCTTTGTAAGGAAGATGTTCCCGCTCGGTACGTCAGGTGTTTGCGTGCTGCAGTTCACGCTGACAGCCCTCTCAAGGTCATACTGTTCGAGTGTCATCTCGATGTTACACTTTGTCTGCCTGGGCCCGACCGGTGCGGAAAGAGGCTTGATGTACGAGTAATTGAACGACGTCTTCTTCTCGCCCAGACCATCCTTGTCATGCTCCATCTGCAGATCGGTTGACTTCTGATCCTCAATCAGCCACTTCCGCATGAATGCGTCAGCAGCAGGGCCAAACATCAGGCTGTAGACTTTGCCCAAGGGTGCTGGGATAGTCGTGTCGATCAGGAGCTTGTCGTAGTGTTTGTCGTTGTCGGCACACTCTGTGGGACCATGCGTTGCAGAGCCAGGGAAGTCGTTCGTTGCCGCAGCACCGCTAGTGGCAGCCTTCGCTGCTTCGACCGTTTGGCCGCCACTCCCAACAGCTTGCGAGACGGCAGCGCTGACCTTACGAGTTGCTGGTGCGTCGCCCGCTACGGAGCCAAGATCGCTTCCGGCCACACTGCCTTCGCCAGCTTCAGTAAAGCTGCCGATTCCGTCATCTTCATCCGCATCTTCATCGTAGACTTCGTCGTCAGATTCGCTAGAACCAACATCGCTGCCAATCGACTCGGCCTTTTCGGTTTTGTCGCCAGTGCCGGCGGACCCGTCGATTGTTACGCCATTCAACGAGGACTTGAGGTTCGGGTGCGAGATCTTCCAGATACCGATGATAAGATCGTAGGTAGAGTCTCGAGTCAAGAAGGATGCAAAAACGTTCCGAGCATGGAGCGTCTGGATGACAATGGCGTTCGGGAACAGTACTGCAGTCGACTTCTTCTCGACAGACACAACTTCGTCAAAGCTGATGACAAGGTTAGTGACCCAACCTAGAATGTTGCTGGAGAAGCAGAGGTGGCCTTCCGAAACGTATAGTCGACCGTGTAGCAGGATCTCCTTCTGTAGTGCTGCGCTGTAGTCTTCGATCAAATAGTCGTCTTCGGGTACGCTCTTGAAGAGATTGTGGAAGTCCTTGTTGCGCTTCGGCGGTGCCACAGCAAAGCCAGTCCCGTTCAACCGGTGGCCTTGCAGCGCAGCAGCAGGGGCCAAAGTAGATGTGCTAGCTCCAATCGCAGCAGCAATGGTATTGCCAGTGGCGGCTGAGCTGCCCCTATGCCGTCTTCTTCTTCCACCACTGATGCGGCTACGAATGCTGCCTTGCCTCTGAACGGAACCGGGAGCGGGAGAATCTGTGATGTCGCCATCCCTCTTAGGTGAAGCTGCCCCTGGTCCTCCTGGTCCTCCAGAGTCAACAGTGAGCGAGCGTGGACGTTCACTGCTGATTGATGGTGGCTTTGCCGCGTAAGCCGCTGACACGGCCTCTGCAGCCGCGGCGTCCTCGACCTTTGCAGATGCCTCGTCAGCCTTCATGGTGACGTTTGTCGCAGAAGACATGGGGCTGACTTCGTTGCTTTCTGCTATGCCCAGATGTGCCAAACTGAGGTTTCCAGACCCAAGTGTTTCGATCGCTGGCCGGGGCTTCTCCGATCCTTCTGTTGTTGGCTCGACGTTCGCAGGTCCAATGACTTCCTCTCCGCCGTCCTCAGCTTTGTCAGCTTCCTTCTGCTGTTGTTTGTCCGCCTTGTTCTTCGGCGCAGTGTTTTGTGTGATTGTGTTGCTGAACTGATTTGCAGCGTTCTGTGCGGCCGAGAATACAGAGGAGAAGAACCCGGTACTGGGCGAGTTGAGTACAGCGGTGCCGCCAGGCGTCTTTGCTTCCTCGGGGTGCGGTGTGAGTGGTGCTGAGATGTAGTTGGAGAGCTTGCTGGGGGCGTTTGATGCTGAGCGCACGCGTCTGTGCGATATCATGTTCCCCGAAGAGGAGACCACTACGTTGGGGTTCGACTGCGAAGGGCTATGCTTTGTGCCGTTCTTCGAGTGAGTAGATTCGGTTGGCGACGGTGCAGACCCATCTATGGGCGTGGGCGGGGTAACGAAGGTGGTGGGGGCGTCGACCGCGTTCGGTGGGGTTGCAGGAATCTGGGTGATGATCCGCTTAGGACCCGTCGAGCGCAGAGAAGCTGTGGACTGCGTCTCGGATCCTGTGTGGATCTGCGGTGGTGAAGCCACGATGGGATCGTCCAGGACCCTCTGCTCCCGCTTTTTCCCTCCAAACAGCGAGCCTAGTCCTCCCACGCTTGTGGCTGACTTCGCGCCGTCTGCGTCGCCTCCCGGCTTAGGAGAGGCGGCACGCCGAGTGGGATTGAAGGCCTCCTTCAGCTTGCCGACTGGCGACACTCCACGCCTGTCCGACGTGATGTCAATCGTGTTGGCGGTTCTCACGGAGCCTTCTTTGGTGGACGTCAGCGAGTCGACGAGGGTGGCATCGGCGGTTGTAGTGGCCGAGTCGACGGAGCCGACGGTTTCGGAGGTGATCAGGGGAGAGGACAGTGTAAGCAGTCCGGCGTGTGAGTTGTGCGGTGATATGCCAGGCCGGCGTACTGGTGAGCTAATACGTCCGTTAGTCGGAACGGAGCGCGTGGTCTAAGTGGATGCAGGTTGGAAGCAATGGACGAAGAGAATAGGCAGATGCTCAGAGTATCACGAATGGCGGCGCAAAGCAAAAGAAGAGCACGAGCGAGGGCTGCGGAAAGCGATACGAATGCGGTGGTATACGCTGCGGTGGCATACGCTGCGGTGGGGAAGGCAGAGGCCAGAACTGGAGGTGGTGTTCGCCCAGGCGTCCATGCTTCGTTGCTGCGCAGCCCCAGGGACCGCACCACGTCCCGCTCTTTCCCCTCTGACACGCGGGCAAGGCACTCAGGGCTAATTTTGTAACGCAGGGGCGGGGAGGGGAGGGGAGGGCATCGGGGTCTGACAGGCAAATACGGCGGAATACGACTTACGCAGTCTCCGAGTCGGAGTCCTCGGTGAGCAGGCTGCTGGCGACGCTCTTGTGCAGACCCAGGGAGTCGTCGCTGTGGTTCAGCGGCTCTGCGCTCGGGCGTCTGATGTCAGCGGGGAGTGCTGCTGCGGTCTCCGCTGGATCCATCTGCGAGAGGTCGTCTCTGCTGCTGTCCTTGCTGCGCTTCTTGCGCTTGAACAGGCCCGACAGGCGGCGGTGGTGGTTGTTGTTCGACGAGCTGTCGCTTCGCCCGTCGTCTGAATGGCGGCTCCTCAGTCTGTCGAGGGCGCCGTCGTGGGCGTCGACAGGCCCGTCGCTGCCAACGGACAATGCAGAGGCGCTGGCGCTCTTCGACAAGGCCTTGTCCGCCGGTGCAGCCAGCGACCGGTCGCGACTCGAGCGCCCCAGCGACGACGTGATGCTCCTCCTGCGCCCAGCGGTCGCCATGTCGGGTGTTGTGTTCCCTTCGGTGAGGCTGACTTGCTGGTGGGTGGGCCTCAGACCTGCATTCGACGTGTCTGCGGGGGTGTGGGTGAGCGATTAGTAGAGTGAGCGTTTCGTAGGGCCGCGGGAGTCGCTCGTCGCTGCAGTGTGCTATGGCAACGTCAAGAAGGGCATGCTAGATAGATGCTGACCAGCGCAACACGAGCTGCTCTCCAACCCAGCGACCCAGCGACCCAGCGACCCAGCTCGGGTTCATGGCTGAAACCTGCCTCCACACGCTCGTCATGAGTCCTAGTGGCTGGCTACAGGCCGTAGCTACCGTGTGATCGCCGCGGTACATGCATGGGGCCCATCCCTATATCGTTCGCCGCGGAAGGCAGCATCACCACCACGGTGAGAGTGCTTGACTGCGACAACCACCCTTCCACGAGCATGCTGGCATACTCCAGAACCATGCAAGATGGAGTCGGCCCACCTCACCAAAGCTCATGAGCATGTTCGAAATGCGCAGACTGCTACGCTGAGCAGCAGCATTGCGACTGCGGGAGACGAGCACGATCATGCCGCCGCTCTCTTCCACGACGCTTCTCAGGACACACACAACGCTGAGGCATGCATGCCTTCGAATGTGATGCGGCAATAGAGCTAACGGTGTCTCCAGGCCCTCCGCATCCTCAGCCTGCTCGAAGATCACCACCGCAAGCTCGCCGGCCTGATCAAGGAAGCCCCGCGCAGGAGCGACAGGAAGAGCAGCAGTAGCACAAGCAAGCTCCCGGAGAGCACCACGACCCCGTCCTCTACAAAGGCCGCTAGCCCACGAACGCATTCGCCCTCCACACTGTCGCCAAGAACGCACCGCAGACTTCCACAATCATCCATCGCCAGCAACCTCGCCGAGAAGCGCGGCATACCGAGCGCAAGACGCACCACGAGCGGCACTGCAGTCACCGTCTCTGGCGCCATCGCAGCTCGAGACGGGCAAGCCACCCCTGTGAGAGACTTGCTGGAAAGGCAGTCGCGCAAGTCAGACCAGAGCAGATCGAGGGAGCTCTCAACGCCAAAGGAGGCACCGCAGCCTTCGTCCCCTCCGCCCGAAGACAACTTCCGTCGATTCTACTCTGCCTTTGGAGGCGTCATATCCGCCATATCCGCTCCCTTAGCATTCACCTCGCTCCCGCTCAACCCCACCCCGCCGACACCAGCTCCAGAGCCTCCGAGAGCCGAGAAGTCGTCTGAAGCCAAGTCGCGCAACTCGTCACCAGAGGCTTCCCGTACCGTCAAGTCCTCCGTCCCTGACCTCGCTGCCCTGATCAGCAAGCCAGCTTTACGCGCACTCCGTAGCGATGGCGGTACGCCTCTCAACCCCAACGAGTCGTTCTACCTTGTCCCCACGTCTGGCGGCACGGTCACATACGCAAGCATGCTACAGGGCTCCGGCGCCCAACCTTACCACCTCAACCCCATCGATGAAGGGTCAGGCTCTTTGAAGGGCAGTCACGATGAATTCGTCGACGCGCAAGAGAGCGTAGGACCACCCTCACCCACCAGCTCCCGACGCCCACGATCCCGCAGCTCCGCGGGTCAAGTAACAGCCCAACGCACCATACCGGCTGGCCGCGGCACCGGTCTCAAAACCCTCGAAGAACTTGCCCTCGAAAACGAAACCCTCAAGTCCCTCGTAGACAAGCAAGCCAAGCGCATCCAGATGTGGGAAACAAACTCCCAAAACCAGTTCAACGCCCTCGCACAATCCTTCCGCGTCCGCCCGCCCGCCAGACTCTCCAGCGACCCCAACGCGCTCGCCCATGCCCTGTCTCTCGGCGCAAACGCCATGCCCGCTCTCCCCTCTCCTCCCATCCCCGGCAGTCACACACACGACCCACACGACCCACACGACCCACAATCCCCAGGCGCAACAGATCCCTCCACCGCCAGAAGAATCGCCGACCTAGAAGCCCAGCTCGCCGCGCAAACACACCGCTTAGAAGATCTAAGCAGCACAAACGCCCAGCTAGCGCGGCAGAACGAAAAGGATAAGCAGGTCATTGGACGGTATAGGGAGCAGTGGGAGAAACTGAAGGCTGGGGCCAGGAGGAAGGAGCAAGAGAGGAAGGAGAGCAGGCTGAATGAGGTCAGGGCTGGAAAACAGACAAAGGATAGCGAGAGTGCAGATGCCGCGGGCGAGGTGGAGGATGGGCCCGAGGATGGGGAGGCGGATTTTGGGAGGGCGTAGGCGTGACGGAGAGGTTAGATGGTTAGCTGTCAAGTATCGATACATATATCATGGATTCACACATATTCGTCGAAGGAACGATGGGCATATGCCAGCCTTCTATATCGTGCATCCTCATTTTGAGTTGGAGTGGTGAACCGCGTCTGCCAACATCACGCCTCACTCTACAACTACGACATGGTGGTTGAAAGTTTCGCGTCATTTGATGTATCGATTCACATACGAAAAGTACGAGGCTACAGCTCAATTTGCCCGCCCTCTGTCCAACATCCAGATAAACAAGATGAAAGATGAAATTCCCAACCAAGCCATCCCATGTAAAACTCCAGAACTACCGAAACCCACTGCCCATGGAAACGAACTCATCTCACTACTTAAGCAGCAGTAGAGATGGGCTGGTAGGACGGTATTGCACCTCCAACAACGACCGAAGGCGCGGGGCTGTTGGTGACATCGAAGTCGGGCTGGTCAGGGTGGACACCGACACGCTCCTTGCTGAGAAGGTCAACGAGAACAGCGCTGGGCTTGTTGCTCTTGTTGGAGAAGGTAGATTGGAGGTCCTTGTACTTCTGCACGTTCTCGATGTACTTGTCGAACAAGTAGGCCGAATCGAGCGGTCCGCCCTTGGCTTCGGGGTGGAACTGGGCGCTGAAGATGGGGCGGGAGTTGTGAATCAGACCCTCGTTGGACTGGTCGTTGAGGTTGGTGAAGTACTCTCTCCACTCGCTGGTCAGAGTGGTGGGGTCGACAGCGTATCCGTGGTTCTGCGAGGTGATATGGCATTTGCCAGTGCTCAGGTCGAGAGCCGGGATGTTGTGAGCACGGTTACCGTACTTGAGCTTGATGGTCTTAGCACCAGCAGCGAGAGCGATCAGCTGGTGACCCATGCAAATACCCATGACGGGGACCTGCGAGGACTCGAACAGCTTGCGGAGGTTGTACACGGTCTGTGTGCAGTGTGTTGGGTCACCGGGGCCGTTGGAGATGAAGACACCATCGAAGTGGTGAGCAACCTTCTGGATGGGGTAGTCGTACGGGAAGCAGGTAACGCTGGCACCGCGAGAGACAAGGCTGCGAAGAATGTTCTCCTTGACACCGCAGTCGATGAGGGCAACGTGCATGTCGCCGAGGGACGAGCTAACGTGGAAAGGAGCCTTGGTCGAAACGCGACGGACAAGATTGATGGCTTCGGGGTCGATGAAGGCCTCGTCCTCATCGGCATCGTACTCCTCACCGATTGTGATACGAGCGAGGGAAGAACCCTGCTCACGGAGGTATGTTACAACCTCACGAGTGTCAACACCAGAGATGGCGGGGACACCCTCACGAGCGCACCACTGAGCAAGCGACTCAACGGCAGTCCAGTGGCTGTGCTTGAGGGCGTAGTCCTGAACAACAATACCGGAGGCCTGGATGTAGGGAGACTCGAAGTATCGAAGGAGACCGTGCTCATCGCGGGCAGCGGAGGGCACGCCGTAGTTGCCGATCAAGGGCTGGGTGAAGACGAGGATCTGTCCACGGTAGGAGGGGTCGGTCATGGACTCGGGGTATCCAACGAGCGAGGTGGTGAAGACAGCTTCACCGGAGATGTTGGCCTTAGCACCAAAGGATTTGCCCGAGAAGATAGGACCGTTCTGCAATAGCGGTGAGCGTTGACGTCCTGGTGTATGAAAGTAGTATGCATACCTTGATTGTGAAAGTAGCCCTCTCGGTAGAGATTTCGGTAGGCTTTCGGTGAGGAGAGGGAATCTTGCGTTCGGTGTTGGACTGGACGGTGGCCAGGTAACGCGCTTGAACGCGGATCTTTGTTACTGGTGTCAGGACATTGACGGACCGCATAGCGGAAGGCTTGATGATTTGTGACAGCATGATGACGTGGAGGTTGGTTGGTGGGTAGCGGTAGATGTATAGTTGGTCGATTGGGTAGGCTTTCAGTTTACTGAGGCCTTCCACAGGTGGTCTGGCAGCAGTGTCAGTGTGACGCTCATAACGCGCCGAACATCGGGCAGCAGCATACCTGAGATGTAGTCCTGCAACGGTCAGTCAGTAAGAGTCAAGGACATGAAAATGTTCAGAAGCAATGATATAGTGTGCATCTCAGGAGCCGAGAGGTTCGGAGCGGTGAATTGACGGTGTGCGTTGACAGATAAGGAACTATTGAAATGTACTGCCAATTGTTACGTACCTGGGAAGTAAAGGTTGTTTGAACAGCACGCATAAGCGCAACGGGTGACGAGCGGGCAAGGTCAGTACAGGGCGGGCTAGATGGACCCTTGGGAGATGTATGAGTGATGGATTCAAGCTGCGAGAGGCGTTGGTGGGTTTTGTGTGAGTCTTGAAAGGTTATCGCGAGGTGGCCGGCGGTGATTCCCCACCGGTGAGCTAGTCTCCTTTAAGCCAGACCAATGACGCGCAGTGACAAAATTTCACTTGTCAGCTCGTCGATTGGGCAATTTCGTGCACATCACCAAATGCAAAACGTGTCCGGGGAAGCTCGAGGGCTCTTGTTCGACCCACTGTAGGGTCTCTGAACCATTCAACACCCTGCGAGCCCTATACAGCATCAAAGCTTCTCTCGGGGCACTTCGGCGTCAAGTTTATGATGCTCGGGTGTGACGCAGAGTTGTTGCTCATAAGAACGGCGCCTATCTTGAGATCTGCCATCGTGTGCACATGGCGGCACGCCGCTTCAGATGCTACGGTAGCCACAAAGGGCAATTGTGCAGAAGATACGAGCAGCATCACACCGAAATCCGCTTTCAGCCGCAAGGCGTGCGGCAGAAGCAGTAGAATTCTGCGGTGGGTCACTCTTACACGCCGACGCCCTACGGTTGACCACCCATCCGATATCGGCCGTCGCAAATTGTACTCGATGAATCCATGAAGGAAGACGTTGTGTCTCGTTGCATTCATGTCTTCATTCGCGGTTACTGTAGACCTGCGTCCACTTGATGAAGAAAGTCCACTTGATGAAGAAAAGCACTCCTGTCAAGAATATCTTATCATTCGTACTACTACCGCGTCAGCTCTGTTCTCAAGTCGAACACAGAGTCGTACACTCGTTTTGGGCAGCATCAGTACATTGTAGTAATCCGACCGGACCACACTGAGCCGGATGATGTTTGCCACCGCTGTAATATGCCAGGTGCTCGTATACAATATTCCCACACAGCTATTGAGTTTAATATTAGAGCCTCGTGCACCAGTTTCAAATACTCTCGCTGTGTCTTGGCCGCGTGGAATAGGTGACTGCGTAACTTTGCTGAGATCAAAGTGCCCTTCTACGCTTCAGATCAGCATGTGGCTTACTTGCCATATCTGCGCGACTAACCCTATACTTGTGGCTGTCAGATGTTGTATGATGTTGCCACCACTTCGGCCAGATGCGATCATGCATAAGTGGTCTCAATGTGGTGAGCCGAACCCTCGGTGCTGGGGTTGCCTTGTTGTCGATAACGGCATGCTGTCATGGTATAGCCTGGTTGCTATCATCGTTGGCACCATCTTAAGAATACTCAGCGTACTCGCAGTCGTCATCAATCTTGAGACAGTACGCGCAAGATGGCTTCTCTTCTGTACACTTGCGTCTGCGCTGCTTGCAGTTGAGACAGCCGTTCTTCGAGCGTTGCTTAGGTCCCACAACCTCGTACTGGCAAGTCCATTATCCTCTCTTGCATTGGTTGCGAGTTGGCTTTGCCTCATTGCATTTGATCTTCTTCTCGCGACACAAGATGCAGGCCTTGTTCTTGGCAAGCCTTGGGGGCGGTGAAGGCTCCCCTGGTGCAGCCTTCTTCCGAGATTCGACTGGAGACGAAGCTGTAGCCGCTTTGGGGTCTTTGCTCTTCTTCGCCGACGACTTCGTGGCGCTTGCTGCGGAGGCAACAGTGCCATTCTTCTTGTGCTTCTTCACCGAAGATTTGGGTGCCTCAGGTGAGGTGGACATGTCGAGATCTGGATTGTGGAACTCATTGTCAACTAGAACATGATGGTCTTTCTTGCTGCGCTTCCTCATTTTGACGGTTCCATTTGAAGTCCTTGCAACCTGAGGCTTAGACCCGTCGTTCGCTTCCGGGTCGGCAGAATTGTTGTGAAAGATCACTGTCGCTGGTAAACAGGCATTGAAGTGCCACATACCTGTCGCCGTTTCGCCGACTCTCGACATCTCTATGGATTGGACTGTGCTTGTACACCACGTTGATGGCTTCGCGCTTGATTGAGAACTTGATATGGATCGCACCACCGCAGTCGTAAGTTGGCAACAAGTCCTTGTTGGCTTTGGTGGTTTCATCGTCGTCCTCGGCGTCGGCCTCCTTCTTCTTCTTGTTGGCTTTTCGGTCTCTGTTCTCCAAACTGTCTCGGCAGACAAATCTAAGCCGGGCACCATCACCGCCAGTCTTTGGATTATAGGCGTAACGCTCAGAGTACTTGAACCTGTCTGCCTCTTCGATAGCTGCTACAATAGACCTACATCCCATTAGCACTTGCGTCAATGTAGTCAGACGCTCATCACTCACTTCGAGATTGCCCTCTGGATTTTGAGTCTGTCTTTGCCATCGTAATCTCGACACAATGCATATTCGACTTGGATGCTCTGTGCATAGTCCCGAGGCTCAATGAGATCATCTAAGCTGGCTTGCTGGGTCACGGGAATGGTGACGGTGGAGGCGGCCGCAAAAACAAACTCGGTCACTATATCTGAAGGGATCAAGCTCGACGCATTTCTTTCTAATTCGTACCGAAGTGCACCATTCAGAGACTACATCAAGAACATCTTAGCCAAGGTACCTGCAGATCAGGAAGGTATTGTACCTCAGTAGTCGGGACCCGATAGTAGACATCCGGGTTCACGCCGTGATGGTAGCGCAGATCCAGTTCATCATCAAGGTCATCCATCGCCACACAGTTGGCATGCAGCCCGCGGGTGTTGGCTGATGACGGATGCAGCCTTTATAACACGCTGGCGCATGCGGTTGTAGCTTGGGACAGCGTTGTTTGAGGAAGAGGCCATAGCTTTTCCGGGTAAACTGGCGGGCCGGTGGTGCTGTTTGTTAGGAAGCCTCGAATCGGTGTCTCGAGCCGAACTCGACCATCTCGCAGGTGGTCTTGAGATCTGAGACTTCACAGTTGTCCAAAGCACGGTCGATGGGGCCTGAAACGTAAGGCTTGCTGCTGTTACAATGTCGCGTTAGTTGCCGTCAATGCAGTGCCGCTGCACATTCATAAGGATGCGAGCGCACAGAACTTGATTCACGAAGCGTGCACAGGGGCAGACGAGGGCCATGGCCCTGAAGCATCTCTGCAACATTTTCTATGGGGCAGCAGACCCTTTGTAGAGCTGCTTGAGGTCACTCTAGCAGTTCGCCCTTTCACTTCTTCATAGTCTAGCAAATCGACGTGTACTCTAGGAAACTTCTCAGCTCATCTATGGAACGCAGCTAGCAGCCACATGGCGGCGCACGGCCGGGCTAGATACAGCGTTCGCTGCGTAAACTGAGTTCGCAACAACGTTGTTGGAATGCGAGCGTATACACGATCATAGGCGTGGTGTTGTGCATGTATTGAAGGCAGCGCGTCGGGTAGAGATTGCAAAAACCGGGCCTGCCACGCGTTGGACTCAATCTGGCTGCGGCAGCAGGTCTGGCCAGCAAATGCCGTGCAAAAGGCACCACTGGCACCAAATTGTGCAGATCCCTAGTAATATGCTACCAACGGGGCCAATGCAGGGTTTATGATAGCCCACTAAACCGCTTCCATTGATAGGATAGCTCGACCACCGCTGGCAAGCTGGACGTATCGACCTCAACCCTACTCTCCACGCTCCACGCTCCACGCCCTCCAGCATTAACGCGACTTCGCTGGCCACCTGTCGCGTACGCAGTGTCTTTGTCCGCCGTTCGCTGTGCCGTCGCCGCCTGTGTTCGGCCCGTTCGCTTCATTGTCCACCCTCGCCGGCTGCTTTGAAACTCGAAACGTTAGGTTTAAAGCTCGACAAGCCAGCGTAGCACGCACCCGCCGCTGGACCGCAGGACGACTCAAAAGGTACGCGGGAGCGGATCTGTCAACCGTAAAACAGTCGTGAATGTGCACACTGACTGGCGTGCTTTCTAGGAGCTCTCCACTCATTTCGACCCCTCGTTTGTTGAATATCGAGCAGTAGTTCTATTCCGCTAGCTTCATCTCCGCACTCCCTGGCTGCCATCACACGACCCTGCATCTCGCTGTCGCATACTGTCTACAAGCCAAACATTGCTATCCACGGATCCTATATACCCAGCTGCATATCTAGCAAACCGCCCCAGCCTCAGCCATGGTAGTTGCGACAATCAAGTACGCCCAGCATCTCCTACTCCGCCTATACTGTGCGCATTATGCAGACGGTCGTTAACAGCTCTCTCCAATAGGTGCGTCGTCGTCGGCGACGGTGCTGTCGGCAAGACATGTCTCCTCATCAGCTACACCACGAATAAGTTTCCCTCAGAATATGTCCCTACGGTCTTCGACAACTACGCCGTCACCGTAATGTGAGCCTCCCATATCCCTCTTTCTCCGTACATTCCCTGCGGAGCATGCAGCATAGGCTTTGCAAAAGCGTGCGAATCTCACATGAGCTGTGATTGACTGTTGTAAAGGATTGGTGACGAGCCATACACCCTTGGTCTTTTCGATACTGCCGGACAGGAGGATTACGACCGACTCCGACCCCTCTCATACCCCCAGACTGACGTATTCCTCGTCTGCTTCTCCGTCACATCGCCCGCATCTTTCGAGAACGTACGCGAGAAATGGTTCCCCGAAGTACACCACCACTGCCCCGGTGTTCCGTGCTTGATTGTCGGTACACAAGTCGATTTGAGGGAAGACAATGCTGTCAAGGACAAGCTGTCGAAGCAGAGGATGGCTCCTGTGAAGCGGGAAGACGGCGAGCGAATGGCGAGGGAGCTCGGTGCAGTAAAGTATGTTGAGTGTTCAGCTCTGACACAGTACAAGCTCAAGGATGTATTCGACGAGGTAAACAAGAACCCGAAATTGGCACAAAGCTCAGCATTGACGTGATCGCAGGCAATTGTAGCAGCACTTGAGCCGCCAGCAACAAGGAAAGAAGGCAAGGGAGCGAAAAAGGAAAAGAAGTGCGTTATACTCTAAAACATGAACGCAGCGGCTGTGCAGTGTCAAGAGCTAGGGGCGCTTTGGTTTGCAGAACTTTTGACTGGGCGTGAATTTTTGGATACCTCTCTGGCGCCATCTGTGGGTAGCGGTTTTTCTTCTAAGCTATGAATTTGCCCATGCTCCCCTTGCACACATCTCAGCTCAACTATTGATCGTCTCCTCTAGCTTTGACCTCACGAAGAATCCCAGGACGAGCGAGGAAAACGACCACGGTCTTGCAGTGGACAACAGCCTAGTTCCTGGGCCATTCCAAAACCTCAAACATAGTGAGCACATCTGGGCAACATGCCTGTCAGACAGACGCAGCCATGCATTCTGAGTCGAGCAAGAGACTCCAGGCAAGTCGATCTTTGTTCGGTTCTCTTCTGTCATCTCAGAAGCGCCGTACTCTCTCTTGCGCCCTCGAACTGGTGTCACTTTTCTTTCGTCTGAAGTGACATCAGATGAGGTGAAAGCCAGGTTTGTTTGTTGTGGCGTTGTCCGTGCCAACAATTCTGCGCTGCGTGAAGGGTCCTGACATTGCAGCCTGCAAACCACCTCACTACCTCTGCACGCCGACATTTTCAGATCTTGTTAGAACTCTCCTCAACTTGTTCAATTGCGCGTATTTGGGCTGTACACGTGCAGTGCTATCTTTCTTGGAGAACGCAACAATTGGTTTGTCCGGACGCACGTAAGTGTACCTGTGGACCTGCGCCTACACATATCCATCTCAACATCTGACCTGCAAGTGAAGACGAACGAGTCTTCATACGAAGATGTCTACACCAGCACCCGACCACAAGAAGAGGCCCCCGCCCATTGCTATTCCACAGTGGCCTCCATCTCGGACGGTACCTGGACCTAACGCCCTCGCCAATGCACCGTCCCATACGAAAGGCAGCGGCCAACACCCGCAGCGTTTTGCTTCCTCATCGACACAGCAAGCCGTGCGCTCGGGCACAACTACGCCGCTGACGTCCCCATTGGAGTTGGATGAGTCGCGTCTCGCAATCTCCAAGTCTGGCTCTCAAGCAAGCAAGCACCGCTCCTCGGCGATAACCACACTTTCCGGTCTTATGGAACAAGCACGTAGTTCACCTCGCAAATCAGACTGTGGCTCGGTACCTAGTCGACATGGCTCGACTGCGCGCTCAAGGCAGTCTGAGCGTAGTCATCGCAGTGCTACCGCAGCTCAAGCCCAGCTGGAGGCACTGGACGAAGATGAGACGACTACGAGATCTCAAATCGAGTCCCGCACAGAGAAGAAGCTGTTCAAGATGACTGGTCAGATTCCTCCCACACCCACTATAGGCACGTAACACCTCACTGCAATCCAGCAACTTGAGAACTAACATCTATCAGGAGCCATCGATCCAGACAAGGTCTTCGTCCGAACAGAAGATCTACGCGCTCAGTGCAGAGCTGCAAGCGGCGAAAAGCAGCCCGAGGGTGACGAGCCAACCAAAAGCCCCAAGAAAAAGCTCTTTGGTGTCAGCCTTCCTATGTTCAGCAGAACGTCAGCGGCGGGTGCAGCACCAGCGATGCCATCGAAGGCAGCCCAGGTCCTCGGAACGACCCCTGCACGCAAGCCACGCCGAATTGAACCACGCCCGATCAGGTCTGCTCGTGTTTTGAAGACGCCTACGAAGGTCCCACGATCAGATACAGCAAATTCTCTGCCTGCAAAGGTATACGGTCAAACCAATCCGGCCACGAGTCACTACAGTACTTCTACCCGCCGCAACCGTACACCTGGACGCAGGTCGCCGGGAAAGGAGAACACGTCACCTCAAGAGCAGGCGACAGCGAACTCATCATTTGACTCTATGCCTCCTCCTACTCCGCCTGCAAAAGACACCCCTCCCGAGTTACGCCTTCCTGTGAACCCGCCAAGCCCACTGCGTCGAGCTCCTTCTCATGAAGACCTACGTGAAAGCTATGGTGACTTGCCAGATAGAGGCATGCAAGTACAGTTGCAGTTTCCAATGTTTGCGCTCAGCCCCTCGCCCCCGAAGACTGCCATTCACAGCAACAGTGGCGTGAGCCCAACTAAGTTCCGCCCATACACTGCCGAAGACTATACCAAGCTCATTGAAGGTGAAGCCCTTCAATGGCCATATCCCGAAGAAGACGGAGTCGGCGAGGTGAAGGGGAGTAATCACAGTGCTCCACTGGTTACTGAAGGTCAAGAGCTATTGCAACTTCCCCTTTCAAGTCGCAGCGATGACAACCACTACAACGATCGGCTTGGTCGTCGATTGAGTCCCCTGCCACCGCGTTTCTACTCACCTTCTGATCGCTCGGTTCAGCTTTTCAGAGACGGCGAAAGCCCGTCGCATAATGTAAGTGACAAACGCTCCTTCCGCTCTGCCCTTTGGCCTTCGAAAAGAGTGGGTCTGCGCTTAGCTCTTGCCTCACCCACGTGAGCTGCCTAACCCGCCTTCACTGCGACTTCCTACATTCCATCTTGTTAAGGTTCTCGTTTACGAAGAACTAATCGTCACCCCAGACTGACACCAGCCGCATGCTCTTTGCGCCACCCAAACCCAACCTACTACATCTCCGTGAAGACTCCAACAACGGTTCAATCGAGATGGTATACCAGGGCAGCATGAACGCCATCGAGTCGGACTCTCCGAAGGCACAGACAACAAACGATCACGCTCAGACGCGAGCCAACGAACCGCCACAGCAACGCGATGACGCCGAACTTGCAACTAGGGTCAAGCAGGAACTTCGCACCAGCGAGCAACACCAGCTCCCTCCAGTGACGAACGGCGGCCCAGGTCACCCACAGCCGGACATCTCTTCATCGAAGCTCACCGACATGCTCAATGGCGCAACCCCACGCACTGATTCCAATGGCGACTTTCGCATCTTGTGTCCGAGTGCCGTTCCCAGTCCTCTACACAAGCTACATGGACCTCACGTTCCAATAGTCCCGATGCTGCGCGGCGGCAATGGTGCTCCTGCTGCAGGCCCCTGGGTTTCTCCGCGCACACACAAGACCATCGAGGACCACTTCTTCATGACCAATGAGCATCTGGACGTGGTCGGTAAAACCACGTATGATGCCCTCGATATGTACAGTAAGCAACAGATCAACGCAACGAACGCGAAACACGAACAGCTCGTGGTCATTATGGAGAACCATATTGAGGGCCTAAAGTCTCAAATCAGCTCCGTCAATGAGAAAGCCGATGACACCTCCAATCAGATACACAATGTCGGTCTCAAGCTCGACCAGCTCGAAAAGTTCCTCAAAGACGAGGTCGTTACTGCGATGACAGAGCAGGCGAAGAAGACAACCGAGATGGAGTCGAGCCTCAGAGAGATCCAGAAGGCAATGGTGCATATGCAGCAGACAGTGGAGAAGCTCTCTGAGCCCAAGTCCGGTCCGCACCACTCAGCTACGAATGCCTTGCCCACTCCTGGTGCATCTTCTCATTTGCCGCACGCTGTCCCCACTCACCACTCCCAGCCTGCTCTCACCAGCTACTATGGAAATGAGACAGGTCGAGATGAGCAGCCGCCGATGCCACCTCTGCAGGATCGCAGTATCTCCAACAACTACGAGTCACACAGCGATCCACGTGGTAACTACGGCACCAACTGGCAGTCTCAAGCATGGAACGGTCGTTCCACCTATCAGGGTCGTAACAAGGGGGAGACATCTTCGTACGCCGGCACCAACCCCTATCATTTTGGCAACGGCGGGCAGTACAACAGCGGGTACATGAGCGGCTACTCTTCATACAACTTCTCCCCAACCAGCCCTGAGCAGCCATACGCCTATGGTCAGAAGCCAGCTCAATGATGGCAGCAGGTCTTTTAGCGGGATACGGCGCCCTGTAACTGGGCTCTTTGCAAGGTCCTTGTTCGGTCAGGCATTTGGCGAGGTTTCTGTATAACACTGTTTTCTATCAACAGCAGCATCCACGCGGCGAGGCAATCGGACACGGCCAATTTGCGGCTTGCCGTAGGAGATCTTTTCGTGCGTATCGAGATTACAAGTTGGTGAACTAGATTTATAGCCCACAAATAACAACTCCAACGATGATGCTGCTCCGAATATAGTGACGCGCTGAAGTTCTTGTCTCACTCAAGCACATGTTGACTAGCGAATCTAGACTAGAGGTTCTCAGCTGCCTAACTCAGTGTAATGTTGCGATGATGTTTAATGGAAGGAACGAAGCATTCGAGTAGCTTTGAGCAACGAATGCAGACTGAAAGATCGAAGGGTGCTCAGCCCCAAAGCTGGGGATGCGCGAACCTTGCATGATGCCTCTCGGCTTACTCTAAGCAATCTAGCCCTGAGTGCCTTCGTGCTTGCACGCGCCTTTCTCATAGGCCAGACGCGTTGAACCTTTAGTCCTGCTTTTCTATAATTGGCTACACCAAGACTCACTGTGTTTACGGAGGCGTGGCAATTGAGGGCGAGATGTATCAGTGGGAACTTCAGCCAGCAACATCGAATTCTTGACGACGGCGTTGCCGCATTGCTATTGAATCGTTAACCAGGCCTTTTCTGTATGTCGTTTTAGTCGAGCGCTATTCTGGTTGCAGCTGCAGCTTTACCAGGTTGCTCCGCACCAGTGGGCGCGCTACCTTAGAGTTGATGACCGGATAGACGCACAAGCCTCCAACGAGCCAGACATTAGTCTGTCCCCCGCCTCGTCCAAACACATGAACACCATGGAGGGCCCAGATTCATCCCAGGGCAAACGTAACCCTGCCTCCGGCCCCCAACCTGCTGCTCCCCTCGGCGAATTGAGCAAAGCACTCAAAACGGGCACCGACGCCAGTCCCGCATCCTCGGCGCATCTGAACGCTGCCTCGTCGCTACCCAACGCCAATCTCCCATCCTTCAGTTCACAGGACGCGCCTGCAAACACCTCGCTTCCTCTATACGTCCCCCGCTGGCACGTCCGGGCTCCGAGTAGCGGGCTGACCCTCGTTACCGATCTTACCCCGTCCACGACGTCAACCGCGCGCAATACACCAAACAACACCACCACTGTGGCGGGCACAGGCAGCGAAGGGCTGCGCCAGTCGGCCACTGCGCCGATCATGATAGATGAGAAGTTCTTGAGAACTGCGCGGTCTAACAACAGCCTGGCTGGGTCACTATCACCTTCCTCGGCCATATCCTCGCCAGCACTGAACGCGCTCGGCGACCTCACCCCTCTTCCTTCGCCGCTGGTGATGGGCGACTCTCCCGGACCATGGCAAAGGGCTGTACCGCGACCTCGAGGGCCTTCTGTTAGTTCACGCGATGACACTTATCTTGCCTCGAACAGGGCCACCCTCTCGCCCTCGCCCTCGCTGAAGAAGAAGGGTTACCAGAGGTTAAAGACTGCCGGCGTGGAGGCTACAGATGCGCGCATGCAGGCCCACCAGAACAACGAAGCAGCTCGTGAGAGAAACCGCAGTATCAGTGAGTACACGCCGGATTCCCTACACCACCCAAGGCCTCGAAATGTTACCATCAGCAATGTCGCTACCGAAGGTGACGCAACCATGCAGCAGCGCTTGCGCCGGGAGCAGTATCTCGCCTCACAGCGGGGCATTGTCCCTGCGCAAGTCCCCGCTGGTCTGCCTACACCTCCTGCCAGCAATACCAGCAACTGGAGTGCCACGGATGAGGAGGATCACGTCACGGAGGAAGACGAAACCAAGTACATTGTCGTTCGCCATGGTCAGCAGATGAAGAAGAAGCTATGGCGTCCGGTTCGGCAACTCGGCCAAGGCACATTCAGCAAAGTTTACCTGGCCACGTGCGAAAGGACCACAGCCAAGGACCCGCTGGACGAGAAGTCTCTAGACCTTCGTAAACTCGTCGCCATTAAAGTCGTTGAGCACGGTCCTGCCGGCGGCGCCGATGAGGAACGTGTCGAACTAAGCCTCAAACGAGAAGTGGAGATGCTCCGCTCTGTCTCCCACCCCTCTCTCGTTCATCTGCGCGCTTTTGATCACAATGAGGCCCAGGCTCTCCTGGTCTTGACATACTGCCCTGGTGGTGATCTGTTTGATGTAGCCAGCGACCACCGCGACATTCTGAGTATGGACATCGTCCAGCGTGTGTTCGCTGAGATGGTCAGCGCCGTACGGTATCTGCATGAGAAGCTGATTGTGCATCGCGACATCAAGCTAGAAAGTAGTTCTCTCCATTCTACGACATCAGCCTCTAAATGGTCAGTGCATTCACAGTGGTCTTGTACTAATGCATGGCAGACGTCCTCCTCAACATCCCTGTCTCTTCTGTACCTCTTCTCAAGAACCCACAGTCTCATCCGTACCCCATTGCGACACTTACGGATCTTGGCCTCTCCCGCCGTATACCTGCTCCCCCGGAATCTCCTCTTTTGACAACTCGATGTGGTAGTGAAGACTATGCCGCTCCAGAGATCCTACTAGGCCAGCCATATGACGGTCGCTCGACTGACGCTTGGGCCCTTGGTGTCCTATTGTACGCTCTGATGGAAGGGCGCCTACCTTTCGACCCACCGCCAGGTAAGGTGGGCTCACGAAGCAGAGCTGCTCATCGAATCGCCAGGTGTGACTGGGTCTGGGTCAAATTCGGTGATGAGGACGGAGAATGGGACCGCGAAAAGAGCAAGGAATTGGCTGGCGCTCGGGAGTGCGTCGAAGGTCTGCTGAAGAAAGTCTCGCGCGGCCGCAAGAGCCTCGAGGACATTGAGAAGATGGATTGGGTAAAGCAAGGCATCCAGGTCGAGGGCGGCCTGAAGAGGAGGATTGAGGACGAAGATGCGAACGACACAACACCTGAATTACCTGTGAGGTAATTGTTAGTGAGGCACCCGCACTGAGCTCGGCTTGCTCGACAATGTGCCTCAGCACTGTAATACCAACTTTCATATGTCCGTTCATTCGATTCACAAGAGCTAGGGATACAAGGCAGGGGGATCGGGACCACGACATGAAGCAACGACAATATACCCGGTCCAGGCGATCCCACACCCACGACTTTGAGGATGCTCGACTTATTATCTTTCTTTCCGATTCTGATATCCATACTTGCGCCATTGCTTTTACATTCGCCGCTCAGTCGTTTAGTCGACACATTGTCCTGCATTGCCTGCATCTCCTAGCATCAACATTTCACTCCGTCGCACAACATGGCATGGCATGGCATGGCATCATGGCATAGACAAAACCCAAGCCGGACACAGCTTGATTCAGACACTTCTTTTTGAACTTTGGATAGTCACCAAGACGCAATAGTAGGTACAAAGAAACTCAGACATTGTTGGAGAGACATCATTCCCTTGCCATTCGTACATGTCTGAAGACTAGGAGTTCACACGCGCATCCACCGATCACACCTTCCTTCATCGTGTCCATAAACTGACATGCTCTTGCCCTGTAGCAGCTGCTTCCTCTCACAGCTCCGTCCACCTCATACCTTCCTCGCTCTTCCCTTCAACTACAACCAGCCAACCTCACTACAACACCCTTTATCTTGCACTTAAGACATGCAAGCCTCTGTCATCTCATCAAACATCAAACGGGCATGTAGCTCAAGGAAATCTGTACCAGCTACCATGGCAGAATACCTCACGCTGCAGTTGGAACACCAATGCGGAAAGTTGAACCGTGTCCTTAAGAGGAGATGCGGATTCGAGTCGCGCCGTGTCCATTTACTTTTGTATATGCACATGTTCAAATGACTGGTCTATGACGACTGCTGCAGTTTCTCTTACTTTGCAATAGTGCTATGCCTTTACATACGATCATGTAGTTTGAACTTCCGGACGCACTCATCAACATCAAGGGTATGTATCTCAAAGGTAGAATACCTCACAGGTTACACTGCTCTCCCTTATGGCTGCCTGTAATCTGCTCTGTGGCGCTAATAGCGTGCACAGCAGCTGGATGGCTAGAGGAGAAGCGGGTTCGATCCTCGCCATATCTAACCTTTTTGCACCATTCGATGCGGCTTTTGAGATTTGCTAATTGGCATTCGTGGTCTACGGGACAAGTGAGAGTCGGATGCGTGACTGTTCTTGAAACGTTGGTTCTTGTGTCTATTCAGCAAGTGTATACATTTCAAGATTCCTTGGCTCAGTATTAAGAGGGTATGTAGTTCAACTGGTAGAACGCTTTCCCATAGCGCAATGTCGTCGTGGTGTGGTCGCGTACAGAAATGTATCCTGCATGCAAAGAAGGAGATGCGAGCTCGAATCGCGCTATATCCAACCTTTTGCTCTTGTTTGAGACTTAATTGCTCGCTTAGAATCTGGATGTGTTTACTAAATGCAGCTTATGTGTCTTGTAAGAGCAGCGTAGCGTATCGAAAGTCCAAATGCACAATGATTGTTGTGGACACTATTAGTTGATCTGATCGAAGTAGCAGTGTATATGAACGAGCGTTTTCTTGGAGTTGCTATCAGGAGGGTGTGGTTTAATTGGAAGAGACATTGAGAAGATGCGATTTCACGTGTTGCCATATCCGGTGATGAAACATTTTCGCGCCCGGAACATCTTCTTGTGGTCTTGGCTCTACTGCATTGTAGCAGCGAAGTGAAGGTGAAGACAGGCGGGCGGTAGCACGTACGCAACTCTGCCCGCTAGTAATGTACCCAGGTGATCTTGGGCTGACCTTCATCTTTGCATTGCCACTTCTTCAATTCGACCCCTCCTTCATTGCCGAAAGCTGCGCAACTCAGCCGGCGCCGCCATGTCAAATACAGACTATTCCGAGTCTGATCTATCAGACTACGAGCAGAATACGTCAGAGGTACTCGACGTATGTCTGCGCCAAGAGCCTCAGCAGCGTACCGAACGAAGGTGCATTCGAGCCAGAACCCAATGAAGCGAATAGTGGAGAGCGCGTAGTAAAGGCTAGCAACAGCGTTACATCGGTTGCAGGCACATCGCGCCTGCTCGACTTGTCTGGAGGTGAGGAACATTCCGCAACAACACAATCTCAACACTGACGAGCATGTACCAGAGGTCCTCAACTGCACCTAAAGCTTCACACCGCAGAAGTGTACAGCCTCAAAGAGTTTGCCGAGCATCTTGTTGTGACAGCTGATATGAGTCTGGGCGATGGACCCTGGGGTTGAGTTGCATTGTCAACTAGGGTTGAGGCTTGTAGGCTGTACATGTGTGTGCGAGAAGACGGGTGAAGACATCCTTTTGAGCTCCACCCTTCTTGAACTCGAGTAGATTCTTAGTGAACACAGACAGTCTGCACATGCGGCTCGTCGTTCAGAGCTTCTCCATCCATGATGCCATGTACGTATGCATCACCAACCAATGCCAATTGTGGACAATCTTCCGCTTCCTTCTTGATTTTTCTCATCACGAATGGTACATTTCCTCCATTGAAGACCCACACTTGATCTCCGGGCTTGATTTGCGGCGGGCCAATGCCGATGTAACCTGACTTCGTGATGAAGAAGGTTTGGTTCTCCATCATCCCTACCAGTGACTCGTAAAGATCGGGGAACACGTCGTGTTCCTGCTTTCGCATATGCCAACTTTTCATCTTTCTAGACGCAGTAGCCTCGGTAGCCATATTCTCTCCTCTCAGGCGTAGCCTCCCGGAACGATCTCTTACTCGACCATGTTCCTGCTCTTCAGCTAATGGAATTTCCTTCGCAAAGTCCAAATGTATCTTTGTGTCAAGCTGAATTCCTAACTTATCGAACAGGTGTGTAAAGTCGGCTTGCAGTCTTGTACGACCATATGATCCAATCCTGTCGAGAGGTAGTTCGTCCATGATCAGATCCCCCACTAGAGTTCTACAAAATGCAGAATCCCACGTCAAACCGTCTTTGTAGACCTGAGAACCATACTGGGACGCTCGATACTGGTCGATCAGCAGAATGCAATTCGCTAGAGGCTCGCGCAGATCATGGAGGTAGATCGCGTCTTGAGCATCGACACGTAGAAGCTCGCTTGTATCTAGCACTGCATCGACATTGATTCCGCTTAACCCAAGCACTTCATCTCCGAGAGAATTGAACACCTGCAGTTCGTTGTCTCTACTTGCAGAAAAGACTTTGTATCGATGTGAGTGGCCCCACCATTTCAATTGGCGCTTGCCAATACGATTGCAACACGCGAAATCAATGGCCCAAGTAGGGGCATTGGGCGTTATGTGTGGCATTTCGCAAGCACCCAACAACGATCTTAGGCCACCTTCGTACTTGATCAGATCTAGCGTGACTTTTGCAAAAAGTCGAGGTGCGGCGATAGTATAATCGCAAGAACGTGCACTTGGAATCGCGTCTGGCGAAATCATACCGAGCAGTGCATAAACTTTGTCGCGAGGATCGGTAAATTCCCGATGACGCCAGCGCATGAGCAGATTGAGTGCGTTGTCAGTCTTGGAATGATTGAATCCATGCACAGGATAGAGTAGCCGTCGAAGCAGTTCCGAGTTAGTGTAACGATGGGAAGCGAATCCTTCGGGAAGAGAGGGTAAACTCTGCAAGTCACGCAAATGGCGCGCAGCGGCAAGCACAGCTTTGCGTGGAATGCTCAGCGGACCCCAGATCAATACACCCGATGGAGGAATGATGGCTTCTTGGACTGTCCAGATGCGCGACCACCAGGGATTGCCATACATAGAAAACATTTCGAAAGCTCTTCGCGCAGCTGAACCCTCATCTGACTGCTGGAAAAGAACTGGTAAGCCAGCCAAGGGGATGATCTTTGCCGCGGCGACTTGTCGTAGGAAGTCAAACACAGCCTCAGCATCGCGAATTTGGACTTCATAACCGTCTCTTTCGAGGTCGCCCATCCATGTGACACATCTTGTGCACTTTCTGTAGATATCTCTCATCAAAGCTACCTGGGCCGCCTTCTCTTCCAGATCCCACTGATTGATGCATATTTGATCGATCCACAATGTGCGCTTTTTCGTCGAATATCGAAGGCGTAGTAAGCCAGCGTATAGATTTTCCGTAATTGGTACAGGATTGCCAGAAACTTCGATGTCCTTCTCTTCTCTGCGGTCTCCCCAAACGTACGACATAGTTTCATAGTCCGGATGCCGGTCTAAGCTGACTACACGGGTTGCGCATCGAATGGCTTCATCTCCAACGCCAGGTAGAAGATCCAAAAGTCGAAATTCGCGGTCCGAGCTGCGCATAGCCGGTAGATGATTGAGGGTTCCTGTCGGCGGACAGATGTTAAAAGAGAAGACTTCTGGGGCCCGCTCGTGATGAGGATCGACAACTCTTATACCATACCTAGCCTCCGTATGATAGTGGCTGTCAAGTCCAGGACACTGTTATGACGACCGAATATGGAGTGCCATACGAGGTTGAGGTCTGTTCGAATTCAATGCGTGCATACTCCGACTGTATGTGGCTGACGGATGGTGGGGCAACGTGGCAGGGCAAGCGACAACTCCCAAACGCAGCAACGACACGCTCGTAGACCTCATCGCTATACATAGCATTTCGCAGCCATATGGAAGATTATCAATCGTCACGGAATGGCTCTGGAGGATGCTGTAGTGGTTGTGAGGCAGATGCCATGTGTAGAGGAAGAACCAACCACCTCCACCATAGCGCCGGAGCCGCTGCGACAACCGACATCCGTTTTCCACATCCTCAGTTGGACACTTTATCGATAATTGCAAAGATATTGTATTGAATCACTACGGCTGTGCAAACTATCACGGAAATTACGCCAGTCCTTCGCACTTCTGCGCCGTGAATCCCACATTCTGCGCGCAAGCTGAAAACCCATGCACACCAATGTACTTCCCCTGTAAGGCACCTTGGGTGATGCCAATACCACTCGCCGCAGGACCCAGAGTTACATCGCCCAACCGGAACTGGATCTAAGAACTAGACTCATTAAAGAAAAAGAAGTTGGCACTGGCCGGCCATAGCCACTTTCAGGATCAACGATTGATTAACGACACCGTCCCAGAACTCGAGGGAGTATCGAGGATCAGATGTGTTCCTGAATGCGGTGTCGACAGCTTCCGGATAGATACCTGGCCCGGAGATGGGATTTTGTAGGAAGGCCCACTTCGGGTTTGCGAAGAATCCGCCGTTGCCATCGGGCTGATATGCTGCATTTGCTGGACGGAAATCGCCCAAGCGTAGTGTGCTACCGCCTACCAGGATCGAAACTATAGCAGGCACAATGCCAGCTAAATGTAGACTGTCGGGTGTGTTCTTATCCTCCCACTGATGTACCCGTTCAGGGGCGCGAGCATAGCGGTCTTGCCATTGTTGTAGCTGACAAAAGGTACCATTGTGCTGGAAGCGAGCACAGTGCCACTGATCTGGAGGGTAGGTAGGCAGATATCAGTGTCCAGACCGTTCGTCGTCAGGATAGGATGCATGTCCTTGATTTTGAAATCGGGAATGTCAAGCTCTTCAGGAAGATCACGTAAAGTGAGCTTCCCAGAAAAGATATTGTCGATGAAGGCCTCGTCAAGTGCTTTCAACACTGGTACAAGACACCACATTGTCAATCTGTCAACATAATATACAGACCATCAAGTGGTGTGATCTACCATTGTTCGCAGACATAGTCCGTAGGCTACGGTTGTAGACAGCCTGCGTGCTTGGGCACTGCGCGCTGCTTTGGATGAGGAGCCCTGCAACGGTCAGGACGGAGGTAAGGAGTCAGCCCGCCATTTTCGCTTTCGTTGTGATTGAGACTTGACGTCGGATGGCTATGCAGGAGCAGTCTACTTATCTATGCTGGACTGCAAGCTCACCATACCTTAATCACCCCTCTCGTACGTAAGTGCTACAGACTCGCCCAACACGATCTGTTGCTCATGATGCAGCCCTGTTCTGGTACCTTAGCAGATTGCACCATAAGACCGCGCCAATGATCGTCACAGAAGTGATAAAGCCCAAGATTGTCCGCCAAATTACTTGTGGCCATCGAATGCCACTTCGCACATATGTTTCTACAGTGAAGGGGGGTTAAGACATTAACGTCAATGTGTTCCTTTATGATGGGGTATGCGCTGTGCATGGCGTCCATGTGAATATCGTGGCACAGGCTAGACCACGCCTAGATTGCACCGACGTCACTCTGGTCTATATGCATGCAATGATGCTTTTTTCGATAGCGGTCGATGGCTCGTTCGAATGTTCCATGTGTGAATTCATGTCGAGCTTGGATGTACACTGACTTGAGGTTCGAGTCAGTCATTGAGAGCGCTCATCAAATGATGCCTTGACGGTCACTATCGTCGTGATTGAAAATAAGATATTCAGCGGCTCTTCGCTCTTTGGCTTCGCTAGGCTTTCAATTGAGCCCGCCCAGAAACCATCATAGACTCGTTGGAGTGAGAAGACGATACCGGTCTCAAAAACTGCTTGAGGCACCCTATAGATAGTCAATCGCGGAAATTCTTAGTGCTTCCAGTGGTTCCAGATCGTGGTACAGCAGTCCGACAGCAGAGGAGGAAATCTAGTGGTCCAAGGCTCTCAGCATGGTTGTACATGTCCGAGAAATGGTGAGGCTAATTGTCGCAAGCAGTGACTTTGGAAACGATTTCTTAGATCAATGGGTATCGAATCCTGCACTCAAATTTCATCAGTCACTCGGATACCATTACATCATCTCTGATCTGGAATCGTCGTTCGTGTAGCTTGTATACGCCTGGTGACGCTTGTTCGAGGCCGTTTGGGCGATTGATTAAGAATAAGCTGTCCGAGAGCTTTCTATGAAGCAAAATTTGAGGTAGTGTTGAGACCGCATGAGGACTGGTATTGGTTTGTTTCATAGCTTCTCGTAGCGAGCAAGCTGCCGTGTCTGCTGGTACTAGGCCACACAGATGCCCGCAGATGTTGTTGCGGGCGTCCCCGCCTTCTCATTGGTCCAACTCATTAATCAGCTTCCGCCCTGCGACACAATCTAGATATTCGCTCTTTCCATGGTACCAATACAACAAATTATCACTCCACTCATCAGATGTACTACTCTTCGAAGACAGCGCCAACAGGGTGTAGGATAGCGGCAACGAGTCTGATGATGTATTGATGATCGTTAGTGTTGAGCCAGGCGTGACTCGCTCCGGGCGCCTCGCGCTAAACCTCCGCTAGCCGCAGGTCATCCCTTCCGTAAAGAGATTCTCTAACCTTTCCAGGCGACCTGATCTTCGATGACGCACCCAAACAGAGAAACACTGTGGATGCCGAAGCCGAAGAGCTGATCGACACTGCGATTCCCACCCCTCTGCCGTGGTCAAAGTGATGATCGTCAGGAGCTAGCGGCCTGCGCAGGTACGTCTCACAAGGGGTGTTCGCCCAAGCAACCCTTCGCACACGGCAACGAATCATCACAGTCATATTTCTGGGACGTCTTAGCCTACAGCCTTGCACTCACGGAAACACTGGCATCCATATGCACGTCGTTACGATGTTGCGGAACCTGACATCACGCAGACATATGTGGCGCACGGCCAGCTCAAGCCTTTGCTCGGATGCTTGACAACCGAAGACCTCACTGCAAGCTTGCCCTGTCCTTCCGAACTATCTTACATCGGCGAGGCTACGGAACCCAATTCTCCTATCCGCCCTACCAAATGAGGAAGTACATGCTCTCTGATATTACTGTTCATTGGATGGCTCTTGCAGGCCTCCGTTATTGATCGACAAAACATCATGAGTAGGTATATCTTAGCTTCCTCTCGAAATGTCCCTCATGTTGCTTCTTCACAATCCGCAATGGACGAGGCTTGAAAAGTACTCAACATGTGGAGAAGCGAGTCATGAAAAGCACTGACCGAGAGTGACTTGCTGTCACTGCCGTGAGATGATCCGTATTTAGAGGTGGTACAAGTATGATGCGAGCTGCTCACCATCCAGCTTTCAGTTCTCACTCCACATACTACCTCCTGTTCTCACCTCTAAGTCCCACTTAGCTTGTTGCATACTTCACATTTCTCACAATGAAGACCTCAACATTCTTCGCTGTCTCACTCCTGTCCCTCTCATCCACAGTTCTCTCAGCTCCTACACCACAGGTCAAGAACATCCTTGGATCGATCACAAATCCCTCTGCAGGTAACAACAACGTCTTCGAGGGCAACGGTAACCAGAATGGAAACGGCAATGGCAACGAGTGAGTATTTCATAAGTCTTAGACCTCAACGACCATCACTGACAACCTGCCAGCAACTCTGCTGGCAACAACAATGGCAACGGCAACGTCGCAGGCAGCGGCAACTCGGCAGGAAATGGAAACACAGTTACCTTCCCCTCCATCCTGAAGGACCGTGACCTCGGCTCCAGCCTCTCCAACATCGTCGGCTCCATCACCAACCCCAGCGCGGGCAACAACAACGTCTTCAAAGACAACGGCAATGGCAACGGAAACAAGAATGGCAACAGCAACTCAGCCGGCAATAACAATGGCAACTCCAACACGGCTGGCTCCGGAAACTCCGCCGGCAACTCCAACACAGTTAACTTCAAAGAGCGCGACCTCGCCGGCCCGCTGTCAGGAATCACCGACGCCCTGGGCTCCGTCACCAACACCCTAGGCTCCATCACCAACCCGACTGCAGGCAGTGGGAACAGCTTCCTGGGCAATGGCAACGGGAATGGAAATGGCAATGGCAACGGCAACTCCGCAGGAAACGGAAATGGGAATGGAAACGTAGCTGGCAGCAACAACCAGGCGGGCAACGGAAACACAGTCAACGTGAGTCCCAATGTGAGCCCTAGCATTGCTTTGCCAGATATTGCGCTGCCAGATGTCACACTGCCAGATGTCACACTGCCCAACATCAGCTTGTGAGATGTTGCTTCTGGTTAGTGGGCAGGCTTGAGATGTCTCGAATGGTGCTGACGATGAGATAGTTCCGTGCTTAGATGTTGATTTAGCGACATTGTTTGGGCGTTTCGGTGTTGACCAGAGTTGGATCTGACAATTGAGTTTGTCTAGTAGTCCATGGCCATAATGCTTGGTCAAACAGTAATCTTAACATTCTTGCATCAATTATTTCCTTGCATCGTGACTAACCAATATGCTCTACTCTTTATATGCACCGGCTGATACCACAGAGCCTGTCCATGTGATTTACCTTTCGCTTCTTTTGCTTTGTGTTGGCGACTACCACATTACAGAAATCATGCTTTCCAGACTTGTCTGGATATGCACTATGTCGCTCCCCGTTCAGACAAGCACTTACTTGCAAACCTAACATAGAGCAGCGTAGTCTCAACGACGATCCCCAATACAATGGCTCCACCTTTGCTCCACCGGGCCAGATCAAGCGTACTGATTGAACCAAGCTCACAGACCCATGCTCATACATCGACGATACATGAAGGGCCTCTTCAAGCACAGTGCACGACGCGGAACCTCTGGTTTCCATACTATCACCTGGGAGATTGGCGGCCGCTGCATCCGATCTTTTTGACCAGAGCCTTAGCTGTAACGATAGTCGAAGAGGCAGCGCACTCGGCGTCACTCAGTCTGAAGAGACATCGGATCAAAATGCCAGGAAGATGTATTGTTCGTACTGCCAGAAGTCTCAGATCTATGGAGGCGCAGTTTGTAGACAGCACCGAACACGGCAAGCAACACTTACGATGTTCAACAACCTCCGAGGCCATGCAAGGCCAGCTGCCAGAGGGTGCCGAATATTGCGACTGCTGCTTGTCGGGATAGAAAGTGTCTTCAAGCCCTGATGCTCGCTATTTGTTTCTGAGAAATGGCATGTCGATTGAACATGACAGACAAACGGACAGTAAAGATGCTAACAGAACCTAGGTGCGCTCAGTCAACTCCTCAGTCGACTCGCTCTTCCAGCTCTTAAACTGCCGCGCACTCAACTTCAATTCGAACATGCGATCGATGTCCGCCACGCTCCTGCCTTTCATCTCAGGTATCAGCCACCAGGCTACAGCAGCACCAGCCAAGCATGTTGCGAGGTACGCGAATCCGGTTTTGCCTCTAAGATTGCCCTCGTCGGGGTTGAAGACATAAGGAAGTGCAAGGCCAGATACAGCGGTCGCGAGTGCTGAGACACACCAGCCGAGACCTTGGGTACGAGCGCGAAGCTGTAGGGAGGATGTCTCGGCGGCGATGGCGAACGATGCTGGCCAGACGCCGACACCGGCTACGATGATGGTAATCATCATGGACACTGCGGTCCACCTGTAAAGAGTCAGTGAGAGCACTGATTAATAAATGAAGGTGACATACCAAGTAACAGCAGGGGTAATCGTAAAGCAATTGGCGATGCCCATGGACAGCCATAGCGCCGACGCAATCAGTAGGCTGATGACAACCAGCGGTCTGCGGCCAACGCGGGCCATGATCCAGACTGATACACAGTTGGCAATAAGACCCAAGACGATACCCAGGATAAGGAAGATGATGGAAATATTCGCCTTCATGTTGATGAGCTGAAGGAAGTAAGACGCCTTAGCAAGCAATGGGAGACCGAAGATAGCGGGAAGGGAGTTCGCGAACATGACAATGAATGTGCGGCGGAAGTTCCTCTTGTGGAAGCACTCAGCGAAAGTGACCTTGGCGGACTGTTCCTCGTGCTCAATGTCTGCGAGAAGTCTGTCGACGATAGCTTTTGTGTCGGTGCCAGGCGGGTCCAGTCGAGCTTGCGCAGTATGCGCCTTGTCCATTTTGCGCTTGCGAACAAGCCATGTTGGGCTTTCAGGGATGAAGAAAGCGACGATGATAGGAACAAATGAGAAGGGCCATTGGGAGCCAAACGCAATGGCGTAGCCGTTGTCGGCGCCTAGAGCAGCGTAGACGACCAGCGCCCCGGTGAGCTGACCGAGCAATGTAAAGACAGGGAAGAAGGCCATTCCAGATCCTCGTAGGGCTGGCGGTAGGATCTCAGACATGTATGTCTGGCATGCAGCCATGACAGCACCAATCGCGCCACCTTGGAAGAACTTGCCCATAAGGAAGGCAACACGTCGTCCGTTGATGTCGTCCGGAAGGTAGGAGATGTACATGATGGCGACCGCGAGAGCAGAAAGGAAGGATGAAATGGCAAGTGCAAGACGACGTCCAATTTTGTCTTGCAGCCACCCGCCAAAGACAGAGCCACACATTGCACCTATGGGAGACGCAACGTTCCAGAGAGCAAGCCATGTCGACGGCAGGATCCATTTGCCTTCGTAGAAGATACCGAAGTCCCTCCTGAACCGATGTTAGCAACCCTTGCGGTACGGGACGAGATGTCGATCCTGTGTGGAGTTGACGACCTACTGGAATACGGGCATGGCAGAGACTGTGCCAACGACAACATTGTCGTAGCCATAAAGAAGAATCGCTGATGTGAGGCCAAAAGTCACATAAATGACTTTTCGATACTTTTTGACGTTCTGCCACAGGGTCCGTGAGTTGTCGCTCGCTTCGCTGCTGGCCTGGCTGTTCGCGTGGCTGTCGACCTCGAAGATCTGTTCCCCTGTGTAGTTGCTCTTCCCTTCGGTGGCCAGTGACTTGTGGGACGCGGTGGATGTCATTGCGACGTATATCGCGCAGTCACCTCCTCGCGCGAAGGAAGGAGTGGAAAGGATGAAGCGCGAGTCACGGTCAAGGAGGTCCGCGACGTGGACAACGGCTTGATATGAAGTCAGACGGGCCAAGCATTGCACATGCGGGGCCCCTGCAATCGATGAGAAGGGGCAGATTGATCGACAAGCGCGATGTCAGTTTTCGGGATGCAGAATCCACAAGATGCATCATGACTGAGGCGCTTGATACCCCACACTGAAACCTGTGCACAAAAATGGTAGAGTTCTGGGGTCGCGACCGGTCTCGCCACTTCATTTCACGGTTCTGTCTTACATGGTAACGCACCCCCTGAGGAGTATTGTCAAAACTGTACGACGCACGCTCCTTTTTCCGCAAAATCTTCAGCAAATCACATTTGCTGGAAACAAAGGCGCAGATAAAAGTTGCAGATCCAGGGCCAAATCCTCCGCCCTGCCAAAAACGCCATGCAATGCAGAACCACGCTTGAATGCTATATATACCCGATTGGTTTAGGGCCTCAGTGAATCATCAAAGAGAAGGGCCGAAACATGAAATGACAACGGTTCACAAGCCAACCGTTTGTTGCTCAGCCGAGGAACGACTTGACCGCGCCGCCGACATTCTCCAGGTCAAGAAGGAAGGTGTCGTGGCCGAACATGCTCTTCTCCTCACCTAGCTCGATGTGTGTCACGTTTTTGTTTCCTGTGCGCTTGAGTGTGGTTGCAATCTCACGCTGCTGCCATGCAGGGAACAAGATGTCACTGGCGACACCTAACACTAGCGCCGGGGTATTGGCCAACGGTCTAAGGCCCGCGACTAAGTCGGGTGGCGGCTCGCTTCCGTCGGTTGCAGGGACGTTGGTTTCATCGAAGTCGGCAGGCTGCTCCTTCTCTTCGTAAGGCTGCTCAGGGAGGGTCAAGCTGCATGCATCTACAATGGCCTCAGACTCGATGCCTTTGCCATCGAGGTATGCCTGCACTCTGCTTGCATTTGCAGCCCTGCGTTTGTTGACGCGATTGCGGTGTTCCTGTCCCAAATCGAACATGTCCATAGCCTTGGAGACGTACAGTAGACTGTTGGGGTCATACTCTAAGCACCACTTCTCGCCAGCATGGTCAAGGTATGTTTCAACAAGGAAGTCAGGGCACAGAGCTGGAGGTCGTGACGGGTCTGCGCGACGACGGCCGAATCGTAGCTCCCACTCCGGTCCACTTCGGTATGTGACGGTTGCGATCTCACGAGCCAGCTTCATGCCTCCGTGAGGAGGGATGCTGTCATAGTAGAAGCCTCGAGCCCAATTGGGATCCATCATGAGTGCTACAATAGCCGTCAATATATGCGCATATGACAGTAAAGTGTCTCTCCTGACATACCTTGTCTTTGCGTATGCCTCATGGCAATGCTGTAGGGGTGGCTACGAGCACAACCGCTGATGCTGACAATGCGACCAACCCGTTCAGGGAATAAGTTGCCCGCAGCAAGACTCTGCATGCCACCCATACTGGATCCCACGCTTGCATACAGCTTCTGGATGCCCAGGTTGTCTAGCAGTCGAAACTGCGCGCGTACCATGTCCTCCATTGTCAGAATGGGAAATCGTGTCGCATAACGTTCGCCGCTCGCAGGGTCGATCGAAGAGGGTCCCGTCGAACCGTAGCATCCTCCAATGACGTTGGTACAGATGACAAAGTACTTGTTGGTATCCAGGGGCCTGTCAGGTCCAATGAACTTCTCCCACCACCCTGGCTTGGGGTTCGATTCGGTACTGTGCGCATGACTTGAGGCTGAGAGGCCAGTATGCAGCAAGATGGCGTTGCTCTTGTCCTGGTTCAGACTGCCCCAGGTTTCATATGCAACGTCAAACTGTGGCAGTATACCGCCCCAGTCCAAGAGTATGGGCTGTTCCGAATGGAATACCTCGGTGTGTCCAGATGTATACGATGGCTCGGGGCCTTCGGTCGAGCGCTTCGAGAGTTTCGCGGACTTCGATTCGAGGGCGTCGAGACATGGGAATGACAATGCTGGGTTCAGCGACTCGCTCTGTATAGAGTCTTCTTCAGCTCGGGCTGCCGCATTCTGCTGAGCCCTGGGCGGCGATTGTTGGTGTATGTTTCTGGTGGCTTGAAGAATTGACGGTCGTGAGGCTGTCCTGGTGTAGCTTTGTACATTTGGTGTCTGCCGCCGCGCGACAGCAAGCAGTCTACGGGACACGCTCATGGCTCAGGTCGATGGGTGGCAACGCTCACCACGCGACTGTCACCATGTAGCAGGGCGGAGAAAGAATATGGGAACCGCGTCATGACGCTATATCCGATTAATAATGGCTCTCGAGGCCGTTAACAACCGTCTCAAAAAGGTGAGGGTGCGCCTTGAGCCAATGACGTCGCGTCAAAATTGCGTGCTTGCCCTCCGCAGTTCGGCGGTTTACCGTTTGGGTAAGCAGCTGCTGGAAGCTTTGTCTTCTGGCACTCAACGCCAACACGACCGCACAAGATCACCACTATGGGTTAAGTCCCTCGAGCTGCAGGATCGAAGTTGTTGTCATGCAGTGTTGTTATGAGCGCTGGACAAGCGTACCTCATCGGACGTCGAGTCAGATCGCAGGCCCTGATGGCGAGCTCATTGTGGCATCACCTGCAAATGCAATGTTCCAAAAGTTCAAACTGCTGAAAGAGAGGCCGTTGATTGATGTCGACCGATGGGCGATAGAGACCTATGCGACACCAAGTCCTGGTATGGTATCACAAGGCTGTGTTTCCCACCGTCAATAGGCTCAGCCACGATCACTGCTCCTTTTCTTCTTCTTAGCCTCTCCTCTGTTTCCTTAGAACAACAAAGCTGTAACTGAATGGCACGATGCGTTCTCACACGGACTTTTGCATCAGATTATCTGCGATACGCCTTACTAATGGCTTGCTACCATCACACAGCCAACTACTCGAGCAACCACCCGCAACTGGAGAGATTAAAAAGTGGCATTTCGGCACATGGCGTGAGATACAAGAACGAACTGATTGCGAGTTTTGCCGCCTTGTAGCTACCACTATCGTTAAATCGACACGAGATGCAAAAATCAACGCAGATCAGCAAGTCGAAATTTTGCTTTTCCCGGATGAGCAATCGTTTCGACTGTCGTATCCTTCCCCCTTGGGTACTCGGCTAGCCTTTATAGCTGAGGACCAAAGCCAGATCCTGGCAGGGAGACCAGACACAGCTCGTTACGTACTTTCAGAGGATACTGTGATCCCGAGGATCGAGGGTTGGCTTCAAACGTGCGATCAGAATCACGCAACATGCTTGCGGTGGAATAAAGCCCGTCAGGTTAAGGCTCTTTCACTGAAACCCAATTGAATCGAAATGGCTGACTGCGATTCAGTATAATTGCAGGCAAGATGCTTGGTCCAACTTTCGTTTGATTGACCTTACTCTTGGGTGTGTGCAGCCCGCAAGCTTAGACACTCCATATGTAGCCCTTAGCTATGTCTGGGGCCAAACGCCAATGCTGAAGCTACAAAAAGACAATCTCCAGGATATGTTACGCGAAGGCAGCTTGGATCGTATCCGAAACCTACTACCGAAGACAGTCACGGATACGATTGACTTGCTCAAAGAGATGGGCGAAAAGTATCTGTGGGTAGATCGTCTCTGTTTGATCCAGGACGATGCAGATGATGTTACCCTTGGCATCAGTATGATGGACTCCATCTATCGCGGATCGTACTTCACAGTCGTTGCAGCTTCTGGCCACGATGCCAACGCTGGTCTGCCTGCAATGAGCCGTGGTCACAGTCTTGCTGGACAGGAACAGCATGTAGCACGCCTTGGTCCCAATCTTAATATGACAGCTCTCCATAGCATTGACTGGCATCTCCAAAGGTCGACCTACAGTCAACGAGGCTGGACATTGCAGGAGTTGGTATTACCTTCGCGGACACTGGTCTTTATCAATGGGCAGGTGTACTTTCGTTGTCAGGCCGCAAACTGGGGTGAAGAGACCTGTGCTGACCAGTGGCACAACTGGCTCGACGACGATGACAATAGCATATGTCGCATGCCAGACACTAGCTTTGGATTCCTGCATTCGTCCTGGGCGTATCAAAAGCTCTGTGAAGATTTCTCAAGACGCCAGCTACGCAATGACGCGGATGCGCTTCGGGCTTTCGCCGGCGTCGCTCGCCCTACGGCCGTTGGCATGGATACTCCTACTGTTGAAGGGCTACCGGCCTACTACCTTGATCATTTCGTACTCTTTATGTCATCTGATGGTCAAATGCGGCGACGAGAAGGGTTTGCGAGTTTCTCCTGGGCTGGATGGGAGGGGGTGAAATTGTGGCCACGTGAAAACTTTGAGTGGCCTTTCGAGTGGAACGGAGCCATCATCGAGAACAGGTTCAACAACCACAACATCTTGATGCATCTAAAGCACAATCGGCTGATAAGCTGGTATGCTTTACAGCCGGATTGTCGATGCATAGGCCTAACCCATAGGTCTTCGAACAAGCCTTCTCCGTTGATGGAGTTCGCGCGCAACAATCCGCATGTAGTCACCATCTCTGATTCAGCTTTGGTCACACCCTCTCAGCTAGGAAACTCAGGCTGGATCATGGATTTTGACAGTTTTACTGATGCACCAAACTGGGACGACAGCGACCGTTATTCGAGCCCCATGCATCGTTTGGCCCAGCTTCAGGTTCCTTACTCGAAAAGAGCCATCGATCATGCCAACATTTGGACAGAATTGGATAAGCCCTTCGAACATTCGAAGGGTCTTTACGGGGGATCAGTGCGGCGGGACAATTGGCTGCGACATCGTAGGAGAAGTATGTTGCCTTGATGAGGAGAGTATGCAAATCTGACGCTCTTTAGTCGAGGACCAAAAATCCAGGGTATTTTTCGAAAAAGAAACGCGGTGGAGGACTTGGGATAAGTACCAGGAGCTAGACAACCTTCGACCGCTACGTGTGAAACACAGACAGACATCTAAATCGAGTCACCAAGACCAACGGCTCAAACGACAGATCGAACATCAAGGGACGCAGGGCGATCCACAGAGTGCATCTACCCAGATACCGTAAGGCAATATCTGTATGTTGAGGAAACCTTCCTCTGACAGCCATTTAGCAACTTCCCACCCTATACCGTACTGCAATTCACCACAATATCTCTCCATCTGAAACTAGGCCCACACCCAGAGCAGCCAAAAAGTCCCAACATCATGTCCGATCGCATACCCGGCGCTCCCCTCTTATCCACATCTGACGAAGTCGTCGGATCATTGCACTCCGACAACATCGATCTCTTGCCTAAATCATATTGTGCAATTGAACTGCTCATCGTGGCGCGAGGTCACAAGCCGACAGCAGGTTCCGCACTTCTGGACATGTATCATGAAAGAGACGAGCAGCCAATGAAGCTCTTCTGGGTCATGTACGTGGTTTGGCAAGACGGTATCGCGGAGCGACGTGGCATCGGTCAGATACTGGAATTGGCTTTAGAGAATGCAGTTGGTGAGAAGCCGACGACGAAGTCTGTTCTTCTGGGCTGAATCTGAATATGGCAATCTTCACACACACCCGGGGCCTGCCTTTGTAACTTAGATCATGCTATCACAAAGCGCTGTTCATTCGATGTTCGGGAGACGCCATAGTCCTTAGCAGCTTTCCACTGGCTTGTAAAAACACCGTCCAAAGTTCCCCTTCGAGACTCCTATCACAGGCAAGGCTGTAAACAGCCTAAGAGAGTTGCACGGTGGAAAGACGGCGATTTCACACTCATCAATTTGATCGCACAAATCATCTCACTCAAAACGGCCGTACTGAAGATCGAAGAATGGCTGACACTGGACAATCAGCGAGAGCCGCTTCATCAATTTGTACTCGACCTCTACTTGTCTCTGATGTACTGCAGGACTCTTCTCAATGACATGACCTCTGTTGTCGAAAAGCTGAGCTTCGATGCATCTGGCGCCTTGGATGTGAGTAGCAAGATGGAAGTGGTCTTTGGCGAGAAGAAAAGACAAGAGTATCACAAGGCAATCGACGTTCAGGTCAACGCTCTCAACCTGTTGTTGATTGCTTGTAACTGGTAAGTCACAGTAACTGGGAACTATGGTTCGTAAGACTGATTTGGATATAGCGTCACTCTCTCAGGACAGCGGGATCTCTCACAGAAGCCTCGTAGCTGCAAGAGACCCACGACAATCCAAAAGCAAGCTGCGTTACTGCGTGTGCTCCAAGAAGTCAGTTCGATCAGATCTCCCGTATCTAACACTCTATCCAGATTATCAACGAGATTCATATTCGACCGGGAGCTTTTCGCAACCGCAGTCTACGAACGAGGCTACAGAACCTCATTGCGACGTTGGTGTCAAAACGGTAAACATCACACAAGGCGCCGCCAAACGCTCTGCCGTCCCGACAGAGGAACAGAACAATCGACAATCTGCAGAACCATCACCGGGCGTAATTCCCACTGTTCAGCAAGACTGCCCCATTCCCGTGGAACTGCGCGATCCGCCTAATACGCCAACTACACATGATCGCAATCACGTTTCAGCAACACAGCCATGCGGATCACCGAATGCGCCTGCTGCAGAGGACGAAGATGTGGATTCACTCTATGCGTACCGAGTATCCTTGCTCAAGTGGGCCGAGATCCATCTAGGTTGCCAAAGCAGCAGGGAACAAAGAATATCCATCTGATATGCTTTCGGTGGACATTGACATGGTTCGGTTCCTGGATCTCGCCGTTATAAGAGAATGACCTCGAACACAGCACTCAACCAGTGAACTGATTTCTCCAAGGAATGGACGAGAATGAATGAATGTTTTACATTACTGAGTAATTCGTGAGTGGGTGGTCGTGCACTGTGCTACAAATCTCAGATCTATACAGCAACCGTGAGCTCCTCCGTCTTCGAGGCCCCAGTACCACCTGCCGACGCAGCCGGCGCAGTCACCGGCCCAGCAAGGTTTACAGGCGTCTGCGCCTGACCCAGCGGTGGCACAACTGGTACACTCTTCTTGCTCATCTCCAAAAACCTCCTCGGCACCCCCGCCGCAGGCGGCATACCCAAGAACCCCTTCCCCCCCATACTCTCAAGCGGCTTCGCTCTGCCGCCCACATAACACCCCAAATCTCCACTCCACACGAACCCACCACCAACAACACCTCTCAGCACACCAAACGCCCTCGCATCTCTATACGCGATACCCGTCTCCGGATCTCTGTACCGCGCCACCGCGTTCGTGACAGCGCAGAGCTGCTTTGTTGGACGTATAGCCGCATCATGCGCCTCCCTCGCCTTCTGCGTCTTTGCCGCCTGGCCGAGCAGCATGTTGTTAACAAAAGTCGTAGCATCTTGTTCGTTCCACTCGAACAGCGTTTTGCAGAGTTGGATCAGTGCTGCGCGGTCTTTGTCCTTGAGCATGGAGGCGGCGGTACGCGCCCTTGACGACGTAGGCGGGGCGTCGAGATTCGGGAATGAGGAGAGGATGAGCAGGTTCCGCATTGCCCTTTTGATGATTTTGCGCCGTGGAGGTTGGGGAGCGAGGGCTGGGCGTTGAGATTGTAAGAGTAGGGCTTGTGGGCCGATGTTCGTGTTTTCTTGGGTGAGGAGGGCGTCGCTGAGGGAGGGGTGTGGGGAGAAGGTGGAGGATGTTGTGTATTGTGGGAAGGATTGGGATTGGGGGAAGGGGTTTGGAGGGAGGTCGGAGGATGGAGTTGGGTTTTGTTGGTTTTGAGTTGAGGCGTACTGGTCTATGCCGAAGAGGAAGGAGTCTTGGTTCTGGGGCGGTGCGAACGTGATGGTGCTGTTGTAGGATGACATGCCGTGGGATGAGCCCATGAACAGGTCGCCGCCCATGAAGACGTCCCCGTTGGCTGCTTGTGATCCAGCAGCCCATGGCAGCTGTATGTCTTGCTGCAATGACTGAGACGCAGGTACAGAGAACATCTCTGGAGAACTCATGGGTGGTGGGTGCTGGCCTAAGCTGTCATGGTGTGGCGTCTGTGGGTCGGCGGCGGCAGCAGTCACCGTCCGCTCAGTCGGTTCAGGCTGAGTGATTTGTGTGTCTGCCGCTGCAGGTTCCTTGTTGAGCTTCTCTTCCAGATGTCCGAGAGTAGGCGCGTCCTTGCCCGTGTACCTGAGCTTGTCATCCACGTAAATGGCCGGCCCACTATAGTATCGAATGAAGGGTCCTTCGATCTGCCGGTTCTTGAGCGCATCGATCTTGGCCTGCCTTTCGGCTGCTCGTACTTCTTCTGCTTCTTCCCACCTATGTAGGGTCTTCTTGTTGATTCTTTCCTGCCGCGCAGCTTCGGCAAGGCGCTCTGCCTGCGTCAAGGGCTTTGGCTCGTCCTTCTTCTTTCGAGCCTCGGCAGCTTTCATCATAGCCAGTGTGTCGTCTCGCCGCCTATCCTTCTCCTGCAGCTTTGCCAGCGTGCTTTCCTTGTTCGCCACCGTCTGCCGCCGCGACGACGTTCGTATTGGTCCATCCTCTTCGGTAGGTATCCAGGATGCTCTTTCAGACTTCTTCTTCGGTCGAACTGGCGCGGATGAAGTGGACTCGATTCGAGGGACGTCGATCTTGACTTTCTTGCGTGCAGCGGTAGCGAGACGGGCAGCGAATGGATTGGTGGCTATCTTGCGCTTCTTGGTACGTTCTTGCCGCTCGGCTTTGCGCAGTTCCTTCTCGCCCGCATCGTCGTCGTCAGCAGCAGCAGCAGCAGCATCACTGTCTTCCTCTGAGGATGAAGAATCCATGTTGTAGTCCTCTTGCTCGTTCACATCTCCGCCCCTGAACTCCTCCTCGTTTGCGACCTCTTCCCACTCTTCTCCCCACTCCTCTTCTTCAGCCTGCTGGGCGAGCAGCGTCGACATGCGGTTTCCAGCATTTGATCGCCTGGCTCGCGATGTGACCATGAGATCGATAGGTGCCTCGGGCTCGCTCTCGTCTGCATCATCCTCGGATGCGCCAGACCCCTCATGGTGCTCGACTGGGGGCGCATCATCCACCACCGTGGGCTCTGGCGCCTCAGAAGACATGGTGGGTAGATCGACAGGCAGGGGATGCACTGGCAAGGCACAGCAGCGTGCGGGGCAAGTGCAGGTGGAGGGGGAGGGGGCGCTCTGCGGCGAAGCGAGTGTGTCGATGGCGCGTTCACGGCAGAACAGACCGTGGTCCAGGGTCGCGCGACGTCTTCTCGAAGGCTCCCATGAATGCGCCGGCTATCGTTCGGTGCACGCGGCAGCCGGGGTGCGTCTGGTTCAGCGGTGTCGCTGTTTATGCTGCGTGTTTCAGGTGCCGTCGTGGTAGGCTGCGCCAATTGTGGAGAGGGTGAAGGTGCAGTCACTGCGCGGTGCAGTCACTGCGCGGGTGCACGCGCCTGCCAAATGTTTCAATGACGCGCCCGCCGTTCAGGAAAGGCTCCGCCAAGTCACGGAGATCCCTTTCGGCTCTGGCGAAGACGCCCCTCGAACACGCCCCTCGAACACTTGAAACATAGCGCCAGCCTGGGATTGACAACGGTTGATGCCGCCTAGTCCGCTTTAGTCAGTCTGCCTGTAAAGCTGTCGAACACTTCGCGCAGACGGAACCGTGGCATGAATCCGTGCCTGCTTCTAGAAGACCATGTTTCAATGGCCATCCTGGGCCGTCCCTATATGCGTGCGACTTTGGGCTGAGGACAGTGAATCGCAATTGGCGGTGCCTCCTGCAGGCCGTGCTGCATTTTACGATGCTAGAAAATGTGTTCTCGTGCGGGCACACCACAGAGCTGCAGACCGAGTGTCTCCCTCTCCATGCAGGATACCGATGCATACTTGTGCGCATTTTAGCAGCAGCAAGCCAATGAGACCACATGGCAGCGCAGAGCTGTGAGTGTCCACGTCAGATTGGAGGTGCGACGCGCCTCTGAACGTTTCAGTTCGGCCTACTAACCATTCCCGCGGGCCAACCAGGGAAACGCTCACACGAGGACCCCCTATTGCTGCTCTGATGAACAAGACTTGCTGCGTGCAGTGGACGAGCACCTTGAGCAGCATCGTGGAAGGCCTTCGATAACAACGGCATCTCATCGAGCAGGATCTGCGCATTGGCCCTTTAGCCTTTCCTGTTGTTACGTTGTTGGTGAACGTGCTCTTACGCTAGTCTGGCAACTGGAGACCAACACTCCCCTCGCCGTTAGCGAGAATCACTTTCATTACCTCACGCACCATCTTGCCCTACGCTTCCTCTCCCATCTCTGCTGCTGCTGGACCGCCATCCTCAATGAGCGCTTGTGTCTAATCAGATCTCTCTGCTTAATCATATCTTTTCCTTCGTTCTTCTCCAGCAACCCCCGGCGTGGCTGTTTATTGCACCAGAGTCCGCCTGCCTCTACCGTCAACGCGCTTCATTGCGACCAGCGGGCCCTCCAAGTCATTCCTTTCGGCTTTCGTCGCTTTCCTCGACCGCGCTCGCCGTGCCTCGAGACGCTGTGAGGCTCCTCGAGATCCTCCGGACCCCCGCATATACAAGCACCAGCCGCGACACTCGACCCGCAGCACACTCTCGACTGAGCCGTGTTCGCTGCTGTACTGTGGAGAGCACAGATTCATCTGTACATTGCGCATCGACGGACTGGGTCCCAAGGGCGTTTCTGCTTGAAAGCCCCTTGCACAGGCTTGCGCTGAGCGACCACACCCTCTTTGGCCGGCACCAACCACCTGCGCGCGCCCACCTCTCCAGCAACCCACAGCTCCTACACGGTCGAGAGACAGCATCTATAATCCATAATGGCTCCGACCTCGCGCCCCGAACATCACATCAACCTGGCCTATCTGCCCCAGTTGAGCTCCAACGCCCCGCACTCTGCCTCCTCCAGCGGCGCTGCATCGCCCGTTGAGCCTCCATCTGGCGGCCGCTTCCCTCCAAGCACGTCGAACCCATTGGGCGCGGCTGCAGCAGGCGCACGGCTGGGCTCCGGGTCTCCGTCGCATGAATATGGCGGTAGGCTATTTTCCAAACGGTTTGTCGCACTCCTGAAACAACTTGTTGTGCCTGCTAACGTGGAACGCCAGTGCACGCGAGATCCAAGCACAGGAAGGATTGACTCCACCAATGTGGGGGCCTCCTACCAGCGGCAACTCCACGCCATTGCGTGAGACCATCCCGGAGTCTCCCAGCGGTGACAGCTTCCCTGACTTCAACCATGCCATGCCAGAGACCACGTCAGCCTCCCAGACATCTACCCGTCGTGCCCGCGCTGGCACTCTGCCTTCACGCTTCTCTCCCTCCGCAGCACCCGGTGGCTTAATGTCCTTGCCCTCTTCCTCCCTCCTGCCCAAGACCTCGCGCCCTACACCCTCTACTAGCCCCTTCAAGCCCGGCCCAGGCACACCCACGGAGACCAGTGGAGGCTTCGCTGCACCTGGCTCTACCAACGCTGCTGCCAAATCAGTACTTCTCTCTCGCCTTCGTGCTGGCTCAATGCCTCAACGCCCTGGATACCTGCCTCCCTCTGTCTCCCCGTTCGGCAACTCCATCTTTTCCACTGGCTGGACGAGCAACCGCGAGCGCAGCAGCACGCTTCACAGCATTGCTTCTCAGCCATCGAATGGACCTGGCTCACCTCAGTCACATTTCTCCCGGGACTCGCTTGCTGATACCGATGTCAAGACCCTTGACTACCTCGGCCTTGTAGACACACCTCAGCCAGTGCGCGCTCAATTGGCTCCCTCTGACATTGAACTTCTCCTTGAGAGCCAAAGGAATGCCAATAGCCAGAACATGAGCAGTGCCAACCGCTTCCGCTCCTACTCGGTCAACGCCAAGGAGAAGTATGCTGAAGATGAGGATGAGCTCGACCAATTCGGCAACTACAGTGGTGCTATGACGCCAGCTGAGGCGAACGCTCTTCTGATCCACGAAGCTGTTCGCCAACACAACCTTGAGGTTCAAGCTTTTGCCAACTACGCCTCAAGTGCCCGTCCTCGTGCCAGGACTGCTGGCGTTTTGGACGCACCTCAGCAACGGCTGATGCGGAGCTACATGCCCACTCGTCTGGGAGCCTCCGACTTGACGGAGGATGCTGAATACAGCCTTGCCGAGTCCATCAAGAACCTTCATCTGCGTAGTGCACATGAGTCGAGCGCGAACCTCGGCGACGATGGCACGCTTGAAGGCCCGACTCGATCTCTGTGGTTGGGCAACATTCCTTCGTCCACGACCGTCTCGTCTCTTAACGTCATCTTTAGCACTTTCGGGTCCATCGAGTCCACTCGTGTTCTGACACACAAGAACTGCGGTTTCGTCAACTTCGAGAGCCTTGAGAGCGCCGTGCAGGCCAAGTCTCAGCTCAACGGCAAGGAGATCTTCCCTGGAGCCGGACCCGTGCGCATTGGCTATGCTAAGATCCCAAGTGCGGCTGCTACGCCTGGTCACAACGGCCTTTTCCCTTCGCCGAGCCCAGACCCACACGCCAAAGCTCAGGCGGAAGGCACGACTGGTACTAACAACACCACGATGGCAAGTACTGCTAGCTTGGCTACTGCAAACGCGCCTCTGACGACTCCCGAGCTGACTGACATCCGCGGCGACATTGTCCAGATCGTGAAAGATCTGGGTGCAACGGACGAAGACCAGAGCAGGATCATCACACAGGTGGAGGCAGCCATCCAGTACAACAGCTACGTTGACGAGATTCCTCCTGTTGAGGAGCCTAGCCACACTCGTGTTCACGATGCACCAAGGCTGCGTGAGATCCGCAAGCGTATCGATAATGGCTCTTGCTCTACTGAGGAGATTGAATCGATTGCCATGAACATGCTTCCTGAAATCGCCGAACTCTCATCCGACTACCTTGGAAACACTGTTGTCCAGAAACTGTTCGAGCACTGCTCTGAGCACGTCAAGGAGGCTATGCTTCGCGAGATCGCCCCTCACCTGGCCAAGATCGGTATCCACAAGAACGGAACGTGGGCTGCGCAGAAGATCATCGATGTCTCCAAGACACTCACGATGCAGAAGATGGTTGTGGAAGCTCTCCGACCGTACGCCATGGCTCTCTTCCTCGACCAGTTTGGCAACTACGTCATGCAGGGCTGCCTCAAGTACCAACATCTCAACAACTTTATCTTCGAGGTGATGCTTGGCCGTCTCTGGGATCTTGCCCAGGGTCGCTTTGGAGCTCGCGCTATGCGTGCCTGTTTGGAGAGCCACTTTGCAAGCAAGGACCAGCAGCGTACAGTTGCCGCTGCGATCGCCCTTCACAGCGTGCAGCTCGCCACCAACGCTAATGGCGCGCTGTTATTGACTTGGTTCCTCGATACTTGCACTTTCCCTAGGAGGCGTACTGTCTTGGCTCCTCGTCTGGTCCCCCACATTGTCCACCTCTGCACACACAAGGTTGCTTACCTTACCGTGCTGAAGATTATCAATCAGCGCAACGAACCGGAAGCTCGCGATATCATCCTCCAGGCATTGTTCTTCTCGCCCAATGATCAGGTCTTGGAAGAGATCTTGTCTGACCAAAACTGCGGTGCTACCCTTATCTTCAAGGTTCTCACCACTCCTTTCTTTGACGAGAAGATCCGCGCAGAGGTCGTGCAGAACGTGCGCAACGTCCTTGTTCGCATCAAGGCTCAGCCCCAGCAGGGCTACAAGCGTCTCATGGACGAAGTAAGTCTTTCCACGCGAGGTGGACCCGGCCACCGCGACTCGTCTGCCACCCGATCTGCATCGAGGGACAGCTCGCATATCGAGCCGAGAGGTTTCTATGGAGCTCCCGCTCCTGGCTTCGACCCAGTTGGCCTACAGCGCACCTCAAGCATGGACTCTAATGGCTTTGACCAGTATGCCATGGGGCCTGGTGGACCGATGTACATGCCCAACATGCAAGCTATGAACGGCCAGCAGCAGCTTCAGTACCAGCAGCTGCTTGCTCGTCAGGGCCAGTTCTACCCTCATATGAACGGTTTCCAGCCTGGAATGGACGCTTACCGCAACGCGTCTCCGGTTGCCGCTCCTGGCTTCACTGGCTCGCCAATGATGCAGCCTGTCACCCTTGCAGGTCAAGGCATGCCGCCTGGTATGGGTGCGCAGATGTACCCCTATGGAATGTACATGCCTCAACAGCAGCAGCAGCAGCAGCAGCAGCAACAGCAGGCTGCTGGAGGTGGCCAGCGACGTGGTCGGGTAAGCAGAAATGCGTCCCCAGCGCCTGGCGCTAGACGCTAACCTCTCCTACAGAGATAGGCTCCTCTCCTCCAGACAGTCTCCTCTTAGCTGCTCGCAGCTTTCCCAGCGTTGCTTTCGATAGTATCGCATCATTCTTGTCTATTGTTTCGTCATCTCTTCTCGAGCGAGCGGATAAAGCGGCATAACATTATCATCTCATCTCCTTTGTATACGACCTCCTACGTGTTGGAGAGAAGGGAGCTGGCCTGCCTTGTGTCTCATTACCTCACGACGTGCATGCTCTCTTCTCTTGGACGACATCGGCGCTCGAACACATTCGTTACCGTCGCTCGCTACATTTGCATGCGCATGGCTTGGGGTTCAGCAGGCGTTTTCACACATCCATCTTCCTTGTACCTTAACTGTTCAAGTCGGCGTCTCTGTACAACGACTTCCTTTTTGCATTTCTACATGCCTTTGGTCTATCGTGGTGGCTGGTCGGCTGGCTGGTTGACACGCCAGATGGACGAATCAATGTATTGTTATGGGTGGGACGATACATGTGTGCGGTCATCTTTTGTCTGGGTGCTGCTAGTGCTGGCATACACCTGAGTGAAGGTGGTCGAAGGGCGCAAAAGTCGAGCAACTTGTGGTTCATATTTTGCTTGGGATCTTGGGGGCACTGGTGTTTGTTCTATATATGTGTTGATTTGGTGGGAAGATTTGGCGGTATAGGACGAGAGCATAGATAGAATTGAGATAGGCACCCTCGGTGCTTTTTCTATTATCGCTGAATTTCACCTCTTGACTTAACAGCGTAAGATCTGACTTGCAGGATGATGCTCGGCCTTCACAAAGACACTTGCACCTCGCTCGTATTTTCGGCCGAGCCATTGACATTCCAGAGCAACAAACACTGGATCCAAACACTGGATCGAGAGGCTCAACAGATGTCACATCCACAGCGACCCGAAGCTTGCTGCCAGATAAGGTGCTTATCGAAACCAATCAAGCTTCGCGCCAGCACGCTAACGCGGGTTCCCCAGCCAAACGACGTCACAGCTGCACCGGAAGTTACGGAGGACCAGGAATTCGCTTTCGCAACACCACCGTCATTGTGGATTGGATATATACCTGCGCACCTCTGTAGCATCCTTCTTCCTAAAAATTCAGCGCTTTTGATACCCCACGTTTCCTTCTCAGCATTTGCTTCTGCAACTTCGCGACGCGCCGGGAGCAGCACGCGACGTCAACCGACAACCAGGCCGACCACACTACGATAACGAGCAATTGAAGCTTCACACACGACACAATGGCGGACAAACTTGGCGCATTGAAGCCCCAGAGGAAGATCGAGCTGTACTCGGGGAACTACTTCGCAGCATGCACGCTCGGCGGTATCATTGCGTGTGGACCCACGCATACCATGGTCACTCCTCTTGATCTGGTGGGTACAAAATGCGCCTAACAGCATACATCTGGATCTCTGCTCATTTACATGGAATCAATCGCTAACATGCTCCAGGTAAAATGCCGTCGCCAAGTAGATGCAAAGCTCTACAAATCCAACGCCGAAGCTTGGAAAATGATCTACTCGAAAGAAGGCCTACGCGGCGTCTTCTTCGGCTGGTCACCCACCTTCGTCGGCTACTCGTTGCAAGGCGCCGGCAAGTACGGATTCTACGAGGTCTTCAAGTACCTCTACGGCGAGAAGCTCGCGCCCGGAGCCCCCAAAACATTCGTCTTCCTCGCTGCCTCCGCCTCCGCTGAGTTCCTCGCCGATATTGCGCTGTGCCCCCTCGAGGCGATCAAGGTCCGCATGCAGACTACGATGCCACCGTACGCAGATACACTGAGAGAGGGTTGGAGTAAGGTGGTCAGGGAGGAGGGTGTTGGTGGATTGTACAAGGGTTTGTACCCGCTCTGGGCACGTCAGATTCCGTACACGATGGTTAAGTTTGCGACGTTCGAGGAGACGGTGTCGCGGATCTACAAGTTCATCGGCAAGCCGAAGGAGTCGCTGAACGGGCTTCAGCAGACTGGTGTCTCGTTTTTGGGTGGTTACATCGCGGGTATTGGGTGTGCAGTTGTGTCGCATCCCGCTGGTACGTCTTCATCTCTTGACAAACTACCCAAAAAGACGGTATACTAACAACTACCAGATGTCATGGTCTCGAAACTCAACAGCGACCGCAAGGCCGGTGAGGGTGCTGGACAAGCGATCACTAGGATCTACGGCAACATCGGTTTCCGCGGTCTCTGGAACGGATTGCCGACACGTATCTTCATGATTGGTACTTTAACCGCGTTCCAGTGGTTGATCTACGATTCGTTCAAGGTCTACCTTGGTCTGCCGACTACTGGTGGTCACTAGATGAGTGTGCAATGATTCCAAGAGGTTGGTTTCTTAGGGCGTTGTGGAGTTCAAGTCAGATGCTGGAGCGTGTGAGCAAATCCGAGTTCAATGAATCCTTCAACTTACATGACGCATATCAACAATGTTCAAGACAACGACGGTGATCCTAGCTACCAGTGTTGGATTGTCGACAGAGGGTAGGCGTTAGTCAGCGGGTGAAGCTCAGTGTCAAAAGTGAGACGTTCCAATCTCCTTCCTTTCTCGATTTCGGTCTGCGCATCTTCCTCAACATCTCCAGGGCTGCAACAAAGCTGCGGATGGCTTACAACGCTACCGAGCATAACAGAACAAGCCGACACTGTAGTCTACGAGCACCATGATGGTCACTAGGTCGGGTCTTGGTCTTGCAACGGAATCGCCAGAGGTAAGATGGCATGGACGTCTCTCGTCTCCTGCAATGCAATACCTGCAGCAACTTTCTGCCCTCAAGGACAACTCTCAGCAATAGTGTTCTCCCGGCCAATATATATCCAACCACAGCCTGTCTAGTTTACAAGATGGTGCAACGTACCGCAGGGTGTAGAACTGATCAGCACCCAAGCATCTAGGCCGTTGCCAAGCTGAAGCTCTCGGTCCGAGCAGGGGCGGAGACGGACAAGTCCTGGACAAAATGCCACCCAAAAACTGCAGAGATTTCGTCGCTGACTTGTGTGTACATTGCGTAAACTCACACAAAATATCCATGGGGAAGTAGCCGTCGCCGCTTAGATAGACACAGCATGCCACTCTTGTTATCGCTTCGATTTGGCGCCTAGAAGTATGTATTCCACTCTGTTCAACTGCCGGCAGCAAAACGAGCCTGGAAATATCGCACCGGTGTTGGACTGTAATCCGCAAGGCGGGAGTATATAAGGATAGCTCGAGGCGTGGAGATAATGAAGCAGTGCGCTTTCTGACAGACTCAGCCTTGCAAAGCAATCGGCATGGCACCGTCCCTTCTTCTGGTCTGCACAGCTGCTGCAACCCACGGCGTCCACTCCGAGTCCCTACCTTGTCAACACCTCTCTTTCGAAGGCCCTGTAGACGTCAAAAAGGGATCTCTTCACGCTTTTATAGGAGACGAGCCAATCGGAAGATCGAAGGACTACCAAGTCAAAAGAGCGGGCGATTGAAGAAGAGAGCTACCTTTGCGGAAGTCTCAGATCCTATGGGCCCTTGGTTCGATGGGTGTTGAATACTTGAAGCAGAAGAATTTAAACGAGACTTTCGTCGTGGCTACGAAAGAGAAGAAGTTCGAAATTCTCGGTGGTGGTATCTCAGGATTGCTTACCGCGGTAAGTTCTTCAGCCATGTCTTCGAATCAAACGGATATTTCTCTGAAACATGGCCGACGTTCTCTCAGCTCATCAATCTTCTCCGCTTCTTGGATTTGCTGCCATGTTGCTCTCTCATGAAGCGCGCCATCGAACGCATAGTCTTCGATGGAGCCGTCAAAGCTGCCATGCAGTACAAAGAGCGCTTCTGGGAGCATCTCGAGCACCCCATCGTTGGTGGCTGTGGCCGCGTTGATATCTACGGCATCGGACAGCTCTGTTATCCTAGCTACAAGATCAACAGTACAGGCCTCAGTAAGTACCATGCTCACATCCGACATCTCTTTCTCCGACGCTGTTGTCGCCTGCTCGATGCCTGAGAAAGAACATATCGCATACATTCAGTGCGCCATGGTCGAGCTTCACGGTCTCATTGCCGACGAGATGTGGACGGGCAACTACACGCGGCACTGCTGGGATCAGGATGAGCGTCATGCAGACAGTTGGACGGTGCCGATTGTGCCACAGCAACAGCTTTGTCTGCCCGCGTTCTAGCAAACCGAGTTCATACCGTGTTCATTGGAGAGCATAGGTCGTACACACATTCGTGGGTGTTCAGTGCGTTGGAGAGTGCAGTTAGGGGAAGTGTGCAGATGTTGCTCGGCATTAGCCTCATTGATGAAGTGAAGGAAGTGAATAGGCGCTGGATGACGAGGTGGACCAATTTTTGAGGGAGCCATTGTCTGAGAAGAGGCAAGAATCGCTATCAGTATAATCATACAATGGGTTAAATTCGGAGGCTGATCGCAAGTAGTAATTCGATACATTCTTGCAGATAGCAAGTATATTATCGCAGGGTTCTGCCGCAGGACCTCGCATTTCTGCTGCCTATCCGGACACCTGTGTGAGCGAATGACCTTAGAACTTGAATTGATAGAGTATCTCACGAGATATGGAAGCACTTCCGGCCAATCGAAAAGTACCTCACACGCTCTTCCTTTGTATGCACCGTCTGCAAAGGGAGCTCCTTGCCGAACTCCAGAGCATATTGTGTTCGCCGAACATTTTGACGTGCGTGATGCACTACGCCTATCAGATCATCATGATGATGATGTTGATACGCCGGACAGAACGGAAACCCCTCCGCGTTGTTTAACAAGTCCCTCATTCGAAGACGGTGGCTGCAATGACGTCTGGCGTATAGTCGGTCCAGAAATAAGTATCCGGCTCCGCATACTCGGCGAGAGTATTTGACGGCTCGTACTCACTCTGCGAGTAATTATCCTTTGCAGCTATCGAACTCGCATCCAAATCCTCGGAACACCAATTCGGTCCTACACAACCTCCATTCGTTTCAAGGCCAAAGCACTCACGAAAAGAAGCGAAACACAACCACCATGTCTTCAGAACCTCTCACCCTTATCTCAGCAACCCCCTCCCCCTTTGCGCGCATGAACCGCATCGCTCTCCAAGTAAAAGGCATCCCCTTCGAACTCCAAAACGAAATCCCCTGGGAATCAAAAACCCAAACCCCAAAATACAACCCCCTAGAAAAACTCCCCATCCTCGTCTTCCCCAAAAACGACCCTCGGCCCCCCGTCTACGAAAGCGCACACATCCAAACCTACATTGTCGAAAAGTACGCCGACAAGGGCCCAAAACTACTTCCCGGCGATCTAGACGGGAACCTGATGGCCAAGCAGATCGTCGTGCTGAGTGTAGGATGTATGGATGCCATGGTGCTGAGCCGCTGGGAATCAAGGCGCGAGAAGGAGCAGCAGAGTCAGAAGTGGATTGATCGGCAGAGCAGGAAGGTTGATGGGGCGATGTGGGCGTTTAATGATTATGTTGAGGCTGCGCAGAAGGATGGGAGAGAGTTCGTTGTGGGGGCTGAGTTGACGATTGCGGATATTGCGATTGTTTGTACGGTGGGGTTTATTGATTTTGGGGAGGTGAGGCCGGGGTGGAGGGAGCAGTACCCGAAGTTGGCGCACTACTTTGATCATCTAGATGCTCGGAAAGAGTTCAAGGAGACGAGGCCAGTTATGTTTGATCTGACAGAGAAGGTTGTCTAGGTGCTGGTTAGCGGAGTGATGAGTATAACGTTGTTGCAACCTAGTTCAGGAAAACGTTCATGTTTGTGCACAACGTGCCGAACAGCATATATCCACCAATTCTCATCTCCGCATCTCAACAAGTCAGTATCAACCAGCGCAACCATCATGTCTCTCACCACTCAAAAATCCATCAGCTATGAGACATGGAATCGAATCGGCTCACTTCCCACCTTCCGTGTGTCCAACATATTCCGCACCGTCGACGTCCTCACGATGCTCCACTTCGGTCCACCATTTCCCCATAACCCAGCTGTGTATGATGTCACCGTATTGAAGCAACCTGGAAGCCACGACATCCGCGGATTTGAACGGACCAAGTCGTGGATGACTTGGTACCTTGAGACTGCTCGGTCAGTCTTTGAGTGCTTCCCAACGGTCAAAATGAAGGATATGCGTGATGGTTTGGGATTGAATGGTGCGGCCTGGAGGGGAGTTTAGGGATGTTGCGGGGGCGCTGTAGTTGAATGGTGATGGTCTCTGATGCTGTGTCTGCGGGTTGGTCCATCATGACAGTTGCCGTAGATGATATCAAAGTTGATAACCGTAACTATGAATCCCTCCACAACGTCTCAAGTCACTCGACACAAAGAACACTGTGCCCATTCGCTCTTGTTACACTACTCTCTCTTCTTCACAATGAGTCTCGCACAACGTGCGCGCCTAATCATATGCCCACCCTCACTTTTCTTGGTCTCAGAAACATCCTTTTAAGACCACTTTCCTAAGTGGAACCTGATCAACTCCGCCATCATGTCTAACAACACATATGCCCACACTAACCGCATCGAAGTGATACCCAACTACGACGGTCGCATCATCAAACATGGACAATTCACCATGAAAAGCATCTCTGTCCCCGGCGGCCTCTCGTTCACCTCTTCTACCCTCTTCCACGCCATCGAAGACATCGCCGCATGGCAAGACCCGTCTGCGCCTACCATCGATGATCCCAGAGTCCAGGCGCTCGCAGAGATGCTCAACGAGCTCAATCACTACGGGATTTGTGGGTATTGGCGGCTCAAGGCGTATATGAACTATCACACTGACGCTGTTCAAAAAGCACGACGTTTGCCTGAGGTGAAGACAGATGAGGGAGATGACATGGGTGTTGCTTGGCTTTTGGCCGAGGAGAGCCGATTTGGAGATCTGGTGCAGGCTTATTTTGATGTTGCTCGGAAGGGTGAAGATTGCGTGCGTAAAGAGAGGAGGAAAGCAATGGTGATAGGGTAAGAGGCTATAGCCTTGATGTCACATTGACAACATAATCTACGTAAGACATGATATACAAGACGCAAACGAGCAACAGAAAGACTTGCCTAAGAGCTAACTAATTTCTCTTACCCCATCAATAGACTTGAACTGTCACCCACCTTGAAATCTTTCCCAGCAAACTGCTCCTTCGCAGAAAAAAAAATCATACCTCATGAACTCCGGGATCTTCTCGCCGTTAGCAGAGCCATAGACCTTCTCCTACCTCCTGAAACCCATACTGATGTGCAGTAGTAGGTCATTTACCGTCGGTATTTTGATATGGTCCGCGTTCAGACATTTATATACGATCCTGTGGAGCATGTTGCTGTAGCATTTATCCCTATCTCTTTTCTCTAGGTGCCACTTTTCTTCGCCCGGTGGCTGCATGACCTGGTCTCTGCCCACGGCTTACGACGACTTCGTAGTGTATAGCATGGAGAGCTTCAGCATGGGCGCGAAAGATTGTCCAGAGATATGGCTCTGGTATTCGCTTGCTGGATTCTTGTTAGTGTGATGCCATACAAACGCCTTAGCGACTTACTTTGGGTTACGCCAAAAATTTGTTAGCAAATCGTGGATGTCCTCGAAAGAAGCATAGTCCATGTAGATATCGCCCAGATGTAGCCCTGACGGACGTATATGCAGCGAAGAATCGTAAGCCTCCAGTATGTGAGGGCAGTTCAAGCGCGAGAGATCCTGCTATATACCAACCTCATGCCCAACGTCGAGGCTCAACTGATTTATGTTAGTATCTCGAGAACCTTTACAGTCATTCGCTATAAAAGTATTCCGACACAGTGACTCAAAAGCTTTATATAGGGACTCACCCTGGCGATGTGACTGTCAGCAGTCACTAGCGCAAACAATTGCAGAAGGCGGGTATTTCGAGGCCAGTGTGTCTTGCCAAGATCGATGTATTCCTTTGCTTTGTGATTGGGATCAAAGTCTCGACTGTAATCGTTCCAGATGTTTAGTTACTCCTGGAACCTGCCTGCATGGATATTAACGGAAAGGTCTGGAATGCTCCGGTAGTGAACCACACCCGTATTGTCCGAGTCATCTGTCCTGACATCAAAGATGAAGAATCTCATGTCTTCCTGGTCGTCTTCACCCACCGCGCGAATCGCATTCCTCTCGTTTTCATTCAGATAAAGATTCTCGTCACGCAGTCGAGTATCTGGTCGCGCCTTGGCTGCCCGGATACAGATATCCCTCTGCTCAGCGTCTGACATTTGCCATGCATGGTACACCTGCTCAGATGTGAGGTTCTCTGTGAAGGTCAGTAAGGAAGAATGCGCGGAAACAAGCCAGCATACGCATTAGAACATAGTCTTGACCCAGCAAGAGGCCTGATCTGAAGAGTTCGTAGTCCTCAGGGAGCTCGTCTGTCACCTGTTCCATAAATGGTAGATCTTCATCTTCCTGTATGTAGATGCGATTCAAACCCTCTTGGCCCCAAGTTTCGAATTTAGCAGCGCTGTAAAGTCAAATGCCATTGTTATGGTTCAGTCTGGCCGCAGTGTGCAAAATTGCAGATGTCGAGTTTGTCACCGTGAGGAGTAAGTCCGGTCGAGGAAATGTTATTCTAACCAAAGAGGCGGCGTGCTCAAGCGCTTCCATGTTGCAACCTTGGTTTGACACGAAGACACAGGTGGTTTGCTTTGTGTATTCAGGCTCGAATCGGCATAGCTTCTGCAGCCGCGCTGATATGGCGGCGGGGATTTCGGAGCAATGTCGAAAGCGACAGCGATTGTCTCGTGGAAGATATGATGGATGTCAAGAGCGATAGTGGACAAGACGCCGACCCCATGTGCGACGCTACAAGGGGAGGGACAGCTAGCAAGTGACAGGAAACAGCTGCGCACATCGCACGAATCGCCACTCCGCACACTTGATCGAACATATTATGCATTACTACTCTCATCTCTACTGATCATTGCCATGTTTTCCGCACCTAAACGCCATCCCATGCCCTAAATCTAAGCCAGCCTAAAAGCCAGCTGTAACACGAAGTATATACATACCATCATATCTCATCCTTTATTTACACCATCACCAACACCATCCCTTTGTTCTCTACCTCCTAACCTCCCAGACAAGGTACGGACCAATAACCGCCGCCGCGGTATAAATAATCAAAAAGCTCTCAACAAAGAGCACATACGGCACCTTCCAAACCGGCACGTCCCTTGCGCGACACATCACAGCGTAGAACGCAACGCTGAAGAAATGGAAGACCAGCACCGCAGGGTTACGAATCAGACCGCTCAGAAGACCAGCGGGTTCGCTGATGTGTCTGCCGCCGAGCTGGAAGTATCTGAAGCACCCGTTCTTGAGGGCTGTGAGGTGGACGTTGTTTGCTGCAAATAGAGAGTACAATGCCATGGCCAGAATGTTGATAACACTCGATCCGTCCTTGCGCGCCCAGTGGAACTTGCTCATCGCCGCGAGTACAGCGTCTGTCTCCTCTAGATTTGGTATGTTTTGCGGTGAAAGCAGGTTGGTAAGTGTAACAACATCGTTGAACGCTACTGTCATGCCTCCTCCGGTGAGCGGGTGGCGCATATTCATCGCGTCGCCGAGCATGATGAGACCGCGTGTCTTCTGTGTCGCAGGAGGAAGGAAGGAGTTGGGCATCGACCTCAGCTTGCCTGCCTCGACCGCACGCTTGAAAGCTGGCCGTACACATTCGGGTAGATTGGGGACAACGACGTTGAGCATGTGATTCTTCACACCTCCTGCTTTGACGCTCGCACTGGGCAGGCCCTCGGGGATGTCGACAAGGATTCGAGTCTCGTGGGTGCCAATCTGGTAAATCAGGATCGGAGGTGCGTCGGTGAGGATAACGTGGCCGTGATAGGGCATGGGGAGTTCTGCGTCGATCATTTCGAGTCCCCAGAATTTGCTGCGGACCTGAGGCTGGTGGGGAAGGTGCTCTTTGCGGAACTTGGAAGCATAACCGTCTGCTACAAGTGTTACGGCACCGAAGTAATAGTCTTTCTCGCCCTTGGTCTGGCATTCTACGCCCAGAACCTGGCCCGTGTATCCGTTCTTTACCGTGTCGGTGACGGTGCTCTCGACGACGGTAACGTTCGGTGCGGCTTGGGCAGCGGCCCGCAGTTTCGCGATGAATTTGCCGTGGTGGAAAGAGCGACCCTCCGGCTTCTTCGACGGCTTCTCGGTGATGAGGTTGTCAGGGTAGGCGATATGTACGGGTTCCCTGTGGTATGAGACCTGGTAGCCGTAGCAGGGAATGGCGTCGATGCCCTCGAGACAGTCTGTCACCCATAATCAGCACACGCTCCCTTGTGCCCTATCCTCGAACCAACATACCCCTCAAGCCCAGCTTCTCCAGCGCATTGACACCGCCCGGCTGCAGCAGCTCGCCCACAATCCTGTCCGGCTCTTTCAGGCTCCTCTCCAGCAGAATGACACTGCGACCCTGCTTGCCAAACGCAACAGCCGCCGCGCACCCGACAATGCCCGCGCCGACGATTACAACATCGGCCTCGTGGTGCACGCGCCGCCTCGCCTCGCGCAGGTCTGATGTGTATGTCCCCGCGGCGGGGACTTCGGATGTGGAGGTATCGCGTGCTCGCAGTGAGGGCGATGCATTGACGCCCGGCGGCAGCGTCATGATCTTCTCCGAGAACATGGTGAGCATCGACATGGTGGGCTGTATGGGGTGGGCTGTATGGGGTGGGCCTGTTGAAGGACCCAATTATCTATGCAATTGAACGGTCGTTGCAAATACGAGGGGAGTGAACGCCTGTGAACGATGGGGTAAATGCCAGACGTGGGGTTCGTGACGAAATCAATTATTGTGGGTGTCGCATATATCAAAAGTCCTCGACGCAACGTCAAGCAGCTGTCAATGGGTCTAACTGTTTGGCACTGGTGGCGAACACGCGATCTTAAACCGCCGTGGTCAACAGGGAAATCGCGGGCGGTGAGCCCCGGCCAGCTGCGCCCGCCCAGCCCGCAAGCCCCTGGCAGAAAGATGAGCCAGCCAGCAGTGGCGTGAATCTCATCTCATGTGAAGACCAGCAGCGTATCGTACCATACTCTGCAGTTTGCGCGCTCCATTTACCCGCCAAGGATCTTATTACTGTTTCTTCTCCTTTGGAGCATGTCTATGCACAGGTTCTGACATGTGACAGCGCAAGCATGGACGCATCTGCATCTGCAGTTCACGTGATCAATCAAGGCAATTTTCTTCATTGGCTAATTAGGCCTTACTGCAGCCAGTGGGCGTACAGGAAATAAATATTAAAATAAAAATAAAGATAAAAAGTCTAACATGTAGCGACAGTAAGAAAGTGCCCGAATGCGAGTCATCGTAGCGTTCTCATAGTTCCCTTTGGCTCCCGTGCCTGTCCCAAGCCACAGTCGTCGTGGTACATTGCGCGTCCACATCGTTAAGCCACCCAATCCTCTTGTCCGCCCAAGTCCTGTCTATAACGCTGTACTAATGGTCGAGAGTCGAAAAGAAGACGCCAGTCGCTGTGCAATGCCGCCAAAAATCATATGCAAGAAGTAAAATTGTTGCGGCGGATCATTGCTTACACAGCTTGACCGAATGTCTTGTTCGGCAACGGCGATGGGAGAGGGGACTCAACCTCAAGGATAGTGGACTGGCGATCGACTACGACCGGCTTCGAGTCGTTGTCCAAAAGCTGGCTCTGGCGGTAATACGCATCGTAGAACTCGCTGAGTCGGGCCTCTTTAGCTGCACCCTCAGGCAGTTCGAGGAGATGGCTGGGTGCCCGTGGGGCTTTGACGGATGCGGAAGAGTTCGAGCGGTCGAGGGATTGGAACTGCTGGTACGCTTGGTACACGCTATGCCTGTTCTCGCTGTACACGCTGCTGGCATCGCTGCCGTCACGTTGATGTGTCGAAGCTGGAGTCGATGCGTATGCCTTAGACTGGTCTTTGGGCTCAGAGTCTTGTGAATGCTGTCAGGAAATGGATGTCCATGGATCGTCTATTGCTTGCTAAAATGTACAAAAACAGACCAAGAAAGTGGCTACCTACCCGGCTCTTCCACGCGAATGGCGGGTGGTGACGGCGTATTCCTCATGGCCGATGATGGCAGTGTAGGAAGACGAGTTGTGGGTGCGTGGCCAGGAGATGGCGGTGTAGGTGACGGGCCGGGAGATGGGCGAGGAGACGGGTCATTAAAGGATGCTGCTTGCGACTTCGAAGTCTCTTCGCCAGAGTGGTACGAGACACGAAGAGCGTCGGGCATAGGAACTGATGGCGCTGGCTTGTACGATTGCAGGTTGAAGTCAGCTGATCGGGGCGACATGGATTGAGGAGAGACAACGCCGTTGCTGTCGCTATCGGACCCGCCGAAGGTTGTTGGCTGCGCACGGAAACCGGGAGATGGAGGGACATTCAGGGACATGTCTACTGCGGTGTCGTAAGGGTTATGCCTTCCGTTCAGTTCAGCCTCGGACGGTCGCAGTTTCATAGAAGGAGGGGATGGCCTACGGTCTGGGAGAGTTTCAGAGTCGCGGTTGCTGTTCTTGCCAGCCAATGGCAAGCTAACCATGCTACCTCCATTCGAGTGCGGCTTCAGCAGAGGCGAGTTAGGATTGGCGACGAGAGTAGACGAGCTCATGTTGGGGTGTCCGACGATCGATCCTGCTCTTGAAGTTGGGCGCGACTGTGCGACACCAGCGTAGAAACCGGCCTCAATAGCGCGGATACCGAACAGATCTCCCTCGTCCTTCTCGCGCTGGTTGAGCTCTACGGTGTCTTCCTTGACTGCAGCGGTCTCTGCATCCTTCTTGATGTGCTGTTGCAACCTAATGACTGTAAGCCCAGAACAGATCAGTACTACAAAAATAGACTTACTTCCTGCGGTCGAAGAACAGCTTGACGAATCCAGCAAGGATCGTCAAGACGAGGAGAGCCAGGAAGACGACACTACACATGTTAGCCTGATTACTTGATCGGTCCGAAGTGTTTGCCATACATGTACTTGTACGCCAACTGGAGGTTGCCAAACCAGTTCGACATTATGACTTAAATGTGGGGTATCGTAACGAAGGTATAAATGAGCTCAAAGGCTGTGTTGATATCGTGGACTAGAGTGTGAATATCCTTCTTGGAGTAGTATTTGGCAAGAAGTTCTAAGCTCTGGTGACTGAACGTATGACAACAACTCGACTTTGCAAAGCTGTCAAGGCGATGATGATCCAGGCAATAAGGTGTTGGGGTGGTATATCAAACAAATCCAGATGCGGAAAGCACAGTATTTCAAAACGAAAGGATGTGTGATTGATACACACTGTAAAGAGTGACTTTGGACGCGAATGCAAACACCGAGAAACCGAAGAAACCTGAAGAGAAGTGCGAGGACCTGGAGATAAAGGTAAGCTACTGCAGGCGCGCAGCCTCTTCTGTCTGGCGCCATACGAACACTGTCTGTCGGCACGTTCGTTACGATCTAAAAGCGGAATGACAACCTGGCTCAGGATCCCTGTCCTAAAAAGCGAAACCGGGAGCCAATTGGAAGGCCTTGCACTGTGGATACTTTCTGCAAAGGGAAGCCCAATTCGCGTAGTCTAGCTCTTCTGGTCATGGCAGCGTTTTAGGCTTGGTTCACCGGCCTGTCTAAGGAAGGCAAGCCTTGCAATTTGTCGCGGCGTTTCTGTACGGTGTAAGCCTGGGCGTATAAGACATTTCCCTTTCGGCGACTGAGAGATTAACGACAGCTCCGCTCGCCCTTTACAGCAGAGTCAGATGCTGTAGCAGGTCGACTGCAATTGCTGAGCTGAAGGCAGCAATTGCCCAGAGCCTACGAATCGCAATGACAACATTTGCGTGGCGAACATCAGGCGTCTGGCAACATCTGGTCGAGGAACCGACAGTGCTGTGATTCGTTATTCGTCCCGTCATGCCCCTGAAGCCATGCGGGGACGACCACAGGAACAGGACTGGCGGCAACCGGCAGCCCACTCTCGCGTGCTTGGCAGGGGAAAAGAAAGACATCGCGAATCCACACTCGGATAAGTTGAGCATCAGAACGGTCAGTGCTGCCGCCTTCTCGAGGCCAGAGGATCCAGCACGGGGGCCGTGAGAGTCTATCGCCACAGCTTCCGATGTCAGTCCGCATCCCAGTCCTGGTGTTTTTCGGTGTTTTTCCCTGCAGCGTGATATCGACGGTGACATGCCGGTCTAAAATAATCGCTTACCTGCTAAGGCACAACACACAACCAGGTGTATCCGTAAACAGACGACGCACAATGGACTGTGTTCGCCATGTGCTGCCCTGTGTCACCTGCTGTAAAGGGATATGACAGGAGCAGCAAGCACGTTGGATGTCGCACCAGAGTTCGAAAGATACGCTTCCGTGAAAACGAAACAGCGAGTTGTCGTCTGACTCTGCATCCTGTGGGGGGAGCGGACTCGTGTCAACTGCCACCGGAGCGAGCCTCGATTCGGGGCAAATGTAGTCTCCATCGCAAAGACGCCGCACAACATGGGCTTCCTCGATTTGTTGAAGACGGACGCGTGCGCCGATGACGTTCACCACAAATCTATCGTCGACTGTAGTTCTTGGTAAGTGTTCACTTGCACAGATCACTATCGATCGTCATCTAGCGGTGAAATCTACAGAATCTGGAATACCGGCGGCAAATTAGGGTCCGCGCTGGCACATACCCGGTCGCGAAAAGCATCGCAAGTGTGCTTGGTGTTGGGCGCTTCGTGGGGTGTTCAGTGCCTCGTGTTTGGCGCCGGTGGGTGCCGAGAGCCAAAACGAGCACCCAGTCCCAACATCGTCCTGCAGGTCTCTGCTTGTGAAATTGCGACTGCGATTTCATCGTATTCCTCTTCAGTAATAAAACCACGACAGGCCGCCTGAGACTTTGATGCCGCGAGACTATCGATTCGGGAGCATTGAGCCTGTGAGCGAAAAGTGGAGAAAGGAGAAGATCAACCGCGGAACAGACTGTCGCTCAGCCTTACTACCGACCGCGCCGTCGCATGTAAGATCCCGCTTTGTGGCTGTTTGTCATTCCGTTTCTTTGCTCCCGTCACCGTTGTTGAGAGGCTGGCTGAAGAGCAGTTAGCTGCAATTGCTTACGTCTCTAGGCAGCGCTTAATTCCGCTGCAGCCCGCAAGATACAGACAAACAAACAAACAGTAGACAAGTTATCGACGTAAGAGGAGTGAGCATTGTAGGGGCATGGTTGTATGAAGGAGGTGAGTTGTTGTCATGGTAAAGCAAGGGCTGTCCTGAGGAAGGAGAGTTCGAGGTCTTGGCGTTCTCGCGATGTCGTTCCTCATCGACTGCTGCTACAAACGGCAATTACGCCCAATATCAACAACGTGAATTATTCAGATCTTGCTCTTCCCGCACGTCATAACGAACAAAATTGGAAACAATCTCCCACTTGGACGACTACGAAATGGGCTCCTCAAGCAAGGCGTCCGACAACCCCTCCAAAGTCATCAAGACAGAACCGCTCGTTAGTCACTTCGACAATATTTGACCAGATGGGAGTTTGACCATCTCCAGGACTACAAAGACGCTAAATGGGCAACCCTCGTCTCGTACTTCTTCACAACCTCACCCCAAATAAACAGAACTTCTAACACCATCAAGCATTACCTTCAAAGACCCCGAAGGCAAAGAACGCCTCTGGGAATCCGCTGAGCGTCTCACTCGTCCCAAAGGCTGCGACATCGATGCCATCGGCGTCGCCGCCATTCTAGACGACCCATCCAAGCCGGACGAAACACCTCACATCGTCCTGCAGAAGCAGTGGCGTGCACCGGCAGATGCAGTCGTGATTGAGATTCCAGCTGGTTTGATGGACCCTGGTGAGAGTGCGGAGGAGTGTGCAATTCGTGAGTTGAAGGAAGAGACAGGGTATGTGGGCAGGGTCATTGAGGGAAGCTTTGGGATTAGTCCTGTGATGTTTAACGGTGAGTGGATCTCCCAAAATTGGATGTATCGTCGACTTGCAAAAACTTCGGAGCATAGGTGCTTCGGTATCCGTCGCTTCGTGCTGATAAATTTCAGATCCCGGCTTCTGCAATACGAACCTTAGGATGATCCAGGTCACGGTCGATATGTCCCTCCCAGAGAACCAGAATCCTCAGCCAAGTCTTGAGCCAGGGGAATTCATCGAGACATTCACTGTCCCGTTGACAGATCTCTACGAGGAATGTGTGAAGTTCGAAAAAGAAGGCTATGTGCTGGATGCGAGGGTTGGCACGCTGGCACAGGGTGTCGAATTTGCGAAGAGGTGGAAGTTGACATGAGCGAGATGTCAACGAGAGGGTGAGAAGCGTCATCAAGGCTGAAGAATTCGATAGATAGAGATGAACACTTGACTCGCATCTTTGGCAACTCTGAACTGAATAGACCGCATCTACGTTATGGTGTACAGATAGAAACCTTGAGCCTACGTTCCCCTCTTGGTCCTCACTTCAACCTCCGCCTACGTCTTCGTCTCGACCGCTGGCAGCACCCCACTCATCGTCCGACTCGACCTCACGCCCCCAGTCTCTGTACCCTCGCCCCCAGTGACCACAAACGTCGACCTCCAACTCTCCAACCACATCCCCTCCCCCGTCCACAACGGCCTCGGAAACCATCTTACCTCATGCTTTACAACGCCCACCGTCTTTCCCTCACCATCTGTTAGATCCCACGTCGCCGTCTCTCCTCGTCTGCCGACCCCGAAGGTTGTGTATGGCCAATTCTTGGGGACTTGGTTTAAGTACTGCGTTGGCATGGTATGTGCACTCGTTATGGTTGCTGAGCCTGCATCGGCGGCGGATGTGAGAGTGATGATGACTGTTGATCTAGGTGTTGTTGGCACCGTGAATCTGAGCGAGGCGTCGGGGTCTGTGAAACCTGGGCGGTCGGGTGGGGAGTCGTTGTCGCCTTCGTTTGCGACATAGAAATCTGGAATCCGCAGCAGTGGAGTAGAAAGGGCAATTGAAGAGGTGGTGGCGGTGATGTTGGGCAGTGGACCGATCGAGATGGTATTGAGACTGAATAGCGGTGGTTGGGCGGTGAGCAGAGACTCGATTTGGAGAACTAGGGTGCATGCAGTGATGAAGATGATCCAGAGCATCGTGGAAGCGTTGGTACAGATGTACTGATGCCCCAACCTATTCGTGCCTCCTGGATTCGAAAGCAGTGAAAGTCATTCATTTGTGGCCTTTTGGTATGTCGAGTGCGGTGCGTTTGTTTCTCAAACGCACTAAAGGTGACATGATTGTGCTTCGCAGTCAAGTAGGCAGCGTGGACCAGGGTATGATCTTGAGTCATCATGCATTGCTACCCAGAAAGTCATACATCCAACGCCGGTATAGTGCGCAATCATGAGGGAGGAGCCAGCCATGGGCCGCGAATGCTCCCTCCGGTTCCAGACACGCCGTGAAAACATCCAACAGATATGATAGCGATACGACCTCGAACACTTCAAGAGTCGCTGCAGGAAGAATACGTACACAAGTAACACCATAAACCATACTTCATCAACATCGCGCAAACTTCCTTTAGATGGCACCAACTACGCGGTCTTGGTCTGCTTCTTCGCGGTACCAATATGTGTGTTGTGCACCTTTGTCGCGAACTTGAGACTGGTGACTGTCTCTTGCAGATGTGCTTGCAGTGGGCTGACCATGACGAACATGAGAGTCTTTGAGTTGCCGCCAAGTGAGTATTGGAGAAGGTATGTCAGCTGTATCCATGTTAGCTGCTGATCGTCCTCTGGTGGGTGCTGGTAATGCTTACCTTCGAGTTCCTGTACGGGATGTGCGCGCCCTCCTTCGCCGACCCAAGGGCGTTAATGACATCGCCGAGACAGCTCAAGCTCTTGTTGATGTTCTGAGTCTCCTTGAGGCGTGCGCCTTCCACCTTCGAGTGCTCGAGACGTTCGGAGCCAGCAAGATCGACCAGATTGAGTGTGCCTTCACTCCTCTCGCCAGTGATGCCGTTGGTACCAACAAGCTTCAAAATGAAGACAGAGTGAGATCGAGATGAGCGCATATTGGCTTTTGTAGCAGCTACCGTTCGGTTCTTGTCGGCCGTCTTTAGGAGCTCAGTGACTCGATTAGGCCCATCTAGTTCGATACTGACTGTGTTCTCAAGATTGGTTTGCTTCTTTGCTGCGTCATGTCGGACTTCGACCTTCTTCTTGTCGAGGTCCTCAGAACGGCCAAGTAGATCGTTGTAGGTTTCATTGTAGACTTCGATGAATGACCCTTCAATCTTGTAGCGCCAGCCCTTCTCTTCGAGGCGCTTGGCCTCGGCGTAGATCTGCGCTGTCGCGAGAGGAATCATGCCGTCTGCCGAAGACATTGTATACGTCTTACCGGAGCCGGTCTGACCGTAGCAGAAGATGCACACGTTGTAGCCATCGAGAGCGCTCTGTACCAGTTGGCTGATTTCATCGAAAACCTCCAGGTTTTGTGAGGCGGGGCCGAAAACTCGGTCGAATGAGTACTGATACGCGGCGGTGATGTCCTTGCCAGTTGCGCTGATCTTCTCTGGTCCCTGGATTGCCACCTCCTTGCTGTCAGTGTCGCTGTCAGGGAAGGATATTTTGGCCGGGTCGGACTCGGATGCGTGTGCTGGTCGTACACGACACATCACCCTGATGTTGCCCTTCAGCTCTTGCACTTGGTTAAAGAGCTTTCGTCTCAATGTCTCCTCTTGTCGCAGCTTATCGTGCGCCTGCTCAGCAGCTTCGATGGCTTCCTGCATGCGCCTGTGGAGGTCATTGTAGGCTGATGATTGGGCCTGGCTGTCTGATTCGAGAAAGTTGATCTTCTCCTTCATGGCTGTATTCGACGATTCGAGTGTGAGGTTCTTCGTCGTCGCATCCGTCAGCTGTCCTTGAAGCGCGGTCTTCAGCGCTCGTTCTCTATCCAGCTCCGATTTCACGTTGGTCAAGTCTCCCTGAACCAGCTGCAGTTCCCGCTGCTTCGCATCAGCCTCAATGCCAGCAGCTCGCAGCTTCGAGGCATACTCGGCCTCCACTTCCTGCTCTTTCTGCAGTTGTCGGTTTCGCTCCGTCTCGGTCTCCTTCGAGAGTTTCGCGTTCAGTCCGTCCAGTTGTTCCTTGTGCTCTTTCAGGAGCTTGTCGATTTGCGCCTCAAAATTTCTGCGGACCTTCTCCTCCGCTGCCTCCTTCTCTGATCGCCATCGATGGGTCGCTTTTTCGTGCTTGTTCTCAAGGTCTTCGATCTCGTTGCGGTGCTTGCGCCGGATATCGTCAGCTTCGAACGCGGTGTTTCGTTTGGTCATCTCCATCTCCATCTCCATTGTCTTCATGCAACTTTTGGCATCCTTTAGGTCGGTCTCTAGGTCTCTGTTGACACTCTCCAGGCGGGCCCGAATGGCTTCGAGTTCCGTGACTGCAGTAACGAATGTTAGCTGCCTATGACTAACACATCCGAAGTCGCTCGCTGCGTATTTGCGATAGGTGAGCTATCATCAATGAACACGTACCTCGGCTTTGGAGCTGCTGAATGCTTTCCTTCTGATCTGTCGCCTTTTGCATGTCTGTCTCCATCTTCTCTTTGAAAGCGCTGAACTGTCGCTCCATAGCCTCCATTCGATCGTCATAGAAGTCTGGACATTGATCGTTAGTAAACCTGTTTAGATAGCGCTTGCGCGTGTGTCGAGGCGTAGAAGATGGAGGTCGAGTGGGGGTCTGAACAGGAGGCTGACGAGTAGGCGTTGCTTGGGGAAGTCGCGACGGACGTGACGGCTTGAGAAAGAGATTCATTTCTTCGTCAGAACAGGGCATACCACGTCCGAGACCAACATTGTGATCGTCTGCGTCTGAAGCGCCCAAAGTGAACGCTTTGAGACTCCTACAGACCTCCTCACAGTCGGCATCGGCAGGTTCTTCCTGTACTGGTGTGATTGGGCGAAACGTAGGGGATGAGATCGATCGTGCATGTGACAAATGAAACGCTTGGTGTGCTGGTATGCTGAGAGAGTTTAGGCGGTTCTGGTGGGCTTGACGTGTCTTTCTGGGGGCTTTGAAGCTCTCGCCAGGGTTTGTAGATATAAGAAATGGTTGCACACCTCTCTCTTCTTCATCGTCGTCGTCCTCGTCCCGTCGGATCATTGATGTCGCAGGACGAGCGGTCGAATGATGGGACTTGCTGCGCACATGTGTGCCGGCATACTGTCCGTAGGCTGATCTAGGTCTCGATGCCTTTGCGCCTGGGCCCATGCTTGCACTGAATGATGGCACAGTTGCGTTTCGTGAGGCAGGTCGTGATCCGGCGCGGGATGTGGACGTCGAGGCAGAGAAACCGCGCTCTTTCCTCGCAACAGTGCCCTTAACACTGGTAGAAAGAGGACGTGAACTCGGAGGTGCGGTAGGCTTGCGACTGAGCGGGTCACCGGCCCTTTCGGCCAGCGTTCTTCGTACCTTCGTCGCCGGTTCGGGTACTGAATGTGTCAGTGGCCTGTCCGGCTCACAGTATATGGGCAGGAGCGATTTACAGCTCGAGGGCTTGTGCTTCGCGCTCGTCATCGGCGGGGGAATGCCGCTCCGCGCATTCATGCTGCCGTTCTGCAGTTCGGCTAGAGGGCGAGGAGGCGACGAGATCTGAGGAAGACGTGAGGTGGGCTTAGGAAGGGCCGAAGCCTTCTTGAGCTCCTGTGTGCATTGTGTTCAGTTGTACTGGCGCATAGCAAAGTATCAATTGGCTATAACATACCAGGTCTTCCATCTCGAGTCTGTCTCTTCTTGTCCTGTTAGTAGTAAAAGAACGAACAATGCCGCCTGAGCATGCTACGCCACAGCCAAAAACACAAGCGCGTGGTTGAAGATGGTGTTGATGTTGCGCACTTGGGTCGTCGGCGAATCTGTACCGCCAAGCCAAAATAGTAAACAAAAGGACCCCTGTCGCTTTGGTGCCACCACTCGCGTTTCCAGTCCCTATCAACGCGTGTTGCGGACCGCTGCCTCGATAAGCACAACGCTCGTTCTGATACCAGTAAGTTGAAAGTTATGAGGTCTGAAGCATTTCGTCTCGACATTTTAGAGGTGAGAGTACGGCAACAATGACAGGGGACAATAGCATGCAAATTCATCGAGAGACAATGCGTTTGTATGATGTCTCAGTACTCGCAACCTACGCCAGTAATACCTGCCTTTCCAACGCCTTGCTATGTATATGCATATGCATATGCTGACTCCTGCGCCATGGAAATACAGTATCATCAAAAAGTCTAAGATGAGGTCCACTAGATCAGTGACCATGTCCCGAACGCCCAGTGTGCCTCTTGCTTTTACACGTTGCCTCTCCTTAAGTTCCATCTCTTGTTTCTTGAGCTCTATCCCTTCTTCAAGCTCATGTATGAGGCCCTTTATCTCACCAATTCTGTCGTATGTGTACTACACTTGTTTCACGTACGCTGTGCTTGTGTCAGAGGACATCAGTTATCACAGTTTGGAGGAATACCTACTGGCATCAATTTGCTTGATCTGCGGCAGAGCTAATCGCACCTTGTTACGGTACAGCGCTGGTTGCGCTCTCTGGAGGGGACTGCCTTCGAAATAAACAGTCTCCAGTTCTTCCTTGTCTTTGAGCTCCTTCTCGACTTCAGCGAAGCTGCTCAATTTGCAGTTTGATGCCCAGAACTCTGTCAGATGCGTAAGAGTTTCCAGACCGGAGAGATGTTCGATGGGGTTTGAGCTGATATCGATGACTTGTAGGTTGGTGTTGTGTTCCAGACCGTCCAACGAAGTAAGCAGGTTGTGAGAAATGTGTAGCTCTTCGAGGTTGACAAGCTTGTCAAGTCCAGATATCGCACGTAGGCGGTTCGACTGGATGGATAGAATCTTGAGGTTCGTTAGAGTATCGAGGCCTTTAATCTCCGTGATCTTGTTCTTGCCCAACCACAATTCCTCTAGGCCAGTGAGTGTCTCCAGATTCTGGATCTCGCGTACCCTGTTAGCGCCCAGCTCGATTTGTCGCAAGTTGGTCAGGCCATCTAGGTTCTCGATCGTGCTGATCTTATTCTGCACAAAGTACAAATCTTTGAGCTTCTTCAGGTGATCTAAGCGTTTGATGTGTTTGATCTTGTTGAAGGAGAGGTCGAGCGAAGTGAGTTCGGTGAACGATTCGAAGCCTTTGACGTGCGAAATAAGATTGTCGTACAGATCGATTTCGGTCAACGTTGCGGCGGCGTCGATCGGGATCTCGATGGTTTGTATGCGATTTTGTCGAAGGCAGAGACGCTACAGCAGTTAGCAAATGTAAGCTGGCCTTGACCCGATTGAAGGTACCTTCATCTGTTTGAACCTTTCCAGCCTCAGTGAAGACATGTCCCCAATCTTACAGTGCACGAGTTCGATCTCCTCTTCGTCATCTGGAACGTCATCCAGGAGATCTTCGTCTGCCTGGATTTCATCAGGCGGAGGGCCTTCATCCTCTGACTCTTCTGCACCGCTCTGCACTTCTGCGTTCGGGTCTGCCGGATATTTCACCACGACTGACTTGTCAATCCTCAATTTTCCATCCCAGCCTTTGCTGTCTCGTGGTTTGTGCTCCTCTTTGTCCTCCTCGTGTGTCGCAGCGGTGCCTGTCGTGGCGGGGTCAACCTCGGCGCGCGGGGCAGTATTTGGCTCAGTCATCGTCAGGTCGGTGGAGAACTAAGTGAAGCGAATGGATATACGAAGTGCAACTACAGAAGCTTGCTGCACAGTGGTACAATAGAGTGTGAATAGTATCGAGAGAGATGCAATGCGGAAGTTACGTAGCGGAAAGCTTAACTTGAGCTAAGAGCAAGGGTCCAGCCTTGCGGGGTGGCAGTTGACATTCACGCACTGACGCTTCAGCACGATCGTCAGGCACGGCACGAGAGTTTGGATCAAACGATCCTGTGCCACTTATTGGATCTTACGAGCCCTGATGACAGACGTCAAATTTGCTCTGTCAGGTGAAGTCTGAGAGCTCTCGGTGGAACACATGCAGCTTCCTGGCGCCTTTCAAATAGTCTGTAGAGTACCTGCCGTAATCAGAAGCTCACAAATATTGCCTGGTACCTGTGTGAAACCCCTTCTCATATCTAAAAAGGTGAATAACTGCACTGGATTTCCCTGTAACCTACGACTTCTGCAGGTGTGTATGCATGACCACGAAGGTACTCGTGGTCTGCAATTCAGCTAGCAAAAAAAAAAAAAGAAAAGCTGCTGAAGCTTGTAGCCCTCCAGACCAAACGTCAGTGTAGATAGGCAGGTTTGCTGGGGAGAGTGCATTGACTGAGTCCGCAAATCATAGACATCAGCTATATATCCAGAGCAGCCAGGAGTACTTCAGATATATGTCAGCTTGGCTTGTATCTGGCAGACTTCCAGAAGGTGGTACAGTGACTCTGGCAGTTGCTTTTAGCCGTCCTGGAACTTGTCTGGAGTGGATCGGATACCATTTCTGTGAAGCATCGAACGGTCAACTACCGACACATCATTGCATGCCTTTGCTTCTTCCCGCTGCAATCCTTCTCTCATGAAGCAGCCTAGGGCACAACATCGCGGGACTACCCAGCCGCCCCGCAATCTGTGGCGGTTTCCGGCTTTGATCTTCCGTGCAGCACACCCTCAGATGCTCAAGAAAAAGATCTGGTGACAACTCGACAAGGAATGGTCGTCTACAAAGCTGCAGATCAGCACGGGATGATCTCTCGACGTCCGACGGGCCGTTTCTGCAGTCGTTCGCCACAGCGTGGAACGCAAGACATCATCTGGCATGTGACAGCTCACGCCAAGCAATGCTGCGTACCTCCTGGGGTTGTGTTGGTCAACAGAAAGCCTCGCTGGACTCTAACTACCATGCTGCAAGGTCCGCTTCAAAGCTGACAGGATCATGGTTTGATATGGGGCCAGGATGCGGCGGCAGTGGTGCATCTTGGTCTCACAGCTGAGATGGGCCGCGATAGGCTGCAGGTGTGATGCCTCTCCCCGTACGACGGCGCTTAGCTGTGAGGTTAGCCCGGCCAGGCGGCCGGCTGAAGTCATGAAGGGTTTCGAGGAGAGCTGCTCTCCGTATGCAGGGCTCGAGGTTTATTGAGCGAGGGCCAGCCTGGAGGCATTCACGAAGCTCAAGCTCAAAAGAAGCTCAGTCCCAGTGATGTGCTTCTGCACATTCCCTGAATACGACGGGCTGCTGTTCGAAGGACGAGGGACGGCGTGCTATTGGATGATTCTATGACAGCAACAACCCACTGCACCCACCAGATTGGAGTAAAGGATGGAGGAGAACGAGTTTGGGGCCTGGGCCGCTCAGCAGCGGCCGCCCGGCTAGCACAAAATAGTGCTAGAGACAAGCAGACATGCACTCTCCATAAAGAGGCCCCCTGTCGCTGGTGTGGCCGTTCGCACAGCCCCAGAGACAGCTGCCAGAGCAAACCATCCGTGACTCGAGCTGTCTGTTTCGCATTCCACGTCAGTCTGAGAGCCGCAGCCGCAAACGCAGCCGCAACGCAGCTGAGGGCGTATTCCGTGCCGTACTTAAGCAGGCAATTCGTTGGGTGGAGTATTGGCGCTTGATGACGGTGAAAGACGGCGTCTCATTTCCGCCCGCGTTAGCGAACCAGCCTCATCCCAAGCACCGATCCTGACCTCGTAGCTCCCTACGCCGCCTCTCTCGTTCTCTCGCGCGCACCCTCGACGACCGTCTTTCCCCCATCGCGACGCCGCGTCCGCTCATTCCATCTCGTGCGCCTTCCGACAGCTGTGCTGTGACTGCCAATTGCCCCATTGGGAAGCAGCGACTGGAGGAGCTCTGGTCAACGGGTCAACGTCAGCTACCACCCACGAGGTCACCGCTCCACGCGACAACGCCTGCAGTCGCCGACGCCGTCCATCGTCTATCTCTACGTCTCACAGCTAATTGCGCGTTGCCCGTCTGAGGCATCTGCCGCGCAGCTATGAGCACCAACCCGACCCTGTCAGCTACCGGCGCATCGTCGACCGTGAAGCCTATTGTCGGCCTTGCCCAGCCCAATGGTGACGGTATGTCACATCACCCACGATTGTAACAACATAGTTGCAGCAGAGTTGTGTACAGGAATGATTGCTAATGATGACAGCAGGCTCGCATACAATCGTGCTGCCCCGGACTTCTTCCACCGCCGAAGGCAAGCAGCCGCTGCTGGACATTCCCTCGAACACAAACGATGCACAGACAGCTTCTGGAACTGGACTGAGTGGAGTCACTGCAGCAGACGCCGAGAGCATTGGAAAGGGATCGAAGCACTCGAAGCGCAGCTTTATGGGCAAGCGAAGGGCAGGGAGCACTGCGAGCAGCAAGCGTTCTGGACAGCCAACCAACCATCCCGACAAGACTGCTCAGGCACCCCCAGTACCTGCCACCTCCGCCGCCAACCGCGAGGGCTCGACCAGAAGCAAGGCGAGGAAGACTGGAGGGCTGCTCTCCTGCCTGCCATGCTTTGCGCCAAAGGAGACTCGGGAAGAGGGTACACCCCTGGAGAACGTCAAGCGGACCGAGAAGATTCCGGAAGGCCGCACATCGCAATCGACACCTGTTAAGAAACAGTATCCGGTTGCTGCAGCAGAGTCGAGCACCGCGGATTTGAAAGACCCGGTTGATGAGAAGGCACCTGCTGAAACCTTTGGCCCAGGTGTTGCTGAGAAGCCCAGATCTGGTGGTGATGGCACTGCTGAGCCCGTCAGACCGTCCCATGACAGCCCTCCCCAGATTGTGACAAGAAGCTCGTCTAAGAAACAGCAAGCTTCGGAGTCAGCTCTCCCCCCGATACCTGTCCAGCCCGGCCTTTTGCAAACTGATCATCCCGCGATCAACGTTCAGACCCCGACTCCTGGCACCACCCCCGTTGTTGGCAGGCCCTCAGAAGAGCAGCAAAGGATCATCGAGGATCAAACTGAAGAGCAGAAAGCATTAGATGCTGACATTGAGATGAAAGACGTTCCATTGTCAAGTAATGACGTGCACCAGGAAGGCGAAGATCCGATTATCGCAAGTGCAACGACTGAACAGCCCAAGGTTGACCTTCCTCCCCCACCGCCGCTCGAACAGAGACAGGACGCTATCCAGAAACAGACATCTGAGCTCTCAGAGGTTTCGGAGCCGCAAAAGTATCTACTGGGTCCAATCGAGCCCAGGTTTAAGGGCAAGAAGTGCTTGGTTCTTGATCTTGACGAGACTTTGGTCCACAGCAGCTTTAAGGTATGATTCAGATACTACTTGTGTTGGAGTGTCACTTACTAATCTTCACAAAGATACTGCATCAGGCCGACTTTACCATCCCCGTCGAGATTGAAGGCCAGTACCACAACGTATACGTTATCAAGCGCCCAGGCGTCGATCAGTTTATGAAGAGGGTCGGCGAGCTATACGAGGTCGTTGTTTTCACCGCATCAGTATCAAAGGTATGTATTCGCGCCTTCTGTCAAGCCGCACTAGCTAACAAGCACAGTACGGCGATCCACTTCTCGATCAGCTTGACATTCACGGTGTCGTACATCACAGGCTTTTCCGCGAAAGCTGTTATAATCACCAGGGTAATTATGTCAAGGTAAGCCTACAAATCTCTGATTCCTTTTCGTCCTGTACTAAAACATACCTTAGGATCTCTCGCAAATCGGCCGTGACCTCAAGGATACCATCATTATCGACAACTCGCCAACCTCGTACATCTTCCACCCGCAACACGCCGTCCCGATCAGCAGCTGGTTCTCTGACGCCCACGATAACGAACTCCTCGATCTGATACCCGTCCTCGAAGACCTTGCTGGCAACCAAGTCAGCGATGTTAGTTTGGTGCTCGATGTTGCTTTGTAAGCGGAGACGACGAATACCCCTTGCGCATACCCTGTTTTACTGCCTGACATAATATCCCCGGAGTCTTCGATTCGAAGCTTGTACTTTGTAATCCGTCTTGTAATCTGCATGCGAGACAAGCCGAGCAAGATAGCTCTGATGGCCATCGAGAAATACTACCTCATCAGTCGTTTTCGACAGGCTTGTCCGTAAAGATTCGAATACCCTTTTCATGCAAAAATCTGGAGCAGGCATCGGTGTTGGAATGATTCGAAGTTTGGGAAAAGAAACACTAATACTGACTTATTCATACATACCCCTCCCCCTGATGTACACGCCTTGAGCGTCACTGTCGAATACCATCTCCTTTGTACTTACTCTTTTCCTTGACTTTAGTATAGCATTTCGGCGGGCTGCATCAATGCATTTCTTCGTTACTCTCTTGCTGATCATGGGTGAATTGGGCATGTAGAGCAGCTTCTCAGAACTAAATGCATCTAGTAAACTCAAGCCTTCCAAAATGCAGAAGAGAAGTGAAGTTTTGAACTCATCGTATGTGCCATGACGCAAAAATCTTGGCATTTTCACATGCTGACGATTCGCACAGACCAACCACTCATCTGTCATCCCCGCGCGTCAAGCTACTCAAAGTTACCCACATGACAAGCTATCTCCAGCAGCTGTCACAAACAAGCAATTGAGGGTTACAAGTTTCTGTTGCAATATAAGCCTGCTTCGCCTGCCTTGAACTGCTCGTAGCACGACTCTCGCCAGCAAATCCTATGGAACGGTAACACCACGTCTCTTGTGAGCATACCAAACAATGGAGAAATACAGCCAGTTTCGCGACAAAGGTATGCATCACTAGGTTTGACGATGCAACGTGAATGAGCTGACAGTCACATGCAGGTACGGCCATAGCGCCCTTTCTACCTGTTCCTCCCGCTCCAGTTAGCATTGTTTGGACGCCGATATACACCTTCTTGTTCCTCTGCCGCATACCATTTGTCGCCTCGCTCTCGATCCTCTACTTCGGTATCATCGAATGGTTGCCTGTCGGCGGCACAATCAAGTATGCAGTGCTATGGGCGCTGTTAGGTGTGACGGGAGTGTGGTGGGTGGACTTCCAGGTCGACGGCGTGAAGCGTGGGTATGTCATTCTCTCCCATGATCAGACACTGCACGACAGCTCTCAGGAAACAAGGAGACTAATGGAGTTCACACAGACAAATTTCAGCAGCAAAAGAGCATCTCCCGAAGGCCGGCACAATCATCGCGTCCTCGTTCACGTCTCCTCTCGACCCTCTATACCTCGCTGGTATCTTCCAACCAATCTTCACGCGCTCGTACCCCAATAGCCGTAGAGTCGAACGCATAACCCTCCTCCACGCAATCCTTCTCGCATTCGCACCTCCTGCTATTGTCCCTCAAGATGAGTCTAAGCTTGTCACTCTCGCATCGCTCGTAGAGTCGAACCCCAACAGCATCATCTGTGTGTTCCCAGAATGCACAACAACAAATGGCCGCGGCATCTTACCCTTGAGCCCAAGCTTGCTGAGCGCGAAAGGCGACACCAAGATTTACCCCGTCAATCTACGCTACACACCTCAGGACGTCACAACACCCGTCAGTGGTGGGTATGTTAGCTGGCTGTACCAACTTCTGTCGAAGCCCTCACACCAGATGCGTGTCCGTATCGCAATGCGAGTCTACAACAGTTCTAGCATCGACTCACCAGCTAAGAGGTCCGAGAAAGCAATCGGCACCGGGTACGACTCTAACATCTTCGATGCACCGGACTTGCGCAACGGCGCGAATGGCAGCCTAGAGAGGGAAACGGGTATGGATGTCACCACTGGTGAGACCGAGGGCGAGGTCAGTACGCAGGAGCAGAAGGTGCTTGATCGCGTTGCGGAAGATTTGGCGAGGCTGGGGAGAGTGAAGAGAGTGGGATTGGACATTGGGGATAAGATTGATTTCCTGAAGGTCTGGTTGAAGAGGAGACGATGAGCAGACATGGCGCCAAGTATTAGGAGGTCGGCCCAAGGTAAAATGTAGCGTCCATTAACTGATGATGGCGATACGGTAAAAGAGAAGTACATACCAACCCCATTCCACTTAGCGAGACACCCTACACAATCCACCCGTACCGCTGCAATATCCACAAGCAATAACTCTACAGACCACCCATGGCCCGTTAATCATATATATATACTTTTCAATTCATATGTTTTCAACAATTACCACATCAAGTGATTCGGTTCTAGTCGCTTTAGCTCACTTGGGAGAGCGCCAGACTGAAGTTCAGTCACGATATCTGGAGGTACTGTGTTCGATCCACAGAAGCGACATTGGCTTCCGTGCCCGGCGAGTCTGGGATCACGAAAACATTATTTTTGCTCTCATTCGCTTCTGGCTCAGACTTGAAGGTTGAGCTTTCTTCTTGGCGGAGTAGAGAGAGCTTGGGCTAGAATTCAGATGTGCTTTCGGTGAAGTCCAGGGAAGAGGTGTGAGCGAGGTCTGGTACAGATCATAGTCTATTTTTGTAGGTATCATTTACACATTCCAAGGCATTATGCCGCAATATGGCTTCTTTCGTAAGTATGGAACCACCAAACTCCAAGCTCAAGTACAGAGCTGCCGGCCACCAGACCCAATTTTCTGTGCTTCTGTTCTAGTGTTGCCTCGTTCTTCCCCGTTGCCGGCGACTCGCCTAGAACTCACCGTTGATCTTCAATCCAGCGACACCGTTGGCAACACCCTCAGCAGCGAGCCCGTTGGCAGCGCCGCCCTGGTAGTCCCGTGTAATCTCATCGAGCATGCCTGCGGATGCGGCAATGAAGCCCAAGTAAGGACGGCTGGGATCCAAGACACGCGAGAGGTACTCGGGGTGGAACTGCACACCCACGAACCACGGGTGGTCCTTGATTTCGACAACCTCCATACGCACGCCCTCCTCGTCTTTGCCGACGAAGTGCAGACCGCCCTCTTGCAGCTGATCGATGTAGCTCGGGTTGACCTCGTACCTGTGCCTGTGGCGCTCGAGGATCTGATCTGAACCGGCGTACAAAGCGCGCAGTTTCGACCACTCGGATCCGGGCTGGAAAAGCGTGGGTCGCAGACCGAGACGCATGGAAGCGCCCATGGTTGTCTTGTCCACCTCGGGCATGAACATGATGAGCTTGTTCGCTGCGTCGCCGTTGAACTCCTCGGATGTTGCATCCTTGATACCGCAGACGTTGCGCGCGTACTCGATGACGGCAATCTGCATACCCAAGCATACACCAAGGTACGGCTTCTTGTTTTCACGCGCCCAGGTTGCGGCGGCGATCATGCCTTCTGTTGCGCGGGAACCAAACCCCCCGGGAACGAGGATACCGGATGCTTTGACGATCTCGTGCCATGCGTTATGGAATTTGGCAGGGTCGCTCTGCTGCATCTTGGGCTCAAGATGGTCGCTGTCGATCCAGCGGATGTCGAGTTTACGTCTGCAGCGCATGGTGGCGTGTTCGAGGGACTTGACAACTGAGAGATACGAGTCCTGGAGCTCGACGTACTTGCCGACGAGGGCGATCGTGACAGGGTCGTGGTAGCGGGTGTCGTTCCCTGTGAGGTGCTGCCATTGTGTCCAGATCTTGTTACCCTTCTGTGTCATGGCTTGTGGGATGGTGATCTTCTCGAGAGCGAGGAATCGGCGGACGAGGGGGATCAGCTTCTGCTGCTCGAGGAGCATGGGGACCTGGTAGATAGAGGGCATGTCCTTGACAACTACGACTTGCTCGGGCTCCACCTGGCAGAAGTTGGCCAGCTTCTCGATGACTGAAGGCTCGAGTTCGCGCTCGCAGCGGCAGGCAATCTGTATTATCAGTATATTTCATGTTTGTTCCTAGTCAACAGAAGAACTTACTAGATCTGGGATCATACCGTTGCTTCGTACGGTCTTGATAGCGTGCTGTGTGGGCTTCGTCTTCTGCTCTCCATGGATGATAGGCACGTACGAGACGTGGATCTGCATGAAATTGTCCCTGCCCGCTCGCCTCCTGAGCTGAGCCAGAGCCTCAACGAACGGCATGCTCTCCATATCACCGACTGTGCCACCAAGCTCAATGATGCACACATCTGGCTCCTCGCCTGTATCATCAACGGGTATACGCGCCACCTTCTGGACCCATTCCTGGATCGCGTCTGTGATGTGCGGGACGACCTGCACCGTTTTGCCAAGGTAGTCGCCCTTGCGCTCGCGCTCGATGACGTGCTGGTAGATTTTGCCGGTCGTGATATTGTTGTCGCGGGTCAGGGTGATGTTGAGGTAGCGCTCGTAGTTGCCGAGATCGAGATCGACTTCACCACCGTCGGAGAGGACGAAGACTTCGCCGTGTCTGCGCGCTGCTCAGTATACTGCATGGAGCCTCAGTGCAGTGCTCAGCGTACTCCTTGGGGTTCATAGTCCCCGCATCGACGTTGAGGTAGGGATCAATCTTAATCGAGGACACGTGCGCAGGCTGTCAGTAAAGCTTGGGAACTGCATTGTGTCGCTGGCACTTATCTTGAGGCCGATCGTCTTGAGCAGCAGGCCAGTCGAGGAGGCTGTGACGCGTGGGGTAAGTGCCTACACACGAGAATTGCTCTTCTTTCACCGAGTCTTACCTATGATGCCCTACACGCTCAGATTAGTTCTACAATCAAAAGTTACATGCTCTACTCGCTTACCTTCCCCACGCCGCTGATAACACCACCTGACACAAGCACGTACTTCATGATTGCTTTCAGTGCCCGGGCTACGGTTTGGGGAAGGGAAAGAAGAAATCTCGAGGGTCGCGGCGCGTCACAAGAAATTTGTAGCGTCGTAGCGTCCCGCCCACTTCGCTGGTGGGGCTGTCGGTGTCCGGAGCTAGTCAGAGCCAGTCAAGTGAGCCGAGCCAGCGGCCTGCAACCGTCGACTCTTCACTCCAACCTCACTTTACTGCCTTGACGCAGATTTGTGATGCTTCTAGTGAATAAAGGTGGACTGAGTTACGGAAGTATCTATTGTTTGCAGAATACAGGCTATCAAATGGTATCGTGCGCAATGCCCTGCTATCCTCAAATGCCTTCCCCCACAGCAGCTGTACCAGACCTCATCATCGAGGAAGTACCACCGCCGTGGGCAGAAGAACGTCGTTCATCATGTCGTCAAATGCCAATTGATATCCGCAGAAAATGCTCCAGATATCCAGAATATGACTGTACCGCCCAGTGCTGGGGAAAAAAAGCTCACCTAAGAACGTTCAAAGAAAGCTCGATCGTGGAAGAGTACAATACGCCCGTCACATTCTGCGTCGCCGCTTCATCTCCTCGTCTTCTTCGTGCTCTTGGCTGGCAGTAAGGCGTTTGCGAGCCAAAGCCTTCTCGTTACCCTTCTTCACCTGGATGTTGCAACCTTGTAGCTTCAAGGCCCTGGTAAGTGCACTGCTAGGACGCATGCCAGGGAAGTCCTTCGCTGTGTACACGGTAAAGACGTCGCTCATTACTTCTGTAAGTATTGGAGAAGATCCACCCACGTGTAGGTTCATAGGGTCGATACGCATGAGCACAAACCGAAGACGGTATCTGCCATGTGTGCGACATGACAAGTCAGGGAAGCAGAAGAAGCACCCTTCGTTGTCGTGTTCATCCTTGGCAACCGAGGGTGAAGCTACCAACTGGCCCATGAGTCTGCGCGTGGTTCGGCGATCCGGTTGTATGAGCGCCGTCTCCTCGTTGGTCCCGTCCGCATTCCACAACGTGCAATGCACCACGTTGAGCGAGTACCGAAGCTCTTCCTGTTCGGCTATACCAGTCTTCGGGTCCGTGACCAGCAGCTGGATGATCGGTGGAGGGTCTATCACTCTTCGATCGCGTTCACCAAACCCACATGCTCTTGCTGCAACAGGCTGTTGTCGCACACGCAACTCAAAATACAAGTTTCTGGGAATGTCAGTCTTGTTTCACTTCTGCATCAAGGCACGAGGCATGCTCACAGTTGCTCGTTGTACACAGGCTGTGGTATGGATCCAGGTAATGGGATCGCACGAACCTCTTTCCGTGGAGGAGGGCCAGGTGCGTTTGGTTCAGGGTACGCTACCGACCCCAAGGGAGCTGCTACAGATCCTCGTTGCGAATGCGAATAGGAGCCCACCGATCCACAGAATGTACTACTCGAGGCGTAGCTCGGCGTGTATCCAGGTGATGGGAGCGGGGCGTACTGTCTCTGCTGTGAAGGCTCGGCTGGAGATGCAAGGGACGAATATGGCTGCTCGTATGGTGCGTGGTGTGTATGCCGAGGTTCGTCATATGACGAGTAGCGTTGCTCAGTTAACCTTCTCGGTTCTCTGCTGTCATATTGCGAACGAGGAGAGACTGGTGGGTAATTCTGAGGCGAGTAAGGCGCTTCCGTCCGAGGTGGTGTGTATGGATTGGTGTTATGTACTAGCTTCTCAAGAGGCGCTGCTGGTCTGTAGTGTGCTGTAGGTGCTTGCTGGTGCTCGTGCCGTTGATGTGGTCCTGAGTGGATGGAAGGTAAGTGACCGACGGGTGAGCGAAAAAGGTAGTCCGTCCGTGGTGGTACAGCGTCGGGTGGAATTTCTAGCTGCTTGAGCTGGATAGGTGGGGGTAGTCGTCTGTGATTGAAGTCCAGAAATCCCGGCGGTTGGAAGACTGGAAGCTTTTGAGTTTCTGTCATGTCTGGAGCTGAGGGAGAGGTGTTTGACGAAGGAAGAGACGACAGCGGAGAGGGTGGACGTGGTGGTTGGGACATGCGTGTATTATCATTTGCTCGGACCAGGACACGATGCACGAAGCCGAATTAGGATGCTCCACTTGTGTTCAGTTCGGAGGTTCCTTCACACTTCGGGAGCGCCAGGGAGTCGTGCAGTGTTGGACAGAACGTCAGGAATGCGGACACTGCCTTGACTGTGGCGGCGTGAGAAGTTTATAGTCCAGAGTCCCCTTGTAGGCGACCCTGTACGTATCTGGACCGCCAGCAGCCAGATCGCCGCCCGAACACTTCAATTCGGTTACATCGACGTTGGGTGGAGGCGCTCAGATGCTAAGACAACGGGCACCCGGGAGCGAAACAGGATGCAGACGGGGGTGGCCCGCTACATACCTTGTCAATAGGCAAGCCTCACGCCAGCTGTCCAGTAACGCCCGGTTCGGAGTATAAAATGGGCCAGGAAGACGACAAGGTCAACAGGAGAAGGGGCGATACATGAACCTGTATACTTGGCAGGCAGGCCATACTTTCCTGAACAAGTGAGTGGAGTTGACTGGGTTAGCGTATAGTGTCTTGAATTCCTGGAACGCGCAGTAGTGAGCTCTGTTTGTGCAAAGAAGCAGTTTTGTGATGCCCTTGAAAAGTCCAGGGTAATGCTAGACTAGTCGCTGCATGTGTCGCAGCAGCACCCACTTTCTCTCAATTGCGCTGGCTTGCATGCAGAAGTGGTCCTCTGCTAGGAGCGCTGAGAACTCTGATTGCTCCGAGCAAATCCTCTCGTGGTCTAACAGGCGAGGGAGATGTCTCTAGCTCGCTGCCGGGTGCACGCTGGCTTTGCTGTATTTTCGTGGGGCGTCGCCGAATAGGCTCGCACCCGGATAAAAGAGACAAACAATGGTCGTCCCCAGGTTTCGCAAGTAAGTTGTTGTTCGAATCACGGCTGCCAGGATGTTGCACACTGTAACCCGGCAGCAGCCAATTTGGCGTAATATGCCAGATTACCACGTAACTCGGTCGATGATCACCGTCGAGCGGAGGTAGCATCGCGAAGCGTCTGCCCAGCCAAAGCATGCGAGGACGGCTGGCATGAGGGCACGTCCATATCAAGCCAGCAGCCTAGCAGGGCCGCGGTCGGTGTGTGAGCCTGTGAGGGCCCTGGGAGTGGCTGCAGAGACGAACCTGGATTCTGATCCTTCTGATCTGTCGATTACGATCTCGCCCAATGGCGAGCTCCTTTGCTGCGGCTAGGTTGATCACGGCTGTTTCCCTGCGACAGCTGGACGTGTCTTCTCTCCGCAGAGCGAGTCGTGGTGGGTCGATCCTTAGAGGGTTCCCTGTGCCGCGATGGAACGGGGAACAGAGCGCTGCTTCCTCGGCGCGGAGAGCCACTCAGAATTCCAACCGTCTCCCAGGTTTCCGGACGCATCTGCGCGACGTGCAGAACGGTCTCATGCATCACAGTCAGTGACATGAGACAGCCTTTCCACACCTGGATGCCGGACTCTGGCTTGCAACGGACACGGCCGCCATGGCTCGTTTGTGGCTTGCGCTTGTCTCGGGTGGAGGGCATTGATCTTGGTAGCGAGGCATGGAGAGACATCTCGCGGCCAGAAATCGAGCACAAATCACCACATTGCACCCCATGTCATCCGACGTGTGCCGCCAGACTGATCACGGGACGCGTCCATACACATGGCGTGTCCCAGGACGAGATGTCTGGTTGCGGCCGCTGCATCAGTGGGAAAAGTCAACAGCCTTGCGCCCACCGTTTCGCCGTTGGACCAGTCGCGCCCTCTGCCGCTGCCAGGCGGGCTATACGAGCCTCAAAAGCACTGTTGCTCTCCAACGTTGGCCTGTCCCGCATCCAGCGAATGTGGACCTGTGGGACCTCTGTCGCCCTGAGGTCGGTCGAGTAGCACCACACGTCGGCCATCCTAGCCCTCACAACCTGCGTCAATACGCTAGTGCAACTTTCTATTGAGTAGAATTATCGCGTCTGCTTCAAGCAGGTCCCTGAGTGTGCAAAACATACGGGCAACAGGTGGTCCAGTGTGTGGTGCCGGCACCCTAGAGGAGTTCTCGCTCCGCTCTGTGCTACATCGAGCGGTTGCATTCCCATTTCGGCGCACTCTCTCACAGACATGCATCACCCTGCCTGGTGTACATCCGCTGGTCGTTGAAATTGGGTGTGGTCGACACTAGCTAAACACTGACTTGATGCTGGCTCAATGGCTGGTGCTTTGGTGGGCAGCTGCCGTTCCAACTACGCGAAGCCGCCATTCACCGTTCACCCTCACCGCCCGTCGCAGACACCCACTGCGCTGCCTTCGCCGGCGTGTAAACACCCTCGCTACTCGCCCAGTCCCCAATCGTGTAGTCGCCCACTAGGTCACTACTCCTTGGCCGACTGTGCTGAGAGGCCAACCGAGGAAATCCCCCGATCACGATCTGCATCCTGCCTCCAAACCGACACCCTCGGCAGCAATTGATGGCCACCAACTGGGGAAACTACACCGGTAAGCTCTTCCCTTCGCCTGGATTGTCTTGCATCGTGTCCCAGATCTGCATTGTCGGCAGTTGTATCTTGCTCTAATGCTGATGCTTATCACTTAGACTACACTGGTCCATCACGAGCTCCTGGATCAGCGACACATGTACTGGATGCCCGCCTAATCCTGCTCACGACTCTAGTCCCAGGGAACTTCACCGCGAAGACCTGCCTAGATGTTGGTTGCAACGCTGGCAATGTGTCAAACCAGCTTGGTAAGTGGAAGGGTCTTCCCTGCTCCTGCTCTAAGCGACTATGCCTCCAAGCTTCTCATATTGACGCATGTTATAGCCTTCGACTTTCATGCAGCATCAGTCACTGGCGTCGACATCGATCCAAAGCTAGTGGCTCAAGCCGAAAAACTCCTGGCACTACGATCTTCACGTGCTCGTCCTCCAACTGGAGATTCACAACTCATTGTGGATTACTACCCTGTATCGGCAGTCCTTACACATGGATACCGCGTCGAGCCGAACAGAAAGGTCTCGCGCACCTCATCACCCGCGTCGACAACTTCAGATTGGCCTTGCGTACAGTTCTTCTCCGCAGATTGGGTTGCATCGGCAAACCGGGCAATCTCAGGCCCATTCGATGTGATTCTGGCCCTCAGTGTGATCAAGTGGATTCATCTGGAGCATCTCGATGAGGGTGTGAGGACCTTCTTCAGGAAGTGCGCGACATGCCTCCGTTCTGGTGGACATTTGGTTATTGAACTGCAGACTTGGGACTCGTACGAGAAAGCTGTTCGCCCAAACCACTCACCACACTTCAGTGAGAACCTGAAGCAACTGACTTACCGGCCAGAAACATCCTTTGATGGCTTGCTCGCAGAGCATGGTCTCAGACTCTGCGCTTCCTCCACTGAGCTACCACGACGTATCAACGTCTATCGCAAAGACTGAGCCACGGAGATCTTTACTAGGCCTGGACGAAACCATTCATTCTTTGGACCTGTCTCTTCGGGGAGCGCATGTCGTTCGTATCATTCCATACTCGCGCAACACACAATTGATCCTTAGGTGAATTAAGTGGCTCTTCATTGCGTCAACGCTGCGAAATTGACTCGACCCATAACTTCGTCAGGAATAAGCAACCGTTGCACTCGAACTCAATCGATCTGATCCTGAACAAAGGTCAAGATATCCATCAGGTGGTCCGTGACTCGGACTTCTGCCGTTTACCCAGCTGCCTTGTATGGAGATTAAACCCTCGGCACATGGATGTTACGAGGTACCTTCTTGTACGGAAGCATCTCGACCAATGAGCAAACTCTCCAAGCGCACAACTTGGCGATAAGGTTGCCCATGTCCTGTGAGATCCATCGGACAAGGTGGGTGTCGGAAAGTGTGGCCTGTCTCGAGTCGTTCCTGATTCGTCGAAGCCTCATCAGGTTCCGCTCCCCTTTTTGACTAACAAAACGGGCAGGTACCCATAGACAGGACCCGTTTCGGGCCCTTGCTTGCCGTTGCGAGGCTTTCCTGGTCTCTATGCCTATCACATCTGACAATTGCGGGTTCATACGCTCAAGGCGGCTTATATATCGTACGATAACATGAGCCAGCACCCAATGAAGCAACATCGCAAAGTTCTATGTGTGTTAGCAGTGCATATCGTCACGGCAGACGATTATCGATTGTTGGCCTCATTCTGATGCCACAGCGACCACATCGGAGCAAGTAGGGACTCGAGCACTGCATGTTGCGAAGCACGTTTACGCGAGCATGCAACAGTCCCAATTTGGCGAGAGTTACGATTCATGGGCTTTCAGGATCGCACGACGATCTTCGAGACCATATGGATTGGATGAGCGTCCCGAGTGATGCGGTCGCGATGCACCTCCGCCGGTCTTCACATCATTGCGCGGCCAACCGTACCAGTGCCGAGTCGAATCTCATTGGGAGTTGCAGCTTCTTCCCCACTCCATGTCAACGTTCGATTCAGCGGGTATATTCAGGCTCCATAATTATACAATTGCTCATCGAGCTTTCATGGTCAGCTGTGCATGTGATGAATGTCTACGAGGAAGACAAATCTCAAAGTGAGCAAACACATATCGGGCAATCTGTACAACCAGGCATCTTCTGCTGCAGCCGTACAGCCTCAGCATATCCCTGGCCTTGACGTGATCTGTCGACTTGGCCAATATGTTGGGCGGTATATACATGCCTGATGGGTTATCGATATCGGCTACTCAGGTGGCACGTCCGGGCGAGAGAGGGTGTGCTAGGCTTACGTGTAAGCCAGAAGATGAAGCAGTGTTTGAAGCCCGCTCTCAGCAAGTCCGAGCTTTCAAACCAACAGTTACTATGTTGAAGTTCTCCTTCTTGATCAATCCCACTCAGCAGCGCCTGACGCCCGTAGAGATGCTCAGCAAACCTGGGCCACTCGTAGCTCAGAGACTTCAGTCCTGCCAGGCTCATAGTGTGCAACCAACATCAGTATCGAAGAACACCCCTCTTGACGATAACTGAGCCAGAGCCTGTCCCCAGGCCCGAGAGTGTCGTAAGTTTGTAGGAATGAGAATTAAACTACGGTGTCCCAACTAATGGTATCCAGTATCACTAACTTCCTGACGCCGATGCTCGAGCAGTCCCAGCCTACCGACGGTCAAACAACATACACTCTCATGTGTGCTCTGTTCAAAACACCTACCGGAGATAGATGCATACCAAACTTTGGTAACACCAGTGAAGCACAGCAGCAGATACCTTGAGATACAACAGTAGACAAGTAGCGCTGCACGGAGCGGTTCCTTTTGCTTACTGGACAATCTCACAGCTTCCGCTCTGAGTCGCGTAAGTGCGTAGAAACCGCTCACGGTAATGAAGTAGACGTGGCCATTGTTGCAGTCTTTGTCACGGGGTTGAAGGACCTCAGATATGCAAAACCTGCTAGGTGTACAGAGTAATCCTTCCAGCCGGCAGAGCCAGCCAACAGGTACGTACCCGAGAACCATATTTCTGGCTCATTCTCAACATTATCTCACAACGATCACACCAATCCACATCTCGTAGCATGAATGAGCAGCATCGTTAAGCTTTCTCGTGGTGCAGCTGCATCCCTTGATCAATCAGGTCTCGCATCGTATACACGCCAACGCACCCAACACAGTACTAGCCATTCACGAACGTGCCCAGTTTCCGGACGCTCGCTCGAACGACTTATAACCACTGCTAGTGAGACGCGGTGGAAGTTGGTACACTCGCTTGTCGAATGACCATCTCATGACACGCACGTTGTGCGCCGTTCTTGCATGCTTCCGCAAGATCCATGGACATTGAACTCATTTGTTTGCGTTGTACGACATAGGGGCGAGTCAAGCAGTATTGCGTATCTTTTCATATCACCACAAAGGAAAAGTGCATTAGACCTCGCTGCTCCTATTTCAGACCACACGCATCTCTATTTAGGATTGTACGTTGTGACCCGCGGCCATTACTGGGCCTCAAGCGCCGTTGCGCAGTCGTGATACCAATCGTGTCATTCTAAACAAGATCTTTATGCATACCTAATTGAGAAGGATCGAGTTGTGTAAATATTACCTCCATCAAGTATCGATTCCGTGCTTACCTGCTTGCCAGGATCCGGTCGAAATGATAGCACTGCGGGTAGCTACATTACATCTAGGCACAGAGTACAACATTAAGACAAATCCACAATAATGCTGCCCCATATTGCCAGTGAAAGTGCGGCGCGTATGTACCTGAATCATGACTGCAATCTTGCTGCACGTTGCGCTCTTCTCCTTCATCATACCAATAACGACACTTATGATACATGATACAGAATGTCTTAAGGCTACTGTGATCAAGGCCAACGAATAGACAATAGAGCTTGTTACCGTCAGCCACTTCCGTGATGTCCATGTCGCTCCCACGCGTCAACGTTGTCCTTGCCTCTTTTAGTGCTGGGTGAATACAGGATTGAGAAGGGTGCATACATGGCCCCCAATGACAAAAAAGCTATCGCTGCACTGCTAAGAACCTTCCTTGCGCCTGCAGAACAACTTCTTCGTTACACGACGACAACTCAGCAGCAACTAAACCTTCTCGAGCAGCGTGAACCGCTGTCCTGATGCACGGCGTCGGCCCCTCGACCAAAACTCATGCAGACAACCACGCACCCTGCTCGAACCATCGCTGGCGTTGCCTTGAGACTGATAGTCCTGAAATGAGGCTTCTTCGACGTTGGATTGCGGCGTCCATGTAGCGGCCGAGCGGCAGCGTGCGGCGACATGGTTTTTTGCTGACGGGATGCACCTCAACGCCTCATTCGCTTCGGGGCACAATCGCGTCCTCAGTGCAGGAGTTCTTCGCTGTCTCACAGGCTCACCAGGATTGCAGCCGCACGATGTTAGAAACCGGCTTTCGCTCTTCCGCGATTGCAATCCACAGCTATTGTCCGCTACGCGGGTGGCGGGAGTGTTCAGCTCAAGAGGAACACCAGTAACAACCATGCCTGCAGCCAAGGACCGCATCGTGGTTTTTTCGCAACGACAAATACTTATATGGGCAGCATTACGAAGTTTGTTAGGATGACAATACCACAGCTGTGTGTCTGTGCAGCTCGCTCTCTCCGTGCGGCAAATCGGTCACCGACACCACAGCTCCTGCGCCGCCAGCGCCGTTGGTCAGCCAGCCATTCTAACGTTGCCGCATTTTCGCCATAATCTTGAGGTAAGCATCAGGAACTTGATGCGTACGTCAAGTGCGCCTTATGCGGCGTTGAGCGCCATGCTGCGAGGCGTGGCGCGACGTACTGTGAGCTTCAGTATAAGATGCTTCAGGGCTGACGACAAAATAGGCGTAACGAGATCCACGCGGGCCTTTCACGATCCTTCCTGCAGATCTGGTGCGCTGGTAATTTGAAGAAGTCAGCTTACATGTGGCCTTCTGCAACCGTCCACAACAAAGCGAATGACCAGCCCAGTCCAGGTGACACAGCCCAAACTAAACGACTATCCCTGATCGACGTGATCCGTGTGCGCATACATATTGCCGAAAGTCTCAAACGGGTTTCATTTACTTGCTACAAACTGTATTGCAGGGCAGACCGATCGTTCACGGTGCTGGGAAGAGAAGCAGGCGTCTGGATCGTCGAGACGGCGTAGCGAGCATCTCAGTCGATCGCAATTTGGAGATGCCGCCAGCAAGCTCATCCTTCACAGCTCTCAACGTGGCGAGCGATGTCGTACCAGAATACATGGGATCGTTCATGCTTGCCGCGCCTCCGAACACGGATTTGTGGAGAAAGCCACCTTCCCGAGACACCTCAACAGCACCGGTACTCTATACAGCTTTGCGCAATCCGTTCATAGCAGCCGAAGTCACTGTATCTGCCGACTGGGAACTAGAGTGGGATCAAGGAGGGCTTGTCATCTTTGCAGGCGCACCGCCAGGCCAAACAACACCGACTGGAACATCATCAGAAGCACCTAATGTCATTTCCATATCGCTCGACAACAGCACACCGACTCCTGTACCGACGTCGAATACACATCATAGGAGAAGAAGCTCAAATTCGCGGATACCGATTCCAGAATCAGGCCACCAGCCCCCTCGACCTCGCAGTCCCCCACCAGCATACATTGCGCCCGCACCAGCATCGAAATGGGCCAAAGTCGGGCTCGAATTTTGCAACAACGCCTGCCATGCGACATCTGTAGTCGCCAACTCGGAAGGCGCCGACTGGTCTCTTACCTCACTTCCAGCCTACCATGCGCGGCGTCTCGATCTCCGCGTCAAATTCGAACGCATTGGCTATGCGCTGTGGGTCTGGTATGAAGATGAGATGCTGGGGTGGAAGAAGTTGAGAGAGGTTACGTGGTTTTTCTGGGGTGTGGAAGATAAGGCTGTGAGAGTTGGGGTGTATGCGAGTAGACCGGCGAATTTTGGGGCGAGCATGTTTGATAGGAGGAATGGGGGGTCGAATGTGGGGATGAGGAATCTTTGCGTGGATTTTGAGGGACTGGAGATCTTCTAAGGAGAAGGAGAGATGCTGAAAGAGCTGATCAGTGCTTGAAATGTGCATGGAACAGCTTGGAAGCTGATTCTTCCTTGTGACCTTGTAGTTTCGTCCATTGCCCGGCGTCATGTTCGTGCACATCTTGTTTGCATTTTGCATCATTTTCGTTGTATCTATCTGGTAACCAGCAGTCTGCTTACAGTCGCATGACTGACGCCTACACTTTTGTAATATCCGCACTAGTACACATACAATAATCAACATATCTGGTACTCTTGCTTAACAACGTGCGCCCGTAACTCGCATTCCGTTGCTTTTGTGTCGACAAGAGAACGTGTTGAGAACGTACAGAGTACTCGTCGATCGAATGTACCGCTTGTCGAGAACGAATTTTCCGTCACGTAATCTTACATGCCTTTATACAAGACTCTCGCAGCACTCCCTTAGGCTCTACTCGTCTTCCATCTTGTTGACACCGCTCTCAGGTGCCACCATATCAGCAGCATCGTGAATGCGGCCTTGGAACTGGACCTGCCCGTTGTAAGCAGCGTCTATGTGCGGCTGATGAGTGTAATCGGGAATAGGAAAGTCGCTTGAGAAGCTCGGGAACTGCAGTGGCTCGAGGTGCTGAGACGCTTGATCTTGAGGATCTCGAACGGCCTCACACTTCGCCACGAACGCGCTTGGTCCAGCTTTGGGGCGCTGCTGAGTCGGCTGCTGTGGCGGAGGGCCAGGGCGCTGGCGAACGACGCGACCTAGAGCTGGATCACGAAGGGCTGGTGGACCGGGGATCTGGGCTGTTGGGTCAGGAAAAGGATGCTGCCTACGCACACGTAATTCCCTGCTCAGGTTGGTGAGTTGGGTGATATTCGATAGCAGCTGCGCGTTCTCCTGGTTCTTTGCGAAAAGTTGCTGCCCTTGTTGAATGATGGTTGTCTTCATGTTGGCGTGGACTGCACGCAGACGGTTCGAGTCTTGCTCAACGGCTTGGTACCATTGGCGACTTACGTTGGGGTTCTGGTAGAATGTGGTCTCACCGTTGGTGATGTCCACTTCTTGATGGCTGACTTGAGGACCGGGAGACCGCACGGCACCACCGTCGCTTATGATCCTGTCAGTCTCACTCGATGCTAAGGGCTTTGCCTTCATTACGTAGATGGTGTCCAGGTTTCGCATAGCGACACCAGGGAAGTCGTCGTCCTTGACGTCGTTCGGAGTCATGTCCCAAGTTAGGGTGATCTGCATTTCCTGCTCAGGGTTTTGTTGGGTGCTGGCCTGGTAGCGATAGACGAACATCCAGTGCACACCGTACCTCTTGCCCCGGTTGGCGCAGTATGTGTCGAGACGCGGACCGAAGGTCTCGTCGGGGCGGATGCGGAGGATCGAGAAGATTGGCTGGCCGTTCTTGTCGTGTGTGTTACTGTGGATTCGCAGTGTGAGAACAGAGCTGTCCTGACCGAAGTTGCTCGGTGCGCGTGTTTGAAGAGAAGGCTGGATACGTGTCAGCCGCGTCGTATCAAACATAAAGACAAGTAGATACTGACCGTGTTACGAACACTTTCAGTCTGGGCCATATCTTGTCCGTCAAGGTTCAGTGAGCCACTCAAGCCGAATGGTGGTGGAAGTGTTATGCCATTACTTGGACCAAAACGTCTCGCCATGTCAAGAATATGGTCTTCGTTCTGCTGGCGAGTAGACTGCATCTGAAGGAACAAGCGGTCGAGTTGCATTGGTCGACCGGCTGTCGACGACGGAAGATCTCCCAATGGGGGCAGATCTGGAATGTTCGAGGTCCGTGGCGAAGCTGTCAATCCATAAGTCATAGTCTGGTAGGTGCGAAATGGCGGTGGAAGAGACAAGTGTTGTTGGTGGATCGGCGTCAATCTTCCAGTGCCGTATTGGGACGGAAGGAGGGTGGCGGACGATGGCAAAGCGCGGCAAAAGACATGCGACGGTTCAACAAACTGATCAGGCGGCTGGCTCTTGTGGTGATTGTGAACTGGGCCAGCATGAGCCATCAGAGGCGAGTGGTCTTGCGCCTGTTCTTGAGTTGGGGCCGCAGAAGCAGCTTTTGCCAGATTAGTATCTTTCCAACCTCTTCATCAAAAAAGCATTGACAACAAAGCAAACGAAATCCAGTAACATCCACCTACACTTTTCTGACTGCTCTTGCAGCCAGTCAGACACGGCTGCCTTCTTGACCATCGTTGGCACATATGCTTGACCTCCCAGAGGGTCGTATACACGCCCCAAGCCATGATCAACAACTTGTTGACCAGCCGGGACTTTGCGCTTGTTCTTGTGTGCTCCTCCTGGGCTTGTATTTGGGCTTGTGGATGCCTTGCGCTTCGCCGGCTTCTGGTCAGATGTAGATGCAACTTCTTCGTCTACAGATGCCCTTCGCTGTGGTTGAATTGCCAGTCCCATCCAAGGTCGGGGCGTGGAGCCTGGAATCGGTGACGTATGCTTCGTACACAATCGTTCTTTGGCTTCGCAGGTTCGACAAGGGCCAGTCTTTGTCATGCTGTCACAACGATTCACTCCATACGCGACGCATTCGTCACAACTCCGCCAGCACGAGTTGCTAATATGGCGCTAAGCTAGGTGTCAGTAACGGGTTCTTTAAGGCACCTTTGAGACTTACCTCGACGGAGTGGCTAGTGGCGCAGTCCTTTCCACATCGGGAGCATGCCCATCTAGGCTTGGGCTGAGCTTTTGAGATCTGTTCTTGAGTGAGTCGCTGCTTTGCGCACGCAGTTTCAGTGCTGGTGAGATGCCGCTAGGAGGTAGTCAGCAAGTGTTTGGTCTCAGATGAAAGGGCAGATTACATTGAGACTCTTCTTCGTCATGTATGACTTGCTGCAGTGCGGACACTCAAACTTTGGTTTGGAGTCTACCAGATCGCTGATCGAAGCATCTTCTCCGGAGCGTGCGGCAGCCGCGAGCTCTCGATCATCATCAAGGTGTTCATCACCCACGGTGCTATGGCTCATGTCAACAAGTACGCGCAAGCATGCTGGAACGAATAAGCTTACTCAAGCTCAGCTTTCCCACCGCTAGCAGCCATCTTTCGTCTGTAATAACAACTGGTGCTCAAATTGGGTTGCTTGTTCACAGGTCAAATCCCAGGCGCGACAATTCTCATTGCGCGTTGTTGAAAGACTTTATAAGAAAGGGGGGCCGTGCTTGGGGGCGGCCAAGCCGCGTAGCGCTGTAACGCGTTGCATAGGTTGCAGTGAAGTGAAGAGTTACTGCAGTGACGTCAGGTCTCTGTTGACGCGCAGTCTGAGTCCGACTGCATCTTTAAGGTCGAGATCCATTGGAGGACTGTTGTTTGAGTTTATGCTGTGGTGGTGCCTTCCTCTCCACGTGTGCTTCCATAAAAAGAGGCAAATCGTTGGGTCTCTGCTCAATAGCTAGGAGCCTTTGATTGCCGGATGGATGTTAGTTTCGTCCAGCAGCTTCTATCTCATGTTCAAACAGCTTGTCTCTTTGTTGTCTTGCTTGTTGTCTAAGACACAACAAGCACCTTTGTTCTCTATTGCCTGTAGATAGGCAGCCAGATAGATTAATACAATTCATCTCATCTTCTACACTCAGTGTTAGTTCAACAATGGAACCCGGTAAATGTTCAGAGTACAGATCAAAAGGATGAAGGAGATACAATCTGTAAATATGGGTGTGCGGATCGCAGGTGAAAGACAGAAGTTAAAATAGCAACCCAGGGCTTGGTCTGAGAAGGACCAACCATCACATCACGATTCTAGAAGGCGGCTGCCATGTCCAGGCTTTCATCGTATACATTAGGGAGCCCTCAGGTCAACAAGGGTTATTTTCGACGTCTAAACGAAAAACTTCCATGTACGTGGTCTTCACGTGAGCCGCAAGGCTACGAGGCTCCAAACGCTGTCATCGACTAGAGAAGAGTCGCGAAGGAGTCTGAAGTTCACTGACTGAACAACTGCCCACTTGATGTATATTCTGAAAGACTCATAGGGATAGGTGTTGGATGGTGGTGATGAGGAGATGAGGTTCAACAGTCGCAATAGATGTTCTGCCGCGGTCCCACTTTTGTTTCAGCAGTCGCTCTCGGTTTTGATGCGAGCGACAGCTGCAAGCTGCTGACATCTAAAACCGCCCTCACTTCGTTTCTACAGCGCGGAACGGATCTCTGTCCGCATGAAGGCTCAGGTTGAGAGGCCCTATCAAGCAAAGATAAATGCTCTCGACATATTCTGCTTTTGCAGTTCCACCGCTGCTCGAACTCTGTCAATACTCTCCGCTGTGAGACAGTTTTGGCAAGTCCCTCCTTTCATCTCGATTTGATCTTCTTGAATGACAGCGGCTTGGAAACCTGAGAAAAGAAAATTTCAATGCTACAAAGAGAGACTTGTTTCTTGTCTCTAGAGAGGTTTACATCCTTTGTATTCATTCACTTCAATCTCAGCACAAGTCTTTCGTTCATTCTTTGTGTACCGGTACGCTCGCTTTCCAATATGCAGTTTACCACTACTGCTTCACTGTGATCTTCCAAGCTCAATATATACAACACATCAATGATGCCTCTTAGCCACATCCTTTGTTGTACACGCTAATGACTGCCGTACAAACATCATGTTGATATCCATGCAACAGGTGCATCCAGCAGCTGAGTCTTCAAGGTTGTTCTTGACGCCTTCTCTTATACTAGTAACAATGACCGTAGCATTCTTCTACAGCGATGGCTCCAAGGCAATGCTCTACTTGAATGCTCCACGTGTCTGTTGCAATCGTCAAGTCACATAGCGTTGCGCCGCTGCCATTGCAGACAGACGGAGCCATGTTCGCTTCTTGCACAAAATATACAAGATATATATCGTGACCGTCCGATGAATTGCGTGACAGACAGACAAGTACCTCTGTATCACGACAGTGGACAGGGTGGCTCTTCAAGGACGCCATCCCACACCCAAAGCAATGCCAAAGCCCTTCAACCTCTCCGTCCCCTACCGCCCCTGCCCCTCCACCCTCCTCTCCCACCTCTGAATCCCCCTCTCCCCCCTCTCAAATCCTCCGCCCACGGCCCCCTATCCTCACCCGCCTCCACAATCCTATCATCCTCATCAAACGTATACCTATACTTCGCTTCCTTCTGGATGCCTCTCCCCTTCCTGACCGCCTCGGGATCCCAGTCTCGACTTGTCTCCGTATCCAATTCCTTTAGTCTAGTTTCTGATATTGCATCGCTAACGGGAAGGTAGAAGAGCTGTGGTTTTGCGGTCGTAGAGTCGAAGAGGTCGTGCAGGGTTTTGAAGGATGCAGAGGTGTCTTTCTTGAGTTCCTCAGTTGGCGCTGTGGGGAGTGGTGCGGGGTGAGATGGGGAACGGTCGTCGATACTTCCTTGTGGGCCGCGTGGTGCGTTGACAGGTGCGCTGGAACCGACTTCCTGATGTACCGCCGTGATACCATTTTCCCCTTCCTGATAGACAACTTCAAAGCGTTTCCCAGCGATGGGGCGACCGGAAGCACGCGCGTCTTTCTCTGATGCCAAAGCGTTTTCTTCGATCCTTATCCACTCTTCTACTCGGTCGCCCGGGACGAAGTCTACCCAAAGCTCCTTTCTGTTGCCTTCAGGTGGCCAGATTGATCCGTGTAGGCTGGCGCGCACACGGCTTGCGGCAGTGGTGGATGTGAAAAGAGCGAGCGCGTGCGTCTTCATGTTGTCCAAAAACAGCGCTGTGATGATCGATGAATCTGGCGAAGATGATGGCGGTGAGGCGAGAGATGTGAGGTGTGCGCGGAGCGGCTCGGGGCGCAGCGGACGCATGAAGTTGCGGATGTAGAGCGCGGATGTTACGGGATGGATCGCTGGGATGGTGGGCCAGTCGTCGTTCAGAGCATCTGCGGGCTGGTTGGAGCTGGGTTGCACAAGGTCTTTATAGCGGCTTACGTTCTCCTTTTTCTCCCGCTTGGGTGATGGGGGTGAATCGTCTGGTCTTCGCTGCTCCATCACGACGTCGTCATCTTCCTTCAGATGTACTTCTGGAGCTGGATCCTGACTTGGTCTTGGCTTCTTTGCCAGAAGTTCTTTGGTTGTGAGGTCTGGCGAATTGCTCCTTCTTTTCCTCTTCCTTGTGTCTGCCTCCAGCTCTTCGGTGTTAAGTCTCGACGTCTCTGCTGTTGATCTTTCTGGTATTGGCAACAGCTCTGGCTTCTCCACGGTCTTGCGCTCGTTTCGCACAGGCGAGGGTGTCCCGCCCTCCATAGCTGTGTCCTGTACTTTTGGCTGCCCTGATTGTGGTCGCGCAAGCCTCAAGGCTTCAGCAGCCGGCCCTGGAGCTTCTGGAAGCGCGTCTTGTGCCACATCTGCTTTCTCGTCCTTCGTCTCCACCTCAGCTTCCTCGTCTGTAGGCTCAGTAATGTGCGGTTCGACCTGATCGTCCTCAGGGGCGGCAGGCGCAGCTCTGAAGACTTGTGTGGGTTGTGGGTCTCCTACCTCCTCCTCCGCTGTCGTATCCTCAGCCGGTTGTTCGATTGCTTTCGTGTCGTTGGGCGGAGGCATGTCGCTTTCGATATGAGAGATCGTTTCTGGTGAGCGATCTGCTGTCGGCGCAGGTACTGGTGTTGGCGCAGCTTCGGCCTGTATTTTGGCTGCAGTTTGCTCAGGCTCTAAGCTTGTGTCAGCATCTCCACCAGCCTCAATGAAAGCATTGAAAATACCTCCAGCTTCCTCAAGTGGAGGACCGGGTACCGACTCTTCCTGCGCGCTTTGGTCCTCAGCCTGCTCAGGCTCCTGCTCATTCGGTGCAGCATCCTCGGTCGCATTGCTTGCTTCGGGAGCTCCAGTGCCAGCATTGTCTACTTCCTCGAGCTTCTCGACAATCTGCGCTTTCCTCGTGAGACCAGTACTCGGTATACCTCGATCCTTCAGCAGCTGTCGTAGCTGCGCGACCGTCTGTTTGTTGTAGTCGGCCATTGTGCTTTAATTCGCTCAGGTTGTGGGATTAGTGCAATCGCGTATGATGTCCAAAGCTCAAGCATGTACAACACAGGCAAGGTATTAAAGTCGGAAGTCAAAGGGCGAAAGTCGAAGTGAGGACTGATAAGTGAAACTTAACATTCGCAGCTCTCAAAGAACACGCGACGAAACGACGCTAAATCGACTTGGCGTGCATCAGCGTGCGCCACGTGCGTGGAGATCACCAACGGTTGTGGGGCTCAGCCTTGTCGGCTCATGTCTCCCTTGAGTACTCCGCAGTGGACATAGAGAAAGTCCAGTGTGAACAGCAATAATTTTTCGCACAATACCGCTAACCCAAACACCTTGCTTTTGGCAAGACCAAGCAGACAATACATTTACACAAGCCGCCCACGCTATCATCGTATGTCAACTATCCTCCCCTGTTCTATGTTTGGATCCATCAACACGCTCGAAGCTGCCTGGTCGATGATGTCCGTGATGTGCAGATGCTGATTGATTCCAGCAATCTCGTCCCTGACGTACAATAGCTCGCGCCTAGACAATATCAGCAAGAGCACGCGGGAAGAAGTAGCCTCGAGTTAATCAAGACCTGGCTTCCTCGAGCTCAAGCTCCAATTGCCTGATGCGTTCATCTTTTTCGCGAGATGACGGATCTTGTGCCTGAGCACTAGCTTTGGCCTTGAGCTGGGTAACTTCACGGATGAGTAGCGCAATCTGGTCAGACTGATCAGCCATGATCTTGTTCTGGTGCTCGAGCTGAGACTTGATATCGCTGAGGGCGTCACGCAGGACTGAAGCGGGTCCACCAGCGCTCGGTGTGGACGAAGGAGCAGGCGCAGCAGCAGGGGTGGGCGTAGACTCAGCCGGTGGTGTGGCAGGCTTGGACAGCGCAGGAGCAGATGTTGGTGCGGGTGTGAGCTTCAGCTGCTCGGGCTCCTTGGTAATGACTGGACCTCTTGTTTTCTCCTCCTGCTTTGCAGCAGTGACAGACGGGCGCTGAACCGGCTTGGCTACCTCCTCGAAGCTGGACTCGCTCTCCTTGTCCGAGTCTCCATCTTTCTCTGCGAACCTGTCGGCCTGGGAAGACAGGGAGGCGTTGTCCTTGAGCTGTGGTGGCGGTCCACGAGACTGAATGGGTGTAGGTGTTGGATCTGGCGCAGCCTTTGGTGTCTCAACCTTGACGGGCGACGGTTGGGCAGATGCAGGCTGGGGCGGCTTGTAGTCCGAAGGAATCTCCTTGGGCGCCTCACCGTCGTAAATGCTCTCGAGCGAGATCTTGGGCGGCATTGCGGTCTTACCACCGAACCACTCTCCGGCAGAAACACCAGGCTTGAGGCCGTTTGTAGGTGGATAGATGTCGCTCTGGAACATCTCCGCGCGACGGGGTACGATAAAAGAAACGGGCTCAATGAAGCTGTCGTTAACAGTCTTGAAGCAGCGCAGAACCTCGTTCTCGTGAAGGTTGATACCACGCTTGGGCATAAAGGCCACACCTCGCTGTGGGTTGGGCGAGGAGTACTCGGAGAGGTACTCGAATTTGTCGTTCTCGTACTCGTAGTAGCGGATGTTGCCATCACTGTGAGTGTCAGTACCATTTCTCGTCAAACAGTGCGCTGTCCAAGCTTACCCCTTGCCTGCAAGATACAAGCACTGTGTACCATCGTCCCAGAAAGGCATGCAAACACCGGAGATAGAGTCCAGAATCTGGAAGCCACCAATGGGCTCCTTGGGGTTGCGTGGGTCCCACAGACCCAACTGACGATCGCTCATGCGGGAGAAACCAGTGGTCGCAATGCGGTCGGTCTCGCCCATCCAGACGGCACGGCTGTTCTTTGCGCCAGGGTGGCCAGAAACCTCCTGAGCAGGCTTTTCCTGACGAACGTCCCAAACGCGCAGCTTCTTGTCTCGGCATGTTGTGACCAGTTGCGAGCCATCGGCGCTCCAGGACAGCGATTGCACAATGTCGTTGTGCTTGAGAGTCAGCTTAGCCTGGCCAGCTTCGACGTCCCAAAGCTTTACGGTGTAATCACCAGAGGAACTGGCAAGGACGCTCTCGGCAGCTGGGTTAAACAGGACGTGTCCGACTTTCCTGTGCAGGTGTTAGCAGCCTGACTTAGTAAAGTAGGATCACGCGCACCTCATGTGCCCGCTCAGTCTAGCCACGGGCGAAACGTCGGCAGGCTCCTCGCCATCGCTTTGCAGGGTGAAGTTCTCTGGAACTTGCCAGATAAAGACCTATCTCATGTAAGCCCTCTCTCGATCGTCAATCATGGTCCACTTCTACCTTGCCGTCGTCTGAGGCGGACGAGATCAATCGGTCGTTGAACGGACTCCTGCGGATTTATGAGCGCCAGATTCCTGTCCCTTTCTCGAGTATGCATGCGTACCAGTCGGTGTCGAGAACGGCGGCTGTGTGTCCGCGGAAGAGGGGCATCAGCTCGGGGGCACGGCCGCGCTCCTCAATGGGGATGACGGCGAAGGCGCCGCCACCGCTTGCTTCCCAGTTGACAGAGATGTACTCAGGGTTGGCCTGTGGAGGTATGAGCGATCACGTTACTTGGTCGCGTGCGAGGCTGTGCTGACCTTGATCAGGTTGGTGTCCCAGGCGTTCTTCGAGATACGGAGGTTGTCGTAGCATTGTTCCTGGTGCATTGTTAGCTTGCATACAGCATGCATAGGAGAGTGATTGCATGCCTTCTTCGTGCCCTTGCCAAAGACGTGGCCTGGATGCAATTGTCAGTCCCATAAGCATGGCTGAGGCGGTCGCAAGAGCACTCACGGTACTTCGAAGCTCTCACAAAGCGGCCAGCCATCGTAGCGTTATGTGCCTAGGCTGTTCGGTGGGAATGTAGGAGAAAATATATGCAGCCCCTGAGGCAACAGTCCAGTAGGCGCCGGGTGGTGATGAGAGGGTTGTCTGCTGTTTCCGCGACGTTTCAATGCGCTGCTGCATCGCCATTGCGGACTTGGCGGACCCACCAACCCATGTCATTTGCGGGCCGCTAGCGAGTACATCGTCAACGGTGCCTGGTTCAGCCATCCTCTTGCTCTCCACCACCCCTCAACGCTACTGCGAACACCAGCTTGCCCGCTCGCTAGCTTATAGACATGAGCATGGGTCTGCATCACTTGACGTTCCTCCGCACAAAAGAAATGAATGTTGCAGTATCAACTGGTCTGTATGAGGCCTGATTGTCCCTACTCAGACTATCCTGGACTAGTATGTTCCAAGACCAGTATATATCGTCTTTAGCCAGATAGCAACTCAGCGCAGTATTCCATCGTATTCTACAAGCGGCCCATGCCGCCACAAGAAAGCACATGAGGACGTATAATGTACGCCAGCATCAGTATCATAACTTAGTTTACCGAATATCAGAATACGACTGTGTGGATTTTCCATGAACATTCATCAGCACGAAAATCGTGGATGACTTCAAGCAGAATATCATAGTTGATGAACACCTACTCGATGAATCCAACTATCCTGCCTCTGAAAACTTTCACGACTTTTTGTACACCACTACCTCAACGGCCCAATCGTAAACTTCCGCCTTCAAGGTGCAACCTCAGCGTATCCAGCTCTCCATATCGTTCGAAGAGCCACTTCGCCCAGTCGCCGTCGCCGACTTCGACTGCCACGTACTATTCGTTTCCCAGGAATTACATCGTTAACGCCCCTGTTGAACATCTGCGTTTCCTTCGCACTCGAACCTATGAACAGGTCCTCAAACACTTCGTCACGCAGCGCTCATATGCTGTTCCAACCATTTTGATAACACGCTCTGCACATCCTCGCTGTTTACGTCGCTCCTTGCGGTCACTGGTCTGCCAGTCGGCAAATGCACTGCGCATGCCATCCATTGTACACCGTTGCACAACGAGGTGGTCAATTGCACCGACGGAGTCTGGTGCAAAGTGAAGTTTTCAAGGGATCGGGCTACAAAAGTCCATGGAATGGTCCGGGTGTGCCCATACGGCTCCAGGGATGTGAGAGAGAAGTTGGGCGATACGTACGCCGAGGTCGAAAGGGAGCGAGGGCTGGGAGCGGAGGGCGTTGGTCGCTTCTGCTATGCTATTGTCGTCAGGCATGGTGGGCTTGACAGCACTGTTCTGTTGTAGTAAGTATCAAAAGCCGTTGAGATTATGAGAGTCACACTAGATCGGAAGGAAACAGGGAGGTAAGACGTAAGCACCATTGAAGTTTGCGCTGATTTACTTGAAGATACACTGGGAAGGTACGATGTCACGAACGCCTACACAATGTTCTATGCCCACCCTGAATTCCAAATTAGGAATGTCTGTTGTCTCCGCGGACATTGCGAAAGTTGCTCCAACTTTTGCTTGGAATGCACCAGCTTCTGTTTAGTACCCTCCAGCTCTTGCTTCGAACGTAACAGGCTCCGTACGCTGTCGCCTCGATTCGATGGCAGACTCACTCCACTCATTTGCAGACGTCTTCATGTCCAAAATCTTATGCAGGGGTAGCGGTTACCTTGATTCAACGATAGCTCAACAGACTACACCTTCAAATGCAAGCGACCTTGAAGAAGATCTAGCTGTTGTGTCAACCCCACTCGCTCCCTCAATGGTTTGAATGTGATCTCCCGCCATATGAAGCACCACTTATGTCCTCTCTCTTTTTCAACATTGCCGATAATATTAGTCACATTTGTGTTCTGCTCTTGTGCTTGCACAGCCGTGTCTTTAGCCAACCCTTTAAGTTTAGCGTTCATTTCCTGATGTCTCGTCTTGAGCTCGTGAGTCTGCGTTCGGAATTCAGCTGCCTTTTCGAGCAGCTCTGAAGTGTCACCATTGGACTGCTGATAGCTTGCAAATTGATAGAGACCGCCGACGAGCAGAACGTAGGCAAAGATAAGGATCGAAATGATATTGGCCGTTGTTGATAACGCGCTATCACCACCCGCACATGAACAAGCACCCGCTGTTGATGTGGACATTGCCAAATTGCGCGGTGAGATCAACGCAGGTAGAAGGAAGTTCGCGATGCAGATGGACAAAGAAAAGGTAGGCAAGGTTGGGGCACCGGCGTTTTTGTCTGCTCAGCCTTGCCCGTGGCGCTTACCTGCGTGCATCCTCGCTCATGTTACATCCGTGCTGAAGATGTAAAGCAAGTCAACGTCATTTGAACTTCCTTCATACGAGGTGTGTCCACCTTGTGTTGTCATGATGGATTCAGGGAAGTTGATGGTGAGATCTAGTTCAAGATGCATTGGCAATCACGCTCACAGCGAGTCAACATCGACATAATCCTCCAATCATAAAAAGTCATTGTGAGTAACATTGATCCACGATCCAATCATGTTTTGCACACCATTCTAACGTAGTATTGAAGAACGCTGTCGCCGGTAGGGAGACCATTATCGTCCCTATTGGAACCTGCTTGCCTGCGCGGTAAAGTGTGATACCCATATCACCCAGATCCCAAGTCAAACTTCTGGTGGGATCTCACATACTCAAAAAGAGGAGGGGGTCAGCAAATACGACAAGTCACCCATAATGTCCAGCGTGGAGGAACACAGTGTAGCTCTAATATATCCTGGAAGTAATCAAGTTCGCGCTCCCATTCGTCTGATTTGAATGTGATTTCATGCCATATGAGAAACCACTTGTTCAGGTTCCTCTTTTCTGTTTTGTCAATCCAACGAGATAGGCTGGTCTCAACACTTGTTGCTTCAGCCACCATGTATGTGCTCCATAGCTCCGAAGCATGTGCGAAAGTGGTGTCTTTTCAAGGCTTGCTTGGGCCTCTTGAGCCTGATCGCACAATCGCGCAGCTCGTCCGCGCACGCTGGCGTAGTCTGTATTGGTCTTCCTATAGCTTGCAAACTGACATAGCACACCGATGATAAGGACATATGCGAACGTGAGGATAGAGATGATGTTTGCGGTCGGAGCTGTTCGTAGAATTGACACACTGTGGGATAGGCGAAGCACTTCTGGCATGCAGGTAGAAGTCTGACTTGCAACAGGACAAGGCTGAACGGCGCTTACACGCATGGTTGCACCCTGGCCTTTCCTTCATACTAAATGGGCTTACCGAGTCACAGTAATGAAGCATCATCAGCGCAAGATATTCTCGCATCGTGTTGCCGCTTATTCGATGAAGCTGAACAGAGGTTCAGTAGCACCGAGGCTACACCGTGACAGCAGGCCGACAATGTCTGTTATCACCAATTAAAGTTGGGGCGAAGAAAAGGCATTTTTTTAGGCCAATCAGATCTTGCAAAAGTCCGTTATCTTCACCCCACAGATGCACTGGAGCCGAACCTCGGCTCAGCGGCATTTGCGGAGAAAGTTGGGCTGAACTCGACTCCCGCGCATCCATTATCCTGATTCTACCAAACCTTCCTGCACCCCTTTCAGATTACTCAAAACAACCTGCAGCATGTCTGAAAGGGATACGAAGCCTGGCGCTCCTGCGGCGGAAGTTGTCGCCGAGAAGGCCGAGCACATTGAAGATGTTGATTCAGTTGTGGAGAAGAAGCTCGAAGCTATCGAGAAGAAGTTGGAAATCCCCATCAAGAAAGCTCCGAGTAGCGTACTGAAGCTGTTGAGCGATGTGGATAAGACAGTATTGAGGATAAATAAGTATGGATCAATGCACAGTAGTGTCTCAGGGTGCGTGAAGCTAACAATGAGGTCATAGGCTTCTTGCAGCGCCTGGCGGCCTCGCATCCTTCCTATCGACCTTCAATTACACCCTCTACATACTCGCATATGCGCAGACAAAGTCGCCCTCCCTTACCTCGCTCCTCCAGAAGTTTCTCTCCCTCATCAGAACTTCCAGCGCCGTCACAAAGCCTAGTACAGCAACCCTCGTCAACGCAGGCGCCGTTCCACCCATTGCTGCGCTTGCAGTCCTGATCTCCAAAGCGCGCACAACCCTCCGCCTTTTCGGTACCTTCCCGCTCTACGCATGGCTGCGCACCCTTCTTACCGGCCCTAAGCCCGGCGCAGATGTAGTTCTGCACCGCATCGCCATTCTGCAAGCAAGCAGCTACTTCACCTACCAAGCGCTCGAAAACATCTCCCTCCTCGCCGACTCCGGTGTTGTCGGCCCCGCTTTTATCTCCGCTATTAACCGCGGCGACTCGAAGACTGCACGCATATACCTGTGGGCCTACCGCGCATGGCTAGGCGGTGTGTCGTGCGACTTCTTGCGCTTAGCGCGTGAATGGCAGCTTGAGAGCCGTAGAAGGACAACAAGGGCGAGGATGCAGAGCGAAGGCAGGGCGGTTGCAGAGTACCAAGACGATGAGGATGCGAAATTCGATCAGAGGTGGTGGACCGATGCTATGATTGCAAGTGCATGGTTCCCCATGGCATTACATTTCAGCAGCTCGACTGGTGGGCTGCCAGGCTGGAACTTGGGCTGGATGGGATTGTGCGGTCTGGTCGCAGGAAGTACAAGGGTGACACAGCTCTGGGCGAGCACAGCATAACCGAGGCAATCGACTTTGGTGTTCATCTTTCCGCGGGTCAAACTTGGTGTAAGCTGGAGATCAAGTTGGGTGAGTTGGTTTGCTGAATGTATGCATATCAACTATCGAGTTTAGCAGGTGTATCTGAGCAACAAGCCAATTTTCAAGCGATCATTGGCACACAGCTGAAGTGGTTGAGCGTGTAAGAGGAACGAAAGAAACTTCCGAAGAGAGGCACAAGAATGAACAGCCCTGATGTTGAATACAGCTAGCCGTATATGGCAGGTCCAGCCGACTACTGATAAGCGGGGAATGCATCAAGTCGACTACGCCGACTATACCACATTACGAAAACGTCCTCACGAGAACTTATGTGCGTTACCGGAGGCTAATTGTTGAACACATACACGCCGTAAACGACAGGAGTATGAATTTATGCACCTCACCACTGACGATTAAGCAAGCATCAACCGGCCATCGATTTAATAAAAGCCAAGCTCACAGATCAAGTGAACAAACATCATGGTATGTGTGGTGTACCAGACGTCATTGATGTCCATACTGATCATCGACAGGCTTCTGCCGCATCACCAAAAGATGGTTTCAACATCGTTGAAGCAGACATCCCATCACACTTAGCTGCTCTTGCCTCCGGATTAACAACATCTACATCCCTAGTGACCAGCTACCTGAACCGCATAGCAACGTACGATATTGCCGGGAATCTGAATGCATTCACTGTCTTCAATGACAAAGTCTACGAAGAAGCAGCAGCTTCAGACGCTCGAAGAGCCCAAGGACTACCACCTCGACCACTGGAGGGTATACCTTACACCATCAAGGACAGCTACAAGTACCTCGGTCTCAGCATAACAGATGGCTCGCCTGCACTGAAAGGCGTGATGTCAAACGAAGACTCGACGCTTGCGAAGAGATTGAGAGACGCCGGGGCAGTGCTTCTGGGAAAGACGAACATGCCACCTATGGCTGCTGGTGGAATGCAAAGAGGACTCTATGGACGTGCTGAGTCACCATACAATCCAAAGTATCTGACTGCAGCGTTCTCGTCCGGATCCTCGAACGGAGCTGCGACGAGCCTGGCAAACAGTATGGCAGTGTTTGGCTTGGGAAGCGAGACAGTGAGCAGTGGAAGAAGTCCCGCATCGAACAACGCGCTTGTGTGTTATACCCCATCGAAAGGTGTGCTGAGCTGCAGAGGCCTTGTACCACTGTATATTACGTGTGACGTGCCGTCCCCATACGCGCGTTCCGTTGGCGACATGCTGGCACTCCTGGACGTAATCGCGGTACCAGACGAAGAGACAAAGGGCGACTTCTACAGAGAGCAAACGTTTGTTCCGATCCCTGGGCCACCAAAGATCGGATACTCGTCACTAAAGAACGCAAACGCCTTACAAGGCAAGAGGATAGGAGTGCCGAAGATGTACGTCGGTCAGAATGACTCAGACCCACACGCAAAGCCCACTTACGTCTCACTCGAAGTCATCGCCGTGTGGAAGCAAACAGCTCAAGACCTCGAAGCTCTTGGTGCCGAGGTAGTCTACACTGACTTCCCACTCGTCACAAACTACGAGAACGACTCCGCCTCCCACGAAGCCAATAACGTCGTCGGCGCACCATCGAACTGGAATCACGTCGAGCGTGGCGTCCTGATCGCGAAAGCATGGAATACGTTCCTCGAGCAGAACAACGACCCCGACATCAAGAGCCTAAGAGACATCGAAGACTCAGCAATGCTATTCCCAAAGCCCAAACCCTACGTCCCAGACACCTTCCTCGAAGTACGCAATTGGATTGACTACGCCGGCCTACCCTCCCTCCTGCAACAGGCCGAAGGCGAATCAGTCTTTGATGTGGCCGGTCTCGAAGACGCAGTCAAAGCACTCGAAGCCCAACGCAAGCGCGATTTGGAAGACTGGATGACAGAACATAATCTCGACGTCATCGCCTTCCCAGCACAAGGCGACGTCGGCCTCGCAGATCTCGAGTTTAATCTTGAAAGCACGAAACACAGTCTGCAGAACGGCGTCAAGTACTCGAACGGCAACAGAGCGATACGACATCTTGGTGTGCCGACGGTGAGTGTACCGATGGGTGTACTGGAGGGCAAAGGTATGCCTGTCAACATCACGTTCGCAGGGAGAGCGTACGAGGATCCGAAGTTGTTGGAGTACGCGTATGCATTTGAACAAGCAACGAAGAGGAGGATCAGTCCGCCTCTAGCACCGCTTGAGACTGATATTGCAAGAAAAGAGACACAGCAAGAGTATGGCGCGACGAGTTTGAATCTCTCGGTGGGTGTTCGTACGACGAAGCTGGGTGAGGGAAAAGTGGGTCTTGATATCAATGGTATGATTTCTGTGGATGGTACGGATAGAGAGGTACAGATTTTCGTTGACGGGCAGGAGGCGTGGAAGGATAAGGTCGCAACGGAGACCTGGAACGTGCAGCTGGAGCACACGCCCGTGCGACAAGAGTATTTGGGGTGGGATTTGAAGCCACTGCCTCCAAAGAAGGCTATGGTGATTGTGGTTGCAAGAGGAGACGGCTTGAGGGAGGAGGCAAAACTGCTGTGGGCGGCCGTTGCTTGACGACTGGGCAGATACCATCGCTGAGTACAAAACTGTCTACTTCAGAACCCCGCTAGCCGTCCCGAATCATCTATGGAAGACCGACCATAATCCTACGACGCAAACATATCTAAGCGCGCCCTGGTCACTGGAGCGACAAGATAACATCCCAGCATGCCAATCTCGCTGGTTCACCAAACCCATTTGCTCGATTACCTCCAGTGAAGGAGCTCTCCATCCATGGCTTCTCGTATTCAGACCAGACGAATACATATATGTGGTCGACATGGCACAACTCCACCTTATCCTTTGCACCCGGAAAGTCGCTACCTCTTATGTTGATTTTTGACCTGAACGTTGCCCGCCTTTTTCGCGACGTAATAGGAAAGCTTGGTATCGCACCGGAAGGACTCAGGTGGCATATCGTGCAGCCAGTGCTTAACCCTTTCCAGCTTGTGAATTCCTCCTCGGTCATCCCGCAATTCTTGTGACGGTGCCAGGCGTCCAGCTACCATTGTCATACATACAAGGCCAAGAACAACGATGGTAGAACGAGAGCCGAAGGCCCATGTTGCCCTTGCTGTACAGGATCAAGGAATTTTGCAGGTCCACGTTACACCACTCCTTCTAATTCGCATCACGGAGTATTGAGATCCTGACGTTGGTTGTGTAGTCTTCGGTGTCTAGGGGACCTTCATTGAAGAAGAACTGAAGCAACTCGTCGAGTTCAGTCAAGTCATACACTGATCAAGAGAAGAGCTTGCAATGTATAATCCTCCAGATGGCTTCTTGCCGCAATGGGCGACAGGCCTGACTCAAGCCTGAATAAAATCGCTTGAACTGGGTCCAGTCGATTGTCAAATTAGACCTTATAGGGCGGAGCCCTCCAGACAGATCTGGTGGAACGATGTCTGTGAAATTGTAGCCGTGTGGGTGGAGGTAGCCGTAGATTATTCTCTGAGTTCTGAATGGTGCGTCAGCTTTGTGCAGTACGAGCACTTGGTTGTAATATCTCTCGATAAAGTAAGCAGGCGTGAGGATTGTGCTGAGATGCTCATATCACCTAGTGCTGTGACAAGCATTGTTGATGCTGTATTGTCCAGCTTTTGTGGTGTAGCCAGTATCGAGAAAGAGTTGTTGCGAGCTGTTCTCCTCTGCTGAGCGTCATTCATATACTACTGTGGTATCCGACAAAATTAGAGTCCCTTGACCAGTGCATGACAGACGTGTTGCCTCGGGCCAGCAAAATGGCTGTAGCATCTAATTACAACCTAATCCTATATAATCTTGTATTGAAATGTGTCACCTGATGATGCTCGCTTCATCGCTCCTCTACTACACACGCTACCGCTAATGTCACCACCATCGACGCCCCGCCACCGTTACCTCAACCGCGATGAGCATATTATGGTACACACTCTAATAGGAGCTGGCCATAGTCAAGCCTTTGTCCAGAGCCATCTCCATTTTACAAAGCGAAAAGTTGCTACTGCAATTACTAGCGTTCAAGTCACACCAAAGAAGCGATCAGGCCGCCCCCCAAAGCTCATTCCTGAGCAGGTTGACGAGCTCATCCACTACGTCCGTCAATCCTGAGCCACCCGACAGATGAGCTACCTAGCTTTCGCCAAGACATTTAAGAACTGAAAGATATCAGAGTACACTGTGCGCTATGCTCTACGAGGTAGAGGCTATACACACTGTGTAGCCCTTGCCAAGCCTCCTCTCTTAGAGGATAATAAGCAGATCAGGCTTGACGGGGCCAAGGCTCCTGTCAATTGGATGCCTGAGCACTGATGGATGATACTGTGGAGTGATGCGACCTGGGTAACTGGTGACCGGCACAGAAAGTGCTGGATTACCCGTCCGCCTGGAGAAGGAACTAGATGACAGCTGTATTGTGGATAAAGTAAGGAGAAAGTGTGGGTGGATGTTTTGGGGTTGCTTCTCTGGATCAACAAAGGGCCCCTGTTTACTCTGGGAGAAGGAGTGGAAGAGTTTCAACAAGGAGAGCTACTGTGAGTGGATTGTGCCGCTTGTTGCTACGTATAAATCCCACCTAAAGTTCATGCAAGATGGGGCTCCAGGTCACTCTGCTGCCTATACTCAGCAGGAGTTTCATGATAGGGGTATTCCTCCCATTTTCTGGCCTGCCTTCTCCCCAGATCTCAACCCTATGGAGGCAGTGTGGAACAAGATGAAGGACTATATAGCATTAAACCACCCTGATCTGCCTGCTGGTAAGCAGCGTACATATGATCAGCTCCGGGTAATTGTACAGGAAGCCTGGGGCTCTATTACCCCTGAGCTCCTCCAGAGCCTCATTGAGAGTATGCCAGCACGCTGCCAGACAGTAATTGATGCTAAAGGAGGTCACACAAAGTACTGGCGTTTGTATGTAACAAAAGACTGAATATAGATTAGCCTACCTCAATCTCTGGTGGCAACACCCCTGTCATGCACTGGCCAAGGGACTCTACTTTTGCCGGATACCACAGTAAAGCCCCCAAAGATATAATTAAGTGGGGCTGATCGTCGTTCCATGGGTCGCAGCTTGAGTCAACAGGATCCTCCGTTCAGTCTGAGTCCACCGAGGTGCCTGAGCCTGAAGATGAACTCTCGTCCTGGTCACACCTCGAATGAAAAGGCGAGATGAGTGAACGCCTTGTCATGGTGAGGTTGTTCCTGCCAGCGAAAAGTTGGCCAAAAGTCAGAAGGCTGAAGGACGATGTTTGTCCTGTACGCCAGCACCATAGTGTTCGATTCCTCACGAACTCAAGTTAGCTCAACATGTGCTTTCGTCTGACTGTTGTGCCTCAGTATGGCCTTGTGATGACGTTTGCATCGCTCACTGTGAGTGACTTGGTGCGCGCGGACTGCATTTGCCCTGCTATTTTCCTGATAGTTTACTGTTCTCGTTTTGTGCGGCTTTCAGTCTCTAGTAGACCTTGTGCCGACTTGCTTGGCTTTCTGACGCTTGCTCCTTCCAACCTAGCGAGTCAACAAGTGTGAGGTAGTGCTGGTACCTGATTTCAATTGAAGGTGGGGCTCATAGTGGCTTTGTAGGGTGTGTATCAGCACTTCGAAACCGACATCGAACTCGGCGAGGCCGCTCCTTGTCATGTTTCGCAAAGGCGAGAAGACATGTAGGAGCCAATGTCATGCTTGAAAGGTGTGATGCAGGTCTTGGTGATATATGCTGACGGTGATAACAACGGCCGCAAAGCTTCTCAAGCCTCCCAAGCCTGCGCCAAGGGGCTCGACTGCTGACGGTGTGGCGCAATACGATGCAACGTCGATCGTGCAGCACCGCCTTTTAACTAATCCACAATGGCTGTGAACGAGGTGCAGTAACAATACGAAAATGCCCGTTACTGGCACGAAGATGTTAATTGCAGGTCGCATGAGCGGCGTTGAGACGCCACTACGCAGGGCTGACCCGTCATGCAGGGACACAGGGCGCGCTACCGTGAATCGTCGTCACCCTGTGGGTCGCTGAAACGTTCATTCCTGACCAACGTGCAGCGCTCAAAAGGATTGCATCGTCCGGCGCGACATTCTCTTTCTCCTAATGCTGCCTCCATGGCGTTTCTGACCCCTCCAACGCCCAAACGAACATAGCAGGAGCACCTTGGCCCACGCCGCAATCGACTGCTCCCACGCGCGCATTCCGCATTTCCGTACCGCCAATCTCCTCCCACGACCGATGCTCAGCCCTCACTCGACGCGCCATGGACGCTCACTTATGGACACGCGCCGGGCAATACGACCCTATTCCGCACCTCAGTAGGAGAGCAGATTGCAAGAGTGACATATATGAACACGAGACAAGTGCGTAAATACATATAGCGTTGGCGCAGCAGGCATTGATGAAGGGCAGTTATTGAGAAGCCGCTATGGAAGGCCCTCACATTCCACCATTTTGGCCTCATCCTCTCAGCGATATTTGGCGCAATTGCCGTAATCATAGCCTTCTTTCTCATCATACGGCATGCTACACACTACTTGAAGCCGTATGAGCAGAAGCAGTAAGTTTGCACACCTATGACAACAGCAACACAGCTGACAGTAACAGCATCATTCGAATCCTGGTCATGATCCCCATCTACGCCGTCGTCTCCTTCCTCAGCTACCTCTACTACAAGAAAGCTATCTACTTCGAGGTCCTGCGAGATTGCTACGAAGCCTTCGCCATTGCCAGCTTCTTCACGCTCATGTGCCACTACATTGCGCCGAACCTCCACGAGCAAAAGGAGTACTTCAGAAACGTCGAGCCAAAAAACTGGGTCTGGCCAGTTACATGGATGCAGAAGTGTTCAGGCGGCGAGGACAAGGGATGGCTGAGGAAGCCAAGGAGCGGGCTGACGTGGTTCAACGTGCGTAGACATGGTCCTGACTCGAGGGCTAGCTGACAGTCTGCAGGTTGTTTGGATTAGCATCTTCCAGTATTGCTTCATTCGCCCGTTTTTCACCATCGTTGCTGTGGTCGCACAGACGCAGGGTCGCTACTGCTCGAGCTCCAAGGATCCTCGCTATGCATACATCTGGGTTGCAGGCTTCGAAGCCGTATCGGTCACGATCGCCATGTACTGTGTTGTACAGTTTTACATACAACTGAAGGATGATCTGGCGTCCCAACGACCATTCTTGAAGGTGCTGTGCATCAAGCTTGTCATCTTCTTCTGCTTCTGGCAGAGCTGGGTCATATCGCTGCTGACAGCAGATGGCGGTCCCTTGAAGGCAACAGATCAGATTGCTGGACCTGATCTGCGCATTGGTATCCCTTCGATGCTTACCTGCGTCGAAATGGCCATCTTTTCGATCCTGCATCTCTTCGCATTCCCATGGAAACCCTACGATCTCAAGCGCCAGAGCCCATTGGATACTACTATTGACGGGTACTCGGCGCAACCAACGAAGTATGCAAACGGACCAGCACGCGCTCTTCTGGATGCTCTGAATCCCTGGGATATCATCAAGGCCTGCGGCCGTGGCTTTCGTTGGCTCTTCTACGGCGCACGACACCGCAAGAATGATCCCTCGTACCAGACCAAGCTCGAGCCTGTCACTACGAACACTAGCTACAGTGGCCCAACATTCGCAGGCAACGGCGAGCCTGTCAATGTGCCAGCGTCTACGAAGAAGAACGAAGGGTCTGGTGACTCGGATACTACAGAGCTTCTGAGTGACACGCAAGCTAATCCGTATGTGCATCAGGGTTCAAGTTCGTACGACAGCGCGTACGGACCCGGAGCAAGTGCCTACGGAAGTCCTCCAAATCCAGACCGCCTTCCGCAAGCGCCGACTCCAGGACAGGAATACGGCATAGCGCACCAAGGACACGGAGACGAGCGATTTCAGGACTTTGAACGGCAAGATACAACGTATCATGGCGGTGTAGTAGCGAACAGCTACTACGAGCGACCGAGATACTATCAAGAGGAGAGCGTTGTAAGGCCGAGCACAGAGTGGGACATGTTTGCTGGTGCAACAAAACCTGCTCAGAGGCCACAAGGTGGTAACAACCAGCCTTCAGGGTGGATATAGGATTGCATTTTGATTTGCTTGCATACGACATCTGAAAGAGTTGCATATGATATCCCACGTCAGGCGTTTGGTTTGTTTGGATATTCTGGTGCGTGCTCGCCCTCTCAGGTTAGGAAGGAACCGTCCCAGTGCCTTCTGCGTGGGAAGCAGGCTAGCAGCAACAACAACTTCTTATCGCATTTTGTCCACCATCGCTTCTCTCTAACTCTCGTCCCACTACAAGCGCGGGGCTCTCAGATGCAAACAACCGCAGCTAATGCCGAAGATTGACGCCCACGGTCGGCAAAGGTGCTGTTTAGCTAACGGTATCTCATTGCCAGCGGCGTTGCGCGCTGCAGCTGTCCACGTCAAACTTGAAGTCCTGTGGTGACTCAAGGTATGTGACACTTTCCATGGATTCAAAAGTATCACTGCCGTGATGACTGATGCACCTAGTTTAGTTCATCCTTACCACCTTTTGCATTCCACATCGAGGAACACCTCATATATTGAGCTCCGCGCCTCCCTTGGCCTTCCCTCATCTTCAAGAAATTCAGCGGCACGACGGATTCACAGATCACAGCAAGATCGCAGCAAGATTACCATCCCGAGAGAACCCAATATGCTTTTGCAACAATCGTCACGACTGCTCACTATCCCTGGAGGCAAGTCCCGCGACATGGATCCACCTGTGGTATCAAATCCTGACAATCAAATGCAGAGCCCCGCAATCTGATCAATGAGCATCTCCTAGAAGATGCGTGCAGAGCGCAGGGGGGCATCCTTCTCGCTAAATCGGGGTTTCGCGAATGGGCCAGCCTATCATGGACCCATAATCAGGACAACTTCAAGCGATCGCACTCGTACCTCAATCAGACCTGTCGTCTCTTCCGGACAGAGTTTTTTCCCTCTGATACAGTCGCTCAAAGAGCCGCGTACCTTCGGAGTCTGGGTAGGATTCGAATTGGCCTGTTTGAACGACATGGACTACTTTCTTGAATACGTCACAGTACCCGGCTAGGACCCTGAAGACGCCTTTGGAGACCTCGTCATCAAAATTGACAGCACTGTTCCCAAGCGTGTTGATATCCGCGAGTTCCTTCACCTCGTATGGCATCGAATGACGCCGTGCGACGTTCTTATGCTCACTGCCACGTCCGGTGGACATAACATCGCGTGAAAGCGAGTGCGACACGGTATAGAAGTTGTTTCGAGTTATCCGTCATTGCAGAATTGGTCGCAGGAAGTAGAAGAGTGTATAGATTCCAAGTTGACAAGTTGACCTTGCTAACACGACGTCTTGCAGAGGAAGCCATTGAATGAAGCAGCCCAGTCTATCAAAGGTGTGAGCTTCTTCCTTCGCGCATACACCTTTCATATTGAGTCTGGTAGTACTGGTCCCAAATCGCTTCTTCTTCTTCTTCTTCTTCTTCTTCTTCTTCTTCTTCTTCTTCTTCTTCTTCTTCTTCTTCTTCTTCTTCTTCTTCTTC